CAAACTTGACTCTCATTCCCGCGCCCCTATTGCAATAAACCGTGCCGCTGTTGCAGTCAAAGCCACGCCTACTGACCACAGCTGCCGCTCGTTTGGGAACACTGTGTAGGACGTGTTTAGTGCATGCACAAAAATTTTGGAAAATAAGGTTAACCGATGATATAAGTGTGAGAAGCGAATGAACATCGAAGAAAAAAGACGAGGAAATTAAAAAGAGATTAAATAAAAACTATATTGCTGTGGAGAAACAAATAAAAGATGTTTTACAGCAAGTACTTTTTATTATAAAAAGTTGACGGAATATCCGGATATAAATGAGTTCCGGAACATACTTTCAACTTCACAGACTTTTTCATGTAACTCATCTCATTGATGTCCACAACCTAGGAATCTGAACAATCGACAAAAATAGAATAAGAAAACATAAAATGGGGTGAAACATGTTCCATACAAACAGGTGGAGATTTTCAAAACGCTTCTTCATCACGAGTTTTAAAGTTAGCCTCACAGAACTACTTTCAAAAAACGTCTAACAACCCAGAGTATACCCCGATCGTGGTCCCGCAATACTATCAGCAATCTACGAAAAGAAAAGTGATATGATTCACAAAAATCAAAAATAAAGCCACTTTTTCAAATTTCTGCGGGCGAATTTCGAGAAGTGCGCAGACTTTGCCGAGTTTCAAATTCCTTTGCATTTTTCTTCAACTGGCAGAAACGCCGTGGCATCCTGAAATCACAAATTATAAAATTGAAAAACATTTTTGAGTATGCGATAGTGCGTCTCGGTGTGCTTACACCTAAGCATCATAATTTTACGAAAAAGTCTTGACCTTGCGTAATGACACCGTGATTTCTTGCCGAAAAAGACTCCGATTCATGTCGAAAAGTGATGTAGGTCTCCCTGAAAAAGTTTTTGTTAGAATGGAAACAAAACAAGTTGTTTTCCGAGCCTGTATGAAAATTCCATTTTTGGGGTCGTCACCTTCAGGCGGTCGGAGGTCAACTGGGCCACCAAAGAGATTTTTACCGGACTAAAGTCCTAAAATTCGAAAAGTCTCGAGAAATTCAGAGAACATGAACGTGAGTATTGTCTTTTGTTTCAAAACAAAAAAGAGGAAGAAGCCGTCAAATTAGGAGAAAAATGATTTTTTGGATTTTGAGCCGATTCAAGTTTATCACCTTCGGTCGAATGGAGGTCAACTATCCCACCCTAGGGATTTGTTGTAGAACTACTTTTTTCTCGAAGAAGAAGGCCCCTAGTTTCATAATCACAAATAAAAGTCGTACCATAGGGGGGTTCTTACTCTAGTTATGGCTCAAAAACTGAAAAAATCGCTGTTTTTGAGGAAATTTCGATTTTTTTCAGCTTACTGTCTACAGTATCTTTTTGAAAGGGGCGGAGCCACCTGGAACCTGGTGCTAAATAATCAGAAGCACGTGTGTGAGCCGTGATCACATTTTGAGGCAAATCAAAAACTTTTTATTTTGCTTCAGATTCATCGACTTTCTCAGAGAACGCGTGTTAAATAGACTTGTTTTTTCAATGAGGTTATAAAAATGATGAAATTTTCGGACAAGAATTATTGGACAACCTGGTACAATTTGTTTTACTACGCTCAAGCTCCGCCCCTCTTTTTCATGCGAGCATCTACCTATACTACACGGCGTTTCAAAATTTGTTCGAAAAATTTTTGGTCGAACGTTTGGTTTTGAGACCTACCAATCAAAACCTAAAAACTATCAAGGCCAAGCGAAAAAATGGGACCAGTACAAAAAAACGAGCGAAGCCAAGAACTAGTTCAGACTCGCATACTGAGCATTTTCCAATCGTCTTGTGCATGAAAATGCCGAGAGGCGAAAAACAAAAAAAGACATTTACACGCACACGTTTTGAGCAAACGAGGGCCATTCAAGCCAACGACGACAACGAAGGCGTCAAGTGTTAATTTTGACCAAATTTCAAATGCGAACCTTTCGGACGATGACGAACGAATGGCCTCTTGTTTTGTCAAGGGTTGTCGAAAAGAAGAAGAAGCAGCAGCAGAAAAGAAGGAATAGAAATTCCTTCGTATTTTTGGCTCCAACCGCCACACCCGCTTTTATTTTTGTGCCATCACCTCTATTGAGAATGAATACCATGAAGCGAGTTGCTTCTTTTTATGCTTTTATTTTTGTGCCATCACCTCTATTGAGAATGAATACCATGAAGCGAGTTGCTTCTTTTTATGCTTTTTGTTTTGTGTAACCGAATGCGAGCATGCCCTCGTCATCATCATCGTTGAATTTCTGAATCGCGGTGGCGGCCACTTTGAGAAGAGCTTCTTAAATTTCCAAAACGCTCATCGTGCCGTTCTGGGCGTCGCCTCATTCACATACACGCGCAAGAAGAAGGTCCATTTGGCGCATTTAGAGGCGAGTGCTGCTGCTTCTGCTGAACAAGCTGCCGTCCCTCGATGGGTTTGGCCGTGGCGTGGTGGCGTGCGGCTCTGTTCAGAAACGACTCGCTCCATTGGCTCGTGGTACCCTTTTCACTCTGCCTCTTGTTCACAAGTACAGCCGGTCTCGTGAAAAATGTTTGCAAAAAAGTTGGTAAGTCGAGTATTTTTCAGATTATCAAAAATTAATTTCTTCTTCTTTTTCTTCTTCTTCTTCGTTAACTCACCTTTCCAGGAGTAGAAGAGCTCATCGACGAGCAAGGCTGCGATCTGATGATTGTAAGGATCAACCGGTGCAGCGGTCACTGTCTCTCGTTCACTTTTCCCAATCCGGCCACCAAAAAGACGTCGGTTCACGCCAAGTGCTGTCGGATGGTCGAGTGGGAAATGGTAAAAGTTTTTTTTCAAATTTCCGTTTTAAATTACAAGGCTTTCTTTCAGTTGGAAGCCGAACTCAAATGCTCTGGAGACAATCGAGAGCTGCGAATTCCTAGCGCTTTGCAGTGTGAATGTTTCGACTGTGCTGTACAGTAGGCCTTTTTTGCGTCATCATTTTTCTTTGGCCAATATAAAAACACCCTTGTTATTACGGGAGACACATGATGATCATCGTCATGATCTCGTAATCTTTTTTTTTTTACCATTTTGAGCAATTGTGCCATTTTCAGAAATGCTCTTTTCGTGCATGAAAATGGTTTAAAAATTGCTAAAGCCTGGATCATAGATTTACAAAAAACAAAAAAAAATAAGAGACAGTTACAATTCTTCCAAACTTGTAATCACATCAAAGTCTTCGCGTGCAGCTTGGCTCAACTCGGCATTTTCATCTCGCCAGACAATTTTCACCTGCAAACCCGCTTTCGCAGCCGCTCTCGCTTCTGAAAACGGCGTGTGTAAATATGCCAGAAATTGAAAATATATCATGTACCGGCTTGTGCGAGGGCCGGTCCGTCAGTCTATCGGCCCCCAGCTATTTCCCAAGGCCGGCCCGGCCCGGTCTTAGGGAAACCTCAAGCAAAAATGGCCGGCCCGGCCCAAAAAGCTTAAATTTTCGTCGTGTCGAATTTTTCGCTTTATTAACAGGAAAAGTGTGGTTTTTGCTTATTTTTCCTCATTGAGTTATTAGAAACTATGATTCAACATGCAAAAAACAATTTTTCGGTGGAATTTTTTTAATAAAATAGAAGATTTTTTTTTTCCAAGCCCGAAGCCGACTTGACGCACAAGCCTGATCTTGTATACTACTGAGGTTGTAAGCAATAAAGTGGAAAATGATTTTCGACGATTTTCTTTTAAACTCGAAAACAACCTCAATTTTCCTTTTTTTTTACACTGAAATCTTTTCTTCTCTAACCAAACCTTCTAATGAAACCTTTTCACATCACATAAAGTCGAAATCGACGAAATCCTTGAGTTTCAGGTCTTTTCTATTTTCAGGAAAACAAAAAATTTTCCGCTTTATTGCATTCTCTGGGTTGCATGGAAGACATTTGCGGATTCGCACTCTAACCGTAAAATTTTGCAAGAGAAAATAATTTCCATCGGAAAAAAAGATTTTAATAAAGTTAAATTTTTTTGAGAGAGAAAAAACGAAAAAAAAATGCTCCATTATCTACACAAAGCTCAAAAAAAGCTTCACGGAACAAGGAAAACGAGTTAATGTGTTATTTTTGGGTTTTTCTAAACGAAATCAGCTCAAGTAAAATTAATTTTTTTTATTTGTATCTTTCGAAAACTCCTAGACTCACTATTATAAACTTTATCCGATGAAAAAAAAATCGCTCTCTCAAAAATTTCAATCCATATTTTCTCCCGCAAAACTATTCCCGTGCGACATGGCTGTTCAAAATTTCGTCTCAAAGTGAAGTTCCTACTTCTCGAAATCGTATTGATCTCGCGAGACCTGACTCTTTTTTTTCGAGACGAGAATGTCGGTCAAAATTGAAACTTTTTGAACTTTTCTCGCGAATTTTTTGTCTCGTCTGGATCTGTTCTCGAATTCAAAAAGCACATTTCGAAAAACTCTTCCGTGCAACCCTAATATTAATATTCGATGAGAGGTGAGAAAAACCCACCCGCTTCAAGGTCGGTCAAAAACAACACGCGTTGCGTCTCGACGCTTATTTCTTGGCAAATTTTTGCATAGGATGCTGCTTGGCCTGGGAAAAAATGAAGTGGAGAAATTGAGCAGACGAAAAAAAATAGTCACCTTTGTATCCGATGTTCGTGTCGAAATATCCTCGAATAAACTGCAAAAAAAAATTGAGAATCCTTAATGAAGAAGACAACCTCCGATAAGTCTCCAACAACAGAGTGAGAAAACAAAAGTTTTTGGGCGTGTACCGAGCCCGAAGAATAAATAAACACACGAATGTCTTCATTTCGGAACTTTGTCAAATTTGAGAGCACGTCAGGGTATACGCTGAATAATCGAGTTTCGAAAAAGGACCAAAAAAAGGGAAGAAAACTCACTGGCCTTTTATGGCCCCTCGCGAATAAGCTTCTTGCCAAATGAGCCCTTGGAGCGCCTTCATTGGAGTCACCTTCGAATCACTTTTATTTCTCTCTGCTTTTTTTGTTATTTTAGCACCTTTTCGTCTTTTTGAATCCAATGGCGGACGTTGTTCACCACATCTTCGATTGTCTCCTTTTTGGAAGTCGCGCGCACTTTTCTGGCCGAATGAATTTTGCTATATAAGAGAACTTGCAATGAAATGTTACCGCACGATGGCATCTGTCGATTGGGCCGAATATCGACGCACGTCTTCAATCATGTGGCCGACCTGGGGCTCGTCAAAATGCTCCACGAGCCAACTTTCGACATGATCAGACGCGTAAGGAAACAAAGTGTCCTCAAGCCTTTCTATGCAATTCGTTGTTCCTTTTTTCATTGAGTTCGTCGATTACTTGAGACCGTTTGATCAATGGAACCAGGAAAAGAAAAAAAAATTTTTACACACCTTTACAAAAGATATGCTCGTGACGGTGCCTTCAATGTCTAGAATTAGGGCGTCGAAAAGTCTCATTTCAATTCTTCTTCTTCTTCTCCTCAATGAAGACCACTAAAAGGGGGATGATTAAAAGGGACGCAGAAAGGCAGCAAAGGGAGTTTTTTTTATCGAGCCTTCTAGAATTTTAAAGGCTAAAGACATGGTCGAATAAGGGTGACAGCAAAAAATGTTCGCAAAAGCCGAAAAAAAGGGCCCAAAAGGGCTGCAAAAAAGAAGCCTTTGTCACCTAGCAGGTCACCTCCATAAACGAGAATGCCGATAAAGGACGGTGTTATCAACCTGCCCAACTCGTTTGAAAGAAGAGGGGTTAAAAACGCAGACCAAGTCAACATAAATGCCTTTTATCAGACTTTTTTCTTCGTGTTAAAATTTCTCCGTTCAAAGATTATTCTATCCAATTTCAAGACAGGCTTTTCAGAGAGAATAGTATTAGATGGACTTTTCACAAAAGTAAATTCTTTATGGTTCCGACAACCATTTCTCACACTTCCATTTGTACAATAAAGATAATTTATTCAATTTTCTCTTTCGGATCATTTGCGATGGGAGTAAATTTTTCACAAAAACTATCTCCTTTGTTTTTTTGCGACCGCCTTCTGCTTGTTCTTGTATTCCTCGTCGTCGTTGTAGGAATCTCCGATAGCAGCGTCTTTGCCCATCTTGACCGCCTTGCCGCCATTCCACTGGTTCGAGCTGCCGAAGCCAAAGTCCTGAGGCAGAAGTCGCGTTGGCTGCGGATACGCCGAAGGAAATCCACCCATCCCGTAAGGTGGCGCTTCGCCGGCAAACCGTTCCCGCGTCGTGTACCCACGTCCATATCTGTTTCCGTAGGTGGCCGCCAGTTCTCGGAAGGAAGGAATCGTTTGCGAGCCGCCGAGAGAAGCCGCCGAGGCAAAGACCAAGTCGTTTCTCGTGTACTCAGCTGCAATATACCCACTGAATAGGAAAAACAAAAGTATCACTAACGCGGGTAATCAAACGGCACTTTAGTTTTGTAAGGCTTCATGTTGCGCATGGCAGCGATGCTGCCGTAGTAGCCTGATAGAGCAGCAGCCTTTTTATTGTTATTGTTGTTGTTGTTCAGAAGTCCCGATGGAGAAGAAGATGAAGGATATCCACTTTTTAAATAACCTCCGTAAAGATCCTCTTCTGGAAAACGTTTCGATTTGTTTCTGGCCAGTTCAAATGATAATATTAGGTTGTTGCCCAACTCTTTGGATTTTTTCGAAAAATAATCGACGACCCTTTTTGATATTCGCAATTAGGACCCGCTTTATTTCTACCTTCCATATCGCACTACCATCATCATCAGTTTATTGTATTTTTGTAAATTATATTGAAAGGGTTTCGTTTTCTGGTTTATGTCGTTGTTGGGAATTATTTTTGAAAATTTTTAAAAGAAATAATATTCAAAAAAAGTTTTTCAGGTTTTCTAGAATATATATTTCAATTTTCGAAATCGTTTTATGTAGAAGCTATGAAACCACGTCTTGGAATTTCACCAAACGACATTCCGCTGTGCCGCTGCGCATAACAATCAATTGAAAGCGTGACCTATATTCGAAAGACGCTTCGCGAACGCACGTAGCGGAACAGCGGAATGTCGTTCGGTGAATTTCAAGTCGCGGCACACAGACTATATTTGAAAGATACCAAATTACTTTGCCTTTTGGCAAAAATTCCTTGTGCAGCCCCTACGCTAAGGACCGCATCCTATTTTCTCATAATGATCATACAAATTCAAATTTTATGTTTTCTGTTAGCTAATATCCTCAAATAGACATTCCCAAAATATCTCGGCACCTAGTTGAATGAACGCAGAGAAAATTCGACAAAATTAAGGGCATCTCGGGAATGCGTTTAGCACTGAACCGTGTTTCTCCGCAGACAGGAGGAAAAATGGGAGGAGCCTATGCCATTTTCGGGCGCGCTTACAAGTTCAGTTAGAAAAATTTTTGAAACACGATTCTGTAAATGAAATATAGCTGATTCACGGCTGGCTTGAGCTATCGAAAAAAGGGTCCTGCCACGAAAAGAGACGAGGCAGTGCCTTGGTTGGTGGAGAGCGCAGACAGGCCTCGCCTTTTTGCGTCTTAAGCTAGCCGTGAATCGTCTATAAAATTTTTTGGTGAATTTAATATGCTGCGCTGGAATCGCCATATGAAGAACCATATAAAAACAATAAAGCCAAAAAAAATTCAAGGTCTAATCGATAGAAATAATCAGATTTTCCAATCGAACCAGTAAAATATCAAACAAAGATTATTTAATATGAAAAAAATCTCCATTAGATGTTCTAATAGTTTTTGTAACATATAAAACGTCCTTGAAATGAAGCTGAAAACTTCAAGTTCATCCTACTCCGAGCAATGCAACAAGAAAAAAAGTTCAAAAAAGAAGTGAAGTGTAAACTTCACACTTTTTCTAGTTTGAACAAATCGACAACATCCCTGATATTCAGAAAAAATTCTGATATTCAAAAAAAATTCAGAAGAGCGCAAAGTAAGTCCCTAATATTCAGAAAAAAGTTCAGAATAGCGCAAAGTAAGAAAAAAATAAAACGAAAAATTTCATTTTTTTCGATTTTTTTATTTTTTTAGTCAAAAAAATAACAGGACTAATAAATATTTTTTTAAGCGTTCCTTCGACAAACTCTCCTTCGCGAGAGCTGTGAAAATATTTTTCCAACCCTTTTTTTAAAAAGAATTTTTTTAACGATAAACGTTTTTAAATCGAAAAAAATAATGAATTTTGCACCGGAAATTAAAAAAATTATTTTTTTTATTGGAACACGCAAAAACGCATCACGCGCGCGTAACATTGCACACTTTTTGTTCGAAAAAAAATACAAATGTCACCGTTTTATATTTTATGCGCGTCGGTGCGCGACTCGTTTTTTGATTCTATTGTTGTTGAATGTAGAGAAACAGTCAAGATATCTAAAATTGAATGGCCGCCGTCGGGCGTACCACTCTCCTTCCCGCATGAGAATCTCTAAATTTTGCGCGTAATGGTGCTTATTCTTGAAATAATTTGCATAATTTCTTTTTGTTTTCAATTTCCGTTCTTTCTTTTAATGTGTTCTAATTATCTTCTCTTAACAGAGAAAATTGATTTTTGGTGTGAAGTCGCAAAAATATTGTCGTTTTGGTGCTTCATACAAAAAAGCCGTAATTATTTTTTCTGCAACATTTTTAGAAACTTATTTTTTTAAAAATTATTGATAAATGCTTTTCGTTAAATTGAGAACAAAAAAACATAGGGTCGTCGCTGAAAATCTGAATCTAGGCATTAAATTATGTCTCAAAACATATATTTCTAACATATTATTGCTTTTATACACACGCTATGAGAAAAAGAAAAGACCTCAGTGCGACGTGAAAAAAAATTTCGCCCAAAGTGGGCGTGGCTTTGCGGTCCCTACCCTACGCGGACCTTGGTAACGCGAACCGGACGTGATTCGGACGGGTCGGGGCATTTCTAGTGACCCCTTTGATAGCGTGAGCTCTCTTCAGTGATTTATAGGAATCAGAAACGTTCGGAGCACGTCCGCTTGCCGCCTGACGGGCCAGTCCTCGCACAAGCCTGGAGCGCGCAACACTTTTGCATTGGAACTCGGACGACTATAAAGTTCTTGTTCCTTTCCTTTTAGTTTTGTAATTTTCCTATACTTATTTTCATTTAAGCTTCATTGAAATTGTCCAGTTTTTCGAAAATCGTTGATAAGGTTCTTATTCTGATTGCGTAATTTGTTGTTTCTTTTTGATGGGTTTTTTCGAAAGGTTGAAAATCCTGAAGAAGCGGAATTTTCCTTTTTCAAATCTCTATTAGCCACTTTCTGCGAACTCCTTATAATGGGTCCTAAATGATCCTATAGGGAGTCCTTTAATATACCTCCGTAGGAGGCTCTTTTTTTTGTTGTAGAACCCTTCAAGCTTTTCAAGAAAGTACGAAAAAAGTTTCTAAAAAAGTCGTTGGTCATATTTTTTAAAATTTAAGATAAGGAAGAGAAAATTTCTTTTTTTTTTCAAAGAAGTTCGTGTTCACCGCCTGGTCAATTATATCTGACTTGAACCACAAAATAAATGATTTGATTGATATGATGAGCACTTTGAACGAAAAACCAAACAAAAATTGAAATGTTACCGCTTGGATATGGACCGTAGCTGCCACCAGTAGTCATGGGCAAAATGGCACTTTGTGAGTTGTGACCGATGAATGGCTTTCTGTTAGAGAAAAAAAAAATGTTCACAATCCTTGCAAATCCACCTTTCAGCGTTGAAATACCCAGGGCGCAATGGGTAGCGACCATTGCTACCGTAGCCTTGCTTGTGTGTCATACGACTGAAGGGAATCCGATGCCTTAAAGTAGCACGCAATAAAAACATTAACAGGGATCGAAAAATTTTTTTCGAAATTTTCGACGTAAAAAACATGATAGACACAACAGTTGGTGAAAAAACCCGTACCCAGACTGTCCAGTGTTGACATTTCTCCTTCGAAATGTGAGTTTGTTGCGATACAACGAGTCCAGTTCGGATTCTTCGTCGGGAAACTCGGCTAAACAGAAACTTACCGCAAATATTGTTCCGTTTCAAACCATCTTGTTCATTTTCCGAGACTTCGTCGGGCAAAGAAGGAACTGGAGCCGGGTAAGCGACGTTGGACAAAGAATTTGTGAGGTCGACGGCGGCGTCGGGCAAATAGGCTCGAGTGCAGCCGAAGCAGAAGGTCATGATGATGGACACGGTTGCAACAGTGGGGACGACGACGTACTTCATGTTCGTTTAGCAAGAGCCCAAAGAGCGCACAATGCACAGATCTATCTCTCTCTCTCACTATTTGTGGTCTCAAAACGATGCTCGGCGCATTCAGACAGCTTTGACATGCGACGGAACAATGAGTCGTGTCTTGATCGCCGCACACGGGAATAGACGACGACGACGACAAGTGTGAGTTTTTATGCTAATTGGTGTTTGAGAAAGGAAACAAAGACTTCACATGATCGACTTTCAAATTTCAGCTTGTCAAACGCCATTTAACTTTTAAACCCTTTTTTTAGAAATTATTTAGAAAAGAACATTTTATAATCAAAGAAGATTTCCAAAAAAGCATTTTTGGGCTTCTCAAACGCGATCCAAATCTTGTTCATAAAAATAATCAAATATAAAGCTTTCAGGCTGGTCCGCCGTAGCGCAACGATTGTGTGCCTGGCGACGGCCTAAAGGGTCGCAAATTGGATCATCACCGCAACCTATCCAAGGAGTGTAAAAAATTTTGGTCGTGGAAAACAAGGCTTCATATCCTCACACGTCGCTAGAGTCATTATCCTTGACATCAGGGTTGGAACTTGTCTCAGCAATTTCTGTCGCCGACGCCGCTAAGCGGTAAAAAGGTGTAAAAAAAAGATAAAGCTTTCAGTCTACAAAAACTACGTTCCTATGGACTTGTTTCCCCACAAAGAAAGGAAAACCCCAAAAAAAGTACATATATATCTTTTTACTTTTTTTTTCTCAGAAACCAAGTTTAGACGTGTGTTCGGTCCTTCTGTCGTCCACCATACCATCGAGATTGTAATCTCACAAGAGATGTTGACAACTTGGGCGGCGAAGACTCGAACTTCCGGACATCTGCAAAAAAAAATGAAGAGAAATCGTCAACCTTGTATCATATCTCTGGAAAAGTCGAGCTTTCTTACCTAATACGGTCGAATTTTCCAGTCTGGGCGACGAAGATCGCGATTCTCGCTGCTCACCACGAACGCCGCGAAAACTTGCCGTTTTCATTAGCGACTTGATGCCGTACAAGGCAGCGGCCTGCTTTCTGAACCTAGAATGGGCGTCAGTGCTCGACTCGTGTTCTTACAACTCACCTAGTCGAGAACTTGTAGTAGAAAATGAAGGCCGAGCAGGAGTTGATAATCACGAGGACATTGTTGACGTCATTTAGGAAAAAGCCAAATTCCGACTGGAACATGTGCTTCCAATAAATTTCGGCCACGTTGAGAACGAACGAAAAAGAGTAGCAAAAGAGAAACACTGTAAAGTCTTACTTTTGCTTTTCTTTTTTGATATGAAAAACGCGCAACTCACCTACAACCACCATCATCATCATTTTGGCGGTTGAATGCTCACGGCGTTCGCTAGCGACAAGCTCACGTCGCTGCTCCGAGGCGAGCAAAAGCGTTCTCGCCACCTAAAAGCTTTTGAAAATCGGAAAAAAAACTACAAAGCCAAGCACGAAAAACGACAAAAATGGGGAACCTGAAGGTTCAAGACGCAAAGGACGACGAGAGGTAGAAGGAATTGAGTGAGAAGAGTTGCGAGATTCTGGTACCACAGCATGAAGACAGGGTCTTCTCGAAGCAGCGGCACCACGATGTTTTCCACGGAAACGGCTCCACCATCGCTTTTGAGTCGGAATTCCCAGAAACGCACAAAATTGTAGGCGACCGAGAACATGACAATCAAGAAGATGGTGGCCTTGGCACGTCTTCTGAAATTAGATCGAATGCTGTTTTTCGAGTGAATAGAAAAAAAATGACGAGTTTTTTTTTCCCATGTAAAGTCTTCACTCGAAGTGGTAGCTCTAATATCGAGCTCCCACCTAGAGCACGGTTTCCGGGCTCCCGCACAAGATCCGCTACATTCTGAGCTCTTCAAGACGCGAATGGATGGTTCACGCTCAAAAGAACGAGGCGTTGGACCGTAAGACCATGCTTTTAACTTGATTTTCGTTATAGCTTCAAAAGTTCTTGTTCACCGCCTAATCGATTACATTTGACTAATGAAACAGACTAAGTTACGTGATTTGAAGCTTCTTGCAAAAACCCTCTTTTGTAGACAAACACTCAGGCGTTCGAAAACCTAGTGCAGTAGACGTTGACCATGAACGGATGGCAAACGGCAAGGTAGCGGTCAACGGCAATCGAGACGAGCAGCCAGACGGAGATGGACTGAAACATGATCGTGACGGGGTAGGCGTAAACCATGATCGTTGCCGCCGCGTAAACTGCAAACTGTTTTTTTCCTGAATGGGCTTTGCCTCGCCACGTAAAATTTAATTAAGCAAGTATATGGTAAAAAAATTAGCAAAAAAATTTATTTCTATTTATTTCCATTTTGTTTTTTTCTTTTTTTCTTATTTTTTTAGGCTTGATTAACAACGATTCTAAACCTGGAATGAAATTTTGTGTTTGGGCACTCGCGTAAACAGGAACTCCTAGAAGACACACGGCAAGGTCCGAAGCCGAAAGGGCAGCCAGGAGCATGTTGATCGATCTGAGCTCTATATAGTCAGTTCACACTAACTCGACTTTTGCAGGTCACAGTAATCATGCTCATTTCTCATAAACGACTCGCTGCAAGAAACATTTTTCAGCTAATCAACTTTTCTAGCGAAAGGTTAGAAATACACTTTGAAAAAAATTACAGGTACATTATATAACAATAAATTCTTTAAAAAGGTAAAGCCAATTTTTCCATACTTGACATGGGTAGATTGGCAAGCGAGAAGCGCGGCTTTTGGGAGGAAACTCGAGGTCGAATGTGATCATTGAGAAAAAAAAAGTGAAAAAAAAAGTTTTGTTATTCGTTCATTTTTATTCTTTCCACTGAATCTTTTCGAGCCCATAAACATCGACTATTTATTGAAAAGCTGTAGAAAAAGGTGGCTTTCGGGTTTGACCTCGAGTTTTCCGCCAAAAGCCGCGTCCCATACGTAACGCTTCACCCTTGGCAATCTACCCCTCTCGCCTCTCCAGTCGGAATTTGCTATACAAGTACGATACAGTCTTCTAGAAAGGTTTTTGAACGTCATTCTTCTCGCAGACCTTTTACGAAACGTCGGCCGTGTAAAGATGACGAGTGAGAGCAAGTTGGTGATAATGCCGAAAATGCAGGCAGTGCTCATTGTCGCCGTCATCAAACTCGACAGTTGTTGCAACATTTTCCTTTTTCTCAGACTCTAGATACAAAAAGGACACATGTATCAAAATCATTGCGCGCACGAATCATGTCGGAAAATTTAGATCATTTCTTTTCTCTGGAAACATTCCCATTACTAGTAGTCTTCTTGGGAAATTACGGAGAACTAAGGCTTGATCTACTCGAAAAGAACAAAAAAATTGACATCTATCTTGTTCATGTGGCATTCATCATCATGTTTGCCCGCGCGCATCTTTTGGGACCAATTATCCAATTGGTTCAAAATTTTCAGATTTCTCAGCAGCCGTTATAATAGTTTTCGTGACGTAGCGTCTGGTTTGTGCCATTCCCAGAGTTTGTATGGACTATATGATTCTAGTTGCTATGAAGATTTGTCATTTCGGCGCTACGACACTGAAGAGTTTTACTTTAGTGAAGAGTATCCGCATTTTTCGTGTGCACTTAGCGTGTTTGCACATTCTGAGTAGCCATCTTTTTTTTCAGTTTTGTTCTAATTTTTATCGTAATCGATTTTAATTATAGGAAACAGTTTAATTACACAACTATGTATTCTGACTTAATATGAAACAAAAACAAAACAATTAATGGCGTGTTCATCGGACAAAACGAAAATTGCTTCGAAACGCAAAAAATCTGCTCCAAAACAAAATTTAAACAAAATTTAACCCTGGTGCGCCAATGAACACGTTTTTTCGCATGTTCCGTTTCTACGATGAACTCGTCATAAAATGAAAACGGAAACGGAAAAGAAAAGTGGAGATTGTACCACTCAGAATGTGCAAACTGCAAAAGGCACACGCCAAAAGCGGACTTTCACTTACAATACTCTTCGGAAAAGGAGAACTAGCTCTTGTCGTTGCACTGCCATTCCAACTCTGCAAAGCAACCTTCTCGTTCAACTTGGCAAGCGAGGAAATCTGCCAAGAACATTGAAGAGAATAGGATCGAGAAGAAATCGTCTTTTTAGTCATTTGGGTAGAAAGAGAAAGAAACAATGTGACGGAAGGAAAAAAAAGTGAAGGCGCCTTGTCATTTACACATGGCTCGTTGCCGTAATTGAGTTAAGTGTCTCGTGCGTTGAATCATAATATGCTGTTCGTTCGCCCGACATGACTGCGACTCGTTCAATCCATCATTTGTGCAACAAGACTCGCTGCTTTTCTGGTTAACCACACCTTTTTCCCCATGCCTTGGATACTCTAAAGCCGATTGAATTTTATTCAAGATGGCGAAAAATGTGAGCAAGTTAGACATGTCTGAAGCAGCAAGTAATAGATAACCGTAGATGAGGAGGATTATCGTCTCGAAAAGAAAAATCTAATTTCACAAGCCTTTGACCGAACTTTGGAGCTTTAAAAAGCTGTTACCGTGTACAAAGTAATTTCAGCGATTTAAAAATTGAAGCATTATTCGTTATAAATGATTTCGTGTGATAAGCGAAATGAAAGTTTTTTTTTTCCGGAATCCGTGAGAAAAATTGGGTCTTACAGAATTATACTAACAGATCACTAAAAACTACTATAGTGGCCCCTAGAACGCAAAATAGTGGCTTCTAAGAGGTGGTTTCAGTGGCCTCTTCTCCAAAAAGTTTTTGAGAAACCTGTTCAGTAGCCACTTGAGTTTTTCCAAGTTACACGAGAATCTTAAAATCTAGAATTTCAAATACGCGAGTAAAAGTTCCACATCGCGATATGTTGTTATAGGACCCAATTTTTCTAACAGCTACCGATATTTCAAAAACGCGTCTGTTTTGACAATTTTGAGATTTCCTTGAACAAGGCATGTCATCAAAAGTGTCGAGACGAGAAAAGCTCTGTGAAATCACCTTGGGAATTTGCCAGCAGGTTTAGCGGGGGTTCAGTTGGCGACGGCGTGTGCTGGGAGCTCGTCTGCGTTGTCATTCTTCGCAGGATTGCCTAAAAATTGCAGATCTCGGAAAAAAAAGAAAGTTTTCAATCCAAATGTTAAATTTTTTCACAAGTGCTTAATTTACGGAACAAATGTAGGAGACTACAAGTGCGGAACTTGTGGTGATGGAAATAGAGGGAAGAGGACTCGCGGTCGTTTTTGTTCCTGAAAAAAAACACAGACCTTCGAGTGGATGAGGAAGACCCGCAGCTTTGCGAAGTGCCTCGACAACTTGGCCAGTTGATTTGAACACTTTGCCAGGCCGGAACGTGAGCGTTCTCGAAATGAGACCCATCTGAACGACCTCAACTTGTCTCGACAGGGTACTCGAAGAAAGGCGTAAGGCGTGTGGGATGCTGACCGTGCTCAGAGGATAGATGAGGTGCATGTGGAGGTGGTTGATCGAGATCATCGGCGGATAGTGGAATCCGATGCGAAGCATGTCCTCGACGGTGTCGGCCTCGCCGTTGGCTTTGAGCGTCGCGCGCAGCAACTCTCGTCCCGTGCTCTCCATTTCTTCAACTGAAGGCGCCCAATCGTAACCTTTTTAGTGAGCCGCTGAGCTCTCAAAGATTTGCAAACGGAAAAACATGCTCTTTTTTTGTTTGATTCGCACAAGTAAACTTTTAAGACTGAAAAAAGGTCCGAGCAAAAAAAAAAGAATTGAGCAAAAAGCAGGCTTGTTCAAGCTTTTTCAATCGCTGATTCTCAACTGAAAAATGCTAAGAACTGAAAAACTTTCCAGCTCCAAAGTGGTCTCTATCGGGTCTAAAATAAGGACCCTTGAAGGTTCCCCTATAGGGATCATTTTACCTACTCCTATAAGGGTTTAGTTAGTAGTCTCAGAAAGAAGGTCGATATTAGAGTTCTCAAAATGACCAATTGAAAAAAATGACACTTTTCAAAAACGAAAAATTTTCTTTTTGACATTTCAAACGAATGTCGTTTTTGAAAGATCAACCAAAATTGATCACTTTCATTCTTTTCATTTTGTGACTTTTCAAATAATGACTGAAAAATGAATGGTCATTTTCTAAACAATCATATTCTGACTAGTAAATAAATGTTCGCCCTAATGACCACATTTTTTTGAAAGTGAAAAAGTAAATGGTCACTTTTTTTTGACCAAAAATTTTCGAAACGAATTTTAAATGTTCATTTTTTTGAACAAAATTTTCAAAATGAACTTTAAATGTTTACTTTTTTGACCAAAAATTTTTTTAAAAAGTGAAATTTAAATGTTCATTTTTTTGACCAAAAATTTTCAAAGTGAACTTTAAATGTTTACTTTTTCTGACCAAAAATTTTTCAAAAGTGAAATTTAAATGTTTACTTTTTTTGACCAAAAATTTTTAAAAAGTGAAATTTAAATGTTCATTTTTTTGACCAAAAATTTTTCAAAGTGAACTTTAAATGTTTACTTTTTCTGACCAAAAATTTTTCAAAAAGTGAAATTTAAATGTTTCACTTTTTTTGACCAAAAATTTTCTAAAAGTGAAATTTTAAATGTTTACTTTTTTTGACCAAAAAAATTTTTCAAAATGAAATTTAAATGTTTACTTTTTTTGACCAAAATTTTTTTAAAAAGTGAAATTTAAATGTTCATTTTTTTGACCAAAAATTTTCAAAAGTGAACTTTAAATGTTTACTTTTTCTGACCAAAAATTTTTCAAAAAGTGAAATTTAAATGTTTACTTTTTTTGACCAAAATTTTTCAAAGTGAACTTTAAATGTTTACTTTTTCTGACCAAAAATTTTTCAAAAAGTGAAATTTAAATGTTTACTTTTTTTGACCAAAAATTTTTTTAAAAAGTGAAATTTAAATGTTCATTTTTTTGACCAAAAATTTCTAAAATGAATTTTAAATGTTCATTTTTTTGACCAAAATTTTTTTAAAAAGTGAAATTTAAATGTTCATTTTTTTGACCAAAAATTTTCAAAAGTGAACTTTAAATGTTTACTTTTTCTGACCAAAAATTTTTCAAAAGTGAAATTTAAATGTTCACTTTTTTTGACCAAAAATTTCGAAATGAATTTTAAATGTTTACTTTTTTTGACCAAAAAAATTTCAAAAATGAAATTTAAATTTTTCATTTTTTTAACCAAAAATTTTTTTCGAAAAAAATAAGTAATTGTTCATTTTTTTAAATGCTCATTTATGAAATTTAACCAAAATGAAGTTTTTAACAAACGGTTCATGTGAAATTTAACTAATTGGTCGAATTCATCAAACGTTCGGAAAATGTTTGGTTGAACGTTCGTTCAAACATTTACTTTTGAGAACTCTAGTCGATATGATCATGTTTTTCTTTCAGACTTGCAAATCTGAACAAAAAATTAAAAGACCCTATCGGAAGCTTCATGGCCTTAAGGGTCAGACCCTAAACCTCTATATTTACCACCTGAATTTCACCCCTAGAGAGAGCGCTTTTTTTATCCTATAGTGTTGTCGTTTTTCTCTCTAACTCTATAGGGGTCACTCTGGCGTTTCTAGGCTTGGCGTGATCGACAACTTTACAAACTTTGACGGGGTCAAGCTCCGAGAGGTCCCCTTAGGGGTTCAATAGTTTTGAGTTGCAAAAAACGTTTCATCCTAGTCGATAAAGTAGAATCGATATTTTTTGACAATTGATAATATTTTATTAACTAGTGAGTTTGAAATATAGGAAATATACATAACTTTAGGCATGGGTCCATCAAGTAAATAAATAGAGGACTGGGATTCAGATTTTTAAAAAAAATTAAGTAACTCAAGGAGGGGCGGCATAGCTCAGCTGGAATAACTCATTTCTAACGTCCGCAAGGTCGTAGGTTCGAGTCCCCCCGAGGTCGACCAAGCCTTTTATCCCTCCGGGGTAGATAAAATTGGGAGCTGCATGCAGCGAAAAGGCTCAATCTCTGCCATCGGCCTTTGGAAAGCCGGCACCGTACTTCTTCCTACGACCTCTCTTGTACCTGATGTTCTACGAGCGAAATTCACAACTTCTCTGCCTAAGCCACAGCTCCTGCCGCCGTTTAAACACAGTCAAATCAATGAAAGTCGATTGCACATGTACTCTTACATTGAAGATGCAATAAACAAACAAACAAAACAAGTAACTCAAGTTCCAACCTATAGGGACCCCTAAAGCTTTAGAATACGGGTCAGATTCTAAACCCCTTTTAAGGGACCTTAAAACGACAAACCCCTATAGGGACTCTCGGAAATACCTCAGACGATTGCGTCGGAACAAACTCCTTAGCCTTTATCGGATGATTTTGACTATTTATATCAACTTTGGATCATTTCGTCCTTCAATTTACACCAACCAAAACGGGTGAAAACGGGAAACAGGTTAGCCTTTATTCTTTTTTTTTTCGAAAGAAGAGGAAAACGAACTCAGAGGAATGTCGGCTGCGGTGAGGTCCGTCGGTCGCGGAATGTGCGTTTTGCTGAGGACCAAAAAGTGATATCTCGCCTTCGGGTTGATATCCTCGATCACTACACACTAAAATAAAAATTCAAAAATTTCAGGAGTGCTAAATATGAGAATGAAAACTGAATGAGAAAAAAACCCTTTCTTTCGACCGCAATTGAACTTCTTTGCGGTGGTGAGCAATCTCGCAAAACCTGCACCCCGCCACGCTGGTGACCATCGTAGACGTGGACATGGTGTCTTGAATAGTTTCCTTTAAAAAAAAGATACGTGATCAAAGAAAAAATATCAAAGAAGTAGTCATTGAAAACCCGAGCGCAGCCGAAAAGTGTGAAAAATTCATGATTGTTCAAAGGTCAGCGTGGTAAGTTAGAAAACATAAGTAAGAAAAAACCCGCATTTTCACGGTGCTCTGCCTAGATGCCCAGACCTGCATGATATTCATAAAATTCCATCATTCTCCCACTATCGTCACAGATTTCACAAAGCTTTTTTCTTTATTGCAGTTCACCGAAAAAAGAAAATATCTTGGCGGGGTAATTTGCAACCCGACACAAACGGAATGGACAATGTAATGAAAATATGTTTATTGGGCGCAAACCAAATTTGACAAGGTCGGAATAGTAGAATGAAAAAAAAGACAGCTTTTAAAGAAAGGACCACAGAAAAGTCAATTAGCCTTTGTAGTCTCCATGATCAAACAAAATTTGATCGTACGCTTCTGCCTTGACCGTATTGCCCCCGAAGAATCGGCCATCGAGTGCGGCTTTTGCGGCGTCCACCTGAAAACCAATGTAAAAAGTTGGATGAAGGTTATTTAAATTTGCGGCCGGGAATTTCCTGAAATTTGGCCAGTGGTGCGGAGGGTTAACACGACTGCGAGTCCTTTTCCCTCCACCACCGCAAGTTCCGAACACGTATTTCCCACATTTTCCCTACCTTTATGCCGTAAACTTTAGTATTTGTGTGCGAGAAATGAGAAATTTTGATTGATTTTGAGAACACTCCTTGATGAGCCGGAAGAACATTTCGGAACTCCCAATCTGTTCAACTTCCTAGACGGCGAAAAAAAAGGGCTCAAGCTCAAAAATATTAGGATGGCCCTTTATGAATGTACGGTTCTGTCAGAGTTTCATCCAACTATAAAAACTTTATAAGGATATTAAGAACGGAAAGGTGTCTGATATATCATCAACGGTCATGCAGAGAATTAATTCCGTTTTTGAACCCTGTCTTTGGAACAAAATATAAATCGAAAACCCAACGCCGATTTCGAACCGGCCAACCTAATAGCTTATTTTAAGAGTTCTCCGTGTTCCCACCAATTTTCAGAAAATTCTCAACACAAAAGTGAAATGGCCTCCGTCGTCAGAAGAACTCATTCTCTTTGATAGCAAGGTTTGTGCAAGGGCCAGCCGGTCAACCTATCGACACCCCGACCAGCCTAAGCGAGGCCGCAAGCAAAAAAGCATGACACAAAAGGCGTACGAATATAATAATAAAAATAATTTTTTCGGGGCCTGGTCAAGCCCGCACAGCCCTATGTACAAGCCTGCCGCAAGCTCTTCAGCTTATTCAGATAAGTTCTCATATTTCAAACTTCTTTTTTTATCTAACGCTGATTTGCGTGTATAATTAGCCCCAGTATCAGCACTCTATGGGATTCTGATGAATCAGGTATTAAGTTTCCTTAACCTAAGTTCTTGTTTCATCTCTTGTTTTTAACAATGAACAATTGTTTAATTTTTCCATATGAACAAAGTTAATTCACATGTAGTTTTATTTAAAGAAATACCTGTGTCGGGTCGGCGAACTTGACGAAAATCTTGACAATCTGCGCGGAGGCGTCGTGCGCAATCACCACCTCAACGACTGCCCCGTATTTGGCACATTCTTGACGGATTTCGTCTTCTAGAAACTCGTCAATGTCCTCGGGCCTCACCTTGAAAACGTGAACCAAATTGACAACAGACGAAAAGCAAATTGAAGAGGAAAAATCCAATTTCCGAATTGAAAAAAAAAAATCGAAAGCCTTTTCCAACCTCGTGTTTAAAAATGGCTTGTTAAACTACCATGTTACGAAGTACGAGTACACAGGATCGGTTGGTTCTCATCAGCTTGGCCATGAGAAGATGACGAGCGTCGTTGCCTCTGTAAACATATTGTCCGGTGAAAGTTGGAAAGTTTTTGCTTTACTCGGATGACATGTCTATCACCTTCTAGTTGCCTCCCAGAGGCCTGCTGCACTGGGAAAAATTTTAGTGGCCACTATAGGATTTGGACGTTTTAATGGCAACTATAGTAGTCAAATTAGTGGCCACTCAAGGGGCTAAAAATTAGTGGCCTGTCTAGAAGTCTAAGGGGTACGAGCTTCCATTCACCTTCCAACCTACTGCTGTTTACCTTCTCTAACACCTTTCCAAGTCTGAATAGAATACAATTTCATTTCTCTCAAAATAACTTTCTAAAATGCTACAAATCCAAAATCTTGCCTATCATTGACTACGGATCCGAATTAATGTGCCCGCTAATTTGAATGATATAAATCAACTAGAATCAGTTCAGAGAAAATTTACCAAAAGATTATATCCAAAATTGGATTATCGCAATAGATTAGCCAAACTGAAACTATCGACGTTATGGACTAGAAGACTTTTTAAAGACGTTTGTTGCGTTCATTAATACATTCATGGATATTTTTGGAGTGAGTCGCCTGTTAAATTAATGATTAATTCGAGTAGAAATAATCAACTCAGAGGAAATGGAATGATACTTGTTCAACCAATGAATGAATTGATCAAACAACGCTTCCTAAATTATAGAGTCGTACCCATTTGGAACCAACTGGAGAGAGAAACTATCATTGAATACGAAATCGGCAAGTTTCGGATTATGCTCGCCTCATGGTTTGAATCAAACACATCGTTTCCAAATTCACTAGATCCTACTAAAATCTAGATTCCATTATTCTTACTCAAAAATATAAATCACTCCCATAATTAAATAATATAAAAAAACTACTTTAAAAAAAAACGAAGAACAAACTTAAATACCAAATGGGGGTTAGCACCGTCTATTCAGACAATCTTTCCCTCCAGCCGTTTCCACAGATCAGCTGTTAGATTTATTTGATGTATTATTTTTTGTATTTGTCGTGCAGATTGCGGAATGGCGAATAAACACATGAAATGAAAAAAAAATGAAACGGCTAGAACTCCTTCAACCTAGTTTTTTTAGACGTTCAGTTAAGGATTTAGTATCATTCCATCAGTTTCTACACTATAAGTGTTGGTCTGAATCTCGTATTCAGTTACATAAGATGATATAAGGGTCATTCATTCGTTTTATTCAAAATTTCAAATCATCAAATTAATGGTGTTCAAAATGAGCGACCATGGAATATTGGCAAAATGAAAAAAAAATTAATGTTGACGCAAAGCATATTTTTCAATATAGACCGCACCCTGGGGTGAGATACAGCCGACGTATAACCCAACTCCTCTCCTGCACTAATCTAGTTCTGCATTTGCCCATGTACTGGGAAATTGTGGGCCGATATAGAGGTTCCTCAAGGAATACTTCAGGAGGAAAGGCCACTAAAACCCCTCTATAGGAGCCACTATTTTGCGTCTCAGTGGTCACTACAGTAGTTTTTAGTTATATAGTAGTTCAACTCCTAACGAGGTAACTTAGTTTGAGCCCCTCAAGTGGCCACCAATTGACCACTATGGTGGCCACTGCAAACTTTCTCATTATGGCCGTAAATAAAAACTTATTTTCGTTTTATTGAGATCGTTCCAGAATGCCCTAAAGGGAAGCGCGTTTTTGATCATATTTTTATATTTTAATGAATTATTGTTTTTCAATTAAATTTTAACCTTTCCGTTTTTTATTAGTTCCTTTGCTCCACTTTTTTTCCGTGGTTATTACTAAAATATGATGTGCAACACTTTCTGCTTTCGGGCGATTCTAGAATAAAATATAGCCGCCCTTACCACAAGCTCTCTGAGATTGTGCAATTAAGGAATTTTCCCGTTTCATGCTTCTTTTCTCAATCAACTGGGCTCAACTAATCCAACTCGTGGTTTTCTTCCTTCCCCGCTGTACCTTCCCGATGCTGTGAAAAGATGATGAAAGTCACCTAATCTCGAGGCCTTCTTGCGAGGCGAGAGTCGCGTCCTCGCTGTTCATCACTTCGTTTTTCAACGCGTCCGACATCTCTCCGGCTTTAGTCGCTGCCACCAAGGCCTGGGCCGAGTTAAGCTGCAACAAGATCGACTAGTTTAGAGAAAATAATTAGGAAAGAGTGAAGAAAATGGCGACGGGGGTCCAAACCTTGGGCTGGATCTTTTTCGGGTCGAGATTGTTGCGGCGTCGCCTGTGCTTCGAATCCTTGCCCTTTTTCGACGCTTCCGCCGACGCCTCTTTTTCCTCCTTTTTCTTTTGAATCGCCATCAGCGCACCGCCGCCATCCATGAGCGCCAGCGCCATGCTTTGAATGTTGTCTCCGCCTCGTCCAGGTCCCATGATCGCAGGCAGAGCGCCACCTTGAAAATGCATCAAATTTTCTTCTTCTTCTTCTGCTTCCATCTCAGGAAGTCTAGAGGGGCCCCTACAGGGGTTATGGGGGAAACAGCCCCTATAAAGGACGAAAAAGTGATCCCTGTAGAAGTTTTACCCCTTAGCCGCTAAAGCTCGATTTTTCCCCAAAGAGGTTAGGGGAAAAAAGCCCCTTTAGGGGACGAAAAAATGGTCCTTACAAGGGTCGTTCAATTTTTGAGACCGTGAGACTTAAAACGATAAAATTGATCGATTTAACCTCTGTTGATTGAGGGGCCCATATGGGAGTTCGTAAAGTGGCCCTTATAGGGACTAAAAGCATTTAGTCCAAAAGTCTTGCAGAAATTATCGTTCAACCCAACAAAAAACCTTGTTCCGTCTGTGAATCCTCATCAAGAGGGTCCTTCGGTGCCAGTAGAGGATCAATGGCGCCAAAAGATATGGGCTGAGCGAGGTCTTCGTCTTGCTTTTGTTTCTGCCGATCCAAAATCTTGTCCATCTGAAAGCTAGCGTAACAAAAACGCTAGAAAAATGATCTAAAATTCAGTAACTTAAATGGCCACTAACTCGACTACTATAGTGTCCACGGAAACCTCAAAACACTAAAGTGACCACTATTAATCCCACAAAACAAACTTTTAAAAAACATCTGAAAGCTGGTGTTACAAAGACGAGGAAAAATTGAAATTTTCCGCAATAAAACTCCCTTAAATGGCCACTAATTCGACTAGATGTCCACTGAAACCTTAAAACTAGAGTTTTCAAAATGACCAATGGAAAAGAAAGAAATTTTTGAAAAGCGAAAACTTTTCTTTTTGACATTTCAAACGAATGTCGTTTTTGAAAGATCAACCAAAAATTGATCACTTTCATTTTTATTTTGTGACGTTTCAAATAATAACTGAAAAATAAATGGTCATTTTCTAAACAATCATAGACTAGTAAATGAATGTTCACTTTTTCTGACCAAAAGATTTTCGAAGAGAAATTTAAATGTTCGTTTTTTTAACAAAACTTTTTTTCGAAAAAAATAAGTAATTGTTTACTTTTTCAAATGCTCAGTTATGAAATTTAACTAGAATGAAATTTCGAACAAACGATCCATATAAGATTCAACTAATTCGTCCATTTCAAAAAATTTTCAGAAAAAGTTCGGTTGAATGTTCGTTCAAACATTTACTTTTGAGACCTTTACTCAAAACTCTACAGAGACCCATTTAAGATTTTCTCACAAAAAAAAAATCGAAAAACCTTTTCGGTGAACGTCTGCCGTGCCTTGGCTTCCTTTTTGAGCTTTTTACGCTGTGAAGAAGTGAGCTTGATGGGCTCGCCCGTGGCAGAAGCCGAGGGTAGGGCCAACGAAGGGGCCATGACGAGAGAGGGCGGAAGAGGCTGATTATGTTGCTGCGGCGAGTTGAAGCTGAGGTTTCGGCGTGAAGCCGTCTGTCCGACTGCCGGCGGCGGTGGTGGAACGAAAAGGCCTGGCTGTGGGATCGTCATCAGCGACGGCGGCGGTATCCCGATGGCGTTCGGCACGACTACCGACGGCGGCTGGAGACTCCCTATGACGCTCGGCACAACTACCGATGGCGGAGGTGGGACAAACGGAGGCTCGGTCTTTATCTCGTCCGTCACCACGCGTCTGGGAATCTGAAATGATTGTGCTTTTTTAGAAAATTAGTGAAAAACTTTTCTTGCATTCTTCAGAACTCCAGCGTGATCCCTTAATGGCCTTCGGAGAGTCTTCTCTAGGGACCACTTTATAGGGTTATTTGAAGGAAAAAATATTAACAGCGGTATAATCGATCAATTTTATTTTTTCAACTCAGACTCCATCAAGTACCACCTCTACGCGGTGATGGGGAGGCAACGTCATCTCATATGGCGGCGAACGGTACACCGGTCACGCAGTTCGCTCTGCTTAGGCTAATAGAACGGGCGGTCCTCCTAGCCCTGGCAAGGCAACGAGGATAACCAGGCCACAAAAACGCTACGACACGTTCAACACCGCTGCCCCAGTCCTCCGCCCGTCGATCATGCGCCTCTCAGGTATCGGGGGCTGCCTCTGCCGACGAGGGGCGATCTAATCACGGAGTACCAGGATACCAAAGAAACGGAAAACGGACGCGCCACGGTGACTGTCTGCGATTCGGAACCCTCAACTGCCGTACGCTTGCAAACGATACAGCGATCGAACAACTACTAACGGCAAACCGAAAAGCAAACATCGACATATTGGCGCTCCAGGAAACGAAATCTCGGAAGACCAGCTGCGACAAGACGAAGAACGGAGAGCTTCTCATCCTTGGAGAGAAAGTAAACGGAAAGAACATCGGAGGGATCGGCTTCCTCATCAACGAGTCTGTCCAGTCAGCTGTCGACTCCTTCGAAATCGTCAACGCCCGGCTCGGCATTCTTCGCCTCGACTTTGGAAATAAAGGAAAGATAGCTCTAATAAACGTATACGCCCCGACTGCCACCGCAAACGAAGAAAATCTCGACGACTTCTACAGGATGCTCGAAGACACGATCAGAAGAGAGAAAGCCTACTACATTTACGTGCTGGGTGATTTCAACGCAATCGTGGGCAAGAGCGACCTTGCCACAGCTCGCCACGGAAAGTACGGCCTCGGATCGCGAAACGAAAACGGCGAGAGACTGATCGACCTTCTCGACGCAAGGAAACTCTACCATGGCAACTCACTTTTTGAGAAACCTGATCAACGACGTTGGACCTGGAAATCCGCGAACGGCGCAACCACCAACGAGATCGACCATATCCTCACGAATCGGAAATGGACTCTTCTTGACGTTGCCGTACTACCGAGCTTCGACATCGGATCAGACCATCGACTAGTCCGCGCAAAAAAATCCGCATCAACAGCAAGGTCAGGAAACGTGATCTCCACCAACCACCACGTCCAAGAAGACCGGTCTACGACGCAGCCACATTGGAGAAGAACATCTCGGAGTACAAATGGTCACACAACGATGACCCGACGATTGACTACAAGAACCTCTGCGACGGCCTTATAAGATGCGCCGAACCCGCTGCCCGATCGACCTCATCACTTCCTCCTCGAATCGACCAGAAAGCGAAGGAAATGCTAAGGAAACGAGGAGAGATCAAACGCGACCCGGCTTCCACGCACCTTGAACGTCTAACCATCGACAAAGCGTGCAGAATCGCGGTCGAAACATCGCTCGCAAATCGACGCAAAAACGCCCTTCTCCTGACAGCCGAAAAACACCAAAGCATCCGGAAAAAGAAGTTCGAACTAATAGACCTAACGACGGTGATGACGGCTCTAAAAGACAAATGGTCACTTGAAAACTTCGCGCAAAGAAATGGAAGACCTCACAGTTGACTACTACACAAGGCTCTTCCAAAGCAGCGTAGCAGTACCAAGATCAGCGGCTCCACCAGCAGAGGAAGAACCTCCGATCATCGAAGAAGAAGTTGCTCACGCTATCCGAAGGTTGAAGAATGGAACGGCGGCCGGCCCCGATAACATCTCGACAGAAATCCTCAAATCCGGAGGCGACGCCCTGAACCGCCTGCTCGCCAAACGCTTCTCCACCTATCTGAAAAACAACGAGATCCCGGAGCAATGGAAGGTCTCAAAAAAACCATCTTGATCCCCAAAAAAGGCGACCTAACCGACCTGAACAACTTCCGACCAATATCACTATTATCGGTCGTCTACAAGTTGTTTACCAAGATCATCGTCAACCGCCTAGAGAAGAAGCTCGACGACTTCCAACCACCGTCACAAGCCGGGTTCCGGCGGAACTTCTGCTGCCTAGACCACATCCACACCTTGACTCAGGTTGTGGAGCGTCATCGAGAATACCACCTCCCCCTGGCATTGGCTTTTTGTAGACTACCGGAAAGCCTTTGACAGCGTCGAGATCAACGCCATCCTGAACTCGCTCGTCGCCGCAGGAATCCCCACGAAGTATATCGACCTCATCGAAAAAGTGCAACGAGGGAACGTCGACTACAATCCAACTGTTCAATAAAAAAACTCACGATCCCCATCGGGAAAAGGCGTTCGACAAGCGAGACACAATCTCTCCGAAGCTCTTCTCCACAGCCCTAGAAGATGCAATGCGTCAACTCGGCTGGGACACCAACCGAGACTGGGAAGATGGAAACGTTATCAAAGGCATCAACATCGACGGCAAGATCTTAACAAATCTTCGCTTCGCCGACGACATTGTCCTCTTCGCCAACAACACCTCCGACCTGTCATCCATGCTCAACGATCTAGACGCCGTCGGAAAGAAGATCGGACTCAGATGAACGAGAAGAAAAACGCAGTGGATGAGGAACCGCTTCTGCGACCAAGGCAACGTCACCCTCGAAGGACGAGACCTGCTTGAAGTCAACTCCTACGTATATCTCGGCCGAGAAGTCAACATGACGAACGATTTAAAAACCAGAGATAGCAAGACGCCGACGAGCTGGATGGGCCGCGTTTAACTCCATAAAAAGAAGTTACCAACCAGCTGAAAGACCCAAAACTGCGAGCGCATATCTTCGAAGCATCCGTCATCCCCGCCATCTCCTACGCGACTGAAGTTTGGCCTGACACGAAGAACACCACGACCGCCCTACGAACATCTTACCGCGCATTGGAACGTGCACTCCTCGGTACCACTCGCTTCGAACAGTGGAAAAAAGAACAGACGAGCACAGACCTCCGTCAGCGGTCCCAAATCCAGGACCTCGAAGAGCACATTCAACGCGGGAAGCATCGCTGGGGAGGCCACGTCATTCGCAGACAAGATGACCGCTGGTCGACGAGAACGACCCACTGGATCCCGAGAAACATCAAGCGCCCACTCGGGCGCCCACCGACCAGATGGACGGACTACTTTCGCAAGAACATCAGTCAACCAGGCCGCCACTGGATGACCGTTGCGCAAGACCGGGCCGCCTGGAGAACGTGTGGTCCACGCTGAGAACATCGCCAGCGAAGATGGACCATCAAAGTATCAAAGTAAAGTAAGTAAGTAAGTAACTCAGACCCCCGGCCCCTAAAGGGACTAACTAAACTTTACCTGCTTAGAGATTTCAGAAAAAAGCATGTCTTTATAAGGGTCATGCTATTTGATAATTAACTAAAATTCCTATAGGGACCATTTTTTCAAGCTTTAGTGATGCCTAGAGGGGACCCTCCAAGGGCCCCTAAGGTTGCTCCTATAGGGACCACTCTGGAACTCCTAAGTACGTTGCAAACGTGAAGTTCTATGAGATTCGACTACGTCGCTTTTAAATGGCCAAAACCGAAGCCAACCTGATCTTCAATGGGCTCGTCGACTTCCATTGGTTCTGGCGGAGGTGTTTCGATTTCCTCCTTTTTGATTTCCACTTCCGTTTTTGGGGGTAAAATCGCTGCCGGCGCTGGACTTTGATTCCGAGAAGAGGAGCCAGAAGATTGTCTTTTCTGAAGGAAAAAACTTTGTTGAATTAAATCGATAAGAGTTACCAAAACTTGTGAAACTATCAAAAAACTTTTTAAAATGTCTTTTGTCATTATGTCACCTCAAGACAGGTAAGATAGCAATTAACGACCTTTAAAAATCTCTGGCACGTCATTTTTTTTTATGAATTATACATATTTTTTCTTAAATACTAAGAGAGGATGAAAAACGACGACAGTTTTGAAAAACCATCTGTTTCATTTTCCTGCCCTCTCCTTTCAATTGGAAAATTAGAAATTTACAGCTTTGTTTTGTGAAATGAATCCTTTTTTTTTTCTTTATCCTCTTTTTTCCTTCCAAATATCCCCGTTATAAAGCTTTCATCTCGCTTACACGTCTGATTTCGGTTTGGTTCAATATTAACTGATCAAAATGCCTTTTCAAAGGCATTCTATAAAAGTGCGGGCGTTTAAAAAAATGAAAAATTTTTTTGTGCTCCATTGAAAATTAAATTTTTTTAAAAAAAGGTTTTTTTCCCTATCTTTCCTTTTGAAAAAAAGGATTCAAAAAAAGCCCTACGGTGAAATCATTACTATGAATTTGTTTTAATTACTTGAACAACTTAGGCTTCTCATTGACAGTTTTTGAAAACGAATTTCTAAATTTCACTAACCTGCATTAAAACGGCTATAAGGTGAAAAAAAAAATTAACCATGGAACAGAAAAAATCTTAAAAAATGGTTTGAAAAACGATACTGTCAAAAATACGAAAGAGGCACTACTATACTGATTAGAAAAACATCGATAAAAAAAGCTTAATTTTATTATAAAAGAATAAGGAAAATTCAAAAAAACGTCCGTGTTTTATCACTTTGCAATAAAGCGCGCAAAAAGTGGTCGCGTTTTACAGCTACCCTTTTCAAACGATTCTTTATATAACGTCACGTTCTCTGAATAGCGGATGTATGTCTTGAGAAGAAATCCTCATAAAAATCGTTTTATTGCGCTTGTTTTCGCAAACACACACATACAAATGTATATAAAGAATATGTTTGATTATGAAGGGGTGGAAGGGTCATTATGAAACGTTTTTGGATGGTCATTTAGCGAAAGGACGCGATATAGGAAGACCACCCACCGGCGCGGAAGCCTCGGCGGCCATCACTTTGGCTGTGACGGCGGCAGCAGCCACCGCCGCCGCTGCGGGAATTGTCGCTGCCGAAGCCGGGGTGAGATACGTCAAAGCCTCGGGCGGCGTGATGCATCGTCCAACCTAAAAAAAAAACAAAATCTTACTTTCCAGCTTACATTTTTTTTTTTGAAAGCTGTTCGGCGCGAGGCTACTGTCCGATTAACACTGCGCCGTCTCTTCTAGAGACAGGAAAAATTTAATTTTTCTTTTCTTTTTGTTCAACGTACTTGTGTTTATGCTCTTGAAACTAATCCAAAATTAAAAATTCAGAAAAATCCCACAGGCTTTCCCAATTTTTCAACTGGAGCTTCTCTTATCAATAGAGTTCCTTCAGATAAAATACCTTATGACGGCCGGACGCCTTTAGTTTCATGTTAAAAGACCTTTTATTCGCACTAAACTACCGAATTAACTTTTAAAAAAAGTACCCGCAAAAATTGGCCACCCAAGTCGAACATGTTCATTCCAGCTATAGCTTCCGTCATAGAGTTGAGGTTATTGAACTCAATGTACCCAAAACCTCTGGAAAAAAAAGTGAATGAAGAAGAGAATCTCGTGTACCAGTTTACCTGTGCATCCCACGGCCGGAAATCTGACGAGCCAATTGACACCGCACAACTTCGCCAAACGCTTCAAAAACACTCTTCAAATCGCTTTCCGACAAATCAGGATGCACCGACGCCACGTAAACCCTTGAAAGTGGTGAAAAGAATGCAAGTTTTCACGAGTTACCGAAAGTATTTGCGAGCATCCTGTTGGACCATTTCGATGATTGGCTGCGCCTGTGGCATGTTAGTGGGTCGTCCGACCTGGAGAAAAAAAAAGTCATGAGAAGGATAGAAACAAAATTGAAGCTTCCAGAGATTTCGGAAGAAATCCCTAGGAAGAATTGTTAGCAACGGTACAACATTCTCAGGTGAAAATACGAAAGCTTCTGCTTTCGGTTCCCCTGGAAGCGTCACAGCAAGTGGTCAAACGCCTTCAAAGTAGAAAAATGTAAAGCAGACCATGCTGTTGACTTTCAGATTGCGGCCTCCCATCAACTGGCCATTCATAGATTCCTGAGCCAAAAGAGCCGCTTCAGGCACGTCATACTCCAGGAAGGCGAAACCCTTGTGGTGCTGAAAATAACACTAATGAATGAACAAAAACCAAAAAGGGAAGTGAAAACCCACCCCGGTGACGGCGTCCCAGCTCATGTTGATGCTTTTTATCGGGCCGAACACTTCGAACGCTTTTTTCAGCATATCTTCGCGCACTTCAAAGGATATAGAACCAATGTAGACGCGCGACATCAAGGATAAAGCTTGGGCATACATCTGCTGCTTTTGTTGCTGAAATCTTTTCAAGATAAGAAGTCCTATAATCAAACTGATGGCTGAATAAGCTGACAAACGGACATTTTCTTGCTGCGCTTTTTGCTGACGCAGCATAATCTGCTTTATAGACAAGTCCATGGCGAAGCGCTTGGCCATCGCAATTTCGTCCTTTCTTCGCGAACTCAACTTGGTCAGCCCAAGTCCCAACAATTCAGCTTCCTTCTTTGCGCCTGGTCCAACAAACACCTGCCATTTGTTGCGAAAATTTTTCATTTTTCTAGAGTAAACCTCTCCAGCTTGCGGCAACAAAGGCATTGTGACCACTGCGCCACCGCTCAACGCCATTAGATCTGAATTGCGAATCGGTAGACAGGAACTGTGAAAAATCTTTTGAAAGGAAATAACTAAAAGACTCACGAAGTACATGTTTTCAAAACACATCAACCAAGTTTTTATTTTCTTAAAACTGAACAGAACTCGGAAAAAAGATCACTAAAAAACAAAATTCAACTTTCGTCTCATAGTACAATTAAGCTGAAAATCACTCACTATTCCCGTTGGATTGTGGCGGCGTACCATTACTGTCGGTGCCATTATTCTCGCCCATGGCTGAAATTAAAAATATTTGAACAGAGATAGAAGATTGAGCTTGTTTCATATCAGTTTGCGAAGAAATCTATTGCACCAGGAAAAGACCGAAGGTAAATGTCTAGCAAAGAAAGTTCCAACATGCACTCGAAGATGTTTTATAAATAGACAAAACGTGAAGGTTCATACCCAGGTTATCACCCTTAACGAAGTAGAAGAACAATAGTTAACAACGAAATTGTGAGAAATGGGAGCTGACAGTTTCAAAGAAGCATGAGCAGACTTTCTTGAATCTGTTTGAAAATTCTCTGATTTGAGGCCCATACGTATGCAATGAAAAGGGAAATGATTTTGCTGAAACTCTCTAGGATATCATTGATTTTGACTTAATCTGATGTAATGAGGCTTTATAAGAAGATTCGAATAAAGAAGAAACAATTTCAGTCTAAAAAAGACTAATTTTAGTAATTTACAATTTTCAGGAAATTGACGCAAAATAATTTACCACTTTAGTGCATACGGCCTCTGACTATCGGACATATTATAAAGTACTGCAAATTTCAAAACGGCTAGCATACGTTTTTAATTCATTCGATCTTCCAAAACGAGGAAAACAACAAAGAGAAAACAATTTTTGGCAACGACGCCCAGGAAAACACTCAAGAGAAGTGCATGTGGAGCGCACTTTCCAAGAACACCTTTTTCAATTTTTTTTTTTGCACTTTTGCTTTTTAATGATTTCACACTATTATATATATATAATTTATGCTATAAATTCTTTCTTTAGAAAGTTTTCGAGAGCGTTAAATCGGACGGTCGGACAAAAGATCGCCTGAAAAGTTTAATTGAATTTTAGAGGACCCTCAACTGTATCAATTTGAACACTCAATGGAAATGAGAATATATCTCACAGTATTAGAACTTCAGGTCAATGAAAGAGTGGTGAGAAACTTCGACGCGGATAAAACTTTTCGCCAAAATGCTACGACGCAACACCTACTTCTTGCTCGCTCTGGGGGCTTTTACGGTCGTATCCATTTACTTGTATACATCCATTGACAGTGGAAACGCGGTGATTCAAGCTCAGGTGCGCACGCTCTCGTTTCTAAGTTCAATTTTTGTTTTGCTTGAAGGAAAACGATTTGAAGCAACTGCAGCAGAAAATAGTCAATTTGCAAGCCGTCGCTAAAGGTAACCGCGCAACTATAATCAAGCTCCGCGAAGAGCTTGCCGAGTTGGAAAAAAAGCCGATCAAGAGTGGTATGTTGTGGAAAAGTTGAAAATATTTTTTTTTTCAAGACGAAGAGAAGCTACACAAGGCACCTACCAAATCTGACAAGGAATTGATAGCTGAGCCAGTGATTGGCAACAAAGTAGCTCATGTTAACAAAGTTTTGACGCGCACTTCACCGTCCTATTTCTCAAGCACGTGCGACTTCCGCTCGAACCACAGTTTCGTTCGTTCCGATCTTCAGGTGCGTTTTACTTTTTCTTCACTTCTTCAAGAGTTGCTCTAGATGCTAGATTTGTACGACTTGTGGCAGTTCGAGAATGAAGACGGCGGAGTGTGGAAACAAGGGTGGCCCGTACGTGAAAAAGAACATGCTTTTCGAAAAAAAAAATTTTGAACAGATCACCTATGACGATCAAAAAGTCGCATCGGAACCGAAGCTTCAAGTCATTGTTCTTCCTCATTCTCACTGCGACCCTGGTGTGTCGTGCACCAGCCAATTTCGAGTTCGATCCTCAATTTCAGGTTGGATTCACACGTTCGAAGCGTACTACGAGATGCAAACGAGAAAGATTTTGGATGGGATGGCCAAACACTTGGGGGAGAAGGTGCTTCATTTTGTGCGTGTAGCGGGACAGCAAAAAAGGTTTTATAGGAAGGAATGAAGTTCATTTATGCCGAAATGTCTTTCTTCGAACTTTGGTGGAGAGACCAAAACGAGGAGACGCGCAACAAAGTGAAAAGGTGATATGATGCTTGGGAAACATTTTTCACAATATCATTCAGTTACATTGAAAACGGACAGTTTGAAGTTGTGACCGGCGGTTGGGTGATGACAGACGAGGCGAATTCTCACTACCACTCGATTATTGTGGAGCTCATCGAGGGTCACGAGTGGATTCTCAATCATTTGGGACCTGGTTTATCTTTTTCTATTTTTTTTCTTAAAGTTGTCATTAAGAATAACTGCCGAGATAAACGCGAGACGCTGGCGGTACATTGACGAGCTCGCAAACATCTCCCTTTTTTTTCTCGCGCCGGTCTCGCACTTTTCTAGGCGCGAGCTAGCATTTCTCTCGCATTTTGAAAATTTTTTGAAATACAAGATAAATGCGAGGTCGCGCCGAGATAAATGCGAGATCGCGCCTAGAAAAAAGCGACATGTTTGCGAGTTCGTCAATGTACCGCCACCGACCTTGCGTTTATCTCGTCAGTTATTCTTAGTGATTCTGCACAAAAGAAGTATTGAAAACAGAGAACTGATAGAAGAGCCGAAAAATGGCGATTCCTCTCGACAAAAATCGTTTGATTCTCAGTGGCCCGTCCGAAGGCTCACTGGTCCATCGACCCATTCGGACTTTCGCCGTCGATCCCACACCTCCTTGCCGCAGCCAACATAACAAATGCTGCACTCCAAAGGTTCCGCATTTCGTGATTCTCCATCGGATTCCATCTCAGGATTCATTACGTGGTGAAGCGAGAATTGGCGCGGAAAAAGCAGCTCGAGTTCCATTGGCGGCAAATGTTCGACGCTGCGGGCCACTCCGATATTCGCGCACACGTCTTTCCCTTTTATTCCTACGACGTTCCTCACACGTGTGGCCCCGAGCCTCGTATCTGCTGTCAGTTCGATTTTCGGTCATTTTTCACAAGCTTCAGTTGTTCAATAACATTTTAAGGCGGCTACCGGCTGGTGGAAAGTCTTGTGATTGGAATGTGCCTCCTCAGAAAATCAACAAGGATAATGTAGCCGAGAGGTACTGGAAAAACTTTAGTGACCACCCACAAAGTTTTTCAAGAACTACTTGGGGAGGGGACTAAAGTGACAACTGAATTTTTGAATTTTTGATTCACTGAATTTCAGTTTTGCGCCCAATAGTTCGACTACTATAGTGGCCACTAAAATGTAAAAATTCTAAAGTGACCCCAAAATTTTCCTAGTACTTCAATTTTCATTTCCTGGGTCTTTACACGTTTAGCACTCGCACCTTGGACGCAAATCGGTGCATTTATAATAATCACTTTAGCAGCGTCAGCACTCTTAAGTAGTCACTAAATTTGCTCGAAACCATCCGGAACACGTGAGGCAAATGAGAAATTTATCTAGTGATTTCTGCAGAGCACACATGATCTACGACCAATACCGTAAGAAGAGTCAACTTTACAAGACGAATGTGCTCCTCGTCCCGCTTGGTGACGATTTTAGGTGGGTTCATTTTTTCTCTTTTTGCAAACCTTCTTTTTCGTTTCGCAGATACGACGTGGATTTTGAGTGGAACGAGCAATACACCAACTATAAAAAACTGTTCGAATATATGAACCAGAACTCGGCGTGGAACGTTCAAGTGAGTTGATTATATATATATATATATATATATATATATATATATATATATATATATATATATATATATATATATAAATATATACTATACACACATATATATATATATATATATATATGTAAAAAAATTCAATGCTGTGATAAGGTTTTTTTCAATAAAATTACTTCAAAGTTTGTGATTGGAAATAAATTTATAAATGAAGATAATATAACGCGCAGCCGTTTCGGGTCCCAAAAATGGACGGCTTAGAGGGTGACCCATCGTCAGCATTTTACCCTCTTGCTTTAAATCAAAAAAGTATAAAAAGTTTTTAAGCTATTACACCTAGGCGCAGTTTTAAATTAATAAACTTTCCTCGTTTTGGGCTCGTTTTGGAACGCTGAGCGATTACTTCGCAGCGCTGGATGAAGCTCTCGTGAAATCGGGCGAACGGTTGCCGACCCTCTCTGGCGACTTTTTCACCTATGCCGATCGCGATGACCACTACTGGAGCGGTTTCAACTTTTAGCTATTCCGTTTCACTTCTCCTTCCAGGTTATTTCTCCTCGCGGCCTTTCTATAAGCAAATGGATCGTGTTCTGCAGCACTGGCTTCGCTCCGCCGAAATTGTCTTCACCCTTTCTTCGATTGAGGAAGAGGGAGCCGTCGACCAAAAGGTGGCCCTTATTTTTGGAAATTCACACTTCTCATTTGAACATTCATTCAGTCTTAAATAGTTAAAGAGCTGTTTGTCGGCTAGCAAAACTGTTGTTGATCAATGACGGCGCGTAGAAAATATCGTCCTTCTTATGATAGTAGTAGACGAGTTTTGAGCGTTTCGACGATCAGCTGCTTCTCCATGTCGGAGCATCACGGCGCCCAGCTTGTCCAGAACTGTCGCAAATTTAAAATTTTCGAAAAATGAGAATGCCGCTCGTTTCCTTACTAGATTTCTCCTCTTTTCAGGTTTTCAACCGGTTGATCCTCGCTCGACGGGCTCTTTCCTTGTTCCAACATCACGACGGAGTCACCGGTACTGCAAAAGACGAAGTCGTCGTTGACTATGGAAACAAGTGATTGCCGGAGTTTGAGACAATCTGACGTAAAAATCAAACTTGAGGATGCTGGAGGCGTTGAAAGCATGTGAAGAGGTTCTTTCGGAAAGCCTTACCATTTTGCTGGGCCTCGATTCGGCGGCGCCAATGAAGATGGATGAGATTCGCCAATTTCAAGACTTACTACCGCAGCGACGAGTTTTCTCTATCGATCAGTTAGTTTATTTGGTTTGTTTGGTCGACGCTTTATCTTTTTTCAAGCAAATTCAAGATATTAGTAAGAGAAAGTTTCAAAAATTGTTTCGTCTTGTAGAAACGTTGTCCTGTTCAACGCGTTGACGAGAAGAAGGAGAGAAGTCAAGTGCATCCACGTCGATTCGATCGATGCCGTTGTAGAGTTGGCTGTCAAAGACCAGGTGTGAAGAGCAGAAAAATGAGAAATCATAACTTTCTTTGGAAAAAAAAATCATACTAAGGAGAATTTTCGAGTCTTTTTTCAGTTGGCTCAACAAGTAAATCCAGTTTTCGAGACGGTGGACGATCAACTCGTCTTGAAAGAGGGTGTTTATGAAGTAGGGATTTTCTGAAATTCTTCTGATTCCATTTTCTTTCCAGTTGTGTTTCCAATACTCTTTGGGTCCTCTGGCAGCTGCCAGCTACCGCATTATCAAGGCGAATCAGACGTTATTCGCCAGGAAGGCGGCTATTTTTGCGAGTCGTACGATAGCCACTAAGTTTGTCAAACCTCGTTCAAATTAAATTTTTTTTTCTTTTCCAGCGAATTTGACTTTAAAACTCTTCCGAACGATTTCGCCGTCGAGAACGATCACATCAAGGCAACCTTCGATAATGCAGGCTCATTGATGGTTTGTCGAAATAGGACCCGTTTTTAAATTTCAGTCCCTTTGAATCTCCTCCATTAATAACACGTTCTTTTTTCTTTACAGACGGTCGTTCAAAAGGACTTTGGAGTTGAAGTTGGTGTCAATGCCCATTTTGTCTACTACGGCGCACGCGGATTGCAAAAGTGTCAGTTTTATATTCGATTCATTTTGAAAGGCCAAAAAGAAAGACGTTACAATATTATTCGAGTGTTTACGAAGAACGGAACGGAAGTCGGGAAACGGTCGGTCCCGTGTACAAATTGTCAAAGTTCCTGGTGCCGAATCTGTAGGGTGCGTATCCATACGGGCTGTCTGGAATTATGGTTTGAGTCGCTTCAATCAATTTTCCATGAGAGCTTTTGGGAGAAGAAAAAGGCAGCACACTTGAAGCTATGTTGTTTAAATTTTCAGTCGAAAACTTGCAAAACACCTACTTTGGTAAAGAGGATAGCCGTTGATAGTTATCGATCTCGGTAGAATAGTACCTTCTGCTATACTTCTGCCCGCCGCCAAATTGATTGCACCTTGGTTGTAAGACCCTGAAGCGTTACTCTTATGCTATTTTCAACGCTAGTGATAGATGCTAGTGGAAAAATGGAACCTCAGATTAGTTTTATTTTTTTAGTTAACATATACACAGAATAGTAGAAAATATTGGGGTTTGTTTTCTAGACTCACCCAAATTTGAGCCGACAGTTTCTCCGTTCAGAAACCGAGGATACGACTCATAGCCTGGTGAAGAGAACAAACGTGTTCCTTGGAAAATTTTTAATATTAGCAAGTTTTTTAGTTTTCACCAACCATATGTTGGTTGAATATAAGATGTAGCATGTGCGAATCCGAGCTTAGGCCTTCCATAGTAGGGAACGGCATTGAATTCCAGCAACGTCGGCTCTGCAACTCTTCTTTTCTACTCTCCTCTCGAGATAAAATTACCGTTGTAAATTGAAGGTCCGTAGGGCGATCGACCATAAAGATCAGCTTCAAATGGAGATCATTATTGACCCAAAAAAAAACCAACCTCCTGTGACACGTATAATGGCGCAAGTCAGGAATATCAGTGTCGTCATTTTTTTGTTTTAGTCTAGATTATGGAAAGGGAGTTACGCGACTTGATGAGATATAGGTCACCTGTTAATTCAATATAACCGGATTCTTTCAGCAGGGTGTCTCTGAATCGGCCGACAATAACTGTTTGCAATCAATAGATATTTTCATGTTACAAAACTTCATCAAGGGAATCGGGTCCCAACTTTTACACGGGTCTCTTTGCAGTCAGAAACGGTGGAACGGATTATCCCTCAGGCGCCTACTTGTTCTTGCCGGACGGAAAAGCGAGACGACTTGCAACTGAGGATAATTCGTTCATCATAGTAAGATAAACTTTTCAAACTTGACCCTTTTGCTTTGTAATCGTAGGTAATCGAAGGGCCAGTCGTAAAACAAGTTGTTGTGGCAGGCAACAAAGATCTGAAGATTCAACAGACATGGTCTTTGCAAGCTTTACAGAATTTCCTTGACGTCGACACGGAGGTCGACTTGCGGTGATACACAACTAACCCTCTCAAAAGAACCATAGGGTTTTCTGTTTCAGCTCCAAACGAAACTTTGAACTGGCGTTGAGGTTCAATACAACCGTCAAAAGCGGTCAAGATTTTTTCACGGACCTCAACGGATTACAGGTTAAAAACCTTTTTTCCGTGCCTCGCAGCGGCACCCAAATCAAGAAGCTCTTCGAAAATAAGATGGAGTTTAGATGATTCGGCGGAAAAGACAGCAAAAACTGCCGCTGCAAGCCAATTATTATCCGATGCCAAGCAGTGCCTTCCTCGAGGATGCCGACGTGAGGTTCAGCTTGTTTGGATCACAAGCCTTGGGGGTATCGAGTTTGGAATCGGGTTCGTCATGCACCCGCATTGTTATTGTTCTTTTTTTTTCCAATTTTCATATTCCAGGACAACTCGAGGTTCTTCTGGACCGTAGATTATCAAGTGACGATGGTCGCGGCTTGTTTCAGGTAAGCAAAAAAATGCTTCCCAGGTAAATGTGGGTTCATTCTCACCAAAAAAAAAATGAGCAATTACCATGCAGCAATCAAAATCAATAGTAAGCTTTCAGGGCGTTCTCGACAACAAACGGACAGTTTCCCATTTCCGGATTCTTGTTGAACCCATGAAAAATGGAGGCTACGCTCAGGATGTTCATTTTGCAATTTTGTATCAGTTTATCAGACGAACGCGTTTGCAGGAACGAGTCGGCTTCCATTCGCATGTCGGCAACTTCGTCTCGTCATCTCTTTTGTACCCCGTGGTTGCGATGGCGGCTACCGATGGTTGCGTCTCATTCACGCAATCTCAGTCTTGAATCTCAATCATTTTAGCGCCTTCGAAAATGCTGCAGTCCACGTTGGTCGAGGATAGCCTTCACTGCGACTTTCATCTAGTCACTTTAAGGTGCTTTTAAAAAATGTCTTTTTTTCTTGAATAAACTGACGGGTCGGCCCTCGCATAAGCTGCCTTTTTTGGCTTGAGTGAGAATAGTCGCTCCACTTCTATAACGTTCCAATCGAAAAGTTTCATTAATGAGAAAGTCCGTCCGATATTTAGATCACCCCAATATTCGAAAAATGTCTTGTTTCAGAACTCTGTCAGACTCGACGAGCTACGCGTCACCCGAGCCCTCGACAAAGTCACGTCGTCAGGCAGCTATGGTGGTTCATCGCGTGATTCCCGACTGTCGATCCAAGCTTAAACTTGCCGACACAGAGTGCATGGCGAAGCCCTTCAAAGTATTAAACTTTTGTCTTGGAAAATTTTTTAAGTCTTCTCAACTTTAAGTTTTTTTAGCGATCAAAAAAAAATGAAGAAAGAAGATGTAGATGAAATTATTTTTTCCCAATATTTCAATTGCAATTTTCATCGCTGTTTTTTTTTTGCTAGCAATACTCAGCACACCCCCCACTCAAAAATTATTACCTGAAAAAAATTTTTCAAATTTCGTTTTGCAGATTGTTCCATCGCAACTCATCTCGCTGCTGAAAAAAACTATCGACACGTCCCTAACTCTGTTGTACGAAAAAGAGGAAATTGAGAGCTTTGAGCTCAATCCGCAAGACGTGAAAACAGTGAAACTGGTGTGGTAGCTTCACAGATTCGATTTTTCTTCAATTACGTGTTGTTAATCATCTCTCTTGACGAATTTGTGCGATTTAGCCACTCAAAATACGAACTTTTGATTTAAAAAAGTAGACTTCTCATCAGTATTTATCATTTATCATTTATCAAATTCCCCGAAATTCTTGCTGTTTACTTTTTTTCAAAATCTCATTCATCGTGTAGATGAATGCTTTTGTTGTATCAATTTTCGCAAGCCATTCCTTATTCGGTGGGTTTTGTGCGGGCGACGTTGCTATGGCGACGTCGGGTTGTTTCATCGTTTTGCGTGTCTTTCCATTCACCTTTGACGCGTCATGGCTCCTTTTTCAGAAAGTCATGGGATTAAAAAAAATGTGGGTTTTATTCTTGATTCATAAAATTTTCATTTTTTCCATTGTTCACTTCGTGGAGTTGACTCACCGTTGAAGTTTGAAGAAAAAAAATTTTTTTGAATGAGTTAAATTCTTTGTTGTCGAAAGCTGCTTCGAAAAAAATATTGAAATTTATATTCGAAAATATACAGGCGAATCGAGAGGATACCATAATGTGCCCCAACTTGATACCTCCAGCATACCTTTTAGATGTATCTAAGCCACCTCGGAAGTATTTGAGAGTCTCTCTCAAGTCCATCTCATTTTCCTTAACAAATAACACTCAAAGGTATACGCGAGGTACCATCGTCAGACTTCAAAGCCTGCGATATACCTCATAGAGTCTCGCAAGACCCTTTCTCGATTCGCATATGTAATAAATTCAGCTGTTGCGTAGGTTGGTTATCGCTATCGTACAGATAGAGAAAGAGAAATTCATCAAGTCACGCTTCGTTTTTCAAAGTTTAGTAATTATAAACGACTTTTTTTTTAGCAAAAATCACGCTCTGGTCGCAAAATTTTAATCGATCAGTCCAAGCAGCAGCAGCTAAGTTTGATATCCGGGTTTCGTGGTATCGCTAGACATCTCAAGAGTCAATGGACCGTTGAACTGTGAGTTGGAAAACAAGTCTTTCTGCTGGACCTCTCAAACCGTTCGATCTAATGGCCGAAAAAAAATATGTTTTGTCTGTAAACGTCCAAAAGAGAATGAATTCAGGAACACGGAAAAGTTCATACCAAGCACTTTTGACGATGTACGTGCAGTCGTCATTGCAGCGCCGAAGTTGCCATACTCCTCAAGCGAGGTTATCTCCTTTTTGCGGCTTTTAGCAGCGGGAACTGCAGATTGACGCGCTTCACAGCTTCATGCAAGAGGGTGGAGGTCTTCTGGTGCTTCTCGGCGAGGGACAGCAAGTGGCGCTCAACGTCAATGGGCTCTTGTCAAAATATGGAATCTCTGCAAATGCTGGTATATTTTTTTTTTGGACTGATGAAAAGTGAAAGGCTTGAAAATTGCAGACTGTGTCATTCGAACCATATATTACTACAAGTACTTTGACCCGAAAGAAGCGCTCGTTTCCAACGGCGTCGTCAACCGCGCAGTCGCGGCAGCTGCCAAGAAACCCATCTCTTCAGAACAACGCGAAAACGCCCAGTATCTCGAGCGGATCATCTACTAATAAGTTTGCGCAGGTCCCTAGTCTTCGTCTATCCGTTTGGGTGCACCTTGAACGTCGAACGCAAGGCGACGGTTGCCTTGTCCAGCGGGAGCGCCTGCTTCCCAGTGGCCAGACCCATCGCCGTTCTCCATCAGGTCGACAGCTCCCAGGATCAGGTTCATCTTTGCGTCAGTTCCCTTCTTCATCTTTTTTCAGACGATGGCTTCTGGGCGGATCGCCGTCGTCGGCTCGCTTCTCATGTTTCATGACAACTACATAGACAAAGAGGAAAATGGCAAAATTTTTGTTGGTTTTTCAAAACTTTTGTAAAAAAAAATCTTTGCTAAACTATACTCTCGTACCTTTTTATTGACGACCCACACCCAATTTTGTGGACTATATCGCAGCGAGAGTAACGCTATACCACGGGGGAGCCGCGAGCGATATCGCTCGCCTCTCGCTTCGACCTCGCAAACGTCTTGCGCTATATCGCTCTCTGAAAAATTTTTTGAAGGAATTTTCTTCTTGTTCCCTTCAAAATCAATCAAATTCAAGAAGAATTTTTCTTCAAAAATTTTTTTTTTTTTGAATTTGAGTGATTTCATCATAAAAGTCAAAAATAAAGCAAAAAAAAATGTTTTTCAAATTTCAAATTTTTAAGAGGGAGCGATATGGCAGCGAGACTTTGACGAGGTCGCAGCGACATGTTGACGAGATCACAGCGAGAAGCCTTGGCTATATCGCGTGCGGCCCGCTGCGATATCGGCAATTATGTTGGGTGCACGTCTTGGCTAACAAATAGAAGAACAAAAATTTTAAAAAACGGCAGGACGTTTTCATCGATTACATCACGAGCAGCGGCTTCGAGTTGAACACCATCGATGCGACCGAACCCGACATCAATCACTACATGCACATCCCTGACCTGCTGCACCTCTCCGAGCAGCTCAAGGTTTCAAAGGACTTTTTCGCTGGAAAACGTTCGGTTTGAGGTTTGCATGTTTGAAGGTGATATGAACGGCCTCGTATCAACCAACTTCATCAAGACTTTCGACGCCTCCTTGTCATCTTTCGATCTGAGCATGTGGCCGCGGGTTCTGAGGTTCCCTTTTGCATATTATAATTTCCACTTCTGAGGCTTTCTTAAGAACGCTAAAGGGGTCTTGGTGCCCCAGTTAGGAGCAAAATTTAGAGAGTCCCTATACGGGTTCAGGTTCTGTCCGTGACCACCTAAAGATGAAGTGTTCCCTGAAGGGTTTTTCAATTTTTGGTTCAGATTTGAGAGTTAAAAATAAAAACTCAATCCTTTCATTATATGTTGATATATTTCACTTGCAGTTTTTCGCATGGAAATGCTTCTTCTCATTGAGTTCCATCATGCTCCCATTGAGTGACGAATTCTGCAGTCTTAAGTATCTCTTATAGAAAGAAGTTAAGGTGGTCCCTAGAGGGTACTTTTGTAGAGTTCCTAAGTTTTCGTAAGCAATAAATCGAATCGAAGATGATAACACTTCAATGACCAAATAGTTATCGTAGAACTAATTGTTGAAAATGAAGCCGTCTTGACCCCGATTCAGATCATATCAAGAGTTGCGAGTTCCAGCTGAACAGCTCTCTTTGATTGTGCCTCAATTTGAAGTCCCTTTGCCACCGCTGGAACCAGCTGTGAGTGCACCAAGTTTTCGATGAGGCTAAGATATTATATTTGAGGTATTTCCGCCCAACTTTCAAGAACTACAGCCCCCGCAGCTCGAGCTTTTCGACTTGGATGAGCTGTTCAGCAGCCCAGAGAAACGTCTCTCTCAGCTTGCCAACAAGTGTACGTCATTATTAAAAAATTACGCTTTTGTACATAAAAAGTTCAAGGCGAGGAAAGCGACATCGAGTATTTCATTCGCGAGGCTGGGGAGATCACCGGCGTCAGCAATCAGCTGCCCAAGAGTCAGAAGCATGCCAAAGGCATTCTTGAGCACATCGTCGCCAAGTTGTATCTTTTCAAGAAGGCGGCACAAGTCGGCACCCAAACTTTTCATTTCTCAAACTTTTCTCCATTGAAGGAATCGGCGGAAATGACGGCAGCTGGACTGTACGATGTCCGTTTACTGCAAGACAAAGAAGAAGAAGAAGATCGCGATTCACATTTTAACCAGGAGATCGGAGAGCAAATGTTTTCAGATATTGAAGATTTCGACGATTTATAGTGTGTACACTTGATTTTTAAATAAATAATGAGAAAACTCCTTTTTTCTTTTTTCTAGATTCGAAAGTTGCCTACTCCGAAGTGGCGTTACAGAAAGGACGATCAAAAGCGCGCAAGGATTTTTGGGGAAACCACCTTCCTCATTGCGTGAGTTCTTCTTATTTGTCATCAAATGATTGTGCGCTGTAAACGAATGTTTGAAGCAAAAACTTTTTACATAGGCGCTTTTTAACCCGGAAATTAGTGTAAATGTAATAAATGAAGAAATTGAGCAACGTAACATCAAGTTCAAAAAAAAAAAACAATGGAAAGTGTCTTCACCGTCACCGATTGGGAAGGAAAAAACACAGAGAGCGAAGCCTACATGTCTAATGAATCTAATTAGTAGGTGGTGACAACACAGTCCCTTTCATTTAAACTTGCGCGAGTAAACCAAATATCCAAGTCCGGCAATCCCTGCAACTGCGGCCGCTGTGGAAACATTTCGAACCTGCAATTTCTTCACTACTTGAAAAAGGGAGGACCTCGGTGAAGATGATCTAACTTAGGAACTTCAGAGTGGTCTCTATAGGGGCAACCTTAGAAGCCCTTGGAGGGTCCCCTGAGTGACCACTGTAGGGACAACTTGAGCTTAATTTTGGTAAGGGGTCAGACTCTAAGCCCCTATATGGACCACTTTTTCGGCACAATTTGAGCTTAATTTGGTAAGGGTTCATACTCTAAACCCCTATAGGGACCACTTTTTCGGCCCCTGTAGGGCTTTTTGTTCCCCTAAGCCATATAAGGACCACTCTGGCATTCCTAAAAAAAACTAGATATTAATAGTTACTCACAAGCGTTTGATTCTCATCGAGCCAAGTAGAAAAGTCATCTTTGCGGGCAACGGGCGTTTGGATGGGCTTCGCCACGACGGCGTCTTTGGGCGACGCGTCGACTATAAAAGGCGCCGGAGACGCGGCCGCCGCCAAAGCCGGATGCTCCTCTGGTTGATCCGTCTGAATATCCCCTGATAACTCGTGTGATGTCGGGGCTTTTCAGCAGGGAAAAAAGAGGAAACTCCGAAGACAATATCTGACATTGACTTGGATAGCAGCAGCGAGGCCGGAAATTGCTGGATTCGACGTCACGACGTCGCTTTTCGCATCTTCACGATCGACCTGCAACACAAAAACTAAATTTATTGAAGGCTAGTGAAAAATGTTCATCATAAAAAATAGGAATGAAAAATAAAACGATCAGTCACTTTTTCGAAATCGCTCGGCTCCGAATCCAAACTGATTCGTGTGGCGAGTGGTACAAGTTTGGCATCCTGGCAATTCCACTTCATATTATTATTATCATAAAAGTTTTTTTCACGTCACCAAGTGTTCAAGTGTTTGGAGTTAGAGAAAAAAATCACAAGTGCTGCTAGAAAAAAAGAGCGATTTTTTTCAAATAGCTCATGTGCTTTCTAATTTAATTTTTTTTTTTCCTATCGCTGATGCATTTCAACCGCCTCCTATCGTTATAAATCACTGGATGAAGTTCAAAAATCAAAATGAAAAAAACGCGCTCGTGCCCTAACACTTGAATCAATGAAGATGTTTCGATAAAAACCAAACTAACATAAAATGTTTGACTATTAAAAGAAAATTATTGAGAAAATTTCGATGCTATTTTAAATTTCAAACACGTTTCCGGTCGAAATCTTTTCAATTCCGACAAAAAATAGAAACGATGAAATGTGAATCTTTTTTCAAAGATAACATTGAGGTAAAAGTGAAAGTGCATCTATGGACACGAAATTTTGACTAAAAGTAAAAGAAACCACTTTTTACTCTCAAGTCAAACCTCATTTGCATAAGCAGATTCGGTAATCAACTCCGGTGCGCTGTCCGCATTAGATTCCTGATAAAAGCTTCAATTTCTAATGACATGTTCATCGGATAAACACAACATGTTTCAAAACACAAAAGCGTGTTCATCGGCGCACGAAGTTTCAAAAAAGTACTAATTCTCTGAACTGAGGCCGTATGCAATAAAATGGGAAATGATTTTCCGCCATTTTTCTGAAACTCGAAAATTGCTAAAATTCGCCAGATATAATCGAAATTAATGATTTCTAGCAAGTTTTAGACCTTTTCTATTTTCAGGAAAACGGCGGAAAATCATTTTCCACTTTATTGCATACGGCCTCTGAAGCGACTCAAGGCGCCCCCGAATATTTCTCTTCCGTATGGTAATTCGTCGTTTTTTAGCAGTCAAAGAGTGAAGAAATAGCATGAGGAACAGTCGAACGCGTCTCAAGACGCTCCAGTTCAGAGCTTTTGTCTTGGAGCAAACCTCTTGCGTTTCGGAACAATTTTCGTTTTTTTTTTCCGATGAACACGCCATAAGAAAACTTCTCGCTAAAAAGCACCAACCAAATCCGTGTTGGCAAGGCTGACTGGAGGACTTGGTTCCTTGGTTTGAGCGTACGGCGAAAGATCTTCCGCAGGGGTCAATGGCTACAAATTTGCATCGTTGTCGCAAATAAAGTCATTTTCTTTGGAGAAACGAAACTGTGCACAAAAATGCTCTGAAATAGTCTTTTTTTCAAAATTTTCTGCTCCGCTTCAAGAAAAGTTTTTCTTCAATAATGATGATCATTGTGAAGCCGAATACCTAATTTAATTGTTCTTTTTTGTCTCCGAAATACTCCAATGAAATGAACCCCAATTTGTCGCATGCTGGTCAGATGCCTCAACGGGTATGCCCGTAATAAACCCGTGTTTTTGAGGCCATTTGAGTCTTAGTTGTGGTAAAAAAGGAGAAAAACGGATGTAAGAAAAAATAGGTGACACAGCTGTGCTAAAGCGGGGCCTCAGCTGGAGTAAAAATTGCCAAAAGTTCTACCACCTGTGAAAAAATGGTGGTATGAAAAAAACACCAGCGAAAATTCAAACGGCGACTTTTCCGATTTTTTCATTTCGCTAGGGAACTTTCCGACGGCCACCTTTCCGACGAAACTTTTTCCGACTTTTTTCCCTTATGCTTTTCGGTTTATAAAACATCTATGAACATTTTTTTTACCTATTTCTTTGTGTTTTTAATCATGTACAAACTACCTACTTTATATAGGAAGATGTAAAACGAAGAGTTTATCGAGAAAAAAAAGTCGGAAAAAGTTTCGTCGGAAAGGTGGCCGTCGGAAAGTTCCCTAGCGATATGAAAAAATCGGAAAAGTCGCCGTTTGAATTTTCGCCGGTGTTTTTTTCATACCACCGAAAAAATTCGAATTTACTTTAGAGTTTTCATCGGTTAACACGTGACCTTGTTGTAAAGGAATGTGGCCGCGCCGACAACCACCGAATGGCAGATAGGTGCGTGGTGCAGTCAGTATCGAATTAGTCTGCGGAGCCTATGACGAGGGTTCGAATCCTTTTTCCGCTAACTTTTGTTTGCCGATCTTTTTTTGAAGTTATGATGGAAATACGGAATTTCTAGAACCAAAATCGTACCAAAAAGATCCGGTAGCTATTTTTTCATGAATAAGTGCACTTTTTGTATATGAGAATTTTAGAAAAACCTCGAATCTGCAGAGGTCTTCACAGCATCAAGAGACTTTTCATGAAAAAAAAAACTGAGATAAATTAGAGAAAAACGCCAAAACCTCATATAAGACCTTGGCATGTCTTAATTGCGAAATTTTCCAGCTTGCACAAGTTTTCATTGAAAGTCCCCTCATTATGTGATGCCTTCTACAACGTCATGAGTTTTTTTCAGAATGAAATTAATACTAAAGTTCACTTTTATGTATACTTGAGAGCTATCGAACTTGGTTGAAACGTTTTTGGTCCTAAAAATTCTGTATTTCCTCATAACTTAAAAAAAACCGGCAAAAAAAAGTTAGCGGCAAAAGTTTACGAACCTTCGTCATGGGCTCCGCAGCCTACATCGCTACTGACTGCACCACGCACCTATCTGCCATTCGGTGGTTGTCGGCGCGGCCACATTCCTTCACAACAAGGTCACGTGTTAACCGATTAAAACTTTAAAAATTCATATTTCCAAAACGAAAAGTTTGCGCAGATAGCCACTATGTGGGATCGATTCCCGGTCCATCAAAGAGTGTTTCAGCAAATTTATAGAAAATTCCCGTAGGAACGGTAAAATGACTCCCCATGTGAGAGCGCGCGTTTCAAATTCCCAGCTTTACTTGTTAAAGAAAAAGGCTGCTGGAAGTGTGTGTAAAAAGTGCTTTAGATCATTTTTCAGAAAAAATAACTCTAAATTTCAAAGTGGTGATAAAATACAAAGCATTTTGCGAAAATTGATTACCGATTTCTGACGACAAACAATGAAAAATGTAGACGAACCCTCGGTTCTTCCTCAATTTTCTCGGCGACTTCGTCAGGGCCTTCCACTCGAACTTCTAAACAAAAAATTAAAAAATTATATTGAACGAAAAAATTAAATATTACCACGAAGGTCGGCTACCTGCCGAGTTTCTGACATTTTTGAGTCGCCCAACTGCAAAAATGATTGAAAATCACCATTGAAAAAGGAAAAAAATACGATTGATGATCTTTATCCTATGAATCTTTTTCCCAGTGCTAAACCTTCTCCCAATCACGTGATATGATGCTATCACTTCGAGCATCCGTAGGAAAAAATAACTCGAGTCTCCTCTTGTTTACGTTTGAAAAATACGAATTAAAAGTAGTAATTTGATTTGTCAGCCAAAAAGAAGATTAACCGATAGTTTACGTAAATTCCTATCTGCACAGTTTCTCGGATTACCGAAGAGTCAAAATGATGGCGTTTTCGAAGTAATGTATGCGAAATGCAAAATTATTGACTCTTAAAGCTTTGATTCCATTTTTTGACGGCTATTGTGAACTTAGCGGAATCAATTGAACATGCAATGAGCTATTTCAAATAAAAGAAGAACAAAAACGAGAAGACTGGGGATAAAACTCAAAGTTGTGCGGCGCAGAGCGCGAAAAACAAGAGTGATTGCACACAATACACACAAACACTCATTGGCCAGCGGCACCTCGGCTGTTCAGCCCTGTTGAGAGTTGTCTGGCGCGAGGCTATCGTCCGGTTCACACTGCGTCGTGTCTTTTGAACACATCAAATTTTTTCATATTTTTGTGCAACGCCTCCGTGAGTATGCATTTGCCATTAATAGCGAAATAAAAAGAATATAAGTTAAAAATTGAAAATTTCCTCATTGCTTCATCAGTAGAGCGCATTTCGCCAGAAAACCGTATGGTGGCCAAACGCTTCGAACAGGTGTGGCAAGCATTTTTATGCTGTGTTCAAAGTGATTCCGCGAATGCAAAAGGCCCGTCAGAGAAAGAAAAATACAACTAAGTTTTGGAGAGTCAGAGGCCATTTTGCATTTCGCGGAAATCACTTTGAACACGGCGTTAGGACAGTGCAAGTGGCCGGTTAATAAGCCCAATCCGAGCCAGCTTTTCACGTTTTTTTTTTCTGCCAAAAAGGTCATATACCAAATGGAATCAAATTTGACTACACTTCGCTTCAAAACCTATTTTTCCGTCTTTTCTACAGAACATAAACGCGTCCCCCAGAAGAAATTTCTTGGAAAATTGTTTCAAATGGTACTCTCCCCATATAAAAATCGTATATATGCTTATTTCCTAGAGAAGCAAAATGAAACAGAAATCTTACTGGAACAGGAGACGAACTTTCCTCTGAGAAAATCACATCTATTTTCTGACAGTCGGCAAATTGATGGATTTGATCATCTTCCTCTATCAGCACCTGGAAATTACAACTATAAACGGACAGAATTTTAAAAAATCTGATGGCGTTTTTTAGATGTTATCCACACTGCTATTAAACACGTCGAAATCTACCTTGAACGGATCCCTTAGTTTTTCAACACTACAACTTCTGGTCTCCCTTTGAGGTTGATAGAAGCTCGCAAGGAAGGTCATTTTACTTTGCGGTTGTAAATTTCCTGACAATTGGCCAGAGCACTTTTTAATGCACCAAGAAAAGTTTCTGAAAGTCTTAACATGCACAAATTCATCGTTTTCGAGTAATCAAGGCACAAACATAGCCTATTATGGGGGATTCTAAGGGTTTTATTCGACTCAAAAACTGGGAAGCTGTGCCGGTTGAGACTCTCAGGAACTTCATCTGTACATCAAGAAGTTTTATGTCTATTTTTCTGGAATTTCTTTTAAAAAAAGTGAAATGACCTTCATTTTCGGTTCAAATTCACTACCGAACACTAGAAGGTCGCTTTAGCCAACAAGGGCATAACCCAGTCAGAGACGTATTTTGTTATAAGTTGGGAGCCAGTTTGAATTCGTGATTTGTAAAAGTCGAGAATCGAGTTAGAAACGATATGATTCGAGTGTAAGGAAACATTTTAAGCATACCCTTCTCAATCTTCGGTTCACTGACTAGGAGCCTATAAAGAAGGTTCGAGACGGGAAAAACTCGGGCAAAGCTTTGGAGTCGCTTTTGACGGTTAGGAGAAGACTCGCCCTGTCTGGAAGGGTGAAAACGGCGTCGACGCGTCGTCCCTTGCACGCCCGCTCTATGGTGAGTCTGAGGCGCTCAACGGTCGATCCGCCAGCGAGTGTGATTCGCTTGTAAGTCTCCTTGCCTTGGTCCACGCTACAAACAACCGCCTTCAAAAGCTCTTCCAAAACGGATTATTAATTGTACATCTTTAATTGACCTCAAGACTGAAAAGCAGACTATTTTGAAGGTCGATAACCATTCCTTCCAAATTTCTTGAACCTGAGGTTCAAACTTTTTTTGAAATTGTTTCAAGCTATCTCCCTGAGGTTAATAATCTTTTTTTGTTTTTATTCACATAAAGATTCGTAGGTCAACCCCTCCTTCTGGATTGAGTTCTGTAATTTCGGGCAAAGTCGGATTAATGATTGCTAAAAGAGGGAGACTCAAAAATAGCCGCAAAAAGGTGCATTTGTCGCCCTTAAAGAATTATTTCTATGAAGCCTTTATCGACCCCGACTTTCCCTATGGGCCATGTATGCTCAAAATTCTTTCAAATCATTCTTTAAATCTTTCCAACCAGCACCGTCTACATTTTTCCATGTCAACTAAAATGTACCTTGTGCGGAGAAGGAGAAAACGTGTTTTAGTCAGCGAATCACGGCGTCCGTATGAGTAAACCGTAGATCCAGTTGGAGATCCTCAAGTTCTTATTTGGTATAAAATGATAAAGACAACGAATGTCCTTAACTAGAAGTTTCCGAAATTTCCGACAATTGATTGGCTCGAATATCCAGAAGGTCCTAACTAGGGAAGGTTTTTTACCCACCGGTTCAACTTCTAATGAAACCTTGCTGAAGTGCACTTTAGGACCCGCAGATGCCAAAACAAGAAAAAAAAATGTATGAATCTGGTTTTCGAGTTGAGAAGCTTCACAAGTCCAAAATAGTGCTGTGCTTTTTTGCCATAATTTGCGTATTTTACGAACTTTGAAGCTTCATAACTCGAAAACGAGATATATTGCGTGAAATTTTTTTCCCTTGTTCTGCAATCATGAGGTCCTGAAGTACATTTCCGCAAAGTTTCATCAAACGTTCAACCGGAGGTAAAAAACGTTCCATAGTAAGCTTTGAGAAAGAGGCCTCACAGGCTCGTTTCTTCTTTTCTCGGTCTTTTTTTTGGAGAAAAAAAAAACAAGAAGGCGAAAAAGGTGATAAAAGGGAGATTCAGAGAAGCTTTTGACACCTTTGTAGTAACTCAAAAAGAAGCTCTAGATTCTTTTTAAGGCCGTTTGAGGCTGTTTGGACTTTTCTCATGTATCTGCCAAACAAAGATTCTCAGAACCCCGACCAGCAAAAACTTATTTTTTCGAGAACACCAAAAAGTTCCAGTTTATATAACACACGGAACCCAGGCTAGGGGTCCTTGTGACGTCTGAACCTCCCAGTGGAATAGCCTCACTTGTGTTTTTTGAACAAAATAAAACAAAAGGGAACCTGGGGGTGGGCCACAATTGTCGAAGGATGTTTTGATGTATGGAAAAGGCGGATGACGGATGTAGTTGGGGACGAAATCGTTAGGTGATGAGGGCTCCGATTTGTAACACTCTCCTGAGAAGTCATATTCGTCAAAGATCATCTCAATTCTCCTCAAACAAAAAAAAAATGAATTCTCTAGAGCCGATTCCGAGCCTGTTTGAGAACGCTATCAACAAACCAGGCACTGTATCTATTTTTTCGTGTCAGGACTCATTTTTCGACTGCTCAAGCCAGCCGTATGAATCACCACTGAGAAAAACCATTTCAAAGCAACCTGCTGCAATCCTATATCTCGATTGATCGAAACCGAATTTCTACACCGTTCTGGGGATTCCCTAAAATTTCTCCATCAAACCTTTCACCATATTTTCTGTCGAGGAAGATGATGATCTCTTGTTTATCGGTCTCAAAATCTCCCGCAAAGTCCCGTTAGTTGTTGGGCAAAGCTGCAAGTGACAAGCTGTTTGGTGGAGGAAAAACATTGAACCTAAAACCTTACAAACTCGTCTAAACATCTTCTTTTCGTACAGATACCTTTGGAATCCTCTTCAATGTCTCATGACGGCATTCAACTATGAAAAATAAAATTGAGCGAAAGAACCTATTTTATGGCTCCATGGGTATATCGAAACGGGCCCCGAAGATTCAGAACATGAACGAATATCAAATTTTGCGAGATTTGGTCTTGAGAGAAATACGAAAAACATCAATTTTTATGATACTCCGCATCATTCAATTTTCGAAACCGTGATACCGCCTTTCCCTAATTCATTTTACGTTTCCAACAAAAAAAGTTGATTTTCTTCCAACTAACAACTCAGAACAAATGTCTCACATCGAATGGAGTTTTGCCGGCGCTGTCAATGTCGTCCCGGCTAAAACCAAAGTCTAGAAGAATCAGACAAATCGTTTCGTGGCCTCGGACGGCAGACCAGTGCAACGCCGTCCTGAAGGGAAAGGAGTGAGAACCTTGAAAAGGAACAATGAAACAAAATTTTAAAAAAGTTGACGTAAGTCCACGTTGATCAATGTGCTCTACTCAACCGTCTAGTTTGCTGGAGCAAACTTGGAAGTCTTGCAGGCACATTATTAGAAGAGGAAGTGGTCCACGAAATTTCCGAAAGCTTGTAAACAGAAAAAAAGTGTTCGAAAAGTGACACCAGGGAGTGGCGACTCGCGGAAAAGAAAAGCAAGCGGTCAATTGGCGAGCGAGTTCGAGTGCACACCGCAGCTGTCGTCTTACAATATCGTCAGTCCAAGTTTCAGGCGATTTTCAGGATATTTCACATGGAGAGCAATCGAAAAATGCTAGAGAATTAAACAGCCGCCGGAGGCTCTGAGAATCTTCGCTTCTTGGATATTAATGTCTCAAAAATTCAGTGGTACGAACCAGCAAAATTTCGGACGGCGTCCCTTCCGACTAATTCTTTTGAAAACACAAAGAAAAATGAAAACATTTTTATAAATCTTCTAAAAAACGAAAAACATAGGAAAAAACAGGAAAGGGATTAGTCGGAAACGTCGCCGTCAGGAAGTTCCGAAGCGATATGAAAAAATCGGAAAAGTCGCTGTCCGCTAATTCGCTGATCTTTTTTTTTCAAACCACCAAATTTCTCAGTATTTCCCTACGGGGGGGGGGGCCTAAAGTCAGTGAAAACTTTTTGTTGGGGTGTTTGAAAGCGCGAAATCGCGCAGGGAAGAAATTCCGTCCTAACTAGGGTATGGTCTCCCCTGAACATCGAGTTGAGAATTGAGACTGTGTGGGTTTGATAGACCTGGGTAAGAGTTCTCGGAATCAAAAATAAAATTCTGCTAAACCCCTCAGGCAACCGAGGAAAAGCTCGTCGAAATTTTCCCAGCGCGTATATGGCCGCGCTCGGAGCCCTCAGCTAGCAACTGTCGGCGTGTTGTAGTGGTAGTGGTCTCCCGAAGCTTGTCAATATTGTGACCAGGGTTCGAATCCTTTTGGCGGATATCATTTTTGCCGACTTATATCTTCATCATTTTCATATTTTCAAGAAATTTTTCAAATAATTACACTAAGAATTTATGAGAATGACAACAAAAAAATATAATGATTGCTAAAACTCTTTTTTTAAATATTTTTTTATGTACAATTACTGATAGAAACAATCTAATCTATAAAAAAATTCGAAATTCATAATTCAGGAGGTAAATTTTTTTCTGCAAATTTAAAAAGTATGACAGAATTTTTTTCGTTCAGGTGGTTGTCATTAGCCTTGTACACTCAAAAAAAAATTTTTTTAAGAATGAGTTTTTTTGCAATCATTATATTTTTGTTGTCATTCTCATAAATTCTTAGTGTAATTATTTGAAAAATTTCTTGAAAATATGAAAATGATGAAGTTATAAGTCGGCAAAAATGATATCCGCCAAAAGGATTCGAACCCTGGTCACAATATTGGCAAGCTTCGGGAGACCACTACCACTACACCACGCCGACAGTTGCTAGCCGAAGGCTCCGAGCGCGGCCATATACGCGCTTGGAAAATGTTGACGAGCTTTTCCTCAGTTGCCTGAGGGGTTTAGCAGAATTTTATTTTTGATTCTGAGAACTCTTACCCAGGCCCATCAAACCTACATAGTCTCAATTCTCAACTCGATGTTCAGGGGAGACCATACTCTAGTAAGGCCTTTCTAATGCCCCGTTAAACATGCCGGCATGAATTTTCGATCAGACTAGATTTTTGCAGATTACTGTGTGAAAAGAGTCTTCTATTTGCCTTAACTACAACTTTTGCTAGGCTTAAATTCAATTTCTGATGTGTAGTGAGAATAATAAAAATGTAACATGGTATTCAAATTCCATTCACTGAATAAACTTTTCTCAATGTCTTCTTCAACGTTTCAACGCGAATTTTAAGATTCTTCTTTGGAGCCAAGCCAAGTTTCGTAACAGTTCCGTCAGAAAAGGAAACTAACTCGCTTTTCTTCATGTTGAAAAGGTCCAGGCCGTGAAACTCCCATTTTTCGGTCATACCTGGAGTTGAGGTGATGTTTGAAAGTGATCTCGACGGCTCCACTGTTTAGGGCGTTCAAGACGGCCCGCTCATCGCCCACCGAGCAGGCGTGCAAAAACTCCAACTGCTTGGATCGCATTTCGTTTCGATGCCGGTTCGTGTAATCAACCCTCATCACGTACCGGTTAACCTCAACATAGACTCAAATATAGAACCCAAAAACCATCTTGATAGTGGAAATGAGCATCGTGGCAGACTTGTGACCACGGTTACCCCAGGAAAAACCTTTTTTTTTGCTATACATTTTTTTACGCATCCATACATTAGTCCGTTCAGGGATGCTTTTGATGTGAAAAATTCCTTCACAATCTGTTCGTGATGAGGTTTTTGAAACTTGATTGCAAGTTCAAGCTGCTGATAAAGCCCATTCCGCCAGCTTGTCACGCTTTTTATTTTCTTCCGAGCGATAGCTGCTTCACGGCTAGTTGATGGTAGGAAGGAATTTTGAGTCCACTAATATTTGTTAGCGTTAATTGTGCATACACCAATCTTGGATGCTCAAATCTTTGAAAATTTGAATCTTTGAAAACGATTCTTGGGAATATTCGCTTCTTTTCTGATTTTTTATAGTTCTTCCAATTTTTTTTGAAAACGGAAATTGATGGAGAATGTATACAGAGTGAATGAAAATTTGGTAGCCGTTCAGCAGTGAATCTTCGACGAAGTGTATGCGAGAAAGACGCATTATTTGATAAAAAGTTAGTTGAAAACAATCTCAGTGTTCATTTGAGGTCAAAACACGACATCCTCACTAAAGAACGACAAAGGACAAAAAATGAAGGAAAGAAAAGATGGAAATTCAAAAAAGAGGTGAATATTCCCAAGAACCGTTTGTAAAGATTCAAATTTTCAAAGATTTGAGCATCCAAGATTGGTGTATGCACAATTATAGTCTGTTCAGATTTTAAATATCAAGTAGAATGACGTCATTCGAAAATGCTCTGTGGATGGCTCGTCCTCTGATTGGTTTATCGCACAATTATGGGCGGAGCTTGAGCGACGACTTGACATTCAAAATCTGAACAGACTATAACGCTCCCGAATATTCGGGGAACCAAAATTCCTTCCTACCATCGGCTAGTTTGGGACGCAAAAAGGCGCGCCCTGTCTGGGATCTCCAGTAACCGGCCATGTCTCTTTTCTCCACGTGTCAGGACTAATGTTTCAATGGCTCAAGCCAGCCGTGAATCAGCTATACAGAACCCTTCGCTTTGATGCGCGCGGGCTATAGCCTGTTCAGACTTTGAATGTCAAGTCTTAGCTCAAGCTCCGCCCCTAGTTGTGCGATAAACCAATCAGAAAGCGAGCCATCCACGGAGTTTTTTTGAATGACGTCATTGCACTTGACATTGAAAATCTGAACAGACTATACCTTTGTGCATGCTCCTTTCATCTGGTCAAAAAATTCCATTATATTAAAGGCGCATCGAAGGGTTCTATAGTTCGGAGGAAAAATGGTGTTTCGATTAACACTAGCTGTAAGCTTCGTGACCACTTTTCTTATCACATAAGGTCACATTTCAACTTTACAATGAGGTAAGGATGTGCGTCGCAACTTTAGTTTTATCCAATCACAAAATTTCTTTTCAAGCGTGATAACCGTTTTATTCGAGTAAGGCAAATAAGTATTACATGGAGGGAGAAAAAGCTCAAATTAGCATAATCTGGACTCAGTGACATTCAAAATTTTGTGAAATTGACGTCGGGCATCATCAATCCAAAAAAAAAAGAACGTCATTAGTCGCAAAGTAATATTTATGAAAGAAAAACAAAAAAAAAGTTCAAGCCATTAGGAATAAAAGAGGAAAAAACAAAAAGAAAACAAAGAAAGGAGTATTTCCATATGAATAAATTCTTAACTTTCAAATAACTACAAAAGACGGTGGAATGTTTCATTAAAAGGAACGTTGCAACACCGGCGTTCTGTTGTGAGCAGCATCCAAACTTATTTCGAAGTTTTCGAGCCACGTTTAAACAGTGAGAAACCCTTTTTTTCTGCAATAAAGAAATAATAACTATCATGAAACTCTAACGTTTTCAAATAGTAGAATGAAGGTAAACAAAAATAGTCACGGGTCTAAAGCCATCAAAACAACCATTTTGATTCATTTTTGGTTCGTGTTTTCTTATGCAATACCGTCGATTTCGTTAATTAGTACTTCAAAAACTGGAAAAACACTAATTTAACCAACCCAGCCTGAACCCAAATGGCGCAGAACAAGTCTGCGCCTAAACAGCTTTTGAATAGAACTAGGTTCAATTATAATTTCATGGATACCATTAATACTTCGACTTACTCGAGCTTTTAACAGAGTCGGTATCTTCATTTTGAAGACCACTTATCGGTGAGGAAAAGCTGCCCGAAGACGGACGCTGCTCGTAGGGCTGGTTGCTCTCGACCCAGGAGATGAACTCTGAAGTTTCCGTTGGGCGTTGAGGCGTCGAGAACTCCGAAGATAGCGGCTGATACGACGAGGTCGCGTGCTCAGAATAGATTAACGTCTCCTGCAAAATCAAAAATCGAAGAGGGGAGTGGGAAAGGAAAAACCGTGAATGGTCCAGCTGCCGATGGGATATCTTTGTGAAGCGAAGACGTGCGTGCACCGTAGGTATCTCCTGAAAATTTATATTTTGCAAATGAGGAGCTGCGCCGTTCAAAAATAAACCTTTTAAAGCACAGTGGGTCTTTCGAGCAAAAAAAAAAAATTCTTCTACGTCCGAACCTTGGAGGCTCGAACCCCGAAAGTAAGAGACACTGGTTAAAAAAAACCTCGTTCTTTTATTTTAAAAGCTCTCTTAATTTCTTAGATTCGAACGTAGAAATCCTAAAGTTGAACATATGAGGCTCTTCAAAAGTGTAAACGGATACAAAAATAAACTTCGTGAGCGTCAAAACAGAAATTTGCTCTCACAAGTCCCACTCTGCCTTCAGAAATTTTTAATTGTTAGGAAAAATTATTTCGTTATAATTTTGAAAGTACAAATTATGACAAGTACACTTTCATGCTTCTTTGACAATGATATTTCTTGAATGTGAGGTTTCAATTATCCTAACACATTGGGTGAGAAAAATTCCAGGCACAAATCGAAATTGGATGAGAGAGAAAATTGGAAACAAGTGGGTGAACTTCTGTCGAAACATTAAAATACAATGAGGGTGCGCTTTTATTGGGGCTTCCTTTCTCATGGAAAGAAAAAAAAATACATCAAAGTGCCGTTACTAAATTATCGTCGAAGAAATCGGCCTTTACGAAATGCAAAAAATAGAAGATTCTAAAAATAAGAATTTTCGAGTGTGATTGTAATCCCATGGAATGATAGTAGTTTTCCCGTGCATATATTAAAAAATTACTTCAGTCGCCTTCCTATCAAACATGTCCGTCCAGTTGAATTAGCGTTCCTATTGAGCTTTCTAGTGACCTCACATGGAACAGCTGGTTTCCGGAATGCTCGAATTTCGTCTATCTACCATTACAAAAAAAAGACGTAACGCTCTACGAGCCATTCTTGATCAAAGAAAGTTTCACGAACCGAAAAACTATTCTTCATTATTCCACTGTTCAGCGGAGAATCTTCTATGAAGACTAAATAAACGTGGACATGTGAGTTGTCTCTTAAACGTTTTCCGCGCCTCTTTAATGTTTTCTCGAAATAAGAAGCGTTCAGTTCGCGTTAAAAGTGTCTGAGAAATTATAAAAATTGAATTGAAATTCGAATCACTTCAATTTTACCGTTAGTTTAGTACAAGTAAGTGTTATTGAAATAAAAGTCAAGATTAGTAAATGGAAAACGAGAAGAGATGTGGACGTTAGTCATCGGATTGTGTCGACTGTGCAGCTAACCCTCGATTTCGATACTCTGCTCGGCGCCAATCTCTCCATAAACGCTTTCCGAATAGACCGACTGGCGACGGCTCGCTCGACGGACAACGCCGACTTTTCGCAAAGTACCGCCGACCGTCGGGAGAAGCCCTTGAGAGCCGACCATGTTGGTCGCACTCGCCGAGAAGCCGTTTTCGGACACGGAAAGACAGGCCGCCGATTGATGGACTTCGACCCCGAAAGGCTTAGTGGCATGCCCTCGTGGAAGAGTAGCACAGTTGCGCTCTACCGAATATCCACGAGGAAAAGAGTTACAACCATCTAAAGACAAAAGGAAATGGGTTGAACCAAAAAAATCGGTCTATTTTTTTTTTTATTGAAGTTCAACTTTACTCTGATTTCGAAATTTTTAAAATTCGGAAACGACTAGTAATAGGCAAAAAAGGTAGTCAATAAGTCATTTTTTTAAGCTTGAAAGAAATCCACAAATCCTCCTTTACTACAAAAAGAGCAAAAAAACCTTTCTGAAAGGTAAAAAACAAAAAAAAAAGCGATGCATATTCAAAAATTTCTAGTTGGGCCAACTAACCGTTTTCGTCACTTTTCGAAATGTCCTTCCCGATAGAACTATCTGATGATAACTGTTTTTATCCCATATAAATACTATTGATGAAATCCCTCCTTGAACTCTTGACATCTCTTTTGGCAAGCAAATCGTTTTCCATTTAGGTTTACCACAAACTCAATCGAGCACCATGCAAACTCACGACTATAGTCGATTTCATTGACGTCCGACGAGCTTTGCGACATTCTACTCGGTGGGGTCGAGGTGATGCTGACGAGGGAGCGGCGTGGGGCGATCGGTGGCGTTTGCAGGCCTTCTGTCGCTGCTAAAAACAGAAAAAAAGCCATGCGAAAATCAAAAAACCCGTATCCTCAATAAGAAAAAAAGCGAGAGTAAAAACAAAAGGTTCACATGCCATTCTCGATGAAAAAAACTGCACATTATGATTACTGACCGCAAGGGAAGAATGGCTTTGCGTTTAATCAAGATTCTCAAGATACACACGACCGCTACTATATTCCTTTATCAGCCGGTGTTCCAAGGAGTGAGGAACAAAGATTATTTGATTTTTCTGATGGACTCGATTGATTCTATTGAAATACTCTACCTATAAAATATTTTTTGTAAGATTTTTCTGCACAATATTAGTAATGCCTCGACTTAAATTTTCACTCTGAAATTGATCTTCCCGGCCGAATTGTAACGTTATTGTGGGAAAGAGGGAACCTCACCATTGAAAGAGTACGACTTGAGCTGATTACTAGGAGCCAAAGCGGCATGGAACTGAATTTTCGCCACCCATTCCAGCATTTGACGTTCGTCGGGACAGGCAAAGATAAACTCTGAGGCGTCCTGGGCGAGGATTCTGAAAAAATCAACCAAACATAGATCAACAAAGCCTTTAGGAAAAACCTGAACGCGTGCTTACGCTTCACGTATTCCGGGTACTGCTCGCAGTGGGCGCCGTAGATGTTTACAGGAGGTGCGGCGGCCACATTTTCGTAGAACTGCGATTCGTCTTTGAAGAAACACAGCAACTGGCCGCAAAGGATGCCGTAATAATTCTTCCAAGATCGGATCGTCGCACGCTTTCCACCGCTCTGCATACATTGCTTGCGGTCGAAGAAACTGCAAAAAGAGATTTTAAAAAATAGGAAAGAGAACTGAATTTATTTTATATTCTTACTCAGCTTAAAGAAAATATTGAAGAAAGCTTTCTATTGATATCAGTGAAATCAGCCATACACATTGGGTAAAGTGGAACCTTTTTTTTTTCAAATCTGAAATCTTCACTGGGGAAAATTTTAGTGGTATTTGAAGTTTTGACGTTCTAGTGCCAATGTGGTAGCCGAACGGTCACTAAAGTGACTAAAATTTAGTGACCTCTTTGGAAGTTTAAAGGTACTAAACTTCGTTTTTCGCTACTTGAACTGCTGTTTTTCTCTGCGTTAACCTCGTCACTCGGCGACCCTCTCATGTTGCCGCGCTATTTATACGTTTCTCTGACCGCAGCTATGAAAGAATAGAGAGAACACTTGAAAACTGTCAAGTCGCCGCGAACGGAGCTCTATTAGACCACCAAAAATTTTAGCGGTTACCTTTGTGTCTTCTCTGAATAGTTTTTGTAAAACCTCTTAAGCGGGGTTTTTTTTTCTCCTCCGTACGGATATTTTTGAAAAATAGATAAGTTCATCACATTTCGCATGTCTCCCTACTTTTGTGAACCTGGAGCCAAAATATTGCAAAATCAGAATAGGTGTCCAGTTTTCAAGAATCCTTCTCACCAACGATTTATATATATCCAACTCGTGGCGATTCTGCGCTCTCCGCCAACCAGCCACTGTCTTTATTTTTTCGCTTCAGAGCTATTTTAAATGGGCTCAAGTCAGCCGTGAATCGACAATACACGGGCAAAACATTTTTTGAAGCCGCCGTTCTGAGTTTTCATAAACTAAGATCTCCTGTTGTCAAAAATTACTCCTATTCTCTCCGATACCACCTCCCTTTTCATTTATTCAGACATCAGAGAAATCAAAAAGGCTCTGCTCAATCATGGTAGATCTGAAGAGCTTCTTGTTGTTGCGCGCAACTCGGCCAATTCTCTCCAAGAACGCTTCGGGAGTCATCTCGCCAACGTGCTCGTGGTTTTCCAACGGATCTTTTTTTCTACTAGTTCTCCCTTCTTTTGAAGTTTTTTTGAAGGTAGCCACCTCCTCCCGGACTCATTGAACCTTCCCTTGCCCGTGTGATCGGCTGTGATCTCCTGTTTTTTCTTGACTCACCCGCGCATGTCGATGGCTCCCATATCTTCCCACTTGCTCGTTTTGCGCAACGAATGCGTGCGACGAGTGTTGAATGATGGAGTTTTGCGGATTTCCTCGAGTCCGCTGCCGTTATTCAACATCGGCGTGCCGGTGATCAGCCTTTCAGCTACCGGGACCGAGGGAACTGTAAAATCAGGACACGTATGGTAGGTCAAACGAGAAACAGCGATATTACGGATATCAGCGGTCGTCTTGCTTCTTTCTTTCTTTTCCAACTTTCGCGGTAAAGTTTGCGTCGAAAACTCTTCGCCGCTCTGGCTTGGTCGCAATAGGGAAATTTCCTGCAAAAAATGGTTGAGAAAAGGAAGCCGAGCGTTTTTAGCCCCCGGTTGAAATTTTGATGAAACTTTGCTGAAGTGTGCTTTAGGACCTCATGATTCCAAAACAAAAAAAATTCCTTGCAATAGATTTGATTTTCGGCTTGAGGCGCTTTAAAAGCTTGAAATAGCGTTTTTCTTTTTGGCATATTTCGTATTGATTCGCGTATTGAAAAACTTTTCCTAGTAATCTCGATTTTGAAGAGAGTTTCGAGCTGTTAAAAATTTATGGTTCTACTTGGGCCTTATATTCAATCATTTTGCGACTTTAAGACACTCTGTTGGCTCTAAACGTCTGTAAGACTCTAAACGGCCGCGCGATATATAATTTCCTTTTATTCGTTCTTTGATCGCTTTATATCTTTCCCTTGAATTTTCATAAATATAAATATTAAAATGAACGACTTGGCTTAAATGATTGCAATAGAATGCTTCAGATTTGATAAATTCGTTTTGAAGAGAGGAAATGAAATCAGCGTACCTGAGTCTTGCGTCGCTCGCGTTCCTGTCTCCGATTGGCCAAAATGTTGCCTTTTTCGACGACTTTGATAGTTTCCCGGCGGCGTTGCTCCTCTTCTGCAATACGATGTCGATCCACCTAAAACACGACCTCTTCGATTCGATTTGCTGCTTCCGGGCGGCTTGCCTCTTTGTTTCGCAGCCGGCTGAAGTTCTGTTCGATGAGAGTCAGTCGCTTGACCATTTCGCATTTCTCGTTTTGCGCGTCCAGGGTCACGAGGAAATCGTCGAATTCGCGGAGCTGCGAGTCTGCCGTGTCCACAGAGTCGACATAGCGCCAGTCGTCACCTAAATCTCCTTAAAATTTATCCGACAACTTTCTATTTTACTGAAAATCAAGTTTTTCTTTCAAAATGCATCTTAGGAATCTGAAATATTGGAAATCCAAAACATCTCTCTAAAGCACTTTTTTTTGCATTGACATCTTTTTACTCTACTATTTGTCAATTGTGTGAATACCAAGAAGCCGTTCGCGCTCCGAAAGCCATCCCTCCAATTGGGTTGCGTTTTGCTTCCATTTTTGGCAGTCCATGTTCTCCTCGTACAGCTCGGCTCGATCTTTCCAAATGTCGCAGAGTGTAGACCAGGACTTCTCCAGGACCTCGACCTAGAAGAGATCAGGCCATCAAAGTACTTCTGAATGGCGATTATCAACCTTTTCAAGGATTTCCTGCGAGAGAACATGGCTTGACTGAATCATTCGCCGCCCATGACGAGCAAACTCATCAATGTGTGGTTTTCGACCTTGCATCTGAAAGAAAAAGGTATTCATTTTTAAAACATGAAGAAAATTTCATTTCCCCATTTGTTGAGGCTTACGCTACTGGGATTATCTTTTGAGGTATTTTTCCTTTTTGCTCAATTTCATACTCAGGAACGCCAGAGTGGCTTTTATAGGGGTTAGGGAGAAAAAAAAACCCTACTGGGTATTAAAAGGGCTGCAGGGGTAAGATTTAGGGTTCTCATAGAGGTTTGGTGTCTGACTCTGAGACCTAGAAGTTTAAGTGGTCCCTATAGGGTCTTTTGATGATTGGCCTAATTTGCTAATTTATTGAGTCCCCTATAGGGACCGCTAACTAGAGACCCCTAATAGGACCTTTTTTGCAAGTCTTTGTGGTCCCTAGAGTGAAACCCTCAATGGACCCCCTAGAGTTGCCCCTACAGGGGCCACACTGAAGTTTCTAAGTTTAACTATTTCAATCGTTTTGATGTTCAAGTCATCCGGAATAAAAAGTGCACCTCCAAGTTGTATTCATCATGTCGACGAGCTAACGCTTCGCAGCTGGCGACGTCGCGAGGAAGCTGCTCAGTGGTCATCGTCGCCTGCATGCTCTTCATCCACTGCATCATCTCGCGGTACTCCTAAACCGAGAGATCGTGCCGATTTTCCAGTTTTAATATTCACTTGGAAGTATGATTGGAGGCTCTCGAGGTGTTGCAGGCGTTCATAGTGTTTTCGTGCGCCTTCGAGGATGTCCTTGAGCTGTTCTTCCATATCGAGGCGGCGGACCTCCAGATGGTGACGCGTGTCGGGGAACGTCGTCCAGAGGCGTTCGGCCTCGTGACACAACTCGGAGACTTGCTTCTCGACGGCCTTCATGCCGTGCATGAACTCGTCGTGTCTCTGGAGTTGAGCCTTCACCGAAGCGAGGTCAGCACGGGACAAGTCTTCCTGCTCCATCGCGACGCCCGTAGCTTCTTTGTCCTGAAAACGTTCTGCAATGTCACTTTTCTCGGTTCTCAACGTACTTGAAGCCAGTTGAGGGTTTGATCGGCCTCCTGGTCAAACCGATGGACTTGACGAGCCCCGTTCAAAGCTTGTCTGCGCTCATTGGCAACCTCGTTCACATTTGTCCACAGACGCTGAACATCGGCACCTTTGGCAGTTATTGAAGCTGCATTGGGATGACCTGAAAACAGAATTTCGAAGAAAGCTTTTTATTCATTACATGGTTTTATTTCAATTTAAAGCATTAACGGAAAAAAAAAGAAAGTAATCTATAAAAGTCCTAGTTATACAAATTCTACAAAATTACTGCCATTTTCAGCTTTATCTTAAAAAAAAGGTATTGGCAGAAAGTATGAAGTTTGAAACACAGCGACATAATTTTTTATTTCCACCAGCCTTTTTCTCAACGTCAAAACAATCTTTCCAACAAGGAAGTATTTTGAAAAAATGAAGAATTGGAGGAGGATGTTCGAAGTTGAATTGTTTCGAATTTTTTTAAACATGACTAAGTACAATTTGAATGTATTCGGAAACCATACGATGCACCCGCTGCCAAGATCTACACTACTGTGACATAATTATCTCGTTTTGACGAACCGCTGCGAAGCAAATCTTCGAGACTGCGCTGAACGGCGGCTACGCGTTCGCCAGCGGCAGCAAGCTCGCGAACCGTCGTTTCAAACGTTTCGATGAGTTGCTGGCAGTGCTCCAAGTCGCGTCCGTAGTCTTCTGATGACGCGATGCTCTCTTTCTCGTGGAGCCAGTCAGAAAGGTCGTCGGCCTGTTGCATGAACTTGTGGTACTTGGAGGCGTCGACGAGTTGCGTCCGACGTCGGTTGCATTCCTGGCACAAGTTGCCGAACTCCACTTCCAATCGGTGTTGCTTAGCCGAGATGTTTGCCGAGTCATGGTGTGACCGCGTAAGAAGACTGTCTGACCTGCAATAGAGATCGAAAAACAATTGAACGCTTGTTCTCTCCGCACCTGGACTTCAAGCGATCAATCTCATTTCGGAATTGCTCTACTTCTTTGTCAAGAACAGTGAGCCGGCGGAGGTGGCTGTCGGCGCCGGACTGATCTCGTCCAGTTTCTTGGCTTGTCGCCAACGGCAGCTGTTCACGAATCCACTGCTCTGCTTCAGCTGCCTCGGCGTAGTATTGGTGGGCGTCAATGGCCTCCTAAATCTTTTTCATAGAAATATTTACCAATCATTCATCTTGTATCTCACAAAAATCTGACTATTTCGCTAGTTTCATGTGAAAAAAAACCTGAAGTCGCGAGGTTCGAACGTTGCAAGACTCTTTGAGCGACAGTGAAGTGCTGGCCAGTCGGTCAATAATCGCTTGAATGTTGGCTGCGGCAAAGTGTCGCCGACGGATCATCTCGACACCTCGCTTTTCCGTGTCGCGCATTGCAGACTGTCTTGATTCAAACTCCTAGAAAAAAAAAAACAAGCCTACTCTTGCATGTTTTATGACAGTTTCAAACCTTTTCTAAGGCAACATGCTTCTTCTGAAGGCTCAAAGCAGCTTGCAGACTGTCGCCTGTTTCACGGTTGGCCGCCAAGGGCAATTTGTCCCGCAGCCATTCCAAGTCTTCCTCAGCTGCCGCACTCCATTCGAAGTAACGCTGGGCGTCTAGCAAGTTCTCACGACGAATCTGGACAGGTTCCTGGAGATTCGCATAGCGAGCCTCCGCGTTTTCGGCCTGTCTAAGGCACTTCTCCGAAGTGGGGGATCCCTGAACACGAAGTTCGCGAGCTTTCTTCATTATCTCGACTATCGCATCCGAGCGACCGGCTATTTCAGCCTGCAGCGTATCCAATTTTCTGATGAGAATGTCGACAGAAGTCAGATCTCGGCCGTGGTCGTCCGAGGAGAGTTCACTCTCAATCTTGTCCAGCCATTTCTCCAAATCCTCAATTTTTCGCTCCAGCGAGTTCACTTCGTAAGCTTCGCGCAACCGTTGAGTTTTTAATGCAGACTTCGTACGAAGCTCATCCCAGCCAGATCGGAGTTCGACGAGTTGCGCTTTGACTTGTTCGCTCATGAAGTGTTTTTCGACGACGAGCTGTTCGCCTTGTGCTTCAACGGCAGACAGACGCTTCTCATTCTCCACCAGTTCAGAATCGAAAGCGAGGTGCTTTTGAAGCTTTGCACGCAGATTGGTCTGATCGAGGAACGACTCGTCGTAGGCGAGTTGGAGCTTGGCGGTGATCCAAATGATGAGCTCTCCGCATTGACGAATGAACTCGTGGTAGCGTTTACTGTCTCCGAGCATGGACCTTCGTTGTGCCGAGAGTTGAAGGAGGTTGTTGTATCTTGAGAAGACGTCGTCGCGACGTGCTTCGATGTCGGCGCGGTAGTCGTTTCCATTCTTAATCAGCAGGTCGGCATTCTTCGAAAGCAAGTCCATTTTCTCGCTCTGCTTCTTCACGGTCTCTTCGAACGCGTTGTGCGACTTGATGAGCATTTCGACGGTGTCGGTCGTGTCGCCCAACTCTCCACGTGCCAATTGGTTCTCCTTGTCTACCAGCCACTGTTCGCATTGCTGTGATTCGTCACACCACTGGAGCCATTCGAAAAGACGTTGCAGAGTCGCCTGGAAGTAGTTTTCAATCAATCAGAACTCAGCATATTTCTTCTTCTTTACCTTTTCAACTTCCCAAGTCTGTCTTAGTTGATGCTCCGAGTTTTGGAGACGCTTGTGGGCTCGTTGAACTTCCGACTTGTGATCAGGCTGCTCCACAATGAGCGCTTGACCTTCTTCGTGAAGCTTGCGAAGCTCATCTTGACGTCCGTCGATCTCCGCTTTTTTGACGTGATGCTCTTCGAGAAGACGCACAGCTCCTGCGCTGTCTTTGGGCGCCTGGTAGCTGGTCATCTTATTGCGGACCTGCAAGGACACAATGAACTTCTCCTCACTTCGTGATCATCTCAATACCTGCGTGGCCCACTGGTCAGCTTTCTTCACATCGTCCAAATACTTGTAGAATTTGAAGGATCGGTTGAGCTTTTCGTTTCTGATTTCTGCAGACTCGCTGAGCTCGCGCCAGCTTTCTTCCAACTTCTTCAAAGAATCGAGAATGCTTTCTCTCAACGGAGGCCGCTTCTCTAAAATCTTCTGCGCATCCTGGAAAGGTTCGATTGAAAAACCATGATAGGGACACGAAATACTTTATCATGAGTGACGAGCTTCTGATGGATCGCCGTCATGTCACGCTCCAAGTTGGTTTGTTTCCGAACGAGCATGTCGACCGTCGTGAAGTCTTTTCCGTAGTCCTCGCTTCTCATTGCGCCGATCTTCTCGTGAATCCTGTCATCTGTGTCCTCAACGTCGCGGTTGAACGAATGGACTTCCAGAGCCGCATTCAGCTGTGCACGGTAATTGCAGAGATTCCCCAGCAGAGCTTTCCATCTGAAAATTTGATTCTTTTTTATCCCGAACAAGGACTTATGCCGACTTTTTGTTGAGCAGAGCTTGTTCGTGTTGCACCTCTTCTCTGCTCGAACGTCCTTGTCGGATGAGCTTCTCACCGATACGATTGATTTCCTCCAAAGTTTGATCATCAACCGATGTGTCCGACTTGGTACCTAGACACGAGAAATTGACTGATTTTCCTTCAAAACCACGAAAAACCATCCAAGCGTTCGAGAAGCACCTTGCAGTGCTCCAAGTCACGGCCCATGTCTCCACTGGAAACAAGAATCTCCTTGTCTGTGATCCAGGCGAGTACTCGGTCCACCTATCAAAATTAATTATTCGGGAGCCAAACAGAGTGTTTCACACATAATCGCCGGAAATACCTTTTCCGAAGGATTTTGTCTTCTAAACAGGAAAAAAAATGAACGTACAAGCTGCTTGAATCGAAGAAGGTCTCGCGCTTCTTCGAGAGCACGCGACTGATCAGCACTCGCTCCAACGAGCTGCGACCAGAGCGACGTCAGTCTTTCGCAGCGCTGCGTGATCCGCGAAGACGGATTTTGGGCGTTGAGCTGCTGGCCGCGGGCCAAAACTTCTTCGACCCGCTGTTTGTTGGCCGCCAGCTCGGCTTCGAGAGCTTGATGTTTCTGGAGCCGCTTCATTTTCTCTTCGATCGAAATCGATTCGCTTGAGATATCCCGTGACTTCCGGATTCTGTTCACATCAACTTTACTGTGTTAAACCTTAGAATGTCTACAAACCCAATCGTTTTCTCTTCGATCCATGTCTCAACCTCGACGACGTCACTTTCAAACTGAGCTAGAGAAAGGGCGCCGATCAAAGCTTGACGCCGTACGTCTATATCTTTGCGTAAGTGACCAAGTTCGTCGTGGACCTCAAACAATCGTTGAGAATCAAAGTAATCTGTTCAAATTTCAATCAAACGAACAATGAATCATTTTCCAAATCATATCATTTTGCGACTCTATTTTTTCCCTTGAGAAGGGCAGTTCAAAAGAACAAATATTCAGAACATTTTGGTGATACTTTTCTTCCTGAACATTACAAAAATCAATTTTTCGTTTTTAATCGAGTACTCCTCAAAAATCTTACAAAAGTTTTTTTCTCTTCGCTGCGATGATGAAATTTTAAAAAAATTGAGACGTTGAGACACGCACTTTGAACAATTTTCTCAACGAAGCTTTAGGAAAATTTTGAAACTATTATTTCTGAACTGCCCTGACAATATTTTAATAAAAGCATATTCAGATGCAAAATACCTTTTTCCTCCAAACAATTATATTGTTGGCCTCCATATGACCCGATCGGACCAGTTCTTCTGCTGTGTGATCTACAGCGTTGGTCCGCTCGTCGAGGGTGCTCAATGCGCGTTCGAACGTGTCCAGCCGTTTCATTTGGCCTTCAACGTCTGCCACAGATCCTCCAACAGCCAATGATCTGAAAATTAACCACTAAGAATCCAAAAAAAAAAAATCTTGAAGTTTATGGTACCAACCTTCGGAAAAAAAAGAAGCCTTTTATTTATTTTTCTTCCGTAATTTCTTTAAAGCTATTACTCAGATAAAAGATCTTAAAAGTTCAAAACTAACTCCGATTCATTTTTGGCTAGAACTTTTAATGTCATTTCATTACATGCAATACATTGACTGGAATGAATAAACTCTCGGACTCGAAAATCTAGCCGGAAAAGGGACTTACCGGAGAGTGGTCCGTTTACTGCCGATCGAAGCGATTATTTGTTTGGCCTCGCGTTGGAATGCGTGCCACTGAACCGCTTGAGAAAGGTATCCATTCCTGAGGGCCCATTCGTTACGAAGCCGTTCCAACGCTGAGTTCAACTGAAAACTTGGAAATGTATCGACGAGTCTGAAACTCATTACCAGACGTATTTTCGAGGTGATCTCTTCCGTCGCGTAATGTTGAGCTCCAATCATCTTCTGTCCATCGGCTACTAGACGCGCGAATTCGGGCTCTCGCGCATCCATTTCATTGCTCAACCTTAGAATACGGATTTTCTACCTCTCTCTCTTCAAACGAAAATACCTTGAATGCTCTTTTTGAAGCCATTCGGCTTGTTGAAGGTCGTTTATTTGCAAATCCGATTGGATATCCATAATTGTCAAGTCGGTCCAGGAGAGCAAATCTCGGACCTTTCCGTTGAACCTTAAAAAACAGTCACAGTGTAAAATTCAAATAAAGGCTCGACGATATCTTTTAAATTGTTTATTACTTTTTTCACTCAACAGAAATACTTGTCTCAACAGGTCTGGGTTAGTTAGTCAACTTCTTGGTCTTACTGCTCCCCTGCATCATCGCTATACCGTATGGATGTTGCGAAAAAAAAGGTACTCAGTATTGTAAAAATCCGACTTAAACTCGTTATCTTTTCTCAGCCTATTTTTTGCGTCGTTTTTTTTTTCTTAATTTTCGTAGAAATTCTGAAAATGATAAAACAGACGTGTGCAAGTCGTAAGCCGCGCGAAGCATGTCGCGGCGGTCGTCGGTCGCGTTTCGTAGCTCCTCCCATTCTTCGACAAGCATCTGCTGTTGGGCGGCGATCTGGTCGGCGTTGCCGCCAGGGTAGGCTTCCTTGAGACGCGACGACTCCTCGAGCAACTTCTTCAGTCGCGGCTCGGCATTCTTGATCTCCTTGTCGAGAGCTTCGTGCTGCTGCCACAACGAGTGGATGTGCTTGATGTCGCGACCCAGATCACGCGGCATGTTGGAAATTTTGTCAGCCATCCATTGCTCAAACTCGTTGACGTCTCGGTTGAAACGATGAAGCTCTTCGGCGGCCCCAAGTTTCGTTTCTCGCGATTCAATGTAGTCCAGGAGGAGTGTCCAGACCTGCACAAAAAAAACCGAAAATCAGAAACGAGGAGAGATGCTAATGAACATACCGATCTGAGCTTCTCCTGCTTCTTGAGGATGTCTCTGGAGAACGGCGGGTTTCTTCGGAGAATCGCGTTGGCTGCAGCTTCGCAAGACACGAAACGCTCACTGCCGGTTTTGACGCTCTGTTTGAACTCTTCGAACTTGGACTGCAACTCCTGAAATCAAATAGGTGTGTTGAGCGTTCCAGTCATCAAAAACCTTCAAATGTTCATAATCCTCGGCGTAGTCCTCGCTCATGGCCGTTTGCAGTTGATCATTAATCCATTGTTCCAAATCGGCGCTTTCGCGCATGTACTCGTACAAACAGACGGCGTCTTCCAGGGCGCGGCGGCGATCTTCCGCTGAAAAAATTACACTACGGTTTAATCCTATTAAAAACTAACCAAGTTTGCTCAGACGTTCAAACTCGCTTTCTAACTCCGCCTGACGACCCGTGAACCGATCAACGTGTGGCCTTTTGGACTCGATCAACTCGCCGCATTTCACAGCGAGCCGTTCAAGCCATTGTCTTCAATTCATCCAATGTTCTCATCAAATGATGTTGTCAAAGTACCGATATGTTTGCATGTCTTCGCACAAAGCCTTGTGCTTGGCGAGTAATTTTCTGGCTGATACTTCGTCGACTCCGTAGTCTTCCGACTCGAGTGCCGTCCGTTTTTCGTTCATCCACGACTCCACCTGAGTATTTAGTTTTTTTTTTTTTGAACCATCCTCAAATGAAAATTTCCGTTTCTGTGTGAGAGCTGTCGAACAATAAAAAGAAATTATTGACAGATGAAGGTTCACCTCAGCGGCATCGAACAAATATTGTTGTTCTTTGACGCCCCAGTCCACAACGCGGCGGCGTCTTTGCAACAATACTTTGAGTTCTTCCCAGGCAGTTGTCAACTGAAACTTCGAAGCTATTTTATATATCGTTGCAATCCTGACGCCAAGCATCTTTTCCAAGCAAAAGCATTAGGCAGCATAGAAATCGAAGATCAAAAACAATTGGATTTTCAGCCGAGTGGGTCAATTTTTTCGTTCCTATCGGAAAAACGGAACATGCTTCAAAAGGCACATTCATGTTCATCGCACGCTAAAGTTGCTCCAAAACAGTACGAATTTTTGTTTTGGAGCAATTTTTCGCCTTTCGAAGCAATTTCTCGTATGAACACGCCATCATAAAGTTTTCTTTAAATTTTTCTAAAACTCTTTGATAGCCAAAAATTTGGCTATTTGCGTGAACTTTTAGTTTTGTAGATATGAATTTTTAAAATTCCATAGATAAAAAAAATTTTAATCATTATCTGCAATCATGCTTTCTTTTAAAGCTATTCTCGTCTACAGTAACTATTTTTCGCCTGTCTATTCATTTTGCGATACTTATGAATGATGAACAATAAAACTAGTTATTTGAGCAATTTAGTTTTTAAAAGCGAAGCCTTGAGTCAAGCGAAAGAACTTTAAAGCAATATTATATATGCGCACACCAAGAACCCGTTAAACGCAATGCACCTTCTCTATATGTTGAATTGATTGAGGAAAGTTCTGAAAATGGATTAGAAAACTTGCTGCAAAAACTCAATTTTAATCAATTAAAAAAAGAAGAGAAAAATGTTTGCCGTTCTACCTCCGAGCTTTTAGCATTGATATGCTTCGAGGCAGAATGTCCGCGTTGAATCAATTTCTGGCCTTGAGCCAAAGTTTCGTCGATGTGAACCGAATGTTGTTGGACCTTGAAAAATGAGAATTTTTGAATAGTTTTAAACGAGCCTACTTCTGCTTCCAATTGTTCCTGCTTCTTGACGATGTTAAAGGCTTCAGTTAGCGTTCTCGCGACGTCTTCTGACGATGCAATCGGCTTCTTAATAGAATCAATTAGCTTGAGATAGAATTTTCAAAAAAATACGGAAAAAAAATGACAACATATATTTTTGAAAAGCAACTTCTGAAGGACCTTTTCGGCAATCCACTGCAACTCGCAGTCGACGTCAAAGGCGAGCTGATGCCAGAGGCGCGACTCTTCGAGAGCTTTGCGTCGATCAGCCGCCGGACCGCGCAGTCCATCGTATCTTTGCAGAAGGTCTCCGATTGTGCGAGATATTCGGTCGGCGTTGAAATGTCCTTCCGATTTCATCTGCTGTCCTCGCTGTTCGATATCGGCCAGCTGAAAACTCTCAATGAAACCGAAAGTCGACAACAAAAAATCCGACTTTCTTCCTGTAGAGACCCATTTCCTGTTCGAGGACCGCATGACGCTGCAAAAGGTCCTTCACAGATCTCAAGTCATGTCCTTGATCCTCCGACTTCAGAGAAGCCTCTATTTCGTCGAGCTTCGAATGTGCGTCTCCCAAAACTTCGTTGAGACCCTGAAAGAAAAATTTAATTTTTCCTTCCTCATTCGCTCTCCTTCGTAAAAAAAAGCACAAGCTGAGAACAGTAGAAACAAGAAAGTTTCGAAAAGTGAACCAGTAATCATGTATACTTTTACTCGACGGACAAATCTTTCATATTCTTTTTCAACTTTTTTTGGAGATAAATCGTACAGAGAAACACTTCAAAAAAGGGGAGAAAGCCATTTATCGTGAATTATATAAACATTTATTATTATTATTATTCATTCAACATTATCCTCAACTTAAAAAAAAACCTTCTGATCCGCCGACTGACGGAGCCGATCTCCCTTCAGAGCCACGGCGTTGTTGAGATCTGTCCACTCGGTGTTGATCTGCCGCATGATGCGTTCAACGTTCGGCGATTCATAGTGCTTTTTGGAGATGAGCGAAGAACCTTCCCGATTGATTTCTTCGACACGCGGAGCATTGGCTCCGATCTCAGCTTCGAAAGCCTCGTGCTTCAAGAGCTTGTTCGAGATGGACGAGATGTCTCTGTTGGTGTCTTCAATGGCGACGAGTTTTCGCTTCTCGTTCATCCAGGAAATCATCTCCTCGGCCTCGCGGCGCATCTCCTGATACTCTAGGGAAGCTTCCAAACGACGTCGACGTTCGCCAGCCGCCGCTCGAACAGCGAGGCGACGTGCGATCACGTCTTTCCGTCGTTGATCGATGTAGGCGGAATCGGCATGCTTCACCTTGATCATGTCGTCGGCGTTTCGAGTGAACGCATCGAGGCGTGCCTCTTGAGCGTCTAGCTTGGCTTCAAGATCACGGTGTCGTTTCAGTAGGTTTTCCACGGACTCGACAGAATCGCCGAGGTCGCCGAAGTCGAGGAAGGCCTCATGACCTTTGGTGGCGGCGTCGATTCTTTCGGCTTCCCGATTGAAGAGCTGCAGGTCGAGCTGTTGTTTCAGAAGGGCATTTCGATTGCGGTACATATCTTTGACAACGTTGACTTCATCGAGCAAATGCTTCAGCTTCTCGTCGACTTCTTTCAATCGCGGGTTGCGCAGAAGCAGCCGTCTGCCCAACTCTTGGCAGTATTCCACTTCATACTTCTTGTCCTTGATCTGTTCACCGAGTTCAAAGTGTTTCTTCAGAAGATCTTCGGCTTGAGTTACATCAACTGGATGAACTTCTTCCTCGAGTTGCTTCTTGGTTCGGTCCACCCAACCCATCATGTCTTTCAGCGCGGCTTCAAACATTTCTTTGCCCTGCGTCTGCTCGGCCAGCTGCATTTTCTCTTTGGCGCGACGTAGGAGATCACCATGGAGGGCTCGAAGTTCGGCTATTTTGCGATCAATCACTGCCGCCTCTTCAGGATGATCTTTCCGGACCTGGAAAAATAAAGTAATTCAGAAGCTCTAAGGAGGCGCGAAACCTTGGCCGCAAGACCTTCAAGATAGGCGATCTTGTCTTCTAACGGCTTCAAATCCCGCTCCAAGTTTTGAAGGCTCTTCAGATCGTTGGGGTTACGGTCAAGCTGGTCGAACTTTCCTCGCATCCATTCTCTATAAATCTCGGCTATTCTTTTTTATCGCCCAAAAAGCTCACCTTGCATTGTCACACGAGTTATCAAAGTCCGCTACGCGTTCAGTTGCTTCCAAGCGTAGAGAACGTTGTTTCCTTAGTCTCTCCAACTCGGCCCACATTGCATTGACCTGAAGGCGAAATGTCTTGCAGGTCATAATTCTTTCAAAAACTAAAAAGCCAACAAAATAACAAATCTGATACTATCCAGCAAAAAAATGTTTTTTTGAAAGATTTTTTTCGATACTTAAAAAAATTGAATTTAATTCAACTTGAATGTAGCGAAAAAGAACTTTGTCTAATATATATAGAAAAATTTTTTTATACCCTCTCTAAAAATTAGCGTCTGGCAATAGCCAAGAAACTACTACTAAAAATTAAATTCGTAGTTTCCCCTTCAAGAAAAAAGATCAAAAAAAAAAATGATAAAGCATTTTGAAAAGCATTCACGCAGGACCTTATTCTGTCTCGACTCGATTTGCCTAGACTGACTATGGCCCTCGGCAACCAAGTCCGTTGCCATTTCGTTGATACGTTTCAACTGCACGCCGCCGTTCGCCTTCATATCGGCGTCTAGTTTATCAAACTGAAAAACAATAATTTCATTCTCGATTGGAAAAAAGGCTCAAGACCTTCCTACGGAACGCGGCGACGTGCTCCACACTTGGTTCATCAGCCAGAACCGCCTGGGCTCCAACCGCCCATCTTTCAAACTCGTCACATTCGCGGTAGAATCGCATCAACTTGATGTTATCCGATAGCAAACGTCTTCGTACCTGAAACCAGATTTCTGCTGAAAAGGTCCGCTCTATATTTCACTGGCATACATGGGAAGATTTATTACAGAATTGAACACTTTTAATTCAACAAAAATATGAATATTACAAAATCGAAAACTAAAAGAACAACTTTAAAGTAACTTCAATTTTATATTAAATTGGGTGTTTAATACAATCGCAACAAGTTCCGAACACATTTTTCCCACATTTCTTAAATTTTAGTACTTGTGTGTAATAAATAAAACATTTTGATTTGATTGATTTGAAACATGGGTGGCTTCATAGGCTCAAAATAGTTATTAAACTTCTTTTTCTCACAAATTTTTGAAAGTCAATTCCTTCTTCTAAATTGATTTTGGTAGTTGCCCACGTATGTTCACTTTTAAATCACGTATTCGAGAAGCAGGACTTACATCAGCGAGCTTGTTCAACTGGCGGTAGTCGTGCGAGATGATCTTCTGCCTCTCGACGATTGCGCTCTTCTTGTCGTCCAACGCCGCATCTGTCGTCGTCTTTCTCGTGGTCGTCTGGGTGACCGTCACCTGAAAGACGCGGTCGATCTAACTTTCTCTTTTTCTCAGCCTTACAGATTCTCCAGGAACGATCCGGCAATAGTTGACTGGAACGTAGCCTTCTGTTCCGTCTTGTTTCAACGCTCTCCACCACTCGGGTGTCGATTTTTCGAGCAGTGCGAGAATTTCGCCTTTGCCGACTCGCATTCCGTTGCCGTCGTACTTGTAGATCATTTCGATTTGTGGCACTGTCACATCTTCCGTCTACAATAGAGATGAAATGAGCTTTTCAGCAGAAAAATTTTGATTTACTTCAACTTTACTTTCTCTACCTGCTCACAAATATTTTCGCAACATTCGAAATTTGAGATTTATAAAATTCCTTTGTTTAAACGACTACTCCTAAAATCTCTTCTAAATCTCTTTTTTTTGTTCAATGCTATGTTGTTTGATTTCGCGCCAGCATGTCACGTTCTTTTATGTCGAAAATACCGTATACCAAATGAAATCAAAAATGACCTCTTCGCTTCGAGACCTTTGTTTTTTTCTGTCATTTTCGCATTTTTATGGAGCTGTTTTTCAAAGGCATGAGCGCCTCGCGCGGATCAGATTTTGAATGTCAAGTCGTTGCTCAAGCTCCGCCCCTAACGGAACCAATAAGAGAGCGAATCACCCATAGAGCATCCTGAATGACGTCATCCTACTTGAAATTAAAATCTGATCAGACTAGAAAAATGACTCCAGTAGGTAGAGAAAACGAGAGTTAATGAACACTGAACGTAATCGTTTTACGAGATGAAAAAAAAATTCCATGCCCAAATTTCAGAAAAGAAAATCTGCTGAAAAAACCTCGGTTGAAATAATTTTAAAAACTAAGAAAATTTTTCTATAATCGAGTAATTTTTCGGAAAAGTACTTCTTGGACGGTGGTGCTTGTGGTGGCGGTAGCCGAATGGAAAGAACTGTTGGCCAACTGAGTGCTCATCTCTTCCAGCCGCACGATATCGGAGCTAGAAACGATTTGCTGGGTTTTGAACTACTCTGTCTTTCGATTCGAACCGATAGGCATGAATTTCCTCCTCGAGACGAGCGTGGCGCTGGAGGAGCGACTCCGAGGCGCTTTCGTCGCGGCCCAAGTCGTCCGACTTGACGAGAGGCATCTTCTCACGGATCCACGACTCCGCTTCGTTCGCATCCTGAGAAAGTTTAACTTCTTCAATGATTGACTTGCAGGGGATGACGAAAATTCCTCAAAAGGATCTCCAATATTACTTGGAAGTATTGTTGAGCCTGCCGCGCCTCCTGCAGCCAGTTCCCGAGGGCCGCCACAACTGCGCGGAGTCTTTCCCAGTTCTGGTTCATTGTCGTGAGTCGCCTCTGGAGTATTTTAAATTACTCTAAACATTTTTTCAAAATCAACCTGAATATCGTCTTTCGATTGCCCATTTTGAATGAGCCTTTCCCCAGCTGAAATCATCCCTTTGCTTCTTGTCCAGTGGGCTTGCATTTCCATTTCAATGTTCTAAAATAATTTATAATAAATCTTTTGAAAAAAAATGAAAGAAACCCTCATGGTACCAAGAGAGCGTGATAAATTGAGTAACCTTCTAATTTATGTTTGTCAGACTCATAAAAATGAGCTAGTTTGATGTTTCGAACCTTAATTTCCCGAAAACTAAAAAGTTGTCCAGGTTGCGGCTTTCATAATCTTCTTACTGTACCAAATTTGAAAGTTGCCAACCGTAAATTATCTCTAACAATGATAGCGGTGCACTTTTCATTAAATTTTCAATGCACACCGCAGTCAGGGGTGCACGCGTTTTGCCTTACATGCCTATTAGGGAACTTACTCCATAGGCGAGTTCGAAATGGTATTTTCTTAATATGTCAACTTTCTATAATTTCTAAGTCCCTACGGTAGCTTAAAGAAGATTTTCCGGAGGTGCACCGAAAATTTCAATTTGTTCGGGGTTTACAGCGAGTTACCCCTTCATTTTTTTTGGAGAAAATAATTTTCATGTCAGTCCAAAAATATAACGAGAGAGGAAAAAGGCTCTATCTATCAAATTTCCCCCATAAATAATTGCCAAGCCGAACTTTGTAAAGTAGGGTCGTTTGGGGAACAACAGAAATGTCTCCGGAGGCTAAAGCCGACGTGCAGAGTTTCTCCTTCTCTGCCAGCCACGCCATTTCTTCTTCGTGGTCTTGCACGAACTGGAAGAGGGCTCGAGCTCGTTCCAACGCCGCCAGCCGTGCGCGGCACAAATCCACAAGACTGCAAGATCATGTTTTCGGACTGAGTAAGGATGCGGCAACCTGTGATATTGTGCTGTAACTTCGTCCAGCTTCTTCTGAAGGACTTCGAACTTCTCGCCTTTTTGTCGAATGTACGCGTTTGCCGCTTTCGACAGTTTTGCCAAAAGCGAACCATGAGCGTTGATCTGAAATTTCGACATCGAATGTGAGTGATTTTGATTGACGTCCAAGTTACTTGAGCTTCGACGATTTCATGCTTTCCGATGAGGTCTTCAACACCGAGAAGATGCTTGCCGACATCTCGATTTCGTACGGCGGGCTGAACAACAAAGATATTGGCGTTGAAAAAATCACTCTTCAAAGGTTTAGATGAGCATCCCACAAAGTGGCTACCTGCGCAAATTTTTCATTTTTGAAATATGATTTTTCAAAGTTTAAAAACAAGTATCTCAAATATGCCGTTTGAGCAGGTTGCGACTATGAGGGATCTTCATCTAGATATTCAGATTTGACCAAAACTTCATAGATTCATCAAATTTTCCCCGTAATCACATATAAAATACTCTATAAAAGTTTCGCGCTTCAAAACTTTTCAAAGTGAAAATGGGTAACTTTTTTTTACGATAAAATCACGTCAGCTGTGTTTTTTTTTTACAAGTCATGACTGTTCAACCTATTTGGTTCAAAAATTAAGAAATAGAGATGTATAGTGACCTCCAATGTGTGGAGCTCACTGGACAACGTGTCGATGTCCCTGAGCAGCGACATGAGCTCGTTTAGGCTCATTAGAGCTCTCCGACGTTGTTCTAGCTGGGTGAGCAGCTGCGTCCAGCGCTCGATGATGTCGCGCTCCGTCAGACGGATACGGTCGCTCTCGTGATAACGCTCGTTGCACAAGTCGTTGCACATCAGGGTGAGAAGCTTGAAGCGATCTTCCTGAAAAGTTAGAGTTTGTAGTTTTGAAAATGTAGAGAAAAGAAAGTTATATAACTAGAGAAAAATTGAATGTGAAGCCATATTCCATCTTGTCCGCTACCACTGATTAAACGTGAGCCCTAGTGAGTGATTTCAAGAAACTAATCAAATAATCGCATCAGCTAAACTGGGAAAAGCTTCAGTGGCCACTTAAGAGGAGACAGCTTGGAGAGGACACAAAAAAACCTTTATAGAAGCCACTATTTTGCATCTTAGTGGCCACTACAGTAGTTTTTAGTGGTCTAGTGGTAACAGTTAAACTTCTAATGAAACCCCTAGAAGTTGGTCACTTAGGTGGCCGCTATATCGACTATCATAAAATACACTGAAACGTCAAAACCCTAAAGAGAAAAAACTTTCCCGGTCGTTCTTCTTTCTTTTAGTTAAAGGTCGTTTTGAGTCTATTATTTCGGATTTTCCATCTTCGCCTGCTTCTCTATTTTTCCAAATACTAGATCTATAAAATGATGACCCTGGCAAGGATGTCGGTGGAGATAGCTTGTTGCTTTTTTAAGGACTTCTCGACTTCGCTCGCCGTCCGACCCTGCTCCATCTCCTCCAGGACCGCCTGAACCGACCGGATCCACGTGTCACGGAGCTTGGCCTTTTTGTGAAAGCGTTGCGCCAGCTGTTCGAGGCGTTCTTGTCGCTGCAGTTCGGCAATGATCGCAATTTGTCTCTCATTCTCCGCTCTGTCCAGCTGAGTCCATGCTGTTTCGATGTCGTGCATGTAAAGACCTAAACGATTAATGGCGTGTTCATCGGACAGAAAAAAAATTTCTTTAGAACGCAAAAAATTGAAAATTGCTTCAGACTCAAAAAAATGGCTTAAAGACCGAAAAAAAAACCTATCTTAACTCATTTTGACGGTTTGCTTCAATTTCAAAAATTTTCAAAAATCGAAAGTTGTGCAGGTTGATACTTTCCGTACCTTCATCTGGTGCATTAAGGTATATTCTGGTCAATTTTTAGAGAAGATTCAATCATATAAAAAAAATGAGCTTTCTTGTTGGAGCAAAAGATATTTTCTATTTTCAGCTTTTCATCAAATTCCCACTGCGAAAAGGTTTTTTTTTCCCTGTACAAGTGTTTCTTTCGGTTTTCACGTTATGCCAAGGAAGTCTAGATATTTGATATCTTCTCTCGAGACTCCTACCGTTCGGAGGCGCATACTGATTGCGACTCATGGCCTTTCTCTTCGTTTGGATCGTGAAGAACAAGGCTTCGAGCTCGCCCTTTTCCTTATACCTGAAAATTGACTGAAACTATTGCAATACCTTCAGAACCTACTTGGGTGGCTTCTCCGTGGTTCGGAACTGGTTAAATTTGGCGTGTTCTTCACGCATCCCATTCAAAGAGTTTGGAAATCTTTAAAAAAAATCGAGTGGTTTCGTCGTTTGAGGAAGAGACTCTCTCTCTCTACCTTCTGTTTTCCAACATTTTGATCGTCTCGCGTATCCAAGCAAGCAGTTCCGAAGCGATTTGTTTGTAGTCGTCCTCCATTGTTTCGCTTTCGATCAACTTGCCGACAATCTGAAAATACTCATCGAAATCGACGGTTACAAAGGAAAACTACATTGGCAATTCGTCGAGCACCAGTCATTTCCGTCTTCTGTTTCGCAAAATGATGGTAGTACAGGGAGACGTAGGTGATGATGGACTTTTCGTCGGGTCGAGCTGCATCAACGTCTTCTGCGTCGAGAAGACGCTGAAAACGATCATAAGAGTCGGGCCACGGAAATTTCGAGTGAAACCGCAATTTCGAGCTTCTTCTCAGCGACATCGAATGCGTGGTTGAGGTTTCCGATGTGGTCGTTCGGGTTGAGTTTGTCAAAGTCGACAAGATCCGGCCTGAAATCAGAACAAAGTTTGACGAAATGAAGAAGTTGAACGCCTCCAATGACTTCGGATGAAAAAAAGGATTGAAAAAAAAGCCAGCAAATTTTCGAAGGTTGACTTCTCCGATTTTTTCATAATGCTAGGAAACTTTCCGACTGCGACGTTTTCGACTAGTCCTTTTTCCCCTTTTGATTTTCGGTTTTTAAAAGATCTATCAACATTTTTTTTCCTTTCCCGTTGTTTTAATCATGAATCAACTACCTATATTATACAGGGATTTTAAAAACGAAGATTTTATCCAGAAAAAAAGCCGGAAACTTCGCCGTCGGTTTTTTTTTTCGAACAAACCTATGGGCATGAATGAGTGCATTGAAAGCAAGTCCACTGCGCCAACTCGTGGTGAAGTTTTCAATCCGGACGTTCGGATAACCAGCCGTCTTTCTCTGGCACCAAAGCAACAGCGCGTCTTTCGCATGCTTACGTTCGCCTCGTTCCTCTTCGTCCTGTAGAAGAGTATTTTCGAGAGCTTTTTCTGTCGGAATTTTCAAAGTTATAAGTATCCGCCTTCCTGCTCTTCGAAAAAAAAGGCGAGATGGGTAGATTGGCAAGGGTAACGCGTTGCGTTCGCGACGAGGCTTTTTGGCGGAAACACCATATTTTCAATTTTTTCTTTTCTTTCTTTTCTGGAAATTTTTCAATAACTTTTCACTTTTATTCCGTGTAAAATAATTTCGGCGATTTCGAAATCGACGCGTTAGAGAATGCCCAAAAAAGTTCAAAAATTTGAGCTCAGAAGTTACAGCTCGAACAAAGTCGGTTTGGTGGATATGGCCGCTAAAAGAACCTCAAAAAAGACAGCAAAAATGCAAGAAAAAGAGTCCTTCCATTTATACTAGAACTTTAAAAGCTCGATAAGTGGTGAAAAAAGCGAGACAGCAAAAATGGTGCATACGATACGATGAAATGGCGCAAAAAGGGAGCAAAAAAGGAATTTTTGTCATCCTAAAAAGAAAATGTCCATGTATTATCCACCCTTTCCGAAATTGCCTATGAACTCGATTGACCAAAACTTACTTCGATAACGATCGTATCGATTTGGAAACGAAGAATTATGGTCCAAATAAGGCCAAGGATCAAGCGCTCGTTGCGGTCGAGTATGTCTTCGGCTCCGATGTTCTCCAACTGGATCCTTTTCTTCTTTAGAAAATCAAGAACTTTGTTGAGATTTTCAATCTTTTGAACACGCATTCGTCCACTGAAATGAAGAGTTACACACATTAATAGGGGGTAGCAAAAAAGCTTACCGATTAGGTTTGCCAAGTTTCTCGCCGGAGATGATTTCGAGCAACTTCATCAGAACAACTCCATCTCCGACGTCCACAAACAGATCGGTGATTTCCAATCTCGCCTGGAAAAATTATTTTGCTTTTTTCCTTCTCATTTCCATTCGAAGTTTCCAAACTTCCCACACAACTTTTTTATCTCAAAATCCGTTAAATGCACTAAATTTGCTTTAACGTAAATATAGTCTGTTCAGATTTTGAATGTCAAATCGTCGCTCAAGCTCCGCCCCTAAGGGTGCAATAAACCAATCGGAGAGCGAGCTATCCACGGAGTGTTTTTGAATGACGTCATTGCGCTTAACATTAAAAATCTGAACAGACTTTACATTCAGAGACTGTGAAGGTTTTTCTGGTGTCCAAAATGAGGGTTTTTGGAGATCTCGATCTCGTCTCGAAATTTTCAGGACGAGAATCCATTTTCATAAAATGGAGACATAAATAAAAGAATTTTTTTATATATAAAAATCGGGACATACATGAAAGAAATTTCTGAGAAATAAGAGGGAGAAATATTTGACAATTTTGTAAATAAAGACATATTCACTGATTTTGTAAATAAAAAAATATTTAATGAAAAATTCGTTTCTAAATCGTAATATTGAGGCTTGTGAATTCAACTTTCACATTTCTAATAAAGTTATATAATTTTTCGTAGTTATTATCATTGTTTAAATGCGCCTAAGGCTCGTCAGAAATTGTCTAGTCTCGATTTTTCGAGATATTTCAAACAATCCTCGTTTCGAAAAATCGAGACCTGCTACATGTGACAGAATTCACAACTCAACTAATAGAAAAAAGAAGTAGACATTATCGAGAAAAGAAAAAATCGCTCACCCGATTGAGAAAGGAGTTGCACCATTTGGTGAAAGTCTTTTTCTGGATGTGAACTCGTTCGTCCTGCAAGTGTTTGATGCGACTTCGCTCGAAAAAGAGAGTCTCGTCGGCGTAATTCTCCTCGTTGGGGTCCGGCCTGGGACTTGGAACGGCGCCTGTAGGAGTTCCCTTCACATTCGGCACTCGGACCTGAAACTTTTCTCATTTTTTTTCAAAACTTCGAAAGGAACGAAATAAGTATTAAAGTTTCAAAAAATTATTTTTCGACTTATCACTTCTGAAATTTTTTCCTCAAGTGCATCAAGTTTCTCTCGGGACGGAGAAGGTTCTTCTGAAGACTTCCAAAGTGCAGAAGAAGCTGTTTCGCGGAGTAAATGTTGGCCGAATTCCACTCTGGGTTTCGATATTGTACTGATGTTTGGTTGGCTGACCGGGCGTAATGGTTTTAAAAGAATGGGTCGTGGTTCAGATGTTTCAGATTGCAAATTGGTGAGGCGCCGTCGAGCCGGAACAGGCGGGTCTGAGCTTATCAGCGGGAGACTCGAAGGTCTCGCGGCTTCCCCTGGACTGTTCCCCTCGTCAGAAGGATGGCTTCTCATTGAAATGGAGTATACGAAAGTACGAGGCATGGTCCTCTGACGGGGGCTAGTGCGATTCTAGTCGATGAAACCTCACCGAGAGGACCAAATCCGATTCGGCACCGCTTTTTGGGGATTTCAAAACGACGAAAAAAAGGAGAGATACCGCATAGAAAGATAGAAAAGTTAGTATTTCTTTCATAAAACGCTTTTCAGGCGCTGATTTAAAATTCATTTTTCAAATTCCGCAAGAATTATTCCTATAAAAATTATGACCACCGAACAACTCGTTAAAAATTATGGATTGGTGAAAAAAAGAAAGTATATAAAAGGGGAAAACGGAATAACTGATTATCGAGTGAAGACGAAACTACGAAACTCATTCTTCGCACAAAAAAGTGCAAAAAAAATACTCTTAAAATCTCTAAACAGTTGACAAAAAAAGCTGCGGAAAAGTCAGCAATCTCGTGAGTTTTCCTTCAGCAGTTTTTATTTATTTTCACGAAAGTAGATCATTTTCAGTTGAGAGGAGAAGAAGTAAGAACTACCTGCACTTCGTAGCGAGGCATGCTTTCAGATGTTTTTTCGTGGCTGACGCCGAAATCCTGGCGCTGGTGATGATGGTAGAACTTGTAGTCGTACTCCTTCGGCAGTGCGATGTCGTTGTGCCCGACGACGACTTCTGACTCTCGCTTTCGTTCGGCGTCGTTCAGATGTTCGTAGTCAACGTTCGCGCGCCCTGTCTTTATTTCACCCTTCCAACGTCGCGTTTCGTCTGAAGTTTTGGAATTAAACAGCTGAAAACTCATCTCGGAGATTCAATCCGCCTTCGAAATGATAATTAAAATAATATTTTGCTATTTTGATTTTTCACTCAACCTTTTTTATCACGAAATCTGTGTTCAAAACAATCGGCTGTTTCCAAATTGACGGAACCAAACTTACTGACGGTTCCCAAAATTTCGTAAAGATTTTATGCATAACTTCCATTTGGATATCGCAACAATAGCTTTGAACACGGCAACTTCAATATCCAAATTTTTACAACTATTCAAATTAAAGTTGAGAAGGCTTGAAAAAAATCTTGCTGCTATGGAACATCTTTCGAAATTTCAGAAACGATAAAACTTAGAGATGATCTCATCAAATCGACTCGAAACTTATTAGAACGCATATATGAACTGTGATATGTTTTCAACCGAAATTGATGGAGAATTAAGAAAATGGATGAAAAAGGATGGAAATCATCAACAAGCAAAAAATAATAGCCACAATAATGAAAGCTTTTCAACGTTTTCATGAGAAAGTAAATTATGAAAGAAGTAAACTTTCGAAGAAAAAACGCCAGTCTTTGAGTTTCAAAAGCGAGAAAAGACAAGGCAGAGTGGAAGCGATAACCGTGTGGAATTTTATCAATACTCCTTAAAACCAACGTTTTCCGTTGAGTGAGTCACAACATAATAAGAGCGACGTTCCTCGCACAACTGACACTAGGACGAGAAAGAAAAAGCAATGAAAACCTACTCCAAAGTGAAAGGAATGAATCGACAGATATATTCAGATAAAAAAACTTCTTCAACACGCATGTTTAAGACAGTGCTACGTCGGCCGGTGGCCGGTCAATACTGCGCCGTTAGTTTCGGAGCCAGGAAATGTTTTAAGCTTTTTTTTCTTTTATTTTTTAAGGACCGCTATTTCTCGAGGTTACAAGATAAGTTACAAAAAGTACACAAGTTTTCATTTTATTACCCAAAAACTTAGCTACCGCAATACAACCGGCCGCCTTGAACATGCGTGTCAAAAAGGTATAAAATGGACACATGAACTTTAACAAAGATTGAAAACAAAATGTTTAAAATGGTGAATTTTCGCGTAAAAATGAAATACATCTGGTCCCACGTGTGAACGATTAAATAGCTTTCTCATATTTATTTTTTTATGCCGTGTTCAATTTGATTCCGCGAAATGCAAAATACCCGTTAGAAAAAGGAAAAGATCACTAAATTTTGAAGAGTCAGAGATCATTTTGCATTTCGCGGAATCAAATTGAACACGGCATTACAAAGGAAGTGCAAAAGATTGAGGGTAGAAAAACTTTATTGAAAGTTTTTGCCTAAAATTTTTGAACACCCTGATAACGTAACCGTAGAACAGCCGAAAGCGAATTTACAGCTCGCCTCGATTTGGGGTCATGACTTTTCAAAGCCAACTAGTACTAAATCGTGGTTCGCCTTCATTATAACGATTTTTGAAGCGCCATATCTATTTAAAGTGACGAGTTTTGTCTCGACGGATTTCAGAGCAGGATTCCCCTGCAGTAATTTAATATTAAATAACAAGGTGTTCTTGAGGGGACGCTTTTTAAAGGCAATTTAATAGCCTTTAAAAAGCGCCCCCTCAAGAACACAATGTCAAAAATGAGATTAAACTGCGTCCTGTGATCAATGACAGACGCGAGGCGTTCATAGTCGCCAAAGAAAGTCAAATCAAAAAACGTTTTACATATTTTATCATCGATACTTTGTTTCATTTTTTTTTTCGAATACTTTTTTAAAAATCAAAATAGCCTTTGCTGTTGATTGAATAATCATTAAAGGAGAAAAATTAAACTAAGTTCTCGATTTTTTTAAAAAAGAGCTGAGCGGAGTCGCTTTCCTGAGTCAGCCCGTTTAACCCAAAAAAAAATCGTGATAGAATAAGAATGTTCCACAGTAGAAAAAAGACCCTTTACAGAGCGTTCTCTCTCTCTCTCTCTATTACAATGAAATTTGAGATTATGATAACAAAGGCAAACCATCTAAGTCGTGAACAGTTTTTCCTTCGCCAGGCGAATAAATAGCCGCCGAGTATACAAAGGACATGGCGACGGCGATTCAGAGAAAAAAAAGAGAATAAATTTTTTTTTTAATCGCCAGTTATAATAAGTAGACTGTCCGCCGGAACCGTAAAGTAACCGGTGGCGGCGAGTCAAGTCGCCTAGAAGGTCCGGCGAGCAGATAAACGCGAGATACACATTTGCGGAACAGTATAGGTCAAGGCAAAACCGACCCGAAACCCTTTTCTCTTCCTTCTTCTCAACTTATTATGTGATATTATCAGGAAAGTGTTCCGTTTTTGGCGGAGAAAGAAGTTTCAAATCCGTTTGGATCCTCGCTGATGGGAGAGAAGAACAAATGGACAAAAAAGAGAGAGCACCCAACCAATCGACAGCCGCTTTGTCGTCAGCTTGTCGGGCCGCTCCAATCGTCTAAATCGATAGCCTAATATAGACTGGGGATTTCCAACAACCGTATCCTCAGGGGGAAAAAACGCGAAAAAGCACCTCAGACAGAGCAAATAGATTAGGGAACAGCTGATCTTGATTCACATAACGTTTCTTATCATTTACAAAAAATTGAATTAATAAACTGTGAGTAATTTTCGTTTTATGACCTAATAGATATTAAGGTGAAAAAAAATATTAACGTTATTTTGTCTCTATGGCTGGTTTTTTGGTGATCCTTAAATTTAAAATTCCACTCTAAAAAAAAATCACCGACAGAATTTTATTCAAAAAAAAAAGAGCGCCCGACGTGATAATCTTCCAAAAACTGAGTGAAAAAATTGCATCTGCTTCTAACAGAACGTTAAAGCGAGAATGGAAGCGCCGCCGTGACTTGAGCACAGAGATTAGCGCGACAAACGTTGCGAAACTGAGCAAAGAGAGTGGAAAGATCACCATTTATAGAGAGACCCAGTATAAATCATTCGCATAAATTACGCTTCGATGAAAATGTGTCGAGAAATTGCGAAAAACTGTTCTTCAAACTTAAATGCATATAAGTTGGAAGCTCAAACTAAATTATATCAATAGCGAAGGGTCTTCAAAAAATTTCAAACTAATTCAAAACAAACGCAAATGATCTTTGACTTTAACTTCAGCACGATTAAGATTCAAAGAATGAATATAAACATATGTGAACATTTGGATTCGAAAATAAATGAAAATGCAAACAGCGTGAAAACTATACCGTTTAAAAGACGTAATACTTCAGGTTTTGAAAAATACAACCTAGAAAATTTTTTTTCATAGAATGCAAACGCACATTGGAGTGATAAACACCATAAAGCTAAAAGCAAACAATGACTAAAAACTTCCAAACACCCACAAACCTACCAAAGATTTGACATTTACATATCGTAATGCAACTCTCAGAGAAAATTACACATCGTACCAAAAGAAATACAGCTCAGTGTAGTGCATACGGAAAGACAGCAATTTTGGAAAGACTATCGATTTTCAGTCGCCGTCCGAGACTTTTTTGAAATTCGTTTTCCAAAAAAAAAAACCGTGTATATGGTATTTGGATTTTTGAATCAATACTTTTTACATTGTGGATTCCGAAAAAGTTTCTTGAAGACGGCCAAGACAAGAAGAAAGTGACCTTGGAAGAGAGATGAAAAACGCTGAAAAGCACAAAACGGCAGTAAAAAAACTTCTTCGAAATGATTCGGCGAGAATTCGTTATTAAAAGTGCAAGAATTTTACATTTAGCAAAAAGCAACTATCGTTGAAATGTTTGACTCGACTTCTTTACTTTCCCTTGTTTATAATCTTACTCCTTTTCGAAGGATTAAAAAAAATCAATACAATGGGAAAAAAAAATCATAGCCAACATACTTTCACAGTTTAATGATTTTTTATCGCGGTTCAAACAATTATGAGAAAACAGTTAATTCGTATAACGTTTGCGCAAGGAAGCCTTCTCAAAATTTACACGAAGAAAGGTCATTTTTCAGTAGAAAAAATATCGAGCTGATAATGAATTGCAACATTAACGTTACTGGAGGTTAGTACGATAGAATTAGGAATTTCTAAAAATTTATATTAGACTCATTCATTAAAATGCAAGCAAAAATACCTATAAGACTTTCTGCTCGGGGCAGTGAGAAAAATAACCATTTTTAAACGAAAATTGCTTCGAAACGAAAAAAAAATGGTTCCCAAACAAAAATTAGTGCTGTTTTGAAGCGACTTTGGCGCGCTGATAAAGACGATTTTTGGTTTTGAAGCATGTTCCGTTTCTCCGATGAACACGCCACAAAAGAAAAGATGATACTTGATTTACAATATTCAAATTTTACAAGTTGGCGGGTAAACTTGCAATTACGGCGCGCAAAAAAAGAGTAATGGCGGCGCGTAATTCTTTCAACAGATGAATAATTGTAATTACTCTTTCTAATTTCGAATCTAGATGATTGAGTTAAAGAGAGCGGCGTCTAGTATAGTTCGAACTGCAATTTTTGGAAAATTAGACGGTCTTTTGCACTTGCTAAACTCGGCTTTTACCATAATTTAGCAAATAGTACTATAGTCGCGATTTTGAATTTTTTTTTCTTCAAAGTTCAAAACGCAAATAATACAGTAATCAGGAGTATTGAGTTTCTACAAGCTACAGAACTCTTCCGGGAAGATTCCCGTTGAGGTGTCTCTATTTATGCGTCTTTGATATATCGGAAATTTTGGACTAAAATCTAAATAAAAGGCGCATGCGTATGAGAGAGGCCGCGCGCATTGAAGGGACACTTCCCACAAGAATTTTTCTCGGACTAAGAATAACTGTCGATATAAAAGTGAGGTTAAAAAAAAGAAGAACTCGACCAACGTGAGTCCGCCTTTTACTACCTCTTGCCGACCATAGGCAAATCCGCGTAACTGTATTTCAACCTTAGCAAATCTATGATCGCCTGTGTTTCAGGCCCCAGTTATTAAATTTTTCTTCCAGGCTCTGCTCATTTGCGACTTATAGCGTTTACATAGTCTCGAATCCAATCCAACAAGATTTATATCCGCATTTGCTTTCCAGTGACCAAAAAGAAATGTTCATGTAGATGCATAAAAATGAAAAACAGTTTCATAAATTATCATGTGTGTGTATTTAAGTATTTAGCAGAGGTTCATGATAAAACTTCAATCAGCTTCCGTAGAGATCAAAAAAAAAAGTAGAGAAGTATTTATCAGTTATAAATATTACATGCTGTAGGAAATTTCGAAGAAGCGGAGTCGAAAAGCTCCAATGTTTTCCTGAAATAATATTCTTTTAAAATTTCTTAAAAATTTCAGTGCTTTGTGAAGTTTGATATAATAACATCTTCACGACAAAAACGTTTGAAAAATCATATTTTGGTGGATTTTACCAACTCAATGTAACATTTTTGAATATACTTGGAAAGTTCAGATGTAATTTTTAAAAAAGAAGATTAAACCTGAACTTCTCCCGTATTTCTGCTTCGCTTCGAACTGTCCGACCTGGGTTGTGTTCGTCTAGCGGATCCTCAATGTAAACTGCTTTGTTGGTGTTTTTCCTATCCTTTGACCTGAACGAACTTTTTAAAAAACGAGAAAATAAAACACCTTTTCTCCACTCTAGCTGTGCGAATCGAGATATAATTTATACGGAAATCGAAGATTGAATAATAGTGAAGAAACTGGAGAAATAATACGGCAACATTCGTTTTGTTCTTCGTCGTTTCTGAATTTTGTATTTCTAACATTGGAATAAAAAAATATAACAGTAACCTGGCAAATCCCGAGGCAAAGGAGCTCCGAAATCGAGAGTCGAAGGAAAATCTTTGTCCGACAGGGCAAAAAACTTGGCTCCTGTCATTTCATGTGCTAATTAATTGTTGTGAAGGTGGTAGCTTTTTTTTGCTTTTGCAATCTTCCACATGAAGAATACTAATATCCTTGGAAAAGTCAGCACAAAAAATATTGGAAAAAAACATACCTTGGTAAACCAAAGCCAAATTCGGCAAAATGGGAGGAAATGTCCCGCACTGCAGGAAGTGAACTACTAACAAAACGAGAGCATAACTATAAAAAATTGATTTATGAAAAAAAAAAAAAGAATAAGAACCTGTTGAACCCGCCGTCTTTCGGATTTTTGACTCCGTTTCCGGTCGCCCACTTTTTAACAACAAAGCACAAAATAGGAAACCGTTCATCTAAGCTGAAAAGTCGAAGTATTTCTGTTCAAGCCCAAAATTCGCATTGAGAGAGACCTTATGCATGAAATAGAAAAAGGTCAATTCACAATATTGAATTTCCACACCTCCAAATTTGTAATATGCAGCAATAAAAATAATGAAGTAAACTTTTAGAGCTGTCGGTGCTATACTTTAAAACCTTATGAGCATTTTCATTGTATATGGGGTGCTCATCGGGTGCCCCCGTATAACATGGGCAGACCACTTTCAAAGACCGCCCCTCTCCCAAGTTTTACTAAATTAAAGTTAATACTACATCCCTGAAGCTAAAATTTGTATTATTGTGGCCGTAAATACCTCCCTCAAGTTGAAAAGTGATTTTATTTCTAACTGCCTAAAATTTTTGTAAGGTAACACCTCCTCCCGACTAACTAAGGCATGGTCTCCGCTCGACAACAAGTTGAGAAATGAGGCTTTGTGGGCGGGTAGGCCTAATCTCACAAAAATATGAAAGTTTTAAAGATATGAGACGGCAAAAACGATTTCCGCCAAAAGGATTCGAACCCTGGTCCCAATATTGATAGTGCACAAGACCACCACCCACTACACCACGCCGCCAGTTGCTAGCCGAAGGCTCCGAGAGCGGCGATATCTGCGCTGGAAAATTTTCGACGAGCTTTTCCTCGGTTGCCTGAGGGGTTTAGCAGAATTTTATTTTTGATTCCGAGCACTCTTACCTAGGCCTATCCACACACAAAGTCTCAATTCTCAACTCGTTGTCGAGCGGAGACTATGCCCTAGTAAGATCTGTACTTGCCCATCTATGGTTTGAGCATAGCTGATAGAACTTATCATTTTTTTTTTTTCGAAAACGGTTTTGGCCCTGTTGGACCACAGACTTTCGAAATAAGCACAGCTGGATCCCTTACTTCTTCTTACAACCGCTGTTCCTCCGTTTCAGCTCAACTGAGACAGCATGAGAGCACCCTTGCCAATCTGTCTATGACGCTTTTCAATCGTGGAAAAATTGACTATACGGAGATTTCTTCTTACAAAAACTTTAACAAAAATGAGGGTGTACCCAGCAGTGAACCACGAAAAAAAAAAGAACTTTTTGTTGCGCTGGACCTGAATGGGGGTGATCCCCTGGGGCAACCGGTCGGAAATAAAAAGTTTTTTTGAGCTACCGTAACGACTTACTATGAAACAGTACGAAGTGGTGATATTGGGAAACAAATCACTTCGAAAGAAGAATTACCTTAAAAGGAATTTAAAGCTAAACGGCGTGCACCCCTGATTACACGCGAGGCGCAACGATAGTTCGACGCGGGGTGCTCCGCAATTTTTGTTAGAGAACCTCGATCAAAAAAAAAGCAGTGAGAAACCGAAAAAAAAAACTTTGGATGAAGTTTTTATCCTATATTTGTGTTTGAGTGAAGTTAGTAACAGAAACGAACTTAGAAAAATGTCTCAGGAGGAAAGTATTGTGCATAGACGATAAAAATTCGCCGGCCACAACGGCTATGTCGCATTCGAAACCATCTTTTGTGAAGACTCTGAGCAAGGGAATCTGAAACCAACCGGAACAATATCAAATGTTACGAGGAAAGTTTTGGTAGCTCGAATGAAACTTACACTTGCGTCAATATAATGCATTTTAAAATCGCGCTCAAATCGAATCAACGTTCTCATGTATTCGTCTTCATTAATAATATACTGCACGATCTTCAAGATATTTCTCGAGACTCTAAAAAACCTTTTTCATTTTAAAACTCATTACATAGAAAATGATAGTACCTTTTCCTGTCATAGTCCTCATTGGAAGGGAAGAATTTCCCGGCTTGTGGGATATGTATAGTTATATCCAAATCGCAGCCTTTCGCCGCCAGCCCCGTCACTGAAGACCCTGTGGGTACAACGTTGAAAACCCATTTCTGTATAGAAGTTGTTTTATGAAAAATTAATAGAAGTAAGTACCGGACAACGTCTTTCGATGGCTGCGGAAAGAGCTTTGCAAAACTTCATTTTCTTTTGAAAATCTTCTTCATGCTGAAAAAAAAATGTTGTGAGGAACTGAGTCATTTATGCATCTCAAGTTTCATAAAACTGTTCACACTTTCAAAGAACCTCCTGCTCCACGATGAAACTTCTTTCCAATTCACCGGCGAGCTGATCAAAGTATTCATATTTATCATTCAAATAGCTGGAAAAGTACTGTGAACACAAATAAAAAAATGTAAACAAACTTCTGATATTTTTGAAGGAATTGATGGAAAGGTTCAGAATTGGAGAAAACTTTGAAAGAATACTGGTCTGCGTCTAGATAGGTTCCACAGTCACCCATACTTTCGCTCCATTTCAAAGTAAGTTCGAAACTGACGTTTTTTGAATTTATATACAGCTTCTGTCGATTTTCTACGTCCATTTGAAGCAATAAAACACTATAAAAAATAATTTTATAACACATGTAATGAAATACTATGTTTATACATCAAGAGCCGTTCATTATGCAAATCTAGGAAGTGAATACCAGCGAAAAAAATTGAAGTGCAGCTCACTGAGAACGGGGTGGTATGAAAAAAACGCCGGCGAAAATTCAAACGGCGACTTTTCCGATTGTTTCATATCGCTAGGGAACTTTCCGACGGCCACCTTTCCGACGAAACTTTTTCCGACTTTTTTTTCTCGATAAACTCTTCGTTTTACATCTTCCTATATAAAGTAGGTAGTTTTTTCATAATTAAAACACAAAGAAATAGGAAAAAAATGTTCATAGATGTTTTATAAACCGAAAAGCATAAGGGAAAAAAGTCGGAAAAAGTTTCGTCGGAAAGGTGGCCGTCGGAAAGTTCCCTAGCGAAATGAAAAAATCGGAAAAGTCGCCGTTTGAATTTTCGCTGGTGTTTTTTTCATACCACCGAGAACGGTAGGAAGAAAAATGAGACAGCAGCGCTAAGATGAAATGAAAAACGAGTAACTCTTGATCTTTATATCAAAAGAATGCTGCAAATTAAAAAAAAAAACAAGTGATGTAAACAACCAATCAAAAATTTACTCGTAGGAAAGCTAAATAAAAAAAAATCTACGCAGCGGCTTTATGAGGGACCTCTTTAGCCGGAATGAGAATTCTTGGTTTTACCGTAGAAGAAGTGCGAGCTGATGAATCCTTGTGGACTTCATATCTGAATAAGTTGATATTTAATGTAAAAAAAAAATTTTTTTCTGAAGAAAAAGCAGTTTCATTATCGTAATAGTTTTTAAATGATTTTCGGGGAAAAGAAATTCTCAAACAGTAAGGAAAGCTATGAAACCGTCAAACAAGCCGTCTTCGAAGTTTTCCTTTCATACCTTTCAATAATTCAATAAACCACCAACTAATGCCATGTTCAATGGATTTTCAGCAAAATTCAAAACTAGCTCTGGCTTCAGTTATCTTTCCCACCTTCTGAAGACAGTTTTGAAATTTGGAAACGATTTGAAAACGATATCAATTTATTCGTACGCTTAGCTTGCTTTGTTAGCGGTCTTATATTTTTATATTTCTAGTTGTTAAAAAAACATCACCAAGCCCGTTCAGAGCGCTCATTTGTTTATAAATAATATAGGTCATTTATTTTTTTGTACAATATAGAATTTCAAGAGCGGGATTTCATAGAAATTTAATTTTCTTTCTTTTCAATTTTTTTTAATCTATGTGAAATGATTGCGCAAAAAAATTTTTTTTCTAGTTCTAGAAGAGACAGTGCAGTGTAAACCGCGCAGTTCCGCGAAGGATATTGCTGAGCAAGCGTGGCGCAGTATCCAACAAATGTCCGTACATGCGCCGTGCCCATTATTATTTTTCGAGGTTAAAAACCTTATCGGTTCAGCATCCGGGATATCGAGTTTCGCTTTCAGTACCAAACCAATGCGCGTGTTCACGTCATCCCTCATAGCATCTCTGGTCCAAAGAGAAACCTGAAAAAAAGAAAAGTTTTTTTTTAAACCCAATTAATCCCTTTGAATTCCATTTGGTCTACTTTACTTTTAAAAATTCGATCATTTAAATTAATAAAAACTTTTTTTTCTCTTATCTTCGCTCACATACACCAGCTTGGAAAATATCCATATGACTTTCAATTCAAAAGTTCTTTTTTCTTGTCTGACTGAAAAAAGCCAAACTTTCACTTTGGGAATCTGCTGCATTTTTCTGCTATTTGGCTCAAGCATTCGAGAAAAAGTTTTGCCACGGTCATCAAATCAGCTTTGACGTGACATCACAGAAAAATGTAGAAAAAACACTCTGAACTGGAGCGCCTCGACCAGATGCTATTTTTTTTCCTCTTTAACTGCGAGAAAATGACGAAATAGCATGCGGCTGAGAAACATTCGGGCGCGCCTTAAGGCGCTCCAGATCAAAGTAATAAATACATTTCGTGTTTAAAATTATTCCGCGGAATTCAATATAGCTCTCAGAGCAGAGTTGTGCGCTAGATCGGCCATACTGTTGCAACGCGGTCGCGAAATGGTCAAAAACTGGCCATTTCGAGCCGGTTTATCTCGAAATTTTCAGAGTGTGTAAATGGGAGAGTGAGAGATCGAAAAAGGCATTATTTAGAAAAAAATCATGTGATTTAAATTATAACATGAAATTTTAAAAAAAGTTCGCGATTGCGGGCATATTAGGCCAAAAGAAATCATAATTCAACAAAAACCTTGTCTCCTTTTTTTGTCTGACGTTGACTACCGCACCGCAAATATATTCCCCGAGATCTTCAAACTGCTCTCCGACAATAGCCATCAACAATTCTAACCAGTAATGATCTAGCAATTGTGAACGCCTCTGCAAAAACTGAACAATTATTTCGCAAAAAAATAAACGCGATTTGGAATGTTGAAAACGGGAATTTCTCTAATAAATAAAAAAACTTTCAAAAAAATTTTTTTAATCAAATCGCATGATTAAAGATTATAATAAAAACTTCGCAAGGTGGTATTAAAAAAACACCAGCGAAAAATTCAAACGGCGACTTTTTCCGATTTTTTTATATCGCTAGGGAACTTTCCGACTTTTTTTCCCTTATGTTTTTTTGGTTTATAAAAACATCTATAAACCTTTTTTTCCTATTTCTTTGTGTTTTTAATCATAAACCAACTACCTATTTTATATAGGAAATTTTAAAACGAAGATTTTATCGAGAAAAAAAGTCGGAAAAAAAGATTCGTCGGAAATGTGGCCGTCGGAAAGTCCCCTAGCGATATGAAAAAATCGGAAAAGTCGCCGTTCGAATTTTCGCTGGTGTTTTTTTCATACCACCCTTCGCAAACCTGTTTCTCGACAACTACGAGCCAACGTCCTCCCTTCACATTACTTTCGTCTTCCCACATGGGCTTGATACCCTTGGATGAAGAGCTGATAAGGTTCATGAAACAGTATTTATGCCAACCTCTTTGAAGAGATAATAATCAGATCCCCAGTTCAGGCCACCAGCGGTTTGAATGTGATTATACAAAGCCCAAAAATCTTCAACTGTATCAAAAAGAGAAACCATCTGGAAACTCATTTCAAATCGAAACCCTGAAATGCAAGTACCTTCAAACAGTCTTCCCATTCTTTGTTACGATCGGCCTTTAAATACCAAAGAGCCCAACGATTCTGGAGTGGATGACGCGCGAGTAGTTGGGCAGGAATAGCAACGTCCGTGTCGCCTCTGGCTTTCTTAAAAACAGAATGATAACAAAAAAGTTGTAAAAAAATTTACCATATCAGATCTTTCGTGATTTTCATTCGTTTCCGTACGCAGAACCATTCGGATCTGAAAATGTAACACTTTATGTCGTTTTCACAGTGATTTCGCGAAATTCAAAATAACCATTGGAGTGAAAAATAAAACTGTTTTTGGAGGGTGAACTTAAAAGAGAAGTTGCTTTAAACGCGGCGTTAAATATAAATAAAAAAAGAACGATAAAAATGCCTTCTCCTTTTTCGCCCTTTCCGTTAATTTAAGCTAATGAATTCCGCCTTTTTCACTTTGTCGCATCTTTTTTCAGCATGATGCTTAGTTTTCAAAAAAACTGAACGCATGAAATTCCATCACACTCTTTGCTCAAATTAATATATGATTATTAAAAAACTTTCACAGAAGTTTCGAAAACAGGTTTTAAACGTATGGAGTGTTCATTGGAGAAACGGAACATTTTTTGAAACGAAAAAACGTGTTCATCGGCGCACTAAATTTGCTCGAAAACAATACTAATTTTTGTTTTGGAGAATTTTCTTTCATTTCGGAACAATTTTCGTATTGTCCGATGAACACGGCATAAAAACGCATATTAATAATTATTATGAAAATAACAAGAGCGTAGTTAAAAACGGTTTTTCCACTCATACCGAGTATACCCCGCCAGTGCCTGTTATTCAAAAATTTAGAGTTTCGCGCCATGAGTCGCCGTCTTGTTTTAAGAACCAATTTTTTTTTTTCAATTTTCCAAAATCACAAATTGGCGTGTACAGCGAAAATAATTCCAAAAAAAAGCCAATTTTAATGGTGTGTTCATCGGAGAAACGGAACATGCTTCAAAAGGCAAAATCGAGTTCATCGGCGCGCCAAAGTTGCTCAAACACAGTATACATAATTTTTTCGGAGCAATTTTTTGTGTTTCCAAGCAATTTTCATTTTTTCCGATGGACACGCCATAAAAACTCCAAAATCTTGAACACTGCATTTGAATCATCATCTACGCGGCAAGTAACACAGTTGTATTAGTCCCACCGTAAGATACGCTTCAAAACTCGGAGAACGCGTTTTACGCGAGTCCTTTAAAACACTTGGAGGTCTTTTATTTATTTATTTGTTTCGTTCTTGCATCTGTGCTGTTTCTCATGTGTTACGTGGTTCTATGGAAGGAATAAGAAAGAAAAGCGCGGATGGAAGCTGTGGGGGAACTGGTTTTTCATGAGATACTAGGAAAAAGCAGTGTTGCGACTTTGGAATACCAGACAGACGTCTGTTTATACGTGCGCGGTGCGCACCCAACCTAATTCCCGATATCGCAGCGGGCCGCACGCGATATAGCTAAGGCTTCTTGCTGCGATCTCGTCAAAGTCTTGCTGCCATATCGCTCCCTCTCAAAAATTTGAAATTTGAAAAAAATTTTTTTTGGAGGCAGGGAAGAGGGCGAGACGCGTAGCGTGTGCATACGCGGTTCTTGGCCAAGAGCCAATTGGCTTGAGTTCAGTTCAAGCGCCACCTAATATTTGAAAACCTCGGTAACCGCTCTTTTCGTATCTATTCGACTAGTTTTCAATGCACAAATGAATAAAAAAAAAATAAACAAATAATAAAAAAAAATTGAAAGAGCGATAAACGAGCTCTCCAGTTAGTCGCTGGCGGTTAAATTGAACTCGTGCCGAAAAACCGCGTGAGCGCACGCTACGCGTCCCGCCCCTTCTTCGCCTCCCTCGCCTTTCAAGTCGGGGAAAAATTGACTATATGAAATATTGAAAAAATTTGGGCAATAAACAGACTAAAAACCACAAGAAATGAAATCAAACCCAGTCGCCATCGTGGGGGAGCCACGAAACAAAAGGATTTGGGTTTCCCCCCACAATTTTTCCAAATTTAATCAACCTGAACTCAACAAAAGTTTGGAAATTCAAATCATCGAAAATTTTTTCACTGAAAAACATATTCCCAAATTGTATACCAAAAAAAAACTCGAGTTTTTCTGTCATTAAAAAGCTTCACTAGAGTTATTGAGGCCTCAAAAGGTTAAACATTCGACTTAATCAAAATATGATTTCTGAAGCTTTTTTGAAGATGATAATTAATTAATTTTCAGTAAGGCACACAGTTTGGGAATATTTTTTTCAGAGAAAAAATTTTCGATGATTTGAATTTCAAACTTTTGTTGAGTTCAGGTTGATTAAATTTCGAAAAATTGCGGGGGAAACCAAAATCCTTTTGTTTCGTGGCTCCCCCACAATGGCGACTGGGTTTCCCGAATTTTGTTGGCATCCGCAGGATGCCTTTGAATATTTTCATGTGCTGAAAGCGGAAAAAATGTCTGAAGAAACGTGTCCATGGATCTAAACAAGAAATCTAAAAATTTTGAACATTTTTTTACTGTCCGAAAAAAACATGTCCTAGTGATTTACTACCTTCAATTTTTTTCACAGCTCGAAACTTCTCATTTTTACACTTTCCTATATAATTTATTTTCAAGAAATCCTCTCTTCATTAGGATCTGAATATAGTTTTTAAATACAGTTGGAACAATTTCAAACGTTTTTCAACTGCGAACCTAAAACGAAGTCTTTTCCTCCCTGGGGTTTTTGAAAATGGCCTTTTTTTAAAAATTTTTTTAGTTAACCTAGAATGGTGTATTCCCCTTGTTATGGTAACTGTAACGGAGACAAAAAACTTTGTTTCGACCAGATACTTTGATCTCGAAAAAAGTTATGAGCGAAAAACTTCGGAATTTTCATCCCAGGGCATACAAAATTTTTCGGTTCCCGGACAGAATTTTTTTTGAGTGAAAAAATTTTTTCTTTTTTTTCGATCTGGAAATGACCTAGTAGATGTAAAAATGTGCGTTGATCACGATTTTGCTAGTTTCGAGCTAAAAGAACAAGAGATAAAAAAGTTGTTCGGGAAACGTACCCAAAATTACATGTTTTTTGGAATTTTCGAGTCTTAGATGGAAAATTCGCCTAATCTATGTTTGGCTCAATAGATAGAGTATTTCTTGTGATTTTGATAGAAGCGAGACAAAACGCCTGACTGCAACGTCATATACTGGTTTCGATTTGTTTGAGAAAAATCCTCGTATATGAGCAATAATGAGCAAGCATAAGTAATTAGATTTTTTAAAATTGAATAAAATTCTTTTGTTGCACCTTGTGACCAACTTTGATCAAGATTCGTTGATTTTTTGTCGAGATATATGCCGTGTTCAAAGTAATTTCCGCGAAATGCGAAATTGTCTCTGACCCTCCAAAATTTAGTTATCTTTCTCTTTCTCTGACGGCTATTTTGAATTTCGCGGAATCACTTTGAACACGGCAATAGATTTTCGAAGCTTTTCACCGTAATCGTTTGAGCTACCGTATCTTGAAAACTAGCCGAATGGGGATATTCGGTTTTGTGTTTAAAAAATCCAAAAAATTGTGTTTTACAACATATTCGATTAAGAGAAAAAGTTAACGAAACGCCCTTTTTTTTCCAACCCAGCTTAAACCGAAATGGCGCAGAATGAGTCTGCACCTAAAAGGCAAATGTTTCTGTCAAAAAGTTAAAATAAAATAAAAATCTATCACACGGATTGGGTATCACGATAGTACCAGTAGTCTATCGAAGAGTCTGAAGGCCAATGACGTTATGGTCTATGTCACAGCGATAAATATAACTGAGCGATATGACAGCGAGACTCTGCTGCGTTTTGTCAGTAATACGTGCAAATCGACTACCTGAGGTATGTCGAAGGGTCATAAGTCTAACCATGGTACGACGAGTATGCATCTGAAGGCTGTGAGCAAAATGCGAGACTTCGTTTTAGGTTCGCAGTTAAAAAACCCTCCAGGACCTCCGGTATGGCTCAGAAAAAGCTAAAAGATGTACTGGAAGTCTCACTATGGATATTTTATGGGATACTCGCGATCCATTTTGAGAGGTATACTCGTGGACTCATGGATTACTCCCGATCGGTTTATGGCCATGGCCTCAGCACTGCACTGTTTTAAACATGCGTGCGGTTCTTTATTTTCCAAATATTTCCTCGCAAGCATTTTTTCGTTTTCTTGAATCGAAGCTCAGGATCCTTTGTAATCCTTGAGCTTCCTTTTTCTTTGCTTTGGTCCTTTCTTCCACACTGAGAGTAATTTTTTTTTTATCAGCTCCAAAATACTTGGGCAAAGTAGGAATTGTGGATTATGACCGTTAAAAGGGAGAGGCTCGAAAAAGGCCGCAAAAAAGCAGCAAAGAGAGTCCCTTTTATCAAGTCTTCCATTTTTTTTCTGGGATTTCAAATGCTCGAGAAATGTTGGAAAAAGGAACATGCAGTGAAAATGGTGCATAAGGGCTGAGAAAATGGCGCGAAAGCAGCAAAAAAGAAGCCTTTGTCACCTTAAATTTAGGAAGAACATTTCTAGGGAGCCTTTTTCCACCCTTTCCGACTTTGTATACGTTGGCTGGACATGTATGTTATATAGCATAAATTGAGTGAACGATTCATGTTCTGAATTTTTTTCTTATAAAAATTTTTCGATAATTAAACAAGTTGCTTTTACAACACCTTAGAACTTTTCGTTTATATTTGTCGCTTACCCTCACTTCACGCGGGTAGCTATCTCTTCGGCAGCATGCGGCTATTCACCGCTTCTGCAGTGCATCGATTTTTCATGAGCTCTCTCTCTCGTCGTATCTTTCTATGGCTCTCACTTCTACGGCCTTTGTTATTATTTTTGTTCGTTTTCGCTGCTCAGTGATAGCTGTTATCTAAGTTCTTTGTGGGTTTGAAGACGTTTCTTGTCCGATTACAAACGTTTGGATGGTATCAAATGGTCCTTTCAAGAGGCTAGCAGCTCTAAAGCTCGCTTTCGCTCATGGATTCAGTCGCGCATCGCGTTATTGAATTAGTCTTGCCAGTGTGCCTCGCGTGTATATGATGCTTTATATCTCACTTCTTCTTCTAACATTTTTTTCATTTGGTCTCTCTCAAAGTTCTTGTGTTATTTTCATTATGTTTTCCATTCAGATAGAAGGGTTTTTGTATCGATACCTTGAAAAAAAGCAACAACAGAAAAGAGTGATTACTAATGTGTATTTTCGAATAGAACTCTCAAACTTTAATACTATAACGGCGAAGAAAAATCGTTTGAGACGTCGTCTTTCATCTCACCGCCAAGCAAACAGTTAAAATTTTCAGTTTCTTTGATCTGAATTTCTGATTGTTCATACTTTACGTCTATTTTTCTCTCTAAAAGGGTTTTGGAAGAGTCACTGACGTTTTCGGTTTTCTTTTTCATTGAAATATTTTGTTCTTGAAATTTCAAAAAAGAAGACAATTTCGGATTACCTCTCTTCTCGGTTACCTCGAAACAGCTAAGAATTCAGTCTTGATTAAAGTGCTGAACATCTTTAATTTTAGAGACAGAGCCAAGTACAAAGTTGAAAGATGTACTGAAGCGTCAAATATGAGGCCGGGAAACTAAAGGCAATGAAAAATATAACATGATTGTGTTATTACTTCCTCTTGACTTACTTTCAATGCTGCCTGCATTTGGCCCCGCTTTTCATTTCATTCAGTTGCTGCTTTGAAAGTATTGATAGAAGCTTCTTAAGTTTTTGCGAAGCTTTTTACTTTTTAAATTTGATAGATATTTTGTTTTGAAGACTACGCATTTTTTTATAACAAAGCCTTCAAACCGGGTTGAACTTGGAATTCTGGGATCGTAATGTGTAACAGATTCGTTCAAAGCAAAAGAGGGCTCGATTCCGTTTTTATTGTTAAGAGGGAAAATTCTTAAGATGGCTTTTTTATTTCTCGTGGTATCGCTTTCCGCTTTGATACTTTACGAGAATTTTCAAACATAAATAAGATATAAAAAGGTTCCAAAAAAATTGAAATGTGTTTTGTTTTGAACTCATATTTCGTGAATATTTTTTTATGGGTTCATAAAATGGAAAAATAATCTTTATATGGCATTCTTTCCTCAACTCCTCTCGTTTTATCAGCCGATATGTCCGCCACACTTGTCGTCATCGATTGCGGCATTTTTTTTCAAATCGATTGTTCGTGTATCTAATTATTTTTTGTTCTTCTGTTTTCAAAATTTCAAATCACTGAAACTTCTGTACCTAAATTCGGGTGAATTAGTGAAATAGATTTTCATAGCACTGAAAAGCAACAAAACAAGACGAAGCCGGCATTCTTTGCGGACTACCCTTCTTCAAATGAAGGAGGTTTTTTGAGAGATCACTTTCCAAATGGCTATAAAATGGCTTCGTATTTCCCTGAAGATGGTAGCACGAGTATACCATGTCAAACTCCATCAAAATGCGACAGACTTTCGGATACGACTCATTCTGTGGGTCTTACGATGAACACATTATATAATGCTGATCCATTTTGAGGTTTTTGCTCGGTGTACTTTTATTTATATGACCACTATTCCTCTAGAATGACACTATTTCAGTCAGTGGAATTTTGAAAACCACGTTTTTGAAAACTTTAACCTACATCTTCATGACTCGGATAGAATCTAAACGCGGTTCGACCACTGTAACTGAAAATAAAGATATAGACTAATCTGTAACTATTGAAGTATAATTTTTTTTCTCGTACCATCATCTAAATTTTTTAAGCTTTCAGCGCGTTAAGAGTATTTTCATCCATCTCGTTCGTCACTTCCACTTTCATTTTCGCTCACTTTATTAATTAACGCAATTTCTGTTTCGTCGTCGTTGGGGTTCATTTTTTCTTCGTCAACAATTAACCAATCAGCGCTTTGCGTCCCATTCTGCAACTTATTTTTTTTTTCTACTTCCTTTTATGTTCTTTGTGGTACTTTGTAAGCATCGGCTTAAAAAAATTTTCGAACCGGAAACATCGGACTATTTGCATCCATTATGATCGAGTTAATTTCGCAATAATTTGAATTTTTCTTCATGTGGTTCTATTATTTTTTAGACAAATCCCAAAGGAAAGTTATGTGGATCAAAAATGCAGAAATGTTTTTTCCGTGAAACTATATTTTTGCTGCACAGTGATGAGTGTTCTTTGTGTAATTTTTTCGTAGCAGCTTCTTATTCAATGCTTCGTTGATGTAATTTACTCGGCCTTTAAAACATTCAACCAACTTCTGAAACCTATTTCGGCGAACTACCCCGAATCGGAAAATTCTCCTCGTGTGTCGATTATTCAAAAATACTCGCCTGTACTCGTTATTTCTTTCGTATCCATACTCCCTATTTCTCTCCAAAGAAAGGAAATTTTAGGCGGCCCCCCGACTTTTTCTACTAAACTCCGGGCAAATGATGCTGTCATCAAAGAGTCGAGAGTGACAAAATCACCAATTTTGGCTGCTGGTAACCTAGAACTGGTTGAGCGTCAGTTGAACTTCTCGCCCTGCCAGAATGGCCAAGGAATTCCTTTTTAACTGGAAGCCGGCGATTCCCTCTCTCCTTCTCCAGGGCTCCGTTTTCGACCGCTATGATGATGTTTGAATTTATCAATCTTATGTCAGCAATCACTAATCGGAAAAAAAAATAAGATATTTAAATAAAACGTAAACGTTTGAAAAATGTCAGTTTTTGACGCGGAACCTTTCCTGAACCTGCAAAATTTGAAGAGCAAAATGTCGAGAACGAAATATTGTGTTAAAAAAATTGGATTTTTTTAATTATCGGTGAACAAAAGCAGTCGATATCATAAGAAATAAAGTAAGCGTATTATTTCATTTAAAAAAAGTGCATATTAGATCAAATCAGATTTTTGAAAGCTGTCGTATACTTCAATTATCACTTTTACTAAAAATAATTTTATTCAAGGAAAGTACATGCCTCGAACTTAATGCACACGTGCGTGTAGACGAGTATGGATTTTTCATTTTCTGGGTCATCGAGGGGAAAGATGCGGTCGTGCTCGATATGGGACAGGTTTGGACGCTCATTCAAAAAAGAATTATTGGAATATTGGAGAAAGATATTTGAGAGAACACGAAGAATTCTACAGACTTTTAGGTTTTTTTTTTTTCAAAATAGCATCAAATTAAGGTGTGGGAAGCAAGGCCAGCCGGTTTACCTAAAGACGGCAGAGTTCTGTTCGAGTTGGAGCAACGCGGGGCTCGTGAGACAATCGAAGAACGAACTCTGTGGATTACTCACGGACAAGACCTCGTCAATATCCAGAGTTTTTACCTCGTTGCTGAGACTGTTGAAGTGGCGAAAGTACAAAAAAAAAGCGAAAGTAATTTTTAAATCATTTTTTTTTTCAGACATGGCGTAATGGGATCAACGACATATTGAGCAATTCTCGAATTCGGCACGTTTGTCCCACCACCAACCTGCTCAAATAGTAAGCAATGGGTACAACATTTCTGAAATGACTATTAATGAAATGTTTGGGTAATCTTCATTCAGAGCCAATCGTAAATATACCACCCCCTCATGAATCGCGCATTTCCAGACATTAGAATTAATTTAAGGGTATTCTGTCAGCGCACGATTGTTAAGTGTTTAGGAAGACCTTACTGTGCAAAAGACTCGGACCGCCGGAAAAGATACGAAAAATTGTTTTCTTATCTCTCATTTTCCTTTTATAGCGTTCAATCTTTTTGAAACACTCTAAAGTTGCGTTTTTTTCTACCGCGGACTGAATCCCCTCCCGAGAGTTACAAATAGTAGCCCCTCCAGGAAGGTTTCAGAAAGATTAAACTATATACAAGAAAATCGTGCTCAAAAAGCGTTTTCCGTCTATTTTCTGACGCAGCAGTATATACGGAAGAGCAAAAAATCGCAAAACAGGTCACGTCAAAAGTTTTGGACACCCCTCCAAAAAGCTGATTTTTCAAGGATTTCTTTTTCTGATTTTTTGAAAACTCGGAAAAAAATTTACTTTTCAATATTCATATTGGTACATAAATATTCGTTAAACTAGTTGAAACCCTCACAAAAAATGGCGCAGAGAAATTATTTCGCGAAAAGTAGTTCAAGTTTTGAGGCTTTGTACCTAGATGTTTATTTACGAAATTTCGCAAGATATTAGCTACACTATCACTGCTCAAAACTTTGTCTGTGGGTTCTGTGATTATGAAGACTGAACGAGTGATGAACGAAATATTAACTTTTTCTTGCAAAATTTAAGTTTAATGGAAAAACAAGGTAACATGGTCGAAAAAAAGTTTCTTCTTAGACGCTCAATGTTGGTCTCTCGAAATCATGTTTACGGAAGCAAATTTCAGCTGGAAATGGTTAACGCTGAACGTGAACGAACGAAGAAGAATCCCCATGAAGCTGATCATCAAAACTTTCTCGTCGGGGAAGCCTGAGAAAATGGTTCAAAAGTGCCTTTGCGACTTGGGCCTCGGCGGCGACAAGGTGATTTTCAGAAACAAAATTGATTAGGCATGATTTGGAATGTCGTGGCATGTTTCGAAGTGGACCTCTTAGTCTCCATCTGAACGGAACTCGTAACGATTTGAAAAAATGTAGGTAAATGGAGGTTTTTGTGGCATTTCATCGCTGTTTTTTGTAATCACGCTCGTTTTCTCTAATTTTGGATCGTGTTAGGAATTTTTTTCATTTGTTGAACTACAACGAGTTTGAGAAGAAACATTTTATAGTCATTTTTCGCTTGGAATCCCAATACCGAAATAGGATAAATCAGGAAAATCTGCTCCGTCTCTCAATTTTATTCAACTTTTGAAGCCCATATTCATTTGAAACATGAGGTAAAACTGAAAAGCTCCTCAAAAACTTTCAAAAGAACTTAAAAAATATTTTCTTTCATTTCACTTTTGCTTTTCCGCATCGTATAAAAAAAACCAGAAGATTCCAAAAAGAACCCGCTGAGGCTAACAGTAAGGAGCTCAAAAGCATTTTCAAACAACTTCAGGAGCTTTCATAGGAGCCATAGGAGGACATGTTCCGTTTCACCTTTGAATGTGCCGAGCGTTACGATTTATTATTTTTTTTTAATCAAGAATTTTCATTAATTTCTTTTCTTCTCTTCGTTGTGAGTATCGTGCTTGTCATATTGTAGTACACGGTGCCACGTGCGATAAACCGCTCGATGGGTCGCAAAATCCGCAACTTCTACAAGTGCAGCCGCAGCCGACGACGAAAGGTGTGTCTTCAGATGAGATCGACGTCGCAACTCTCTAAATTTGTTTCGGGAACTTCCCCTCATCGCACAACTCAAAAAATGATTTCCGATCGTGCCATGGAGTAAAATAATTACTTTTTGATTAACAATCTTTTTAGGGTTACTGTAAAAGGAGTGATTTCAAAACGAAAAACGTTTCCAAAAGGAGATTTACTTTTTTTCCAAAAAAACTATCGCATGTTAGATTTTTGGTTTCGTGTACAAATTATTCTCAGCCCTATAGTGCAGTGCTTTCACAGGGAATTTTTCGTTCACTTTCCAAATATACCTCAAGCTACCGAAATTATTCATTCAGGAGCGTGAAGAGTTGGAAGTTGAAATGCTGACGTTTGACAAGTTTCTGCGATTATACAACAAGATTTGCCCGAGGACCGAAGTTCAGGAACTGTTTGTGAAGCTGTCAGTTTCTCGATTTTTCTTTTCAGTGAACCCTATTTTAGTCTTCGAAAAATACATTTGCAAACCTTTGCCCTATGTACTGTCCATCGTCTGCTATAGCTATTCGTTTTTTTCTTTTATAGAAGCGGACAAAAAGAGTATTTGACGAGGGACCGACTCATAAACTTTCTGAACGAAGAGCAACGTGATCCGCGTCTCAACGAGATCCTTTTCCCCTTTTTCGATGTCTCCCGCACCCAACAGCTCATCACTAAGTACGAAAGTGACAACAACTACATTGAAAATGGTTCGTTTTCTTTTTCTTTTCTTGGAATATGTCTTCTAACAATTTATTCGATTCTAATAAAGATTGGAAAAATAAAATGCTTCTTTTGAAAATCGGGAAATTACTAAGGCTTCCAATTTGAAGGAAAAATGTCGGGCGACGCGTTTCTCCGATTTCTGATGTCCGACGAGAATCCCCCAGTGTTTTTGGATAGAATCGAACTTTATCAGGATATGGATCAACCCTTGTGTCATTACTACATTAACAGGTTTTAGTCCATTCGCGTCATCCATTCACAACAGGAAGATCATTTTACTATGCGGTTGGGAGTTCCCTGAAAACTGGCTAGATATTTTTTGGATGTTCCATTAGAAGATCAGAAAAGTTTCAACTACAAAACATTGAGAGAAGACGTCTAAAAGTTGAAGAGAACTCTCAAAGTCCGTTATCACCGACAATTTTTGAGCTTTGAGCCCTTTTTTCTCGAAAATAAGGAAGTTTCGCAGGTCGAACCTTTTGAAATCTTCTTCTGGCACGTTAAGAAGTGTTCTGGCCGTTTTCCAAGAAAATCCAAGCCTCAAAGTAAAATGACCTTCCTAGTGAGTAGTTGAATCAGGATGAAAGAAAGTCTTGACCGAAAGTTTTCATCATTTTTCAGCTCTCACAATACGTATCTGACAGGACGACAGTACGGCGGAAAATCATCCTCGGAAATATATCGTCAAGTGAGAGCGAAATTTCGCCTTTCAAAGCTCTTTTTGAGGTTTTATTGAGTGGCTGCCGGTGCATTGAACTCGACTGTTGGGATGGAACTGGTGAGAACAAAGGCGAGCCGATTATCACCCACGGCAAGGCCATGTGCACCGACGTCTTTTTTAAAGTCAGCACTTCCCAGTAATTGAAAAAATTTTTTGCAACACGATATAGTTAGATAAAACGGAAAAATAATTTGAAAATCCACAAAGTATCATGAGAGGGATCTAAAGAAGGTTCTTTTAAATGCTCCAAAATTTATGTGAAAAGGCTTTCGAGCTCTTTTTTCATAGTCTCAGCGAAATCTTTTTGAATCCTTTTGATCTTTTGAGTTACATTACAGCATTTTTGTTGAAGGATGTGAAAAAGATGAAAAAAAAAAATCAAATACAAAAGATTTGCTGAGGACCCTTGAAAGGTCTTTTCTTGAGAAAAGCTTTGGAGAAGCTTTTCGGTTTTGCCTGAGTATCAACCATGATAACGTAGAACAAACAAACAAAAACACCCCTAAAAATTGTTTTCCGTCCGCTAGGAAAGAAATGCGTTATTCCGATTGTGAGGTTTTGTGAAAATGAAATGAGTAAACACAATACTATGAGAAAATGAAGATGTGAATTAAATTAACGCGCGGCTTTTATGAGTTTCAAGTATTTTTGACCGCTCAGGACTAGGAGAGCATGTTTTCAGTTATATCGCAAGAGGTTCAAAAAAGTTCGATGTGTTAGATAAATTTGCAGCGGCTTTCAAAGCAATTTGGATGGTGGTATGAAAAAAAAACCAGCGAAAATTTAAACGGCGACTTTTCCGATTTTTTCATATCGCTAGGGAACTTTCTGACGGCCACATTTCCGTCGAACTTTTTTTCCCAATTTTTTATCGATGAACTCTTCGTTTTAAATCTTCCTATATAAAGTAGGTAGTTGGTTCATGATTAAAACACAAAGAAATAGGAAAAAAAAATGTTTATAGATGTTTTATAAACCGAAAAATATATGGGAAAAAAGTCGGAAAGTTCCCTAGCGATATGAAAAAATCGCAAAAGTCGCCGTTTGAATTTTCGCTGGTGTTTTTTTCATACCACCATTTGGATAGTAGGGGGTCGCGAAAGGGTTAGTCTTAGCGCACGTTCCCGATGGTTGTGAGCCTTTTTAGGGATCAAATCATTCCCCGGAACTTAAAAGTGGTTTAACAACTAATTATTCATAGTTCTTAGCTGAAGATCAAATTATTTGGGTAAATTACAATGTATCTCGTTTTCAGGACGTTCTCTACCAAATCAGAGATACGGCTTTTGCGCGCTCCGATCTGCCAGTTATACTCTCGTTCGAAAACCATTGCAGCAAAGCGAATCAGTACAAAATGGCCAAGTACTGTATGGAAATCTTTGGCGACATGCTCTTGTCCAAAAGCTACGAAGAGCACCCGGTAAGGAAGGAGGCAACTCGCTTCTGAAAACATGAAAACCTCGACTTTAACCGATTTTTATTTGAAGCTGTGTCTGAGATAACGTTTGAAAATTCGGAGAAGAAAAAGGCTGTTCGAGGAATACTTCCGAGAATGAAAGAACTAACGTTCCAAGGGTGAAAAAACGCAAAAAAAAAAATTGTTTCTGTGGTTTTTTTCTGAATGTAAAATTTTGAAAGTATTGAGAAATATGAAAACACGAAAGGAAAACCCAGAGATAGTTTTCACTGTGAAAAATGATTCTGTCTTTTTGCAAATTATCATTTTTTTTTTTAACTTTAAGTTTTGTCTTTACACTTTTTTCTTTGGAAAAAGGATGACAAAGACAAGTTCAGCTTGACGCCGGATGCGTGCTGCCGTCCCCGAACCGTCTTCGGCGGAAAATATTGATCAAGAATAAACGATTAAAAGCGGACATCGAGAAACATCAGCTTGAACAGTTTCTCCGAGAGGGAAAGCTCGACGAGGAAGACGAGGTGATCGAAACGCCCGAAGTTGTCGGCGAGGAGGCCATTTCTCTTCGTAAGTTTTTTTTTAGGTACTTCAATCAATCAATTTTTTTTGACTCTTTGAAAATTTCTATCAATTTTTTATCCTTTCTGAACATGTCTATCCGCTTTTTTTTTGGAAATTTTAAATTTATACAGATCTTCTAACAATTGCTGGAAAATCATCAGAAAGATCTTATGTAATAGTTTAATAAAAAAGATTTTGAGCAAATGAAATCTAGAAAAGTGTTTGGGTGGATTTGCAGCAGGCGATCAACGCGCTCACCCAGAAGCTGAACCTTCGAGTCTGATGACGTCAACATCGTCTGGAGTGCCGTCGGCGACGCCACTGTCTTCCACAAACTCGATATCGCTCGCCTCAGTCAACACGGCTACCTGCGGTGGCATTGCCCCAGCAGGAACTTCTACGACAAACGCCAAGGCTTCAACGCCCGTTGGTGCGCGTTTTTCTTTCATCTTCATTGAATATAACTGCCTAGTCTTGAACACAAAGCAGCATTTTTGATCGTCAATGTACCGCAAGCAACCTTGTTTTTCACACGTTAGTATAGAAAACTTTGAAGATGCTATGTCGCGTTGAGAAAAATGCAAGCCTTCACGAAATACCAGTCAAGGAAAACGATTTCATTCGTTTCACTAATCCTTTTTGTTTTACTTTCGACTTCAATGCGAATCATTTTTTGGGTTTAAGGTAGCGAATGTCCACCGAAGGAATCTGACGAGGCTCACCCTGAGCTGAAGCAAAATTTCATCGCGAAGAACTTCAAGACGTTCGGTTTCACAACGAAAAAAGAGAGAGACAAGGACAAGGTATGTTTTATTCTTTCAATCACGGGAGACAAAAACTGAACCAAACAAGAGAGTAAATTAGTAAACTATGAAGGATTTTGCTTTGGCTGAATACATCTTGTTACAAAATTGGGCTGTTTGTTTTGAATTCTCATGCTACATAAGTTGAACTAACAAATAATTGATAATCTTTGATTTCTCAGTTAAAAAAAATTAACCACTCTTATACACCAAATCTATCATTCATCTTCACACTTTAATTCCTAGAATATCGAAGAGTTCAATGCGTCACACAACTTTGAGAATTGTATACGATTTGTTGAACTTTTTTCGAATATCTGAAGCTTTCAGCCTTTTTTCAAAGATTGGTTTTTTTTTTCTGTGAAAGCGCATACATCTACATCGGAGTGTTGCATGTTTGTGTATTCATACGGATGTTAAACAATGTTGATTTCAAAAGAGCGAAAAAAAACTTTTTGGAATGACTTTCTCAGTAGTGGTAACGTGGTATCTGTTGGAAAACCGCACTTTTGAAAGAATGGAGATGCTTCGCGCGTGCTTTCCTTGCTTCAAGTTGCAGTGATAATTTATCAATTAAATTTGTACCCCGATAAGAGCTCTTTTTTGGCAAAGATCGGAATTTATTTTTGAGAAATTTCGATTTTAATCAGAATCGAGGATTTTTTTTGAACATATAAATTCAGTGAAAAACAGAATTATTTTTCTCCAAAAGGCGTTGCTGATTGAAGTCGATTTGAGTTTTCATGTCGTTAAGGATCTGCTAGGCTCGAGAGTTTTCCCTAGCCAAAATTACTTATTGATAACTTTAAATCAATTCACATTCAGAATTATTATCATTTCTAAAAAGAATACTGATAAAATTGACATCAACCATGTGTCAACAGATATCTTCTTGTAAAAATTTAGATTCTTTTTTTCTCAGTTTTTAAGAATAAATGTTTGTTTGCCGCTTTCAGAATGATTCTATTTTTGTTTTTTTTTACAGTGGAAAAATATTTGGATGTATATTCATGGTTCGTTTTTCATTGAAAATTCATTGGCAGAAGTTTGCTCGGAAATTTGGCGTGTGGTTGAAAAAAAAGCTTGTCAACGTTAAAAGTGGCGCCCTAGAGAAGAAAAGTCTCTTCAGTACATTGGCTGGACCTCACCCCAGACTTTTGCAAGCGAAAAAAAAAAGTTTAAAATGTACAAAAATAGGCCGCACCCCGGGGTGAGATTCAGCCAACGTATGCTTTTCTGAAAAGAATTTTTTTAAAGTTTTAAAATTGAAACTTGAAATGATTGTAAATAAAAAGGATCGCTTAATGCTCGAAAATGAAGCTAAGGATGAAGACATGGGGTTCATGGGATTAATGTATTGCTCCTGGGACAGCTGAACGTCCTTAACAACAACCTGGGGCCGATGATGGAGCGGTCGCGGAGCGAGAAACGATCTTTCCGGCTGCGACCCAACCGCTTCGGTGACGATCCGCACTCGGACTCTGCGGCACTGGTCGACTTCACGCGTACTACTTCGCGCAAGAAAAAGGTGCTATTTCCCCACAACCCACTGCGATTTTATCCCTCGAATGATTGGTTTGGTGTTGTCTTGTGTTTGAAAATTACGGAAGTTTTGACCTATCAAAGAACATGAAACTTTTCGTCAGTTTCGAAGTGGGCTTTTTCATAAGATTTAAACTTAATTTTGAACTTAAAAAATGATTAATTTAGAAAAGCCTTTTTTCGAAAAGCTCAATAGTTCAGCTTGAACCAATCCATAAAAAAAAACGGGGAGTGTAGTCAATCTTATCCAATTTCAGTCAATATTATCACATGGAATAACGTAAGATAAGATTATGTTGGTTAGGGAGCATATTTCGATGTTTCGCCCCCAGGAGCGAACATGCTTTAATCTAACTTATAAGTAACTAATCTGAATAAAATGGAGATAGGTTAACTCTCATCGTACATTAACCGTGCGACACAGTCCATGATACTGGGTGCGAATATTCCGGAATTAATCGTGAAAAATCACACTTAAAAAAAAATGAATGTAAGATGCATGATTTCTTTGTTTCATGGAGTTTGTTGGTTCTTGTTTGTCTACTTGTTTTGTTTTGTGTTCTGATAAATTGCGGTTTCAACTGTTTGTCATGAACTTCATCAACTTTTTAAATGTATTTTTTATTTTTGTTCTTGCCTTTGAAACTTTCCTTTTTCTTCAGTCTCCCACTTTTTTATGACAGAAGTTTTATAATTTTTTCCTTTTCTCCATTTATTTTTTTCCAACTCTATCCTGCTTTTTTTTACCTCTGCTTTTGAACCAATTGACCAAACGTTTTTGTTAGTGCAGTCACAAGTAGCTTTTGTATTCGGGACGTAGTTTTTTTTTTTTGGGAAAATAATTTTCAAATACTTTTCAGTCTCAGCTGGCCGATAATTACCTTGCATTGCAGGCGGCGCTGACAAAGGAAGATGAAGAACGAATTTACGCAGAATATCACTATACGGGAGCCACCACCAACATACATCCGTTACTCTCTTCGCTCATTAATTACACGCATCCTGTCAAATTTTCGGGTTTCGACGTTGCAGAAGGTAGTGCAGTTTCCGAGGTTATAGGGAAATGGGCAGAGAAAAATCGATGAACTAATCAAAGATACCAACTCGGGAATAGTCCCAGCGGGTGCTGTTCCGAGTGAAAGGGTAAGTTTACATGGTATTCGGCGAGTTCCTGGTGAAAAACGTGGGAAATAGTGGCTGTCAATATGGTGGTCGGAGGCTATTAGGATGCTCAGAAACTCATGTTTCCATTGTGAGGAGCTTACTTTTCAGAAAAGGCCACACAGCGGTTTTTTATAATTTTTTAATCCACTAGCTACCCACTGTCTGTTATCATCATTTAAAAAAAAATAAATTTGAAAAAATTTTGTCTGTTAACCCCCATAGGCAGAGAAAAACTTTCAAAGATGTTTAGGAAGAGTCCTGTAGTTGCCTGGACCTTCCTCTCTCACCAAGTTAGCCTGGCGCAGTGACTGGAGGGCCAGTCTCATGATTGCCTTTTTTGAGTAGATTCGATTCCTTTTGAACGCAGACCTTTTTTGCATTTTTTTCAAAGAATACAAAATTTTAAAACGTCTTAGAAATGATGATATCTCTATTCTCTTGTTTCATTTGGTTCTCGAAAAATCGAACGAGTAAATAAAAGTCGTTTTCAAAGAGTGGAAAACTGAGAGAGGAAGGTTCAAGGCACGTACAACTCTCCCCGGACATTTTTGAGAAGTTTTTTCTCAAAAGTCCATCGGATTTAGCATATAACTTTTTTTTCATTAGGTATTTAATTATTTTTAGTTATGAAAACCACTGGAAAGGCTAGAGGGAAACATTAAATATCGATGGGTATTCAATTATTTTTAGGCATTAATGGGGATATGTATACGTTTGCACAACAAGAGCCGCCTAAGCTCCAATGAAGAAGAATTTGCAGCAAATAACCTTCACTTCCACATGTCCTCTTTCTCCGAATCAACCGGTCTCGGTTATTTGAAACAATCGGCGCCAGAGTTTGTCAATTACAACAAGCGACAATTGAGCCGGATTTATCCGAAAGGCGCTAGAGTCGATTCTAGCAACTTCTTACCTCAGGTCATCCCTACGGACGCCCGCCTCTTGACTTTGTTTCATTTCAGATTTTTTGGAACGCTGGATGTCAAATGGTATCGTTGAATTTTCAAACTCCTGATGTCTATATGCAACTGAATATGGGAAAATTTGAATACAACGGCAGTTCTGGGTTAGTATGTTTTTCTTGTGCATTTTCTTTATGTATATATATATATATATATATATATATGTATATATATATATATATATATTTTGGCTTGCGAATTTTGCATTATGTTAATAATTTAGTTTCCTACTGAAACCGGACTTTCTACGGCGGCCAGACAGGACTTTCGATCCGTTCTCGGAGTCCCCGGTTGATGGTGTGATCGCGGCCCACTGCAGCATACGAGTGATTTCCGGGCAATTTTTGTGCGACCGAAAGATCGGTACCTACGTCGAGGTGGAGATGTACGGGCTGCCGACAGACACGATTCGAAAGGAGCACAAGACGAAGGTCGTGCCGGCCAACGGCCTCAACCCCGTCTACAACGAAGATCCGTTCGTGTTCCGGAAAGTCGTGTTGCCCGAGCTGGCCGTCCTCCGGTTCGCCGTCTACGATGAGAACGGCAAGCAGTTGGGCCAGCGCATCTTGCCGCTGGATGGACTGCAGGCCGGTTATCGGCACATCTCCCTCCGATCGGACACAAATCAAAGTTTCATCCTCACGCCGGTTCTCTTCGTCCATATCGTCATCAAAACTTATGTCCCCGATGAACTCAGCGGTGAGCGAGCCTCAGTCCATCTGAATTTATCTTTATCATAATGAAAGTCAATTTACTTAGTGGTCGGGAGCTCCCTATAAATTGGAATACTCTTTGATGTAGTTCATGAATAATTTGAAAGTCTAAGGCTGCAAAACTTCCTGTTTTTCGAGAAAACTGGTCCTATATTCAAGAAAACTATCAAAATTCGCTAAAATGGTCATTTTGAGTTTTTGCGCCCTCATTTCTCGGAAAATGAGCAGTTTTGCAGGTTGACACTTACAAAAAACGTAATCTGACTGAATTTCAGTAATTTCTGAACCAAAAAAAGAATCCTTGAAAGAATATAGAATCAGTTTGGTGCGTTGACTTGTATTCTCTCAAAATATCCCATCGAAAATCCATTGAATGTGGCCACACGCAAGATGAACCGCGGTATGACGGCGAGAGTCTGACATTCGTTCTGTTCCACCGTCAGACTGACGAAACATCCGATAAAAAATAGTTTAAAAAATTTAGTTGCGCGATTCATTGAAAGGCGACAAAAAAAAAAACATATCCATCAAAGAATTAAAAAAACAAAAAAATTCTGAAAAAATGCCATTTCGAAAAATGAAGACGCCGAAAAATTTCGATGATTCCGCAATGTCGCACTGATGTCGCGCCAGAGGTTTGGTGTAGTGCTGCGAGTCGGGATCTAGACTTTATCTTGTCGCTATATCGCAATAGCGGCTCATCTAGCGTGCCACCTTTTCGTCTTTTCAGCCGTACTGTCAGATTCAACTAATACAGTAGAATGTTCACAGGCCTCGTTGATGCTTTGGCTGATCCACGTGCCTATCTATCCGAGCAGAAAAAGCGGCAGGAGGCTTTGGCGCACATGGGTGTCGACGACAGCGATATCGTTGAAGTGCCGAGTGCCAACATGAAAACCACGGCCGCAAGGAGCATCAAGCCGGCGCCAGGACAAAACGGATCCTCCGCGGATCTCCTCTCGTTTGCCTTTCCGAAAAGAAGTAGAGCACATGGTCTGATTAACAGGAACAGCTCCGTGCCGCCTTCGGCGAGGAGCGAGCCAAATGTGCCGACCTCGAGCGCTCGTCTCAATACCGATCCGATTGGAGCAACGGCGAGCGTCGACAAGTTCAAAGTAAGAAACGAAATGATCAATTATTCAAATCAGTAACAAGAAAAATATTTTTTTCCAGTGCTTCATAGGCAAGAGAGTTCCTTGCAGCCTAACTTTGATGGCGTAATGGAGTTTTAAGTAAGCAAACTAGTATATTTTACACGGATTTGCGAACTTTGTTGGCTGGAAGGGAAAAATAGAAAGGTTCCCTTTTTGCGAAGTTACGCTGCGTGAAGTTTCTTGTATATGGCTTAATGACTCTGGTTGGAAGAAAATGCGAAAAAAAGATTAGAGGTTTTTCTCTCCAAGAAACGTGCTTTCGAAGAAGAAATTTGAAATAAAATTTTAAAAAAATAATCTTCTCATTTAAAAAAATATGGAATTGAAAAAAAGTAATCGAAAAAAATATTTTTTTCTGAAGTCCAGTTAAAAAGAAGCGTTGTTAAATTCAACCAATTTTTTTAGCTTCATTTTAACAGTAAGTAAATATGATCACAATAGATAACACGGTCTAGGTTGCTTTATCACCGACGGAGGATCTCTTCAGGCTTTACGGCAATGGGGATAAATTATTGTAGTATAACGTGGAACAGAAAAGTTTTGGTTAGTTGCCGAACGGCAATCACAGCATATTTATTACTTCCGCTCGTACAATCAACTTCTGTGGTTCTGAATGCGTTTGAATCAGGCGATGGCGTCGTCTTTTACACGAACGCTGACAAGGCGGTCACGGCCCGCCAGCTCGAATTTTTCTCTGAGTGCTGAGCCGCGCGACTCGGACGCCAACCGCAAGCGGAGTGCTGACAGCCGCGTCAATTTCTCTCCGGCGAACTCGCAGGCCCCTCGGCGCTCCGTTTGCGGCCCCAGTGGTCAGAACGAACGACTCCAGGTCTCTCAGGAATGCGAACCGTTGTTGACACCTCCCTCCCCCCTCCCCCCTTCCTTCTCCCTCTGGAATGAATGCGATAGCCACCAATCCAAAGTTTATTCAAAATTAGGCCTGGGATGATAGTAAAGAACTCCCGGCGTTTTTCGGAGTTGTCTGGCGTATGACTCTCAGCATGAAAAATCAATCAGGAAATTATATATCTTAATCTTTTCTGCTATGCTGTCGAAAATAACGGTAAGAAAATCAGAAACTGTTGATGACCTTGTAAAGGAAAGATTTAGCCGCCAGGAAAAACTTTAATGAGCGTCCGGATTTCAATAGTTTTCACATTAGATCTATTAATAAAAAACGGCAGCTCTTTTTTTCAAAAATACTTTTCTGTATGAAAAGCATGGTTCATTCATAATTTTAATGAATTCTCCAGTTATTTTTCCAAAAAAATTTTTCATCACTTTTTTTCAAATGCGCAAATGCAAGATAAATATTTTTTTCGAGAAAAAGTTTTTCAAATTAATAAATTCTCTGGTTTTCTATTCCAAATAATTTTAATTTGCGAAAGTTTTTCTTGCTTTTTTTCTCATGAATCGATCTGAAGGCTTTGAAGAATTCCTCACAAAAAAATAAAAATTTTTAACTTTCTTCACATCAGTTGGTCTCCAATTCACTTCATTCCCCATAGAACAGTACAATTTTTTCCTGTTAGTATTCGAAAAAAAGCTTTTCATATTTTTTTATCATTGCATCCAAAACTTTTTAATTTTTTTTTACTCATTTTAAACTTTCAGGTTGATCCGATCGATATTGATGATTTGAAACGAGACAAGTCGTTCACAAAACTCTTGAAAAAGTTTCAAAAAGACATCGAGGAACTCAAAAAGAAGCAACAAAAGCAGCGAGACAGCATCCAAAAGCAACAGGTTTGCAATTAGTGGCTTAGAAAAATCGGAGGAAGGTTTATAAGTTGTATTTAAACGAAAGTTCCCTATGAGCTAACATGGACTATAATTAATTCTTGTTTAAAGTTTTTCGACGTGCGTGTCAAAAAAGGTTTTTCACTTGCTTGAAAGCGCGAGCCGAAAAGCAGGGAAACGTAAAAGATTCGCACAACGTGAATGGTTGTGTAGAAAAAAATTTTTTAAAGAAAATTTTTTCAAGGATCCCATTGTTTGAAGGGGAATTCTAACGGTCTTCTTTCCTTGGGTAGTTCTATCATAAAAATAATATTGGACATTCGCCAAAAAGGCGGATCCGTCCAATCACTTTTTTGGAATTCGCCGCGTTTCGGCTCGAGCGTTTGAACAAAAAAGTTTTTCGCTGCGCGCATCAAATTATCTTTGAACGTGGCATAACTCTCGAATATCGAAAACTTCTAAGACTTTTTGGAGCTAACATGGGTAAATAAGCCACTTTTTCAAATTGAGAATAGCGGAATTATCTAGAAAATTATCTGATGATTTGCAAACTAAATAATTTTAGAATTGAGTAAATTCAGGTTCAAAGCAGCTTTCATGACTGAGTTTAGTAATATAAGAATTTTTTTCTTTTTTTAAAAATTTCATCACTAAACTGCTTTCGAAGTGACCGGCATGAAAATCGAATGAAAATAGGTAAATTCATCAAATTCTTAGAGGTCATTAAAATTAACATAAGCTTTTCGTTCCGTCAAATCAACACCGCCCTTTTTATAGCCAGAATTTAACCCCCGCTCTTCTCGTCGGTCCTCGTCCATTGCTTGGATTGTAAGTCGCTGAAGAGAGAAAGTACTTGTTGAAAATAACCTATTGCTCAACACTTACAGCCTCCACTTAACTGTCAAGACGTTACTCATACCGACTAATACCTGGAAAAACACGCTAATGCTTTTTTTGTCCCGTTCCGTCCGGCTTTTTGTTCTTCCTCCTATTAAACAGGGAAAAAAGAAACAGTTTTCAAATGGATTTTTCAGTCTCTTTGAAAAGCAGTCAAAGTCAGGAATTTGGTCTGTGCTGCTGAAGTTATCTAACTATTGTTTTGTTGTCATAGAATTGGGTCTATCACAGAAAAACCGAGATTAACCGGAGTTTTTTAATGAACGCTAGAGAAAAATTGAAACACCTCTTGTAGAAGGTCTTTCAAAGATCCCATTGTTTATAGGGGAATTCAAACCGTCTTCTTTCTCTCGGTAGTTCTATCATAAACCTGATGCGATGCACCGCAAAACAGCCTCGCATTCGCCAATTTTAGCAAACGAACGTCGACAAGCTTATCACCCACAACAGGAGGTCGACGAAAAAGGAGAAAGGCTCTCGAAAGTCTCTGACGGCGTCGGTGAGTGGCGGTGGCAGCGCGGCAACTTCGACGCCTCCGCCCGCCGTCGGCTCCTCTGATGGCACCTGCACGCCCGTCGCAACGTCCTCTTCCTCGCCGGTTCCTGACCTCATCAACAACGATCGCGTTCGTTTCTCGCTCTATAACCTCTTCCCGGCTGGTCTGGGACACGAAAGCACGCTGAATGTCTGAACGTCTCCACCAAAAATAACGCGTTCGAAAGTACTTGGTTTTTTAAAAATCGTGGATATACCTTGTCTTCTTGGCTCAAGCCAGCCGTGAGTTAATTAGGATTTCATCAGTTTCCTCGGGATGAAGTTCCAATCTGATTCTACCCAATTTATGGTCGCTTCCCTCTGTTTTCAATCCCTATGTTTTCTTTTATTACGGGACAGAAAAAATGAGAGGGATTGGGCAAATAAAAAAACATAGGATATATATATATATATATATAAACCCCAAGTGAGAAAAAAAAATTCCAGGTTCGCTCACTGGTCAACAGTCAGACGGACGAATGGTCGGCGATGATGCGAAGACACGACATGGAGGAGTTTGAACTACGAAAATCCCACATCAAAGAGCAATTTGATTTGTTGAGGTTTTAGTTTGTTCGCCTTCTATTTTTACCAGATTTTGAATATGTTTGGTCAGAAGCTTAAAAAAATGTGATTTTAAGAAAGCTGATGTCCGAAGCGCAAAAAAATCAAATGCAAGCTCTGAAGCTTCGATTGGAGGCGGAGGGAAAAGATCTGAAGCAGACTCAAACGAAGAAAAGTATGGAAGATGCCAAGGTCATCCAAATGGTGAGGCTTTTTCTGGATTTTTAAAATACTTTTTCTTTTGAAGGACAAGGGGATCAAGACGAAAGCTGAGAGAGATCGTCGGGTCAAAGAACTCAATGAGAAAAATTTGAAGATGTTTGTGGAGGAGCGAAAACGACTGGCTATCAAGTTGGTTTTAATATTCATTGTTTTGGATTGATTTTGCTTATCAGAACTTTTTTTTGGGTTGCTGATTTTCTTTGTATTTTTCTCTCTCTAGGCATTAGCTTGTTTGACTTTTTCTCTACTCACCGCACTAACTAGAGATCTTTTTTTAGTCCTCCGTTGAGCTTTCAACAAAACTTTTCTGAAATGTACTTGAGAGCCTCTTGAACATACATGGGATACTCTCGGTGAGACCTGAAAAAGGAGATGCGATTTGGCAAAAAAAAAACAAAAAAAAAGGAGGAGGGGGGCTTGACAAAAACCGTAAAACAAATTTTCAGGGCGCGCTAGACGGCGCTACTCCGATCTTATATTGAAAAAAAAAATTCATTTCTTGGGCTTGGCTGTCGTCAGCTATGCTCATCCCATGTATGCTCCTGGATTGAGAACAAAAAAATTTCTTGCAGTTGGTTTTTGATTTATGAAGCTTCAAAGTTTGAGAAAGACGCAAAATTTGATATAAAACGACTATTTCGAGCTTTTGAAGCGTCTTAACCCGAAAACTAAATCTATTGCTAGAAATCTATTTCTTTTTCTGGAATCAGGAGGTCTTGTTCAGCAAAATTTCATCGAAAGTACAACGGGGGGCTCAAAACATTCTTGAGTAGGCTAAATATTAATTTGTGTTCGGTTTTTGAGAAAGACACTTTCCAGGTTTTCCTTAAAGCATATATTGTTTTCGAAACTATTTTGGCATTTTGAAGTTTAAAATCGACGATTTCATTGGTTTTTTTGATTTTTTTCTTTGCAGGGCTCAAAAGCATGAAGAGCAGCTGGCGAAGCGGCACCTCGATCAAGTCGAACAGTTGGATCGGGAAGCTGGTCGAGCTCTCGAGCAAGAAGAATCCAACTTCCGCGAAGACCTGCTCGCGGCACAGCCCACATCTGTTGTTTAATCGATTTTTTTTTTATATAGTCAGTGTGATTGCTGATTGAATTCTCCTTTTCTCTTCCCGATTATTTTTATTTTCGTCGGTTGTGCCTTGGTTTACAATTTACTTAAAGTATTTATCTCACAGAACGACACCGGTTACATTCAAAGATGATTCCTTTTTTTGTCTAAACTTTTTTTTTTGAGCACCCGTCTCTTTTGTTTGTGATACCTGTATATTGTTTTTTTTTAGTTTGGAGTTGTTGTACACAGTAATAGAACCGGTTTTTTTGTGAACACCTTGCTCTCTAGTCGGAATTTCAGGTTCACAGGTTATGGATGTGCGTAACAAGATTTTTCCAGTCTGTTCATGGGTTTGAAAAATTGATTATTTTGGTTTTGAAGCCGTTTAGAATAGTCTATCGTTAGGTTGGATTGCCCGATATGTGTGTTATTTTTTTTTCTTTCTTAGATGTGCCACCTTTTTTTCGGCTTTCGTCGTTCTTTCGTTTCTTTTTTTTCACTTGAGCGTTTAAACCTCCCAATTTATTTTTGCCAAATTAATATGGATAGTGTAATTAATTTCTTGGAAAGCGTCATATTATAAGGCATCGTTCGCAGAGAAATCAATTTCTCGAAATTCTGTTAAACTTACTTCCTCTCTCTTTTTTTTTTCAAATAATAATGTTTTTCGCCGAGGAAGCTTTCATCTGGATTTGCTGTCATATGTGCTCATTAGACTTAATTTTGCACTTGTAAGCGTGCATTGAATGCCCTATTGTGATTCCATTTTCGCATCATTCCAGTCCTTATGTGCTCCCAGATTTTCATTCCGATGACAATAACAAATCTTTCTATCAATTTCTTTTTGCTTGATTTAAATCCCAGAATTGAATATATTTCTTTAAACAAAATATCCCTTTACTTTTCATCCCAATTTTTTTCTCATAAATTTTTAGACTTAATTTTTCAGTTCTGTTTAGTTGAAAATTCGTGTGAACAAATACAATGCAGGAATATTTATTGATTTAAATATTCACATAGGATTATTTGGACTGATTCGAAGGCAGCCGTCGGGAGAACATTCGAAGCCTGACGGACAACACGAGGAAAACTGCGGGCAGCAAGTCGCCGCCGTGAAAGGACAGCATCCTTAAAGATTCAAGGTTCTACGAGATCTCTCGACTAACTATTTTACAGAATACTCAGAATTCTAATTTTATTTTTTCACGTCAAAAGAACAGTCATAATGTAACTGTGTCTCTTTTCTCACACTGGCGAGGCCAGAGAAACATAATAGCGCCACCGAGAGAGTGCGCAGAGATATTCTGAGGAGCGGCTTTTTTAGGGGTCCTTAAGGTTCAGCTCTAGGGACCAACACTTTTTTTCAAATCAGAACAACAAAAAATTAAAAAACCCTTTAGGGACTACTTGAGCTTAGGTGTACGATAATGAACTATAAGGGCTGTTTTTCCTCTATCCACTATAGGCAACACTCTGGAACACTGCGTTCCTAAGTCTCGCGTCTTTAATAACGATCGTTTCTTTGAATCTACTGGAGTTTTATGAAATCGAAAAGAAAACTCCAATTTCGCTAGGTTTTTGGCGTATACTGAGATATTTAGTTGAAAGTAACTGAAACATAATCCCTCGGGCAAAGTCGGAATGGTGGATAATGGCTGCTAAAAGGGAGAGGCTCAAAAAAGGCCGCAGAAAGGCAGGAATAAAATTGACGGGATTTCGATAACTAATAGCTCAAAACTCTTTAAAGAACGTTTCGAAATACGTAGTTTTCTGAATTTCAACATAAAAAGGTGGGGTAACCTAATTTGGAAATAGATTTTTTATAGACATCCAAACTCACCCTCACTCCCATCTTTGTATTGGCAGCACGTTGCGAAATCATCACATTGATAAATTCGCTTGGCGTCGCAAAGATTCGGATCTCTCGACGAAACCGCTTTTGTGCATATTATAGCGACTGAAAACGCATTCTTTTTTCCTGACTGAAGTTTAAATATGATTTATTTATTTGAAACGATTAAAAGAACCGAGTTTATAATTTGAAGTACACTTTAAAAGAGAAATGAAATCTGCATATAAAACGCTCGCAGACTGAATATTAATTGGATTTTCTTCACTGTTTTCGTAAATCCACTTAATGCTACCAATAATAACGGATAAATTGAAGCAAGTACGGATTTTTAACAAAGAGATAGATTGAAAATTTCCGGGGCAACTGACCTAAGAAAGCAACAATGAGTCGCATGCAAATCGATAAACACTGCGCCTTTTTGATATCATTTATGGCTCAAACTCTTGCCCGAATGTTCAAAATATCCTTTCAAAAATTTTCAAATGGCCTTCTTTTTTTCGAGTACCCCAAGTGTGCAGGTGTCGAAGAGAAGCACACAAAAAAGCTCTCAATACTGTAGTTTTTCCTACTTTACTTTTCAGAAACGTAATAATTCATTGTCTCTAAAACTCTTAGGCCAGAGCTGTAAACTTCAAAATAAAACAGTTCATTCAGCACATGAAATGGGCGCCGATATTTTTTAGAAACGTCAGATTGGTCCCTTTAAGGGCAACCAGGAGCCTTGAAGGTTTTTCTTTGAGGTTCACATGCCCCCTAATAGAGACGATTCTTAATATTGCAGTGTATTTCACACTATTTGCGGTAAACAGGAAAGATCTTCTCTTTTCGGCTAAATTTGTAACTTCAAAATTTTCGATGACCGATACGTCATCACGCTTCGAAACCCTGGTGAATCCGCCACAAGAGATCTTCGATCAACTTTTAAAGTGGGTATGTTGACTCTGTATTCGCTTTATCCTTCGAGATTAGTCAGGCGAGACCGAGGGCTGGAGCTTTCAAGCCACCGACTATGACTTCTGGAGAGACGCCTACGATGGCTACTGGTTCTTTGCTGTCATTGAAAAAGGTTATACTGTTAACCAGGGGAGTGTTTTTGGTGACCGGTTGAAGTTTTGATGACACTTTCTTTAAAGTTACTCTTACTGTGAAAAACTCTAGTGGCCACTTAAGAGGTTCCTCATGGACTACTTGGAGAGGACTTATATGTAAAAATCGCCTCTATAAAAGCCACTAGCTTTCTTCTTAGAGGCAACTATAGTTTTTTAGTGGTCTAGTAGCACCGCTTAGACTCCTAAGAGACCGATGGTATGAAAAAAATATTAGCGAAAATTGCGTTGGCGAAGATAACAAAAGCCGCAATATCGCGTGCGGTGTATGCCACCGTGTATGCATACTGGCCCGATATTGCGGCTTTCGTTATTTTCGCCAACGCAAATTTCGCTAATCTTTTTTTCATGCCATCAAGAGACCACTAAATTTTAGCCAATAATGCGACTGTTATAGTGGCCATTATAACCTCATAACCCTGTGGTCACTAAACAATTTTTTCAAAAGATCATATCGATCAAAAAAATTCGCAATACTAAGGATGCCAAAGTGAAAAAAACAGCCTTTTGAATTGGAAAATTTAGAAAAAAAAGTTTGCGAGTTTTTATACTTTTTTGGTTCAATTGAATTTGTTCCCAAAAGTAAAAACTCGAACTTGTCAAATTTTTTGAGAAACTGTCGAAAGAAGGAGTAAAAATGATATCTCGCGTTTGACCTCGAGTTTCCCGCTGAACAGCGCACTACTTGCATGCTGAGCAGGGTAACCCCGCCGTGCTAACACGGGGTCTCCGCAGGTGCCCCCGTATTAAACCCGTATAAGCCCAGCTGATAGAACTTTTGGCACTTTTTAGCCCAACTGAGACCCCGCTTTAGCTCATCTGGGTTACCTATTTTTCTTACACCCGTTGTTCCCCCGTTTTAGCCCAACTGAGACTAAAATAACCTCAGAAACACGGGTTTAATACGGGTACACCCGTTGAGACACCTGCTCAGCATGCGAGTATAGTCTGTTCAGATTTTTATGTCAAGTGCAAGGACGTCATTCAAAAACACTCTGTGGATGGCACGCTTTCTGATTGGTTTATCGCACCATTAGGGGCGGAGCTTGATCGACGACTTGACATTAAAAATCTAAACACACTATATCAATTTTTTCGTTATTCAATCTCTACCTTTTTTTAAATTTTTTTCTTATTTTACGTCAATCATCAATCCATGAATTGATAATAAAGATTTTTCAGAGTCAAACAGTTTCGTAGCCTCGGTGTCACTGGCCCTGTTAGCACCGGAAAATGAGGAGCCGCTCTACTCGATTGGGATGTACTATTGCCGCCCGGAGTTCCGAGGCAATGGGCAAGCTTTGGAAATTTTCCGGAAAGCCCTCGCCATCGTCGGCGATCACAATCTCACACTTTGGGGAGGTTAGAAACCGTCGTCGACTTCAAACATCTCATCGAATGATTTCAGTGGTGGACCTTTCTCCGAAATACGCGTCTAAGTTCGGATTGGACAAGGTGAACGATTGCTGGCACATGTGCACAACGATTAAAATGATCCATGTGAACCTCGACGTTCCGATCTCGGATGAATATCAGACGAAAGTTAGTTTAATGTTTCGAATGGGAAAAAAGGTTCGAAAAACATAATCTCTACATAGGTCGAAAAAGGCTCCATAGAAGTTTTGATTTGTTGGTGGTATGAAAAAGAGACCAGCGAAAATTCAAACGGCGATTTTTCCCCATTTTTTCATATCGCTAGGGTACTTTCCGACGGCCACATTTCCCTCGCACTTTTTTTCCGACTTTTTTTCCAGTTTGTCACGTTTTTTTTTTGCAAAAAACCGTATACCTAATTTTATCAAAGTTGACCAACTTCGTTTCAGCACCTTTGTTTTTTTTTGCAAAAAAAAATTTTTTCAAGTAGTTTTTTTTTCTCCTGTTCTTTCTATTTTGATACAATTTGGCATACTGTCTTTTTTGGCGGGAAGAAAAACGATACTTCCTATAGCGATTTCTCGTGAGGATCAAATTGTAATTTTGAATACTTCTTGTTTAAATTAACATCAAAAAGTTTTACAATTTGTTTCTATTTTTTTCGAATTACAATTTTCGGGGTTTAACTGCAAAATTTGAAAATTTTCTAAAATGAAACTGAAAAAAATTGGTCACCAGTCAAATTACATAAACATTATTAGGTTCTGAGGAAGAAGAAGCTTATTCTTTTTTTTTTAGAAAAAAAAAGTTATGTCAATAGGGGTTGAACGAAGTTGACCGCCAGAAAGTGCACGAGTTCGACCGCACGGTTTGCCCAAAAACAAGAAACCGGCTCATGGACAGGTGGTTCCAGTGTCCTCAATCGTATACGAAGGTGAGGGACAGAAAGTGATTCTGAGTATTTGAAAATGATCAGGTTGTGTTCGACAAGGCGAGCGGAAACATTGTCGGCTACACCACGATCAGGATCATGTTGAAAAGAAAGTTGAGCGTCGGTCCGATGTACGCGATGAACAAGGTAATTTTCAGAGATCTAGAAGGACCTTTTCTTTTGAAATGTGTTTTGAAGATCTGAGCGTTGCTTTTTCGGAATATTTTTTATGATGAATGTACTGAACTGAAGCATTCCGAGGAGACCTGCAAAAATTTAGTGCTGTGCCCACTGATGGCCAGTGAAGACGTTTTAAGAAAAGATTTATTAGTAACGAGAAACCAGACTTTTTGAAATAAAAACTAGGGCCTATATATAGAGTACTGCGGGAGTACATCTCAAAAAAATGTTTCAGAATAAAATGGGAACATTCGGAAATCTTGTCAGAACAATAATTCACTCATTTTTAAGGTGAAAAAAAAATAAATAACATAGGTAAAGTCGGAAAGGGAAAAAAAAAAACGTTCCTTCAAGTGTCAAAGGCTCTTTTTTAAGGTCGCTCTCACAAATGAGGTCACCCTCACAAAGACATCACCCGATAGGGTATACAAAAGATAATCACAGTTGATTGTTGAACCTAGAGCTTATTTTGATTTCAATTTGGAATCCCTTCTAGAAAGATATAGAACAGAAAAGGAGTGTGAAATTTTCTAGAAGGGAAACCTTGACAAATGAGACTAGAATGTGCAGAGCAAGCTTTATGCTTCAATGGTTGAATTTGAAGGCGGCCGCCAGCCGGCTTTTCCACGACGTTCTGGTTGAGATACCCGAGTGGCGAATGCACGACGACATTTGTTTCCTGCACGCCGCCAGCAACGCCGACGTCACCGAGTAACGACCTTTTCTGCTTTTTGAAATACCCTGAATCCGAATATTTCAGTCTTGTCTCGGAATACTCCGGCGGACGGTTCGAGTCGAAAGAGTTCATGCGCGGCCAGTACACTAAGCAATTCATTCCAATTCCTCACCAGTATGTTTACTCAATCAGCGATTGCGCTCACGCAATCGTCTGACGATCAATCGATGACTGTATAAGCAACCACAAATAATAATTCCACTGAGGAAGGTAGAATAGTTTCGTTTTCTAGATATTCATTCCGCTCCGACACATTTTTTTCTCGAGAAAACTTTATTATAGATAAAATTTCGACACTGCCAGTTTCGCTTTATGAACCGAGAAGGGACAGCCAGTCGGTGGAATCCGCTGGAATAGTCGGCTTGACAATTGCAGGCTGTGTGATAGCACTCCTGGGTGTCGGGATCGAGAGCAGTAGTGAGCTGAAGTTCGATTTATCATTCAACGACAGTGTTTCAAATAATTTTCGAACTAATAAGAACCTGTAGGTAGTGTCCTCCATGGTGACATTTTCTTCGAAGCAGTCTTCGATATTACGTTGGTCGGCAAAAGTAATCGTTCGTCTTTTTTTCGGAATGCAATTCCCGCCGCCGCCGGCAAGAACCGTCTCATCGGCCTGCATCTTTTCTCCTGAGTCCGCCAACTCGCTTACTCCTCTTTCTCGCTTCTGAATTAGTTCAGAGATGACTGGAGAATGGGCAAAGACAGGATGCGTAGTTGGCATAATTATCAACGATTGTCAAGCTGAGCCGACTGCGGATTATTAAAGAATGCGCTTAAAAGACATTTCGAACTGTTTTTTGTTTGGGTTGAGAAGACTGTGTTGCATTTCGCTTGATAAAACTGACTTTCATTTTTGTGGGACGATCTTCAAAACAGTTCGATTTTGCTTGCAGCGCGGTTGTTCGCGGTTCATTCGCTCCAGTAACTTTTGAATTGGGCCTTTCTGCCTCCCTGATTAATTCTTATAGATTATAAGAGAAAAAAAAACATACGCCTCGAAAAGCATAAGCCGGACAGTTCGCATATCCCACTGCTGAGAATAAACCTCTTCATTTATGGAATCCCGCTCAAAGCGAGAGAGATCGTTCGAATTTCGCATCTAAAGAAATTTTTTTGTTAACTCAGTTTTTCCACAATTTTTTCTATTTACTTGGGTAATGGATAGGACTTCGACTTTTTTTTAGGAATTCCAGAACGGACCCTGTAGGGGGTAGGGGAGAAACCAGCCCTTTTAGGTGGCGAAAAAGTGGTTTCTATAGCAGTTTAGGAGAAAAAACCCTTTTTTTAGGCGCAGACTTGTTCTGCGCCATTTGGGGTTTAGGCTGGGTTGGAAAAAAAGGGCGTTTCGTTAACTTTTTCTCCTAATCGAACATGTTGTAAAACACAATTTTTAGGATTTTTTAAACACAAAACCGAATATCCCCATTCGGCTAGTTTTCGAGATACGGTAGCTCAAACGTATACGGTGAAAAGCTTCGAAAATCTATATCTCGACAAAAAATCAACGAATCTTGATCAAAGTTGGTCACAAGGTCCAAAAGAATTTTATGCAATTTTTTAAAATCGAATCACTCATGCTTTCTCATTATTTCTCATATACGAGGATTTTTCTCAAACAAATCGAAACCAGTATATGACGTTGCAGTCAGGCGTTTTGTCTCGCTTCTATCAAAATCACAAGAAATACTCTATCTATTGAGCCAAACATAGATTAGGCGAATTTTCCATCTAAGACTCGAAAATTCCAAAAAAAAAAAGTAATTTTGGGTAAGATTCCCGAATAATTTTTTTATCTCTTGTTCTTTTGGCTCGAAACTAGCAAATCGTGATCAGCGCACATTTTTACACCTACTAGGTCATTTCCAGATCGAAACAAAAGAAAAATTTTTTTCACTCAAAAAAATTCTGTCCGGGAACCGAAAAATTTCGTATGCCCTGGGATGGAAATTTCGAGGTTTTTCGCTCATAACTTTTTTCGAGATCAAAGTATCTGGTCGAAACAAAGTTTTTTGTCTCCGTTACAGTTACCATAACAAGGGGAATACACCATTCTAGGTTAACTAAAAAAATTTAAAAAAAAAGGCCATTTTCAAAAACCCCAGAGAGGAAAAGACTTCGTTTTAGGTTCGCAGTTGAAAAACGTTTGAAATTGTTCCAACTGTATTTAAAAACTATATTCAGATCCTAATGAAGAGAGGATTTCTTGAAAATAAATTATATAGGAAAGTGTAAAAATGAGAAGTTTCGAGCTGTGAAAAAAATTGAAGGTAGTAAATCACTAGGACATGTTTTTTTCGGACAGTAAAAATGTTCAAAATTTTAGATTTCTTGTTTAGATCCATGGACACGTTTCTTCAGACATTTTTTCCGCTTTCAGCACATGAAAATATTCAAAGGCATCCTGCGGATGCCAACAAAACTCGGGAAACCCAGTCGCCATCGTGGGGGAGCCACGAAAAAAAAAGGATTTGGGTTTCCCCCGCAATTTTTCAAAATTTAATCAACCTCAACTCAACAAAAGTTTGAAAATTCAAATCATCGAAAATGTTTTCACTGAAAAACATATTCCCAAATTGTGTGCCTTACCGAAAATCAATTAATCATCATCATGAAAAGAAGCTCCAGAAATCATATTTTGATTAAGTCGAATGTTTAACCTTTTGAGGCCTCAATAACTCTATTGAAGCTTTTAATGACAGAAAAACTCAAGTTTTTTTAGCACACAATTTGGGAATATGTTTTCAGTGAAAAAATTTTCGATGATTTGAATTTTCAAACTTTTGTTGAGTTCAGGTGATTAAATTTTGAAAAATTGTGGGGAGAAACCCAAATCCTTTTGTTTCATGGCTCCCCCACGATGGCGACTGGGTTATACTTGTGTTTCGGTCGTTCTTTTCAATCAAAGAAGAACGACTCACCCAACGCAGGAAGAAAAGTGGTGGTTTCCATTCGGCATCAATTTTTTGGCAAAAACCGATGAGAACCTCGAGAAAAACATTTGTTGAGACTCTCGTTTTCTCAAATTTTAGCCCCTGTTTGGTTCATAAAGTACGTTTGAACTTACTACTGACGATATACGTTGCATGCTTTTGATACTTTTCGATATTATTTGAAGTTTTTCTAAAAAGTTGGAGAATTTGGTGTGAGAATAGATGATGTACCTCGTAGTGTGAGTTGAAGTTGAAGCTTTGCAAAAAATACAATGTCGCGCCGACTATAACTATTCCGAATGTCTTCATAGATGTCGGATGATGCAAAACTTTGACTTTCAACTTTTTCTGCTATATCGTCAAGGAAGGCGTCGCGAAGTCTTAAAATGATAACAGTTTTTTCAAAGGTTATTCATTTTTTAATTGAAAAAAATTAGTCTGATGGAATAAGGGGAGAAAAAGAGATATGTTTCTCAGTAGCCCAGGTTTTTCTTCGCTTTTTTGCTTTTTGGGAAAAAATTTCAACTTGGATATTGCACCCAGACGGCGAGCCTTGGAGAAACAGAAGAAAATCAGCGTCGCCCAAATTTTCTAGGTCGCTTACTAACTCTGAATTCAGCTGGGGTCGAATATTTTGTTTGACTATCATTTAAAAATTTATTGAAAAGTGTACGAAGCAGCAGAGGTCGATAGTATCCTTTATTAGGAACAAAAATTTCTGATCATAATCTTCAAGAAGTTAGTCTTGCTTGAAAAACTGCTCGGGGAACTCTAAAGCCGAAACCAACATTTTTAGCCAAGCTAGCAACAACTCGGCACTGTTTTATTTTTTGTTTTATCGTAACAGGACCCTTTTTCTGATGGCTCAAGCCAGTCGCGAATCGACCGTAGACTTACTTTTGACAAAGAACGTCGACGTCAATGTATTTGACAGCGAGTAGAGTAGCGTTTTCGTCGGCAGCGTCACTGAGACATTTCAAAACGCGTCGCATGATCTTTGAATTCTCCTTCAGCGAGTTTGGCATAACCTTGAAAAACTGTCATAGGCTAATCGAAAAAGGGTATTGCGATAACCCCTAAGGTATATCGCAGAGTATGAAGTCTAACGATGGTACCTCGATTATACCTTTGAAAAATTTGAGCAAAATGAGATATAATCGAGGTATACTCTCCTACCTCCGATATGGCTCAGATAGAGTTAAACGGTATTCTATGACCACATTATGGGATATTCACGATGCATTTCCAGAGTTATAGACAAGTTATGTTACTTTCCCGACTCCAGAACGTCCGTATTCATATCACTTACCGCGTCACATATTTTCGTCCACATTATGGCGCTATTCTTTTCGATCTCCTCTTCTTCGTCAATATCTGCATACTCTTGGGCAAGCTTTTCGAGTATTGTTCTCCTGAATTGTGAAGAAGTTTACATACCTAGGATGATAAAATTAAAAGATTACATGTCGCGCGCCAGAGAGCTCAAAAAACTAAGAATCCGTTCGATTTTCTTAATTCCGAACTCAATTTTTCTTTTTTACCCTTCCAAGTGAAATCATCAAGTGTGAACAAGACTTCAAGGTTTCTGCACGGAGCGCAAACTCATTTTACCGATTGTCACAACTCACATCTGCTTTTTCAACTGCTCCTCAGTTCTCTTGTATTTTTGTATTAAATAAGACCAATCGATACGTGATATTTTGTTGAAAGCTTCTTCTGTTTCTCCTCTAGCTAAAAGTCTCGAGATCGCAGCTTCAGAAGGCGTAGCTCTGTTCATAGTGTCCTCTGAAAATTACTTTTTCCAAGTGATCATTATAATAGTTGCACAGCAACAGCTTTGTGATATCGGCAAAAATCGTGGGTTCAAGACCAACCAAAAAAGCTCCTCCAGCTTTTGCGGCGAACAATGTCTACCTCAACTGGATTTGACGTCGACGGTTCTTTCTGAAAGCTTTTTCAAATGAGTTTATTTGCGGGTTTTCGAAAAGAGAAAGGAAAACTGGCAGGAGTTGCTTCCCAAAAGTCGTTCTAGCGTCTATCAATAGAAACAGTTTTTGTCTGTAAATTTAAAAAAAAAAGCTCAAGTTTGTTGCAGAAATTTCGGAGCTCGATTTTCTTCAAAGGTTTTTTTTTGTCAATGTTTCGACTTTCTCATGTTGATTCCCACCTGACTTGTAGCGACCTCGGACAATTTTCTACGGAAGGCGGATACAAAATGAATGTAAGGTACACGAAGTTCCTCAGCGATTTCAAAGTACCCCAAACGGTCCTCATGGAGTTCGAGGGCTTTTGTTAGAACTTCTTCGGGGATGCGGCCACGTTTCGCGCAGTAGTTCGGGTCCAGCGTCAGAACCGCCCTTCGCTGAACCTGAGACGCGCTGCGGTGCTCCAGGTTTTTGCCTCAAACCAAAGGAAATTGAAGAAGAACAAGGAAGTGTTACAAAGTTGAGGCCACATGCCAAGAGCCATCATCTGTGAATCTTGCGCTTTCTTTTTTTTCACCTGAACTACAAATTAATTGGTTTGTTCATAAAATTTTGTTAAGGGAGTCAAGGGAAAAAAAATTTTTTTCTTATGAGGTGTTTCAAAAATTCCTTTTTTTTTTGAAAATGTTCACTGTATAACTCATTCCGCGCCAGCTTGTCATGGTTTTCATTGTCCTCTGAGCTACAGAACCAATCCCTTCGACGCGCGCGGTCTTTATCTATACATGCGCCTTTATTATAACTTAATTTTCAAGCCAAATAAAAGGGGCATGCGCACTGGTTAACTCTGTGCTCGCAGAGAAACAAAACCGTGACAAACTGGCGCGGAATGAATAAACTATCTTTCTGAAAGCGCAGCCAATTAAAAAAAAACTTTTTTAAAAGGTTGAAGAAGTTTCGCCTGTAATATTTCTGAGATTACAATTTTGCTGGCATCAAATCACTTCTCTAATCGACAGTCTGTGTGGGACAAGGCCGGCGTAAAATCTGGCGTCTGCCTTCGGTAGCTTGTGCTCCGTCGCAAACCTACTCCAGTTTTCGGCGATGATCTGATCTTCCTCTGGTGTGAAATTCTTGTAAGGCAAGTGCCGAATGCCTTCAAAAATCCTTTTATCATTTCATGTTGTGGGGGATTTCGACCATATTCATGCAAGCGCTCAACGTGCTCAGGGAGAAGTTTCAACGGCGCCGCGTGGTGGAACAAATCCCCGTTTTGGTTCAGGACACCTTCCTCTGGCATCTCGACTCTAGAAAACAACGGTAGGCATTGAAATCTCAAATTCATTCCAGGTAAAAAGTCTTACATTCTTTCCCCACTACAGTGGAACCAAATCCAACGTGTTTTGCGGCCTCGCATCTTTCTGAGAAAAAAGAAACGGTTTAACAAAAATTATGAGCTGCAAAAGTAATGAATCGACTGAACGTTTCAGTAAAGAGAAAATATTATTTTTTCGAAAAATTCATTTCAAAAAGGTGAAAAATTCAAATTCGAAAGCAGAGATCAATCTTCTTCAGCCCAACTAGCTTCAAGTTCCTTCAGTTGATCCGTACGCAACTCGTCGTTGTTGACATCGGAGGTGAACAGAGGCAACAAGACGTCGCTTTCAACCTGGAGGTAGATGATCACAAACTTTTCCTATTAGACTTCTTACGAATTCCTTGAAAGCCGTTGGGGGCACCCAGTCATCGCAAAGGTCGAGCATGTAGATCACCGTGGATTCGATGACCAAGGTTTTCGACATGAAAGGCTTGCCCTTGCAGTTGATGTGTTTTTTCGACTCTCTTGTCTACAGAAAAAAATGATGAAAGAAAATTTTCATTTTGAAAAACCTCTTCTATCCATGAAATATACAGTGAATTTCGTTCAAATCGTCGTTGCTTCCTGTTTCTTTTTTTATATGCCTTTTCGTCTTCAATCAAGTCTGTGATTTATTAAATACCTTTATAATTTTGGCTAATTTTCAAAACCATCTATATACGGAGAACCGACAGGAACCTGGTCGTAGTGCTCTCGAAGGTAATCCGGAAAACCTAGGGAAATCATCTGTCGTCGACAGGCCAAATTCAGAATGAACAATTTATCTGAGAAGGCAAACCAAGTGATTTTTCAAATTCTCCAACAAAAAAAAAAACCAATAAGTGTCAGAGGAAACCACATCAAATCGAAGATTTGCGTTGAAAATCTGAAATTGATGGAAAAATTAAAAGTTTGAAAAATTCTTCTTACTTGGAAATCAATTTCGAAACCCTATTACATAGGTACTCCCACTCACTTTCCCTTTTGTGCTTGTCAAAGTCGAAGATCCCTTGACTTTTCAATCTGAAAAGCTCGCTCGTTGAGTTAATCAGAAATACGAGCTTACAAATCGATTAGCTCGTCGTTTTTGAACATTTTAGAGCGATATTTTGCAAACAAAAAGTTTTCAGACGGAGCAGAGATGTAGAAAATCCATAAACAACGAGCATACTGCACCCAATTCAGCGGCGACTTCTTGACCACAACCTGAAAGTTCTTAACGTTCATATCGGTTTTCTGCTTTTTCGAAAGCGAAAAAATGACAAAGAACGGTCAAAAACCTGCGCTAAAGTCAGTTTCCATGCCGTTTTGACATCGTTCGTCGCGTTAAATTCGGCGAAAGTTGAGCATAACGACTCGAAAAGTTCAGTCCTGAACGAAAAATGATAGTAACGAGAAACTCAATCATGTTTCAGCACCAGATTTTTTTGCAAAAACGAACATCTTTTTCCATTGAGCGGGCGCATTCATCCCAGGGAATAAGGCTTGTTATTCCTTCAAGCTCGTGTCCTTCTTCTTTTCCTACGACTTTTCGCAGCTTCTATATTTTCTTCCTTCTCGACCACTTTTATAAATGAAAAAACCTTAGACAGATGAGATACCGAGTTCGTTACAATATCTGAAAAAAATATTACAAGAAAAAAAAAGATATTTTATACCCCAAAAAACAGGAAAGAATTCCTTTTTCGGACTTTCTTCTACTCTCAGTATTTGGGTCACTTTATTTCGGCAGTCCGTTACGTCGCGTTTCATTTTCTAGAATTCCAGCATAATTAGTCGGGAAATGCGCAGTTTGGTACCCTGGACAGCTCAAGAAAGTCTTTATCACATTTTTTGAAAAGCTTCATCAACCTTGTCACTTCTTCTTTCGACCAGGCAACATTTCTGTGAGAAAATTATATTCATGTCTGAGTGGAAAGTAGCAAACCGTTTGTAGGGAATGAGACTCTTGAGAGAATCAACGAAACTATCTTTATCGGCGTTCCAATCGACTTTCTCCAAATTTTCTACGGTTGCAATTCGCCCCATTCGGTAGTAAATCTGACGAGCCGATCTTTCAAGTAATCCTGCACCTACAAACCCGAAAAATATTTTCAGCCTTCTGCAGTTTATTTTACATAATTTCGGCCAAAATCGGGTTGTGTCCTGGAAGAATAGCCTTTTTGAAGATAGGGAATCTTTCTGAAAAGTTGAAACAATTTTTTTGTTCTCTTTTGTTCTGATCTCAGGGTGGTGTGAAAAAAAAAAGCTAGCGAATTCTACAACGGCGACTTTTCTGATTTTTTCATATTGCCAGGAAACTTTCCGACTTTTTTCGCTTATATTTTTTTCGGTTTATAAAACATCTATTAATATTTTTTTCTCTTATTTCTTTGTGTTTTAATCATGAATAACTTGCCTAATTTGTATAGGGAGATTCAAAACGAAGAGTTAATGGAGAAAAAAAAAGTTGGAATAGATTTTCCGGAACTTTCCCTAGCGATATGAAAAAATCGTAGAAGTCGCCGTTCGAATTTTCGATGGTCTTTTTTTCATACCACCAATCTCACTGACTATTTTTAAATGCAAAACCCTAGATATTTACCGTTTTACCAACTCTCCAGCCTATAAATTCTAAAGCGCATCGCACATCAAGACCGTAACTATCAGAAAATCTGAATTTACTTGCTTTAAATTTCGAATTACAGAGCAAAGGACCGTTTCCAGTTTGATAGGATTATGGCATCTTCCTCGGCGGAAAATACATGGTCCCTGTAGATGACACCTAGAGAAATTTATTCCAGTTATGTGCTACATCTTGCATATATTTCGCTTTTTACAATCAAATTTCAGAAAAAAAAAACCGCATTCACGTAGTCGTTCAATGTGTTCCGGGTGTAAAAGTGAACACCCTATGTGGTGGAATGGTTCCTCGTCTTCGTTGTATATTCCATCCTGACAAACATGAACTCAAATATTGTATAAAAGCAAACTTTAAAAAAACCTCTGGCAGCTGCAGCTTTCTAGTTTCGCGCGTTTTTGACCACTGCCGGCCACTTTGTTCTTTGAGAACTGCTTCGAGCAGTTTTTCTTCGAGATACATTTTCTTCGCACTGAGTGTAAAGAATTATGATATGAAACGAACTATTTCAAAAATCATTTTTTCGAACCACTAGTTTTCAAACGAATAAAAAAAGTTCATGCCGGGTTCAAAAACGCCCGTTTTTTTATGGCGTGTTCGGAGAAACTATCGGAGAAACGGAACATGCTTATGCCGTGTTCAAAGTAATTTCCGCGAAATGCAAAATGGTCTCTGACCCTCCAAAGTTTAGTTATCTTTCTCTTTCTCTGACGGCTATTTTGAATTTCGCGGAATCACTTTGAACACGGCATTAAAAAAGAAAAATTGTGTTCATCGGCGCGCCAAAGTTGCTCCAAAACTAATTTGTTGGAGCATTTTTTTGCGTTTCGTATGCATTTTGGCCCTCGGGTGTTTGCACGCTTCCACCATTTCCAAACTTTTCAAAGCTGCACCCAATTTTGTGGACTACATCGCAGCGAGAGTAACGCTATACCGCGGGGGAGCCGCGAGCGATATCGCTCGCCTCTCGCTGCGACCTCGCAAACGTCTTGCGCTATATAGCTCTGAAAAAAATTTCGTTTGAAAAATTCTTTTTTTCTTTAATTTGATTTATTTCATCGTAAAAAGTCAAAAAAAGAAAAAAAAAAGATTTTTTTAAATTTCGATTTTCTGAGAGGGAGCGTAATGGCAGCGAGACTTTGACGAGGTCGCAGCAAGAAGCCTTGGCTATATCGCCTGCGGCTTGCTGCGATTTAGGCTTTGTTGGGTGAGCTTCGAACACGCGCAGCGAAGCAGTTTTCATTTTTTATTCACTGCTAGCCGTCTCGAGGCAAAACTCAGCTGTCTAAAATTTTTAAATCTTCATACATTTTCCGCTCTATAACGGTCATTTCTATTTCGCTGGAACTACCATTAACGGAAATTTACATTTGAACTTTTTTCACGCGTTTTTTTTTGTCTCGTTTGTGAATTTTTTTTTCAAATTTTTTTGCGGTTAAGAATTTCTGTTTACAGCTCAAAAATGAGTGATAACGCAATTGAAGACCCTATGGATGGAGAGTACAGCCCGGTAAGTTAAGTTTTTTTGATGCTGCTTATTTCTGTTGAAAAAAAAATCCTTTTTTTTTTGAAGAGTCTTTTCAAAGAAAAATCTTACAAATATAAATATTTATTACATTACGAAAGTTTAGGTAAACGAAGTGGCGGGAGGAGGAGCGTTAAGTGTAGAAGGAGCGATGCACGATGATGAAGGTAATTATCTGGAAGATCGAGAGATGACCCCAGTACCTGAAGATGCAATTCAAGACAATAATCGCAACGAGACGGGTTTGATAAAATAGTGAAAATTAGTTGAAATATCGTTTTAAGAGCGCCCTGCGGAGAATTACCAACCAGAATATCACGAAGGCGAAGAAACTCCTTGGACACACGACTACAAGCCGGCGGAAGGGGCTCCTCCTTTTCGCAACGATGAAGACTTCGGTCTCATCGTCAGCACATCGGCAATTGAAATCGAAACATTGCTAGCCAATTATTCCGGGATTCCACTTAAGAAAAGGTTGTTATCAGAAGTTATCAATTTTTTTTTATTGATTTTTTTATTTTCAAATTAGGAATTTCTCTTTTGACTTCTATTCACGTGGTTAAATTATTGACAAGATCGACAGCAGCGATCGCGCAAAAAAATTATTTTCAAGTTTGGCTCCGGAAACTCATTTTTGAAAAATCCGTTCAGATTTCTTCGTTTAAAAATCTATTTAGATTTTTTTATTTTACTTTTTCCTCATGGAGCCTGTCGAAGTTCAGAAATGCCATCGATTCAATTTTGAACAACTTCCAGGCTTGAATTCGTGATCGACCATTGTCCACCGTTGCGTAGAGAAGCCACAATCGCCTTGATCAATTATTTGAGAAGCAGTACGAAGGATGTTCAAGCCTATTCGAAGTTTCATTCTCAACTGGAAACTCTTCAGAAGCCTACTACGTGCCAAGTTTTTCTACGGGGTAAATATAAAAAACTAGAGTTGATAACAGATTCCGACGCCAACGTATGACAAAAAGTGGGTGGATGATCAGACGGTGAACAATAGCACTAGGCAGGAACATCTTCTCTGCGAGTACAAGAAGCAGAAAGAAGAAGGCGTCAAGGTTGTTTCATTTAACATCATTTGAAAATAGTGGAAAAAAAAAGTGAAATTCGGGAGATTTTAGAAAAAGTTTTTATAAAAATATTTATTTATTTTCTCAAATCTTTTTCATTTTTTTTTTGGTTCAAGTGAACCGTATTAAGCTTTGCAGGAATCTAAATAATTTAAAGAAGCTTCGAAAAATTTTTCTAACTGTTTAACCGATTCCACTCATCTTTATCGTCATTATTATTCGACTCAAAGCTATATATTTTGGAAAAAAAAACTATGAAGTAAACATTTTTTTTTTTGAGAAGTCAGCAAAATTCCATTTCCACTTCGAAGTTTGAATTGATGAGGCTTTAAGAAACTACGAATTTCCTATTTTTAAAACAAATTTTAAAGAAGTTGTAACAGAATATTCGAAGATTAGCTAAAAAAAAACTGTTAACAATTCTATTCAGTAAAAATAACGTTTTCTTATCGAAAACAGAAATTCCTTTTAAGGAGTCAACTCGAAGAGCGATGGAGGAACTATTCCAGTACTATTTGAACACGGGAAATGCACCGGAAGCGTCCCGCTTGTATGGCCGGGGCATTCGCGACTACTGCAATCAGTTCAAGCACACAATTCAGGTCCGCTGATGATTTTCAGACTTTTAAGAAATTCTCCCAAGGGAAAAAGTCGGTGAAAAATAACATGTACAAGAATGATTTTGAAGAGAAAAAATTGGCATGTTAACTGGAAATAAATAAATACGATTGAGGCCTTCACGGGATTCTGAGCCAGTTAAGAAAGATGGTTAGGTAAAAATTGAGAATCGCACAAAAAAAAATAGAAAAAGCATTATGAGTAAGGACACATTGCAGCATGGCGGAGGGAAATTAAATTGATTGCAAAGAGATAGAAAATAATTCATAAATTGGATCAGAACAAGACCAAAGTATGGATACAACATTTTGACGGAGTCTGTTAGAAATGGAAGCACAAAAAGGAAATTGTTTCCTGTTTGAGAGCCCACGCTGGCTTCTTTCTAGGGGATCGCGAATTTTTCCCGATTTTTTTCTCGCAAGAGACCATTTTGAACGCCTGAGTTGATCAAAATTTTATGAAAAAATGTTTTTTCCAGATGTGGGTGAACTGGATTGAAGTGTCGCTTGCGATTCCGGAATGGAGCAAAGTTGATAGTTTGATACAGCAATCTTTGCGGACTCTACGAGATTCAGAGGAAGCTGAAAAGGTACAACGTTGACCAAAAAAAAGTATGAACATTTCATAAGCTTTTCCCCAAATTAAGGCTGGCAACAACCGAGCTTCAAGACCCATGCAAGAGCGGGGTCATCAGACCACCTCTGGAATCAATAAACAGTTGGTGGAGATCGCCACAGTGAGTGGCAATCCAGTCGGAACGGAAGTAAATGCTCATTTTAGGCGAAAATAACAGCCGCACAGGCGCTCGTCAGAATAAACCAAGGCAACTACAAGATGGCCGCTGCTAAAATCCTTGAGGTTCGAAATGAATTGATTCTTTGATTTTTGACAAGTGTATGGTATGTGATAAATAAGTAGGAATTAATTATCAAATTTTAATATCTGCCTTCAAAGAAATTTGTTTTTCATTATTCAATAATTATTTTTATGAATTATTTTTTCACATGTAAGACGATTTTAGTTGGAATCGCTTGGCTAGAACATATCGATAGGGTATTTTCTCAGATGACGGATGAATTGAGGTCATATTCACATAGTGTTTTGGCAAAGTTCCCTAAAATTCTGAATTCTCACTAGGGAACCAAGTGAGTTCAAACTTTAGTGATTTATAGGCTTAGGTCTAAATACGCGAAACACGAGAGAATATCTGCTGACTGAGAAAAAAATGTGTATATTTGTCGGCAAAATTTCAGAATACTGCTTTTTTTATCTTATTTATTGTTAAATAATCCGTTTATGATATACACTAAAAAAATAATGTTTCCAGTCAAAAAACAGTATGAAGAAAAGCAGAAATTCGATAATTTTCAAGCCTAAACTGTTCTTTTTCAAAAAGCTTTTTCTCGGTACTTTATTGTGTTTAGCTGATAATATTTACTTTTTTCATGTAGTCTAACCTAGATTTTTCAACCACCTCAGTTTAAACTTTGATCCATGAATGCGTAGTTCCCTAGTCAGGTGAAGTGGACGGATTTTGGAAATTTATATTAATATTGCTTTCGGTGGCGGGGCTGCACGTGACTCGATCTCATCTCGAAACAAAATGCGTACTTCTCGAGCTTACTTCTCCTCTCAAAAATTTTCGAGAGATTCCGAGAAAGAAATAATGTAGAATAGGAGCAGAAAGACCAAAGTTTAGCGTGAAATGTGATGATCCCGATGCACAAAGAGCAAATTAATCAGAGAATTGACGGATAAAATGACAAAAAGTGGCCGAAAACACTCAAGAATAGTTTTTTTTTCATTAACGAATCTGCAATTTGAGTTTTCGCTCATTTGGAAAGTTTTATTTATTAATGTTGAAATTCGAAATTTTTTTCTGTTTCTTTCCTATCTACTCAATAATGATACGAAAAAAATTTTTCGTTTTTTTGATAGTTTTTAAGCTCTTTTTTTCATTCACATAGAATTATTTATTATGTTTCTCAATCTCGTATTGATTTTCGATACGAGCTTACTTCTTGTCTCGAAAGTTTTTTGGAAAAATTTTCTCGTCTTGATCTCGTCTCGGTCCTAAAAAATCACTTCTCTTGCAAGCCTTATCGGTTAGATACGTTACGACCGTATATTCATATTTTGTGCCATTTTTCATCTTTGCTGTGTAAAAAGTCTTTTTTTTTTTGTCTCGAAAATCCTCGAGACGAGATCTGATTTTTTTATCTGCACCTTGAGACAAGACGAGATTTTCGATTTCTGACCAAGACGGGATCTCGTCACAAAATGTTTTAAAAAATCTCTAAGACGAGATCGGATCTCGTGCATCACAGTACCAAACTAACGGAGCACGTCTTCAGTTTTTTATTCAACCTTGAATAAAACATCAAATGGGCTCTGTCTAGAAGTTTGTTTTGAAGTTGACGGGAGTTGACCACCTTTCCTCCTCGCAATGGTTCGTTTCTGTGGCGGACCTCGGCGCCTACGCCACAATGTGCTGTCTTGCGACGTATAGCCGTAGCGAACTCAAGCAAAAAGTCGTCAATGAAGGCGCTTTCAGGTTTTGTTATGAATCATCTTCTCATTATAGCACTTTGTGACTGCTATAAGCTGAAATGATCAAATTCTAGACATGAGCTAACTCGTACTCACAAGGGAGGTCATTTGCAGTTGGGAAGTTCTAAAAAATCGGCCATAATGTTTTTGATGTACCAGGTAGATATCCTGAAAGTTTGAACCTTCACAAATACCTAATTTTCGAGGAATAAGAGCCGAAAGCCTGAAAATAGTCTATTTGAACTGGTTTGGAGGGTTTTTTTCGACTCTTAAGTTTCCTTTTTATAAACTAAAAAGTAGTGCAAGTTTAAACACTCAGAATTTTTTTTGGTTTATCAAGGAGTTTTCTGACCAGTTTTCAGGAAATCCCCAAGAAAAAAAGTGAAATGACCTTTCTCTCAATTAAGATTTCTTTCTATATTTTCTATATTCATAACTTCTCGTAGAGATAAAAAAACATAAAACACGAGATTTCATGTCCATTTTCATTTTACTCCAATTTTTTTGGTATGTGTTTTTTTTCTACACCTTCTACGTTCGATTTTGAATGAAAAAAAAGAATTTTTAAAATTTTCAGGTTTTTTTAACTTAAGACTGAGTAACTAGGGTGAATTTTGAATTTTTGATTTCGAAAAGTTTTGCAAAAAGATTTTCTGCAAAGAATTTGATCAGATTTAAAATACTGAATGTTTAGGAAATTACTGGAATCTGAGCCTTTGTTTGTCGAAATGCTCCAGGCCTTCATCAAAAGCAATTTTGGCCGGTGTCTGGACATTCTGGCAGCGGTCGTTGATAAGGTTATAAATGTTTCGAAATCCAAGTGAAATGATTTTTTCAGCTTTCACTGGACCCGTTCCTCTCAAGACACGTGCCGGAACTGGTCAAGTTGATCCGCGAACGCGCCGTTCTACAGTACTTGGCTCCGTTTGAGACTGTTCGCCTCAGGCCGATGTCCGAGACCCTCAGATGCACACAGAAAGAAGTACGGGCTGTGGTATTTCTAAAAATTGAAGGGATTTCATGATTTCATTATTACTCAGCCCCTTTTCATTTTAAACGCAATCTCATTTTTTTACAAAGAAAAAAACAGAATATAGTGAAAAACTTTGAAAAATTTCTATCACAAGACATATAATTCATTTTAGAGAAATGAAAAAAATTTTTTTTGTTTGGAATCGACTTACTAGATGTAAAAAAATGTGTTCTGTGTTAACGATTTTGATGAATAGAAGCCAAAAAAATTGAATAAGTTTTTCAGTATTTTTACTCAGAGATGTGTTTTTAGATTTATCGGGTCACAAGTGGAAAAATTGCCTAATCCAAGTTCCCAAATGGCGCAGAACAAGTCTGCGCGTTTTTCTGAGAAAAACATGATAATTCCCTTCTCCTGTGGGCGTTGCCGTGAAAGAAAGTCGGAGGTTTTCAGCTGGAAGAAATATTGATCGATATAGTGGAACGGAAGAAGATGAATCTAAAGATAGATCGAATCGGCGACATGGTGAGAGTGACGTCGTCGGAAGCCGAAGAGTCTTCCTACCGAAGGTTTTTTCGTTTCCAAGGCTTTGAGAGTGTTCAATGAATACATTTCAGGGTGATTCAAGTGTGTGATGAACTCGTGAACAAGGCGAGGGCTGTTCTGTACCGAGCGATAATGACAAAGGTTCTCTCTTCGGGTTTGGATGTAGAAACCAATCGTTTAAAGGAGAATGTCGTGGTATTGCACGACAAGGAATCGCGAGGAAAGCGAAAGACCCATTTTGCCGAGGGCAACCGCGGAGCGAACGCCAACAACACGGAGAAGACGACGAAACCAAAAGGAACAGCTCGGCCGAACGCAGCAGCGGCCAAGGTGCCGACACAACCCGACCCTTCTCGAGAAGTTTTCATTCCGAATGATGGAAAGAAACAAGAAAGTAAAGAGATATCTTTAGGATCTCCAGAGTGGCCTATAGGGAATACCTCTGGGGCCCTTTGAGAGTCCCCTATAAGGACCACGAAATCTTGAGATAGTCTGTTCAGATTTCAAATGTCAAGTCCTCGCTCCAGCTCCGCCCCCCTAATGGCGTGATAAACCAATCAGAGAGCGAGCCATCCACAGAGCATTTTCGAATGACGTCATTCTATTTGACATTCAAAATCTGAACGGACTACATATTTCTCATGAACTCTATGTGAAGAAGCATTTCCATGCCAAAAACTAACTTGTTTGTAGTCAATTTTTCCTGTTTTTGAAGGCGGGATGAGTAGACTCACAAGCGTGAAGCGTTGCGTACGCGACGCGGCTTTTTGGTGGGACACTTGAGGTCAAACGCGAGCCATAATTTTGTCTCCTTTTTCGATAATTAGAAGTAGAAAAATATTGAAAAAAAAGTTTCTTTATCTTTCTATAATTTTGTTGGACCTAGAGTTTCCCGCTAAAACGCGAAATATTGACTAAAGTTCATTCCGCCAAAATACCATACGCCAAATTAGATCGAAATTGAGAATCTTCGCTTCAATACCTTTTGTGTATGCTGTCTTTTCAGCAGTTCTGTAAAGCAAAATTTTGTATTTACAGTAGCCTTTTCTTTTTTGTACTTTTTAAGACTCGCACGGATCGCACTATATTCGAAATAAAACTCAAGTTTCACTTTTTCCAACAAAGCTTGCTTCCACACAAATTCCTAGTTTCTTAGAAAGGACATCTGAAAGTCGGAGAAAGATTTGTTGAGGTTGAGGCTTTCAGAAACTTTTTTTTTCAACCCCCGCGTAAAATGAACTCCCTTGTAAGTTCCATCAATCGTTTTTGGGTTTTCAAAATTTCCATTTTTTTTTCAAACATTTTTTGCGCTCCTATCCAAAATTATCATAATTTCTTTTTTCAAACGAAAAAGAACATTTTGCAGCCAAATGAACCTCAAGTGCCCCTGGAACATGTCGCTGAGCCCGTTTCGGAAATGTTTGTGGTTGAGGAACCAACAGTTTGAGAGCAACATCTGGTTTGACCGTATTTTACAATTTACGTGTATTTTTCGACTTCTGTTGTTTATTATATCTCCCGGCGTTTTAAATAAACTATGACCGCATGATTATTTTTCGTGGCGCCGATTTTCGAAAGTTTGAAAAGTCGCTAAAGTTTTTCAGTCGTCAGGAGCTGCAGCCGAAATTAAATATGGTGAGATCCATTTTTTTGATTATTTTTTTAAGTTTTCTGAAAAAAAGTTCAGTTCAAAAAAATTGAAAAATTTTTTTCATTTCTTTTTTTCCCTGTAACTAAATTTTTTTGCTGATAAACTTTTTTTTTACAAATCTGAAATAACGTAATGAAATTTTTTAAAAGTATAAAAGTCGAAGTTTTTCAGTTGGTTTTTTTGTTTCAAATATAACACCACCAATTTGGTTAATAAAACAATAATGAAGAAGGATGAAAAAAAGAACTTTTTTTTGATGAAAAATAAAAATTTGACCATCCCGTTTGTTTTGAACGGCGTCTATAGCCCATTCAGCGCCAGATTGTCACGTTTTTTCTCTCTGAAAAAAATACCGTATACCAGATTAAATCGAATTTGGCTGTACTTCGCTTCTAGACCATTGTTTTTTGCACGTTTTCTGCACTATTAAAACGTGATATTTTTTTGTTTTCATTTGTTTTTACCGCTTCTCAAGTGTTATTTTCAAGTTTTTTGAATGAAATTTTCCACCATGATTGTGAGATAGTGGATATAAAATCTAATGGCTGAGTTATAATAATAAATAGTCTCTGAAGGGGCCTGACACGAAATTTGAGTGGGCCACGACAGCTGTGTGGGAAAGCTTCCATCTTTTTTTTGAATGCTTTAAACGTTTCTTCCGCTATAGTGCATGTTCATGCTTCAGCCACTTGATAAGCCTTTTTTATTTTTAGTCGCTCGATATTGTTTGAATCTGTGAGTTTTCTGAAAATAATCGGTAATTTTGCATTTTTTTTTTCCGCTTTCTCCTTGCAAAAAAAAACTGACAAACTTGTTAATTTTTGTATAGGGCTATAAAATATCATCAGAAAAAGCTACCTTAACAGCTTTCTCTGCACTTTTGCTCTACAAAACAGCAAAAAAAACAAAGGTCTTAGGGTCAAGTTTGATTCAAATACGGTCTTTTTGACAGAAAAAAAAAATTTAACAAGGCGGCTTAATGGCTTCAGGTTGAAAAAATATTCTGAAATGGAGTAAGTATGTTTTTGAGACATCTTTTCACGTTTCGTATCTTATAAAAAGTTTTGGGAAAAACGGCATTACCATACGTCTGAAAGGGGGTTATTTGTCTTTTGACCATATAAGGTGGGAGAGAGGGGCGAGAAGAGTGACCTGGCTGAATGCCATTGCGCGCGTCCCTTCCACCATCTTTTGTGCTCCTCGTTTGCTCTCTACGTCTCCTCACAATTTTTTCTCGATCAGCCTTTTTAAGGCGTGAATCAGTTTTTTGGTATAGCATATTCCGCGCCAGCTTGTCACGTTTTTCTTTCCGCCAAAAAGACCGTATACCAAATTAGATCAAATTTCTGCTTTTATAACGGCAAGAAACAAAGGTCTTGAAGCGAATTTGTTCAAATTTTACCTGGCCTTTTGGTGGAAAAAAAAACGTGACAAGCTGGCGCGGAATGACCTATAGAACTGAATTACTGTTTTTCAAATACCGACTCGTAAATATTTCAAATGACCTTTTTTTGGTAGCTCGTTTTGCGTTACAGTGGAACGGTATCTTACGAAAACCCTTATTTCGTGTTAAAAGTAATTTCCTCGAAATCCAAAATGATCTTTGGCTCTCCAAAATTCAGTCATCTTTTTCTTTTTTGGACGACTGTTTCGAGTTCCTCGGAATTATCTTGACCACGGCATAATTCATACTTTTAGATTTTCCTACAGTTTTTTCCAAGACTTTTCTTTACACAGACTATGCTACTACAGCAAACCACACCTTTCAGATCGACAAAATAAAAACGAGGTGAAGTTTTAGGGAAACATGACAAGTATAGTAGCGACGCCGTCATGCTCGATGCACACGCCGGGAAGTCCCCGACGGTCAATCCGGTCTCTAGATTCTTCCGGAAATCGGTCTTCGACGACACCTCGCTCCAACACGCTGCGGTCCTCGTCTTCCTCATTGGAGGTGAAAGACTGATTCCTTTCAAATGACATAGGCAAAGTTGGAAAGGGTCGGGTCGGAATAGGCTCCATAGAAATGTTCCTTTTTTGCGCCATCTCATCGGCTCTTATGCATCATTTTTGCTGTCTTTTTGAGCCTCTCCCTTTCAGAGCTCATTATCCACCATTCCGACTATATCTGAGGTTTTTTTAAATTTCATTGGTTAACCTGTATAATGTATCCTTTTTAATAAAATCGGCGGGTGAGACTCCTCACTGTTTGGAAAATCTAACTTTTGACGATGAGTTTCGGATAAAATCGGATAAAATTTCAATTGGAGGATAAAAGTGTTAAATGCTCAGATATACAGAAAAATTTTAGGAACGTCTGATATCGGTAAAGTCTAAATTTGGAGCTGACTACCGCAGATTTTGCATCTCAATCGGAGGCGGACGATCTTTGCCGACATTCGAAGATTTTCAGGTTGAGAAAAATCTCGAATAGACTCGGTTTAAGATTTTCGTTTTTCTCAGAAATCACTTCATGACGTCCATAAATTGACCGAAAATCAAAGAACGACGACTTTGTTGACTTACGTGTCGCTCGACGGGACCGTCCTGCCCTTGAACAACAATGAAGTAAGTATTCCATTGGTTTCTTGATTTAGGGAGATATCATGATTTTTGCAGAGTCAGAGACTATTTTGAATTTTTGTGTTGATTAAGTTTGACAGTTTGAGAGTTTTTAGTTTACATGATTGAAAAGAAAGATCTTTTTTTCTATGTATCTGTACTACATCGGCTATTTCGAATTGGATAGGGAATATTTCTAGCATCCAGTTTAAATTATGCAACTTTTTAAAGTGAACCATAGGGCCTCCTGATTCCAAAAAAGGCAAAAAAAAATCTAGCAATAGGTCTTGTTTTCGAATTATGGAACTTCACTGTTCGCTAATTACGCAAATGGGGACAAAAAAGCGCTATTTCAAGCTTTTGAAGCGTCTTAACTTGAGAACCAGATCTACTACCAAAAACCAGGAAAGGCTAAAGTAGACTTCAGAAGAATTTCATGAATAGTTCAGCCGGGGACTAAAAACGTTCCTCAGCGAGTGAAACTCTTTTTCCTGACGCAAAAATCTTCAGAACTTTCGGAAGGCCATGTTAGACGGAGCGACCAGCAGACAGTTGCGCGTGGCGATCGGAAACAAAGGCGAGAGTCAGGAGGAGGAATTCGGTTATGGAGTCGTCGGCCACCGGCTCAGCTCGCGTCGCAAGAAAGTGTCGATCTCGGCGCCGCAGGAGTTCAGGACGGTCTCTTCGATTCTTGACGTCGATACGCTGCCCGGGGAACTTCGACGCGTCCGCCTCTGCAAGTTCTACAACAACAAGCCGCTCGGGTTCTTCATCCGCGACGGTCCTTCCTACCAGCGGCCAGCCGGCTGGTCTCCCTCCGCCTCTCGTGGCATCTTCATCTCTCGCCTCCTGCCGCACGGCCTCGCCGCCTCCACCAACTTGCTGCACGTAGACGACGAAATTCTCGAAGTCAATGGCATTGATGTGAGTTTAATGGGTTATTTTCATGCTGCTGAGGGTAGATCCGAGGCCTCAGCGGGTGTCCCCCTATTAAAGCTGAGCAGGTAGAACTTTTGGCAATTGTTTCATCAGCGGAAATAAACACAACTGGTACACTTCTTTTCCCCCCGTTTTGGCACAACGGTGACACAAACAGCCTAAAATTACGGGTACGCCCGTTGAGACTTTTGAGATTTTCAAATCGATCAGTCTATGAAGTTGGTGAAAATCAAAAAGTTTCCATCCGACTTAAAAAAAAAAACATTTTTTCAATTAAATGGGAACTTTATCGACAAAAAAACGAAATTTTCAGAATAAAAGATGTCTTTTAGGTGAGCGGTAAAACATTAGACCAAGTGACGGATGTAATGATTGCCAATTCGGCGAATCTCATCCTGACCGTCCGGATTGCTCGATCTTGGACTCCTCCTACCTTCGTCCCATATCCAGTGATGCCACCGCCATACGGGTAATTATATCGGTCCTCATGGATCTCACTATGATGGTTTGGTTCAAGAAAGTAAACTTCAAGGATTCAAAAACGATTCTCCTTAATTAGACTGTAAACTAGATTAAAGTTGAAAGCTTCCCACAAACGAGCTCTTTTTTCCAAATATTATCAATTTCATAATTGAACGGATTGGAAATGAATTATAAACTGCGCGTCATATTTATAGACCAACCAGGTGTTAACTATTTTTGAAAAACCGGTGAAATTTGCAGAAGGAAAGTTATTTTGTGAAAAAAAAGCATCTGTCTCATGCCCGCAGGTGACTAGGGAAAATGTTCTTAGGAACTCCAGAGTGACCCATATAGGGGCAATTTTGAGAACTTTTGAAGTATCCCCTCTATGGACCACTTTACCAACTCCTATAACTCTCTGGAATTTCCAAGTTGTGTTATTTTTAGCACGTTTTTTTTTCGAAATTTCATTCATTAACTCAATTTCTTTATTCTGAGAACAAGGCAAATGATTAGGGTCTCGTTAGGAAAAAAAAATCGAGTTAAGATTGCACAGACAACAAAGCGAGATGACCGTTGAAGTAGGAAATTGGGGGCACGTGTTGCTAGAGAAGTTTGAGAGAATAAAAAGCACTAAGAAACGAAAAATCTGGGGTACAACCATGTTTTCAACGCACAGTATCTGTCTACTTGCTCTCTAAAACTGCGTATTGAAAAACAACTTTCAGATTCCAAGGATCAGCCGGCTACTACCCACCTCCTCCCGCCATTTTCTGTCCGTTGCCTTCGTACCTCCCGTCCTCATTTCAATCTCCCACTCGTTTCTGCAGGAACTACCCTTCCTTCATCGAACCGTGAGTTGGAATTTCAGCACTTTTCAGCGGATTCAAGCTAACTTCCAAGAAAAAAAGTTAAAGACTTTTTCTGCGCCATTCTTTTTTTGCGAAATCGCGCGAAATATTTGCACACAATTAAAAGATTTATTATTGTTTCGTTTTCATCTGGGACTCCTGTTTAAAAGTAGAGAAAGAAATATTCGAGTGCTCATTTTTAAATTGATTCCGAAATGATTCGCTTTTCGTCCTAAATTGTAGTCTGTGTGCCACGACTTGGAATTTTATCGAACGACATTTCGCTGTTCCGCTGCGTGCCTTTGCGCGCCTTTAATTTTTCATTTTATCTAGAAACTCGACCAACACGTGTTCCTAGTGGAACAGTTCATCCATCAGAAATGAGAACCGATTTAAAGCGAGGCCGAGGCTCGCAAAGACGTTTCGCGACGCAGCGGAACGGCGGAATGTCGTTCGGGAAAATTCCCAGTCTTGGCACACAGACTATAGAGCGCAATAGAAGAAAAACTATCTTTTTTGTTGAATTTCGCACTTTTTCAAGTTTTCGAAACTTCAGTCAATCTTTTTTACAAAGTTGGCTTAACTTTCATTTTTTATTTCCACTTCCTACTGAATACTGGTCCAAATTCGAAAATTACCTTGAAGCTGCCACATGGAAGAGCCTGGGCCGCTTTACTGGCCGATGAACTTCTCGCGAGAGAGCACGTGGCGGCTCTCATCGGAAGGCAAACGGACGTCATCCAAGTCGACGACGCCCGCATCGACGACGCGGACACAGCCACGACGTCCTTTTTCTGTTCACGAACCCTTCAACTTTGCCTACCCGCAATCACCTTCTCTGCCTTCTTTTTATGGACATTAATAAGTATGAAAAACATTTTTGAGGGATAATAAAATAAGCACATGAATTTTTTTTGTCAACTTTCTTTTTCTATATCTCGGGTTAAGAGTCTCAAAAAAAGACCTTGAAAAGATCCCTAGCAGATCTTTTTTATCTCGTTTTATTTCATTTTTGCATCTTTTTCACATCCTTTAACAAAGAGGACGCTGGAAAGCAACTAAAAAGATTCGCGAAGTTTCGGAAAGGATCCGCTGAGGCTATGAAAAAGGAGCTCAAAAGCTTTTAAACAAAATTTTAGGACAGGACTTCAATCAATTCATACTGTGACCGATTCATTGATTTGTAAGGCTATAAAAAGTGAACATGACTGAAAGAAAAGCTCGTTTTACCAGTAGACATGATTCGAAAGCGAAGTGATAACGGAAAAAAATTTGATGAGAATGAAAATTAAAAAAGAGTGGCCATTTGCACGTAAAGAAACGAAAAAATTGAATTGAAAGCAAAAAAAAAGTACGGGCAAAGTTCGAAAGTTCTCAAAAAGAAGTTTTGGAAAAAGGCCTTTCAGGCTTCTTATTCTTTTGGCCTTTTTTTGAAAAGGAAACAAAATGCGGAGAAAATAATAATAAAAAAGGTAGATTCATTTATTTATTTATTTCACTCAAACACGAAAATACAGAAAATTTGAATAGGAAGAATTTGAGTGAAGGGGAACCGAATATGAAAACGCCCTAACGAGCGATTTACCGGGATGGGAGACATATTGAATATTGAAAACAGAAATTTCAGATTATTTAGAGAAGCCTGTTGGGCACACTTGCGAGTGGTTCATTGTTGTCGAGAGAGTCGAGAAAATTCCTGAAGCGGGTGACAAAAGTGTTCATGTCGAATCTTGAGCACAGTCTGTTCCAAATAGGAATGACTGTTCTGAAAAAAACTGTTAAAACGAGGACCTGTCTGTATGAGTCTCATTGGAAAACGAGGTGAATTCGTTCTTCTGAAGAAATTTCTGCGCTTGGAAAATGGTAGAAGCCCAGTACTAATTTTTCGAGATTCCGAGAACTAAAAAGGAGCTTTAGACCCTTATTTTTGAAAAAGGCCTTTTGGACTTTGCCTGTGAGGTACAAAATGAGTGATAGAATGACTGTCATTATCATGTTTTAAAACTGCTTTTAGTCCGCCACAAAATATGGCATCGAACTATGCAGATAAAGTGAAAAACACGGGAAAATAAATTCAGAGCTCAGCGACTTCCACGTAAGAAGCAACACGAGGGGACGATCTCCAGAGATGGCGACACAGCGGAAAATTTCCTCGGTTGTTTCTCGCGATGGCGGCCTCGAGCCAAGTTTCACAGCAGCTACAACAAACATTGAAGGAAATCTTTGGTAAAAAAAAGTTGTTGTTTTTTTTCTTTTTTCAAGTTCGGTTTTTTTTTCAGTATTTTTTTGAACTTGACATGGAACGGTTGACATTTTCAGCCTTTTTTGAAGCCGTTCCTTGGTCCAGATTTAATTTTTTTGTTGAGAAAGTCGAAAAAAATTCATTTTTGATTTTCTTTTTTTAAATCATGAAACAGGACTTCGATCAATTTATACTGGGACAAATTCATTGATTCGCAAGGCTATAAAAAGTACACATGACTGAAAGAAAAGCTCGTTTTACCAGTGGACATGATTCGAAAGCGAAGTATAAAGTGAAAAAAATTTGATATGAATGAAATTTAGAGTGGCTAATGAAAACATACACGTACAGGAGGAACGAAATTGAAATGAAAGCAAAAAGAAAAACACACAAAATGAGTAATAGAATAATTGAATTATCATTTTTCAAGACTGCTCTTATTCTGACATGAAAGATGGCAGCGAACTATACAGATAAATTGAAAAATACGGAACAATAGTATCAGAGCTCAGCAATTTCCCCGTAAGGAGCAACACGAGGGGACGATCTCCAGGGGTGGCGACACAGCGGACAATTTCCTCGGTTGTTTCTCGCGATCGCGGCCTCGAGCCAAGTTTCACAGCAGCTACAACAAACATTGAAGGAAATCTTTGGTAAAAAAAGTTGAGCTATGAAAAATAGAATTAAAAACCCAGATTTTCTTGAGGTTTTTGAGAATATTGTTTGTTAAGGATTATCAAGCGCACAATTCTGAATTTTGGGTCCCTTTCTTGTGGTTTTTCGTCATTTTTCACCAGAGAAGCGTTTTTCGATCAAAGTTTGCACACAGGCGAATCGGAAGGGTATCATAAAGTGTCCCTAAAGACACCTCTCAAAATGGATCGTGACAGTTCCATAATATGTCCATCGTGAGACCTCCGGCATACCTTTTAGCTATATCTGAGCCATCTCGAAGGTACTTGAGAGTCTCCCTCAAATCTATCGTATTTTGCTCAAAGTCCTCAGAGGTATACTCGAGGTAACATCGATAGACTTCTGACCCTGTGATAGACCTCAGAGGGTATCGCGATACCCCTTCTCGACTCGCCTATGCAAATTATACATGAATAGAAAGTTTTTGTGGGGAAAAGAACTTGGTTCATAGAGCAATTTTACTGCAAAATGCCCTTTTTGCGGGAAGATATTTTTCTCACTGAGTTCGAGTAACTTTTTGCCCGAAAATAGGAACTTCTGTTCATTTTCAAATGTACTGTTCGATTCGCAATGAAAATCTCTACAAGATACTTCTTTCACCGGAAACCCTACTTTTTACTGCATCTATGTCTTTGAGGTGTACTGTTTTTCTAGGATTATCAAGCACACAATTCTGAATTCTTTGGCTCCTGGAAAAGTAATTTAGGACACAGCCAAAGATATGATTTTTAATAAAATGAAGTTGGAAACTTTTTTATTTCCAGCTACCGATGTCGATGAACTATTACCTCTTGCAACCGAGAAGTTGGCGGCATTTCACGCAGCCTACAGGGTTCTCAGGCGCCTCGACGAAGCATATTGTGCATGGACCGAATAGGACGTTTCTTAAAAATACAAGTTCACCCAGATGAAAAAAGAATTGGAATTTTTTGAATGACCTCTCGCTTCGGCTTTCCTGGCCGCGTAGGCGACGAGGGCGACGTCTGACCGGAGCGATTGGTGTCAGTTCGTCCTCGTCGATCAGCTCCAGCTCTCCTTCGAAGAATGCCTCAACAACGGTAAATATGAATCAAGGCGATTTCCACAAGCCCAAGAACCCAACATGAATCGTTAAATTTTTCGATTTTATGGTTTTCTTCCCGAAGTGTGTTATGAACTGAATTTTCAACAAGTTAAACACCAATTTTTTATTGATTCATTCACATGTTCATTAAACCTGGAAAAGCGTGCAATATAAGCGATTTGTTCGTCATCGGTAACTTCCTCAAATCATTAGGACACGTTCCAGCTAACCTGATCATCATCATTCACAAGAACATCGTCGTCGCTATCTGAATCCAACTCCACGTCTTCGTCATCTTCGGCGCTTTCCATGTCGTCGTCGTCGTCGTCGTCGTCATCGTCGTCGTCCTCATCGATTCCTTCTTGGGTTTCGTCCATATCGCTTTCTGTACAAATTATTAAACCATTCAGAAAAATTACCGTACCTAAAACAATCGTGTGGTGAGTGTTGTTCGCTGAGAATAACGATTCTTCATCATCATCATCCTCCTCATCATTTTCGGAACCACCAGACGACGACGACGAAATACGAATAACTCTCCTTAGAGGTGAGGCGGGTGGGTCTCCATGTTCTAAGCCTAGGATCGCATCTGAAATAATTTCCTCAAGGTGCTTCGGAGTATAAAACCCACTAATTTGCTCTTCATTGAGTGTACGCTCGACTACAGCGTGAACATCCGCTTCTTCTCTTAACTATATCATTAAAGTTTTCGCATTTTTTTTTCAATATACTGTTCTTGCAATTGTTGAGCGAATTCGCGGTCCCTTCTCTCTTGCTCGAGCCTTTCAAATAATTCCCTAAAATGATCATTTTGAAGGGTTTCCAACGAATCTTCGAATTGACTGATTTCCAAACAGGAAATTAATATAGGAAGTTTGAAAAAGTGTTATCTTCATTTTTCTGACATTTAGGAATTGGTTTAATCTAAACGTGCGATGAAAAAAAACCCACTTTTGTTCTTCAATTTCGTTTGAGTTCCAAGCTACAACTCCATCAATGTTCTCAGCTGCAATTTTACAAGTTCACATTTTCGAAAGTAAAACCAAAAAACTTTACCTCCGCGGTGTCTCCTTATCGGCATTATTTTTTCACGAAGCGGTCACCTGTAAGGCGATGATTTGTTCAGAAAGACGGTATCCCTTAAGCGCAATCGAAAAGAAAAATTGCAAGAAAAGAACGCCTCTCGAGCGTCCTCTCACAGTATTCGACGTAAAGCGCGCTCTACCGAACAAGAGGTCACTTAAGCGCGAGCAGTCTGTTGGCACGTCTGTTAAGGCATCCTCGGTCAAAACTCAGGGTTGTGGCGGGAAGAAATCGCTTAAATGTTCAGATTTTTACGAAATTTCAACTAGGTGAGAGGGAATCAGCAAAAATGACGGAAAAGCTCATCAAAAGCTTTTTCACAAAAAAAGAAAAAAGACCTTTTAAAGGGCCCCAGCAGATCTTTTTTTAAATTTTATTTTTTTGCATTCTTTTTTTACTTTTTGAGGATCCTAAAAAGAATTCTGAGAGGGTGGTAAAAAGGTTCCTCTAAAAGTTCCTAAAATTATATGAAACCACAGGTATCGAGGATAACTTCAACTCCAAAAAAAACTTTTAATGTTAATTTAAAAAAATTAATGTTTTTTTTCAAAAAAACAGAATCACAACAGAAAAAAATAAAGCCTTTTTTTGCATATTTTTTTCCGAGATAAAAAAATGGTCAATAGTAACAGCTTGGCAGCTACGTTGTTCGGATTCGCCTTTGCGGAAAGAAAATAGGAGATTACTTGTTGAAGTGAGTATAAAGTCATTGCAGCCGAGGATTCGTAAGTTTGAGGAGCATCCTTGGTGATTTTGGCAGGTTTTGAAACTAAAAAATGAAACGAAAAAAATTTTATTGTCTATTCTTTACATCTCCCGACACGGAGAATTTCGCCGTCCACCTTTCACTCTTTAATGCAGCTGCCTTCAATTTCCGTACTTTTCCGGCTTAGATCGGAACGCGGCTCAGTTTAGAGATTTTCAACTAAAGCCATGATTTGATGAATGAGTAGGAATCAGTTTCTAATATTTCTTTTGCAAGCTTCTATGGACTTTTTCTCTCGTCATGAACTTTAAGGGTACCAGAATTTTTTTGAAGTTCTTAGAAAATTTTGTGCGAATAAATTTTTTCCTGAGAAAAAACTTTAGTGGCCACTAAAGAGTTGGAGAGGATACTAAAGTGGCCACTAAAACAACTTCTAAACCCACTTTCTTAAAAGTAGTTTTTAGGGGTCTAGTAGTACCAATTATAGTTCTAAAGATTCAACTAATTTTCAGCCTCTTAAGTGGCCCCTAACGCGTTTACTATAGTGGCCACTGAAACCTCAAAACTCAAAAGGCCACTCAAAATTTTCTCAGGAAGAGAAACGATTTTTCTTTGATTTCCATCGAGTTTTCTGCCGGAGCTTGATTTTTACTCGAAGGAAAAAAATTTCGATTGAGACATTTCTCTAGTTTTTGCCGTTTTAGCCATTTTTCGTGATCCCTGTTTTGTCACAAGTACGATACGGTCTCGAATAACAGCTTGGCGTGTGGCGGTAAAGAGGCTTTGCGGATGTCGAGATGAGGAGGAAGACATTTGCTCATAAGCTCGTCGCGATCTTTTTCTCACACATTTGGATGTTTGAGACATGCGCTCCGGCACAGTCGGCTGTCATACCGTATCAAGAGGCGTTCGGCGTGTCGGGACCTTCAAAGAACTCCTTTTTTCTATCCAAGCCGTCGTCTTTTGTTTCCCATCCTAGTTTTTTTTTTCCAAGATTTTTTCAAGCCTAATTAGACTTAACTCAAAAGCTCATCATGGAACTTGGTCAAAATAAATCAAGAATTTTATCTTTATCATTTTCCAGCTATGGTCAATATCTGAATTGCTGACTTTTTCGTCGAGTTTCCAAGTTTTCCTTCAACATGCGGCTCTGTGTCGATTTCACAGTTTTGATATTTGATATCATCCAAAAATCTTTTGAGAGTACTGGAAAAAACCTCTAGCGGCCATTAAAGAACTTCCTCAAGGACTACTTGGAGAGGAAATTAAAGGCCACTAAAACCAAATTTACAGGGGCCACTGTTTCACGTCGCAGTGGCCGCTCCAGTAGTTTTTAGTGGTCTATTAGTAACACTTAGACTCCTAAAGATGCCACTAAATTTTAGTCTCTTAATATTGACCACTTTATCGACCACTATAGTGTCCACTAAAGTGTCGAAATTCTAAAGTGGTCATTAAAAGTTTTTACACTAGTTTAATCTTTTCTGGTTTTGATATTTATTCAAGCTTCCTTCAACTCAACCGTTGTATCAATCCTGAGGTAACCTAGGCGGTTAGTCTTTGTAGTGCGGCTTCTTGTTGAGACACTTATCAGAGATTTACGAGGCATCCGACGACTGTTAATAACATGAAGACGACACCTGCCCGGCTAGAAGTCGGCGGCTCCTTTGGACGCAGCATTGTTGCCAGAAACCGCGGGTGGCCGGTGTCTCTACTCTCCATTGTCTTCCGTCTCCAACTTTTTCGCCATTGTCTCGATTGTGCTTGACACAAGTTGCTCACTTGATTGCTCCCACCAATTTTTTTTCTCTTGTTCACTCTCCCTCCGATACCTTTTTTGGGTTTTTTCCAAGATTCTTTCGAGTAGTTTTTACACCGAGAAATTTTTCTTCTCTTGATCACAGTCTTAACTATTTTCTGACTTTTTTTTTTTACATTCCTTGGCGTTCTCCAGTTGTCCAAGGGCTGGGAATTTGTTTGTCGAAGTTCCGTTTCGGCTGAAGAATGAGATCCGTCCCGTATGAAGTGCGAGTTTCTCACCTTTATCCTGTCGGCGGCCCATTTTGCAGTTCGAGTGCCACGAGTTCTATCCTGGAAATATAGGCTAGGATTTGCATTTCTTTTTCTTGTGGAGTAGTTCAGATTCAACTGAAGTGATAATATAAACAGAAAAAGGTTTCCTGCTTTTCTCTTTCAAGTTTTTTCAACGGCTATATCTAGGGACCGCAGACGAATTTTCAAACATTTTTTTTCAGCATTGAGCTATGTATGGTTTGATAGCTGTTTCGATTCAGAACTCAGAACCGTTTAGTTTTTCAAAAAAGATTGAGGATGAAAAAAGTTATGACGAAAAATGTGGCACGCCGCGCACCATTTTTTTAGTACTGAAATTTTGGTATTATCCATTTTTGACATTTTTCTCGATTTTTCTTCTAGAAAAAAAGTTTTTGATACTGGTCTATTATGATGTAACAAATTATAATAGAGTGCTAAAATGATGCTAATCAGCTAGTTTGCCGAAAAAGTCGGTATTTTGCAGAAAACAAAAAACTGACGCATCGAACTCGCGACCTCAAAATGAAAAATCGCAGCGCACGCACTGCGCCAAGCTGTCAAGTCTAGCGCGGGGAGCTTCCATCCGCCATATCCTTGAGCCGTTTAAATAGCACATATTGTCTATTTCAAAAAGAAAAAAACTTGAAGTAATTAAGCTATTTTTTTATCAGAATATGTTCGCAAATCTTTACTCGAACGTTTCGTGGAAATTCACTTCGAAAAAAACTGTTTTTTTAGTGCTTTTTGCCTCTTTTTAACGATCGCTGCATTAAAACGGCCCCGTATATTTTCGGCAAAGACGAATTTTTTATTTTATTTTTTTAATTGAAAGATTTTTTACTAATAAATGTATATAATCGTTTGAAAAACCTGCGTTCGACCGCTTTTTGTGTGATAAACGCCGCTAATTTTATTCTCTATTTTCAAGAGCATTTTTGCGTATCAAACAACTTTTTCAAGCACATATGCTGTGGAGAAAAATTTAAGTAAGCCCATGGTCTAAATTCTGAAAAAACAAAAACTCGATTATATTCGCTTATTAACGATATTTTGAATTATGACTTTCGGCACTCCCTAAAATTTTTGGCAAAGACGAATTTTTTATTTTATTGTTTTAAAATTACCGTTACTTGAATCAAAAATCATTATATAAAAAAAGAAAGAGTGCGTTCGACCTGAAAAACACATGAAAAAAAGCAAAAAAATGACAAAAATTTTTTTAGTTGCATTCACGTTTTTGTACGACATTCCGCGAGAACGCATCAAAAAAGCGTGAAATATTTTTTAAACGAAAGAGGAAGCTTTTCTGTACATGTGTCTCAAAATTTATTATCCAGTTCCATATATTTTGCAACCACAACAAATTGAAAGTTGAAAACCAAAAAAAAAGCCACTTTTTCTATCGCGAAAAGGGGCGTGGCTTTGCGGTCCCTAGCTATATCCCACCCATTTAGAGGGATGTGCTGGGTATTCTCATTATCGGACCCTTATTGCAAATGTTTGGCCCAATTACAGTTTTTTTACAGTTTTTTTACAGTTTTTTTTGTGATAAATCTGCAACAAGATGGACTCAGGACTATTTCGAAACATTCACTAAATCCGTTTCTGAGCATTTCTAGGGAACGCTTAAGCTTGCGGACGTTACTAAAGGGGTAACTAGGAATGCTCCGACACGTCTGGCTCGAGGTCCGAGACGCTTCAGACAGATTTTCATACATTTAAATCTGATAAATTGGAAGAGAAATAATAAATTATTCGACATGCATGGTACGACAGCCTCAGTATAATTTTTGTGCCACGGCTTGAAATTTCACGGAACCACATTCCGCTGTGCCGCTGCGCGCATTTGCGAACCTTGGTCGCGCTTTTAATTTTTTTTTTTCTTTATTAAGGTACTCTACTTTCATGTGCTCTCACAGCACTAAGAATCAATTAAAAGTGTGTTCTAGATTCGAAAGACGCTTCGCGAACACAAGCAGCGGAACAGCGGAATGTCGTTCCGTAGAATTTCAAGTCGTGGCACACAGACTATAATAATTATTATATATATTATAGTCGCTAAACCTCTAGTATTTAAGATGTTAATTATTTAAACTTCGCGTTTAGCACACAGAACTCGCAGGTAGAGACAAAGAGTATTTGAGCATATTTGTAAAAAAAAAATCCAAACCGCAAAGTGAAATAACCTTTCCTGTCGTTCCAAATTTGAAAAAAAGTTCCAGTTCTCCCCTAAAGTTCGAGCCCGAAGTTGGTGTGAATAGACGGTATGAATGATCAACAGTTGTCCAGAGACAGGTGTGACGTCGAAGCGTGTCATTACGCGCAGTAGTTAGCGCCTACTCGTGAATATTGTCCGTTTCTGGGTGTGTTGTTCTTTTTCGTTGAGGACACGGTGTCTCGAGTTAATCGCTCTCTTATGTGTGTTGCTGGATTACAGGTTGGCTGCCCCCCAGGTGTGCACATCTGCTCTGCACGTTAATCGCTACCTGTTTGACCGTCTCATCAAACTTTCTCCCATATTTTCATTTTTTTTTTTCTCTTTTCATTTGGCTTTTCGAAAAATGAGGTGCTGATTGAAAAAATTTCATCGAACAACAACTTTGATGAACTGACTCAACTTAGGAACTCCAGAGAGGTTCCTATAGGGGCTAGTTAAGCAGCCCTTGAAGGTTCCCCCCTAGGGACCACTTTACTACCACTGTAGGGGGCACTAAATCTTGCAAAAGAGGACCCTATAGGGGACATGCTAGTCGATTATTGCTATGAACTTTATGAGATGAAGCATTTTCCATGCGGAAAAAGTCAATAAAATTAATAGACTCTATAGGGACCACTTGAACTTTAGGGATTCTGAGGTAAATCCCTGAACCTCACTAAACCGCCTAATTTTTACCCCTAGAGGGAGAAGTGTTAATCCCCCTATAGCGATCATTCTGACGCCATCTTTGTGAGCTGTCAAAACAGAACAAAAAATCAACAACCACTCCTTTTTTGCGAAAAGCCTTCTCACAGGTCGAATTCTCGCAAGTACCAGACAATTGTCGTCTTCCTTCTTTTCCGAAAGGCACTTGAACGCCGGCGGGCAATTCGTCATGGACGACATGCATGTCCATCGCTAATTACCTAGTCGTTATAGTTGTCGGTGGCCGCGCCCCGTCTTTAGTTAATTACCCGCCTCAAACCGACCGAATAACTACCGCCGTCTTGTCCTGGATCGGAAAGGCGTTAGCGTGGAAATTTATCAATTCAATTCATTTTGTTGTTTTAGTCATAGATGCAATCGACCAGGCAGTGAACAAGAGCTTTTGAAACCAACAACGGCCTACTGAAAGTGTCAACGTGTAGCCGAAAGAGTTAAAAGCAAGGTCTTACTTCCTTTGGCCGTGTTTCATCCAGTTGCGCCTTGAAATTCTCAGAACGGCTATTGAGCACCGTTCTGAAAGTGTCGCAAAGAAAAGTATGATATAGTCTGTGTGCCACGACTTGAAATTCCACGGAACGACATTCCGCTGTTCCGCTGCGTGCGTTCGCGAAGCGTCTTTAGAATATAAATCACGATTTCAATTGATTGTTATTTCTGTGGGATAATAAAAGCCTTAACTCTACTGAAATCGTGCAAAGTGCAGTGCCTATGCTAGCATTCTGCAAAAAAAAGTTGCATGCATTCTGCAGATCAGAGCTTTGAATTTTGCCCAGGAGAACCTCGCATTTTGCATTTCTTTTTGGGCTCACTTTTGCACAGACTAAAAAAAGTGCAAAATGCGAGGTACTTCTGTGCAAAATGCAAAGCACTGGTTTGCAAAACGCATGAAGCTTTTCTGCAGAATGCCGCCATACTCTACAGAATTTTTGAAAAGTGCAGTGCCTAATGACTTTAGTCGAGAAGAGTTGAAACAATAATCGTCAAGAATCAGTTTAGTTTAGAGCTCGAACTTTATGAATTTTCGCAAAAAGCCAGAATTTTTGGCAAAAATTTGTGTTTTTAGATCATTCCTGGAGGTTTCAGTAGGTTTTGCTTTTTTCGGCTTTCGTCAAAGTCCTAACGGCCTCAAAAAGATAAATCTAAACCTTTTTTGAGTCTCTAAAAAGGCGTCAAAAGTTTCTCTGATTTTTTTCTTCACCTTCTCCTTTCTTTTCTTCTAAAAACGACTTGTTCGAAAAAAACTTTAAGACTTTTTTCAAAAAGTTCTTTTCATGTCCTTCTAGACTCTGCCCGGGTTAAAAAACGAATTTTAGTGACTAAACATTTCACAAAACACCGAAGCGCCGCAAAAAAGAACAGACAGAGCTGGCTGGCGGGTCAAACTAACCGTAATGACAGGGTTTCTGGGGAATTGACAGAGGCCGACTGTCTCTCTCTCTCGCTCTCTTATTATAAAAACATGGTGACAACAAGTGGACGCATCTTTCCTTTCATTTTCCCGGTTCCGACACTTGGCGAAAGTCGGCTACCGTCACTGCATCCCATCTTGGTGTCCTCTCAGTTTTGCACATTTAGTTGGTCACCTTGAACCTTTTTCGGAGAGTGTTTGGAGATTGAAGTCACGGGCAAAGTCTAAACGGCCTCAAAACAAAAAGCTTTTTTATGTTCGTAAAAGGTTCAAAGAATCTATTTTTTCTCCTAAAAAGGTCAAGATAGCCTGTTAGACCTTTTTTTCCTGAATTTTCTTATTCTTCTGGATTTCGCCCGTCTAGGCTCTTTCTCTGAGCCTTTTTTCCCTACTCTAGCCGATGGAACTTTTTTGATCGGCTCTCAAGCTTCCCGTTTGCCTACTCGAATTTCACACCTTTTCTGCTTAAAAAAATCTCGCAAGAGACTAAAATTCCTCTTTTTTTGGAGAGAATAAAAAGGTACTTGTAGTATAGTCAGCTCTTGTTCAAAGACGCAAATTCAAGTTGAGCACCAGGAAAAAGACTGGATCTTATAACGAGCCTCTACGTTTTTCCTTTAAAAAACTAGCGGCAAGGAACTTCGTAGAGAAGTTGGAGTAAGGAAGACGCTTGTCAACGTCTCTAGCACACAATACGGTGGAAAGTTTTTTACGACGACGAGTTGCGGAGGCAGCCGGACGGTGATGGATGCGTGGAACGTCGTCGGCGGTCCGTTCGATCATCCGGCACGCGGTGACCGCCAGACAATGACCGATTTGCTTGTGCCCCTCGCCTTCACCATATTCGTTCCTTCTGATCATCGCATTGTTCTCCGGATTTTAATACGTGAACTTTTCATTTTCCTTAAGTGGATAACTTATTATCCAGGATAAGGCATTTTCATGGTATCGCTAACATTTCCTGGCTACCGTAGTGCCTCGCGACGCTTTCATTTTCATAATTTTTTTTTTCGTTTCACACCTCCGTTCGAAATTGGCATTTTCTCCAAAGAGCCTACTGTAAGTTTTTTTTTTCCTCTTTTAGTTTTGTATTCATTTTCATTGAATTTACAGAAATGAAGTGCAACCCGATCTGTATCGAAAAGTCGAGAAAAATTCTAAGAGGTCTTTTTTTCCGAAAACTAAGTTTGCTTACATTCCAACACTTCCAGGATCCCGATTCTTTCTATCAAATAGTGCATTTTCAGAAGATATTGGTTTTTAAAAAGATCTCTCTTGTTCACGACCATGAAAATAGACCATTTGATCCGACCACAGTCATCCACTTTTTTGGTATTGCATCTACTTTGAAGGGGCTACCTATCCAACACGGACAAAGTTCGAACGGCCTCAAAAAGAAGGATGTACTGCTTCTTTTTGAGCTCCTAAAAAGTGTCAAAAGCTTCTTCGAATCTCCTTATGTACACCCTTTCTCCTCCTTCTTTTTCTTTTCTTAGGGCCTTCTGGACTTAGTCCGTGAACTCGGGTGACCTTCGATCTTGTCGGCGCGACTCAAAAAGGCTCCATTAAAAACTACACGCTGATAAGAGTCGACGGGGTTGTTTCCGTCGGTCTCAACGGCTCTTCGGACAGCATGTAATAACGCGAGGGTCTGACCCGACTTTTATCTCCGTCCTTGTCTGTTTGTCTTAGAATTTTCGCCGACCACGATTATCCAAGCCTATCACACCACCTTGGGTGTGTTTTGTAATTCTTTCTTTTTTTTTCTGGGACTACAGAAAATATTGGGAAAATAGCCTCACTCTTCCGAACTTCGTAATTTCTTCTCGTGAACTGTTGAGGGCGTTTCTCCGCATTTTTATTGACAGTTCATTTCAGTTCAAAAAAGGCAATTAGACGTCTGGAAAAAAAGACGCTGGCCATTTTATGTGGTTGGTGCGACCTCAGACTTTTTATTGTCCGCTGAGCTCGTCAATATTTCGTTCCTTTGACGTCTCGACCCTTCTCGAAAGGTAAATGTGGGTTTTTGGCTTCTTCTTCTTTTTCTTCCTCTCCTTTTTCTTCACATGGCATCCGAGTGGACAAGCGAAATAATATCGCTGTTCTCACGACCGCCTGACGCACCTTCGCAGGCCCTTTGTGACTCACCCTGTCGGCTCTTCTTTTTTGAATATTCCTCAACCTTTGTTCCTTTGCTTTTGATATGAACTCACTGAAGACCGTTTTTTTTTCACTAATTACATCTCAGGAGCAAATTGTATGCTCTCGCTACAGCACTGAGAAGTGTCGGCTGTAAAAATGGCATTTCCAAGGAGGGACGGACAGTTGCGCAACAGGCACCTAAAACACAACCCTATACGGAGAAAAAAAAACGTCCACTTATTTCTTTTCTTCGCCCACAGCTGCGCGAACACCTGAACTATATTCTTCTTTTTTTTCGGATCTGCGCAAGAATTTTATGCCAGCACTAAATACCCACATTTCTTGTTCATATTTTGATTGACCATTCGCTTGAACCCTCACGAAATTGGTCTTGAAGCGATCGAAAAAGAAAGTTTAGAGGTGGGGTTCTCTTTTCCCTATGAAAAACTATATTGAGAGGTTCGTAACAAAGAAATGTTTATAGGAATGGTTTCAGTGACAGCTAAGCATTTTTCAACTCAATAGACTATAAGGTTAGCGAATCGTTCAAAATTTTCCAAGTTCACAAAGCTCTTCTGAGGCCTCTAAACTGACCAGTAGGTTGAAGTCTTTTTAAGGAAGCCAAAATATGGAAGTTGAATGAATAATTATTTTGACAAACACTGATTCCATCTCAACTGGAAATCATTCAGACGAGCACTTAACTTGGCACATGAGTGCCTGAAACAATGGGAACGACTGCCCACAGATGTCCCCATTGTTTTTCTAGGTGGTTCACTGGCTCGCGGTGTTTATTGTGGTGGTTAATTATCTGAAATCGACTCTCATATACCATTATTTGGATTCCCTTTGGCGGTTTCGTCCTTCTCTCCTTTTTTGCCAATCGCTAGAAAATTTTATGATCCTTGTCTTGCCATGCTTCAACTTGGGAGCAAACAATTATTTTTTCATTAAACTCACGGTCAGGTTGGATCTTCATTTTCTTCATTATTTTTTCCAGCAGTTTATGGTGAAGCAGTTTATTCGCTGGTACTACCAACGGGCCCACATTATTTCCCAACGCTAGCTGTCATTCCGGGACGTATTGGACAACGATTGTGGACCGTCACCCGCGCCGACGACTAACTCTTCGATTAAACCATGATTCAGCAGAGATTTTCTTCAACTTACTCTGAATACTGAATAAATTGATAATTGAATTGAATTGATTTTTTCCAGGGCTACGGTAAGATCGCATTTCTTCTTTTTAAAATTGTAGTATAATTACAAAAAAATACTTTTTTTCGAGAATTCTTCTTTCAGGCTCCATTTTAGCTTTGATCGAGTCGTGAGAAAAAAAGCCCGAATTTAAAGTTTTCTCCAAATGTTTTTTTCTTTTTTTAATTATTTCAAAGAAAAGTGGGATTGCCATGTTCAATCGAAAACCAGCCTGTATCGAACTGACAAAACCAAACAGACAAAAAAAACAACAAAAGGTACTCGAATCGGGGCTCGAGTGCCAGGCAGCTGCCTGGCCGTTTGAATCGAGACTAACTCAGGTTGTGCAACCCAATCCGAGGCTCATGTTTCCGTTTATGTTTGTGCTCCATCCACACACACACACACGAATACAAGCTCACTCATGAAGGGGATAAGCTTCCTCCGGATGTGTTGCATTTATCTGCAATGCTCTCTCGCTAATACCTACCTAAGCGTTCCCTTTTGTCTCCGTTTTTCGAAGATCTCGTTTGTACAGTCCAAAAAAAAAGAATTTCGAGCTAAGATCGCCGTCTTGGACAGTTTTCTGCTGTCTTACTCATAAATATTTGTTTTGGAAGCTTGCGGTATTTCACGAAAATTTGCGCTGGGAAAAGTTGTAGTAGGTCCTACAGGGACAAAAAGGCCCTACAGGATTATACTGAAGGACCCCCTTTTGCGCCCTTATAGGACCTCCTTATTGGTCATTTGGGACCCACTATAGAGAAGTTGAAGAAAGTGGCTATAGTCTATGTGCCACGAGTTGAAATTTCATGGAACGACACTCCGTTGTTCTTGTGGTTTTAGTGCGCGCTGTCGCGAAGCGCCTTGCTTTTGCGAATTTCGGTCGCGCTTTTCATTTTTTCTTTTATTTTATATTTTCAATTTTTTTAGACAATTTTTTAATTGTTTTTTTCGTACTATCATTGCTTTTTGCATAGATTGAACACCTGAAAGTCGAGTACTTTTCGAGTTTTCAACAAAAATTGTATGTTAAAACTTCTTTTTTGATTATACAATATTTTTTCGTTCTCTGACTTATATTCCTTTGGAGACTTTTTTTGAGTACATTCAGCGCAATAAGCGTAAAGTGATGATTACTGGAAAGGCGAGCCCAAGCAATGATGCAAATTTATTATTTCCAAAAAAAAAGGTTTTTATTTTTCTATACTTGTTTTTTGAATTATTTTTTGTTGTTTGATGTTTTCATTTGCAAAGGCAAGGCGCTTTCACGGCCACAAGGCCACCGACGGAGTGTCGTTGCATGAAATTTCAAATATATAGTAGAATTTCGGGAAAAGAGAATTTTCATTTCTTCAGAATTTACCTTTTTGAATAAACTCAGAAAACAAAAAATTGCGCCTCCAACCTCACGCCAATCGTAAAAACAAACACTTATCCACCACTAATCGGTCATCCGTGACCTGCCAGGCTTAGCGGACCCAGCCGAGTATCTCAAGGTGACGGCAACGCGTCACTGTTGCCATAATCCTCTTAATACTGTCGTCGACTTGCCATCCTCAAGGGTGTTCATGTCCCTTTTCAGCAACAGCTTGTTCAAAAGAGCCTGAGAAACAGTTTTTTTCACGGTCCCGCCCTTTTTTACAGGCTGATAGCGGGAAAAGAGATTTCACTTTCGTTTTTCGAGTATTTTTTCTGATCGTGATGACCTATAAGTTTTCCAATTAGCTCATGAAAAGTTTAGGAAGCCACACATGAGCCCAATTAAGAGACATTTCTTTAGGTAAAACTTTTATAGGTTCTGCTTTCGGTCTCTCGGAAGGCGTTTGGAAGCTTTCCAACAGCTGGTGCCTTCCCAACTCCTCAACACCTCTACTTACCTTTCAGAAGCCTGCTAAAAAGGCTTCTGGCAGGCATTTTCATTTTTTCATTCTCCAAAGACCTTCCAACTACCTTCCGAACATCTTCTTAACGCTTTCTCGAGACCTTCTAGCTTCCATCCACCTTCCAACCTTCTGCTGGTTATCTTCTCAAAACCTTCCCAGGTTTCGCCTGAGTCATCCAAATCGGCTTCCCGCTGTGCTGTGAGATGGACCAGTTCAGTTTTTTCTCGATAATTTTTTCTTAGTGAAGAGTCATCCAACTGTAATAAGTGAACTGCAGAATGGCCTAGAATTGACCCCCCCGACAATAGAGCGATGCTGTTGCCTTCTCTTGGCTCCGGTCTTGAAATCGCTTACACATCCGCACTTCCGCGAAAACGCTGTTTCTGTTCGGTTGCGTGTCGCGTGAGCACATCGGAACGTTTCACAAAGATCTTGCAATTTGGCAACATTCTCTTTCCGAACATCGACGAAGAGGTCGAAAATCCTCAGAAGGGAACAATGGAAAGTTCTTCCATTTGATAGCCTTTTAATGATCTGAAAAAGAGAAAAATCTCTTTCACTACAACCATAATGGGACCTAGGACAGCCCATGTTTCTTGAGCTTTTAAGGATATTACCCAACCTTTCAGTCCATTATCGCTTTTTTTGAACGTTTTGATCCTGCCGCAGTGGCCAAACAGCGCTGCTCAGCGGGTTCACACGTTTCCGCGGCCTGTTATTGTTTGCATAATACACAAGAGTAGCTATGCGGCTAAAAAATCAAAAGGAAAGCACAGATGGAGGGTTGAGTGCCACAAAAAACGTCGTTTTCGCTGTTATTTTATCCACGAAATAATGTATCACAGGCAAAAACTAAGCGGCCTCGAAAAGAGTTCTTTTTTTGAGTTCCGCCTTCTTTTTATCTCTCAAAAAAAATCCTGTAAGGTATTTTTTCCAAAGATTCTTACTAGGTTCTTATGAACTCTGCTCACGATTAGATCGCCGTAAAAGTAATTTTCCAGAAAAAGTTAGGGGCTTGTTGAAGTATCAAAAACGTCAAACCGCATGATGAAGTTAAATCGGTACCCGAGGAGTAACCGAGAAAAAAAAGCAAGAGAAAAGGTGGCTCGTAACACAGGAAGCCGGTCGCATCTGTCGACATGTGCATTTTTACGAGCCATCGTTCCTATTGTCGCGCACCCCTTATTTTTTCCCCCTCTTTTTTTTTGGTGAGAGCCGACGACCCATCATACGTGTACCGTGTAATAGGCTGGGAAAACGATATCGACAACTTCTTGATTTTATTCGACTTTTATGATTTAGAAAAAGCTCAAAACTCCTCCTTTTCAACAGTGTGATCAAGATTTTTAAACCAATTAAAAAAAAGTCCTATGACCTTTTATAAAAATCATTATCTCAAAAAAATTGCCAAAACACGATAAATAACTGGAGCGCAAAAAAGGCGATTTTTTTTCTCGAACTCTGACGTCAATTGAATCTTTCAACAATATAGTAGGGATTTTCTTTAGTTCAGAAGTCGGTCCTTTGTACAAAAATCTTCGGAAGCTTCGTTAGGCGCCAAAAAGGAGGGATATGCTATATTAAATATTCTGCTGCACAATCGGGTCGGCCGGTCCACGGGCCTTGACGAGCAAATTCAATCAGTGAATCGGGCGTTTTCTTCTGCTTTTCTTCCCTTTGCTTCCTTCTACGGCGCATTTTTCAATCGCTCACACGGATTTTCATTTTGGGGTTTTCAGTAACTTTCGTAGTCCATTTGACTTTTTCGGTTTCTTGTTTTATATGAAGCGAAAATAATCGAATTCTGATGAAAATCCTTTCAAATTCAGTCGTATGTCGCAGGTGGATGACTGGTTTTGGCGGCTTGATCCAAGTTTTTTTTTCCTGTCACTTCTCGAAAGTCGTTTTAAGTCTGGAAAGAGCTAATATTTTTTTTCACCTTCAAATTAACTTTTTTGATAAACAAATTCGAAATTTAGTTTAAGGATTTCTTTCCCCGTCGGCAGAAACTTGAAACAGCTCTTGCTAGCCTTTTTCGGAACTTCTCCTTCCCTTCCCGATCTCGTGGAAATTCGAAGGCAGGTGTAAGGAGAGAAGAATAGAGATCATTCTTCTCGTCATCAGCCGTTCACGCTTCGACGCTCTTGAATTTCGCCCTACCTATTGGTCATATTTATTTTTTTTTTTTTGCGAATTCGAGAAGTTCCTATTGATATATCGTTTTTTCGTCAATTCACATTGCTTTTTATGCAATTTTGTTTCGAGTCGAAAAGTTTTAAAAAATTCCGTTCCTTCAGAAAACGCTTATTTGAGCAGAACTTTTTTTTATGGAGCTTAGTTTTCGTGGAACTTTCTGGAGTTGTGATTACTGTTATTCGAAACGCTCTGGTGGAACTTCAGCTCGTAAAAAAAACGCAGCTTCATAGATTTTCCAAAAGATTAAGATTGATACAACGATGAGAGCAAAATCTGACGCTATTGTAAGCCAAAAAGCGCTTGATGCTGTTGAAAGCTCCTAAAAATCATTAATGTCGCAAGATATAAATCTAAACCCGACTGTGATTTTATTTTGGCGAAAACTCGAGGCAAAGTTGAATTGTCAAACGCAGAAATGTGTACGCATGTGTGTGGTCTGAAGCCTTTTTGACAAGTGGCCGCCGCCCATTTTATTTTTCCTTTTGTGTCCACGAGCATCCCCATCCTCAGAATTGGTTTTGTATGTGAAGTTCTGCGTGTTTGCACCTCCATTCAACGTGCAAACGGGAAGAATTTGAGAGAATGTCAACTTTTTCATACAAGAGGAAAAATGATTTTTTTAAACATTCTTTTTCGTTTTTAGTCACCAGCATAGTTCTTCTTCCGTGCAAGTAAACTTTTTTCATTGGCGAAATTTTAAAAAAAATTCATTCAATTAGACAATATTTCAAAAAGTATATGTAGAAAAAAAGTGTAGTGAAACTCGAAAAAAACGAAAAATTAGGCTCTCAAAATCGTATTAAATCAAACAGAACTTTTAATTAAAAAAATTGATTTCAAAGCGTTAATTCTTCAAAATGGAAGATTAGAGTCAAATTTTTGGATTTAGGGAGAAATTGAGCATAAGAAAAACCTTAACAATTCCAAAAAAATTTTTATTATCCATATTTCAATAATAATTTTTTTGGTCTGTAATTTTTGAACTTAAAAATTATATCAAAGTTTTTTTCTTATTGCGAATTTCTTGCTGTAACTTGTATTTTTGGAGTCAGTGGAAAATTCGGAACAGGAAAATGTTTCCAGGATTTTGAAAAAGACAAAAAGAAAGTTTTTGAAATTTTAATTTTGACCGAAAAGACTTTTTGGACCAGTCCAACTAGAGGTCTGAAAAATGAAAATTCTGATTTCGTTGGTCCACCCCATCTCGGGATTTTTTTCTGTGGAGTCGCCATATCATCTCAAGTTTGCGAGAAAAATAATTGCCTCGAAAAAAAGTTCCGAGCCAGTGCGTAGGCAAAAAAAAATTTGAAAACGCGGATTTTTCACGATCAGCAAATACGGAGCGAATACAAGTTAACCTAGTTATAACCACAAGTTTTTTGAGCCATAGATTTATGGATCACAGAAAAAATGACCACGCCTACAATTTTGGGGTTGGAGATTCCAGCTGTGCGGGGGTCCGGACCACGCCCCCTCGCGCTCAGACCAACGCGCTAATCAACCAAGCCCTTTTCCACCACCACCACCAAAACTCGCGTAGAGCCTTCTCATCACGCCTTCTTCTCTTCTTCACACAGAAACTAAGACTCTACTAATTTCTGACGCCTCGTCAGTCGGCCCGGCTACATCATTTGATTGCCAACGATTTCTGAGCAAGTCCAGCTTGCCCAATCCTTTCCCGTTCCGAGAGAACGTTTCTGATCCAGCTATTATAGCTGCTTTTTCTTCTTAAATTTCATTTTCTTCTATCTTCGTGAGCCTTTTTCGTCCGACTTGCACCTTTTAATTTAAATTTTAACACTTGGTTTTCTGGTATATTTTGATATAATCATGTAAATCTAGTTTTCCTATTCAACTTGCTTTTGAGCGTCAGGATAAATTTTGAAAAAAAACGACTTCCTGAGAGCATTTTTTTTTGTTCTTAAAAAGTTACACAGTTTTTTTGAAGTCCTTAAAGTTATTTTTTTCATATCAGATTATATTCTCAAAAAGGTAGAAAGAATAAATTTCTTTCAAAGAAAAATTTTTTTCATTTCCCCTAATAGACGCAGTGAAAAGCCTTTCGAAAGTTTAATAAGAAAATTTGTTTCCTCGAAAAGTTTGGAAAACGTTTTTTTCATTGATGAAACCCTCTTTTCGGTTTCGGAAGGAACTTTCAAAGAATCACCGTTATTAACCTTTTGTCAGATTCATTTTGACATGACATTCTCATCAGGATTGCACAAGTCAAAAAATCACTTCCCATAAGAAAAATTCTCATGCACAGGGTCTTGTTTCGCGGCGAAAAGGCGGTCCCTGCGACCTGCTCGCACCTGTGCCGCAAGTGTTATGAGCTGTTGCGCTGGGTCCTTCCTGACGTCGGCGGCGGCGGCAGTCATTGTTGCCGGCCGTTTGACAAGGTCAATCCGAAAACTCGACAGTAAAGGACGTCTTTCTTTTTTTCCTTTTCCGTGGAGAGCCGCACCCAGTATCCCACTTAATCTACCTCCATTTATTGGCCCTCCGCTCTTGGTTACCTAACTGTACTGTTTGTTTCCAATCATTTCTTGATCCCAGTGCTGAAGGGTTCAATTTTTCAGCTGCTAAGGGTCCTTTTCATAGACACAGCTCCCTAATCTCAAAAAATTTCCAAATATTGATAATCGAATCGTCTTTAGTTATGATTGTTCTTTGAGAATCAAGATATGATGTAAGACCCTAATCGGTTGAGTGGGATCTCAAAATTGAGACTACAAATTTTTATTTTTTTTAACCATTACAAAATTTTTATAGCGACCCCTTCTGAAGATTTTTTTCGTGAAATTGGTTTCGTTCTCGATCTGAAGTAGTTTGAATTATGTGTCAATCAACGAAAATCGGAGTATTTTGTCGAATCGAAGGGGCTAGACACGTTTTCCGATGGTTATCGCCGTCGCAACGTGTCAGAACTGTTTCCGGTCGCGGCTTTTCGATTGATTGATTCGAACTGCCCTTTTTTGAGTTTTGATGATCCTATCTGTTTTTTGACAATTTTATGAGGTTTTCCTTTTTTTTTTAGATTTGATAAATTTTTTTCCCAATCGTTCCTCCTTTTTTTTTGAGATCGTAGTTATTAGACGACCCAAATCAAGTATCGAGATTTTCTTTTTGTTGTTTTTGAGCGGATTAAAAAAAACTATAGAATTTTTAACATACAGTAACGTCAGAAAACACGAAAAAATAATTTCTTTGTTCTCATCTTTCTTGTATGGAGCTCAATATTTTGGAAACTCTGTAAAGCTGCTTATTGTTAAAAACTGAAATTTGACCAGAGTTTTACGAGTAACAGTAAGCCAGAAAGGTCAAGCTCCATACAAGGAAGAAGCGTTCTTTTGTTTCTTTTCGGACGGAACTAACCAATCAATAACGAACCAGATTCCGTTTATCCTGATTTTTTCTAATTCTGATTGAAATTAATGAGTTTGTTAACCTAAAATACGGGAGATCGGATAAGAAAAGCGGCTTTTTACCACATAAAGAGGCGGTCGCGAGCCATTGAGTCTGGCCACGGTTGGTTTGGTAGACGCTGGCCCTTTTCCAGCACCACCCTCACTTCTAACACTACCGTTTTCGTCTGTGTATTTAGGAGCATCCGAAAACCATATATGGAGACCTTAAAAGGCGTCTCAACTCAAGGTCGCCTCCTTTTTGCGTGGCAGCGAGGTTCTTCTCTTCCTTTCTTTCCAACCCAAACTACTCGAGAAATTTCGGCCACGAAAATTTGGCACATTTCATCTGCAGTGTGTTCGTTATTCTTTACGCTGGGTTCACCACTTGCCCTAGTTGAGTTGGTTTCGATTGATGAGGTCGTTCCTTCACGGTTTTCTTCTCTCTGAAAAGAGGAGCGACTTCAAATTTGTGAAATGGTAGAATCCTCATTTCTTTTTCATCCTTTTGCCGGGTTTTAAGTAATTCCGCGAAATTCAAATTTTATATCTGTGGAAAAAAATCAAGTTATGATATATGATATTTTTTATTTTTCATTCATTTACAGTTTTCTGCTCACATTGAATGTCAATTTTTTTAATGTTTTAAAAAAATTTCGAACCATTTTTTTCGAATATTTTTTTATATTTATCAGTTTCTTATTTTGAAAAACGATGAATTTTTTTCCCTTACATCAAAAAGAGTGCTCCAGTTTTTCAAAAAAATTCGCAAAAAAAAAAAAATTATCTTTCGGATCTGTACGACCCTGGCATCGAGTCAACAGTTGATATCAAGTTTTTTCTCGAACTCGCCCATTTTATTTGATAATCGATAACTTTAACTTTAAGTAATATTCTAGAGCTCCGCCCATTCAAGTAATATTCTAGAACCCAAAGTTTGAATTCAATAAAAATAAATTAGTATTTTTTTTATTGATCACGCAAAGCTTACATTGATTTTTCCTACATCTTTTCTTCCGACAAATTTTTTTTTGTTCAAAAAACGACGAAACTTCATTGATCAACTAGCCAACTTGTCTTTCCCAACCTCCTCTCAAACATGTTAGGACCGTTGAAAAAACGCTCATTATATGTTTTTCCTTGGTTTTCTGTCCATTGGGTCGTTGAAATGATGCAGTGGAACACGGCGGTCGGCCGATTTATGAGCCTCCTCAGAGTTTTTTTTTCTCATTTCGTGGATCCTTTGCCTTGTCGCTAGTTTCTATCCAATCAATACATTTCCATCCAATCAATACATTTTCTTTTTTTTGTTGATTACTAATTTTGAAATTTTAATAATCTTTAACATTCAAAGATAACGATCGCCTGCCTTATAAAATCTTAGAGTGAAATTTTTTTTCTTTCGAAATTTTTTCTTGAGATTGAGATTCCCTTCTGTTTCCCAAAGTTCTGAGACGAGTTTTCATGGGCTTACTTTTTGTGGTGATTTTACTCGTTTCGAGACATTTTTCGTTACCTTTGGTCCGTTCTGAAAATTTCAAGTTGATGATTCAGAATCAAAAAAACGGATGAGCCGATGACGTGCGGATGCAACTCAATGGAGCCGCCGCCGCCGTTCGAACTCCCACCGCCGCCGGATCCTTCCCTTATCTGGCACCTCGTCTCCGAGGAACCTTTCCAACAGGTATCTAATCGGACCAACCTAATGAATTATCAATGTTACATGTTTTGTAATTTCTCAAAAATGAGTGGTAGGAATGAAAGATCAGCGAACTTCTCAATGTGCTGGGAAAGGCTTTAGTGGCATCTTAAGTGGCTCCTCAAGGACAATTTGGAAAGGACCACTAAAGTGGTTACTAATAAAACCTCTACGGAAGCTACTATTTTGCGTCTTAGTGGTCACTATAGTAGTTTTTAGTGGTCCAGTAGTCACAATCGGACCCCTGAAGGGGCCACTACGTTTTAGTCACGAGTGGCCACTGAAAGTTTTTACGGAATGGCTTCTAAATCTCCCTATACCTTTTATTCAAAGCTGAAGAACAAATTGAGCGGCCCAAACGTCATAGATAACTCATTTCGTGGCTCGGCGGGGTGTTAGAAGCATAGCTCTCCTGGGAGCTGCACCAGCTCCAAATGAATTTGTCTCGACACGTTTCGGCGTTTGTCTTCTCCTCCTCCTTCCTCCAGGGCCAACAAGTCTCACCACACAAATTCGAATGCAAATTTCTTGAATGAAATTCGCCGGGCGACGCATTGTGATTCAAATTTTGTTTCAATTTTGCGCAACTTCTTTGGAAATTAACTCTGGTTGAGTCGGAAGTTTTTTAATTCTTTCCCCAATCTTGAACTTTGATGACTGAGAAATTCTAAGTTTAAAAGGCCCAAAAAAGGCATGATGAGAAATTAGTTCTCGAACCTGAACTTATAAAAAATACACCCTATGGATCTCGTAATTTTGAAGAAAATAGATCTCAGCGAAAGGAAAAACTTGGATCACCTCAAATAAATAAAACCGAAAATGGACAGTCGTAAAGATGACGAACAATTGCCGCGTTAAGTGCATTCTCAAGAATATTTCTCATGTCGAGAAGATTTTCGAGTCAAGTTATTCAATAAAGAGAAACAGATGAATGGGCTTTCGAGGAAGGAGCACAAATTGTTGTCGTGCCGTCCCTAAATATGTATTAATTGAATTTGTCGGTGCGCACATCGCCGTCGCTTTTTAGGCCGTGGCAAGAAGAAACGGCCAAGAAATATGGAAAATCCGTTTGATGAAAACATTTATAACAATTCACATATTTATCATTTGAAATCAAATTAAATCTTAGGAAAGCCAGAGTGATCCCTATAGGAGTTTGAGGAAAAAAAGCCCTTATAATGAATAAAAAAATGTCTTTATAAGGTTAGAGTCTAGGTTCTTTTTCAAAGTAGGTTTAAAAACCCTTAAGGATTTTTCATTTTTTTTTGTTCAGAATTGAAAATCAAAATGAAAAAAATCAATCAAATATCCTCTGTTCATATTTTTCATTAAAGTCAATTCATTGAAATTTTTTTCCACTTTTTCTAATTTTTTTGGCCCTTATAGGGAGAGGCAAAGAGGTCCTTCTAGGAAAAAAAAACAAGACCTCTAATATTGTATCTGTAGGGTTCGCTTTCGAGTTCCAGAGGCCCTTACAAAAATAGGAACAGCGAATCCCAGCATTGTCAGTTGACTCGGTAGTAATGAGATGAAGAAGGATTGAGTGGTGGTGTCGGAATGCAAATTATCCACCCTCTGCGAAATAGGCCACTTGATGGCACGGTCGTTATGCAAATAGCAAATCCATTTTTTTTTCTTTCCTGATCTTGCTCCGCTACATGAATCTATGTGTAACAGAATTAAAGGACTTAATCTTTTTTTTTCGATTTCTGAACCAAAAAAAAAATCTAATTTATTCTATACTTTAAAGAACTTAGTTCCCATTGCTCTAACCTCAACATTTCGATTAGAAGAATTTTTAATCGAGTCTCTTCTTTTCGCAGACCGTTTTACCGACCTTATCGGTTTTTGTCTCACGCTAAGGTTGATTGAAGTTTGAATTCATTGAATCTCATCGTAAAAATTCCGACACGTTGGAAGCCAGTACTTACAGGCGGAGGAATGCAAAAACGACGCTTTCCTGTCGATCCTGGACATTGGCGAGAAGGGTTTCGACAACTCCAAGGCGATCGTCAGCGGCTCTCTGATCGCTCTTGCCGTTCTGTCCGTCCTGCTTCTGGTGTCTCTCATTTGCTGCCTCGTTCGACGGATAAGGAGGTAAAGAGTTTTCGATGTTCGCCGGTAGTTGAAAAACGTTCAAAAATGTTATGCTTTTCGTCCCAAACTAAGCAAAACTTTTTGTGGCTATACTGAAACGAACCAGCCAATCGATCATGACACAAGGTTAATTAAATGAATCGAGAAGAGGGTGGCGGCTGTAGTTGGCATGTCTTTTGTGCTCGGCTGCCAATGATTTGGCTTGAGAGGGGGGAATATTAGGGCGGATGGCGACCGTAATCGATCTTCATAATGAACGCTTGTCAGAAACAGAGCACAGGCTCTAGGAAATGAATCTCATTGGAAACAATCTCTTTCTGTTTCATCGGAAATGTTTTCCAAGGACAATGAAGATTGGCTTTCAAAAAAAAAATTAGAGAAACTTTTCCATATACGGCTGTTTTTCTTTCTTTTTGTCGTAGTTTATTTCAAACGTCACCTGGTTGACCTCATAACGCTGCCCGATTTACAATGGTAGCAGCAGCAAAAAACGAAAAGAAAAGAAAAGAAACAACAGTTGTTGTTCGAGCAGTCCCTAATCGTAAATCTTGACGGCGTGCGAGGTGATCAGAACGCCAGGGAGGCCAGTCTACCGTATATCATCGTTTAGGATTGTAAAAAGCCATATTCCATCCACACGCCGGATGCTCTGCTTTTTTCACTAAATCGGGGGGACGTTTTTTCCCTCTCTCATTAGACTTTGTCTTTTTAGAATCCCTTATTTTATGTGACGTCCCAAATTTTCCCCCAATTCTATTTCTAAGCAGTGAAAGAAGGCTTTGATTCGCTTGTCCCTCGACCATAAACAAGCCGTCTTGAGGCCGGCGGCCCGGTCAAGTGTTGATTAGCCCGTTAATATCGCCTCGTTCAATTTTTCGACGTTCCGCTTTGTTGGAAAACAAGAACAACCAAAGAGTCTATGACGATATTTGCTAGAAGAATGTCCAAAGTACGCCACGGTGGTCCCTAGAGGAGTTAGGAAAAAAAAACAGGCCTTTTTGGTACCTATAAAGGTTTATGGTCTGATTCCAAGGCCTACTACAGGGTTTTAGATGTAACCCTTAAGCTTAATAGACACCTAGAGGGATCTTTTAGTTTTTTGTTCACATTTTGAAGTTAAAAAAAGCTTGACAATCCTTTCTTGATACTTTTAATTTTAAAAAAAAACTGTTTTATTGACTTTTCCTCATGGAATTTCATTACAATGAACAGCTAGCCTGTTTCCCTAGAGTGGCCACTAGCTGAAACCTTGGCCACTTTTGCAAGCTTCATTGCCCCCATGAGGGACCTTCAAGTGCCCCTAAAGTTGCACTCTGACGTTCTTCAGTTATCTCTTAATTTCTTAAAACTTTCAGCAAAAAATGCTCTAAGAGTTTTGAGGAGCAAAATTTGAATTTTGGAGCACTTCATAGAAAGTTTCGTCCAGAAGCGCACCACATTTCCGTCTTCAGCATTGTGTAGAATTGGCGCGAAAAGTGGCACGCAATAATTCACTTTTGACGCCAAAATGCTGCACTTCATCAGACCCTATAATTTTCTTGTCCTTCTGAACATCTTGAATAATTTGAAGCTGCAAGGAGCATTTAGAGTATTTTCCGAAAGATTCAAAAGTAATAACAGGAGAAAAGATTCTCTAATTAAAAACAATTTTCAGGAAAATGATCGCGAACCCCGCTACCAAGACGATCTCTTCCGACGCCATTTTGGTTTCCGGCGAGAACCTCTGGACGTACAACTCCATGAAAACGTCGAGAAATGTAAGAATCCTTTAAGAAAAATAAAGAAACTACTTTTCTCAATATACAGGGGTCGATGGGCGTTTTGATGTACACGAACAGCTCGAATGCCGGCAGTCGGCATTTCCAACATACGCCGGCAACCATCAGGTACCTATAAGAACAACTTCAGTTATTGGTTGCAAACAGACACGATGAAACAGCTTTTTCTTGCTTTGTGAAAAAAAGTTACATCAAAATTAGAGAGCTGAGTCCGAATAAAATATAAGATTTTTTCGCGCGTTTTCTGTAGTTTCCCTTGATACTCGCTCCGAAAAAAATACCTCGAAAGTCTCAACCTCTTCGATTAAATCACTTTTGAGAGCCTAAATTTTCAACCCTGGGGCGAAAACTGCAGATCTGTTCAAAACTTGTGTTGTAGGTTATCCTAGGTATGAGTACTATAAAATAAATAGAATTATCTGCAAAGCGCCATTAAATACTGAGGGTGTGAAAATAAAGGCTTAGAAACTGATTTCGTTGCGTTTTTGGTTTCTCAAAAAACTTCTGCGGTTCACTTTATTATAGAAAAACGAGAAAGATACATTTTCTGACGAAAATCCAGAAGTTGACCTTTTTCTGTAAACTCTCGACGGGCTGCTTTCCATTCCAAGATGGTTTTTCATTGTTCTCGAGTACTCGTACCTAGGACTACCTACTGGGAAGAACTCTAGTGGTCCCTTAAAAGGTTCCTCAAGGACTATTTGGAGAGGACACTAAAGGGGCCACTAAAACCACCTTCTGTGTGATTTTTAAAGAGGTCACTTAATTTAAGTCCCTGAGCACTAGTTCGACTGTTTTAGTAAAATCCTAAAGTAGCCATTTTGCCAGTTAACCGAATGTTTGGACCAGATCTGCGATGTTCGCTACACATACTGCCGTTGTCGACATTTAGAGATTTTTTCATGATAACTTTTCAGATCGTACATCAGTGGCACCCCGATAATGTCGCACTCCCTGCGGCACTCGGAGTCGACGACTCTTCGGCTTCATCCGAACGACGCTTCGGCCGCCTACCACACTGTCGGACGTCACCTTCAGAGCCCGCCCTCTGAACACTACGAAGAGATTCCGGCATTAGGTTGGTTTGGAAGATATAATAAGGCCGAAATGGGAGGTCATTTCAACTTTCCGATGGAAGTTTCCTGGAAGTTGCTCAGAAGGTTTCTTAAAGTACCAGAAGAAGTTCCTGAGAGTGACGGTGTAGACTTTGAATATCTTCATCCGATACATCAAAAAGTTCAATTTTTCGGAAAAAAAAAATTATCTTCTTAGGATACCGCTTTTCTCTGACACAAAAAGGTTTAAAAGTCAAAATTGAAGATCAAGTAGACTTGAATATCCCAAATTGTTGAACTAAAAGAAATATTGAAAAATTTTTGAAGTCTGAGCTCTGAGTCGAAAAAAAAAAGAAAAAAAAAACGGAGGAAAGAAACGCCGAAACTGCTTCTTTTAGAACCATCTGGTGCCCTCAAGAATCCATGGTTCTCGAAATATCAATTTACAATTTACAATTTATTCAGTCTTCAGAGTCAGATGTATAAAAAATCTCTGCTGAATCATGGTATAATCGAAGAGCTAGTCGTCGGCGCGGGTTACGGTCCACAATATTTGTTCAATAAGTGCCGGCGTGACAGCTAGCGTTGGGAAATACTGTAAGCCCGTTGGTAGTACCAGCGAATAAACTGCTTCACCATGTTGGAACAGTACAGCGCCCAGCTTGTCCAGGGCTGACGGGCGTCGGAATATTATCCCATGAGAGAGCGGCAATCAGAATCGACGTGGTGAAATGAAATAATAAATTTTTTTAAATCAATTTTTTTGTCACTCAAACTTTAAAAAGTTCTCATATTTCGGCCCAAAAAAGTTTTCAAAAATAATTAAAAATCGACTCAGGATCTCTGGGCTACATGCCAGCACGAGGTGTTCCGACTGCCACTACGTCCTACGGTAGAAAGTCGCTGCGAAAGCCGCCGCCGTCGAGTCGACCGCCACCGCCGCCCGTTAAGACGCCATACTCACCCCCCGGCAGCGACTGCAGCAGCGACAAAGAGCTCACTGGGTACACAGACGAGACTATCCGATTTCATCCTTCAAAAAGTCTTTCCAGAATATCATCGACGGATTCGCCGCCTCTCCGGAAATGGGAAGAAGCCGAGTCGTCGAGGTCACGTCAGTCGGGCGACAATGGCCGTGAGAGTGGCTATGGTACAACGCCCAGCCTGCAGTGGAGAAGCCCCTCGGGCAGCGCCCGGTACCCTTCCGAAGGACGAAACCGTTTCACTTACAGTACTCTTTTTAGGGATGCCGAACTCGGCGCTTCGAAGGGCTTCGAACTGTCAAACGCTCCCCACTCTCAATCAATGACCTACGTGTAAAATGTGCTTGTATATCAGTCTTGTCAGTCTCTTGTTCCTTCCTCTTACGGGTCTTCTCTTTGACCATCGGGTTGTTTCTTTCTGATTTTTCACTTGGGCTTTCATTTTTGAAGTTTTTTTCCCAAGAAGTCACTCGAGAAATCGCTGTCTCAGATCTATAGTCCGTTCAGATTTTGAATGTCGAATCGAATGACGTCATTCGAAACGCTCTGTGGATGGCTCGCACTCTGATTGGTTTATCGCACCATTAGGGGGCGGAGCTTGAGCGAGGACTTGACATGTAAAATCTGAACAGACTATAACAATTTTTGGAGATGACCTTTCAAAGAGAAGAGAGAGTCTAAAATCTCTCTCTAGAGTTTCTTTTTTCACAATACCCTCAAGTAACTTCTTGGGAAAAGCTTCAGTTCCTCAGCGACTTTGTCACCGGCGAATCTCTAGTCTTTCAATCTTGCGATGATTTTTATGTTTCAAATTTTTTTTTGGATGGAAAAGTTCTCACGCGATCGATTACAGACGTCCGGTTTATTGCGGGAGTAATAAACTTTTAAAAGAGTTACAATTGCACACTTTTACAAGTTTGGGCCTTCAGAACAGGCTTAACACCATTCTTTTCATTTCGACTCAGCCACCGTGCCTTTCAGAGTAGTTTTTCATAAACAATTCTTTAGGTTTTTTTTTTCCACATTCTCAACAAGTACAGTTTCATGCTCAAACAAGTCTGAAGCTTCTGAATGAAGCTCAATCAGTTTACAACTCTTATCATTGGAAAGCTGACGACAAGACGAATCGAATGATATGATCAGATAAGCTGTGGCTACTCTGGGAGCCGAGATATAAGCCGTCAAAGTTTCCCTTTAAAATTTAAAATGGCGTCAGGTAAAATGCCTTTGGTGGGCAGCACCGCGGTGTACTTTTCTCGCGAAAAAGGAAAAGCTCAAAAAAAAGTTCGGCTTTTCGAGGTTTGAAATATATTGATTGATAGAGCAGCTTACATATAGTAGTTTTATCATATCACTTTCAAAGTAAAAGCTCTAAAATGGGGTGAAAAACGGGTCTGAAAAACGGAATTTTCCAGACTTTCGAGCTTCACAACTTTGTTCATTTTGAAGATACGGAGGAAGTTATTACATCAATCGATTTGTCTAATCATAAGCTTCTCAATGATATAGAACTTCAAAAGATTCCATCAACTTGGATGAGGTGAGAGAAATCCGCAGCTTACATCTCAGCTTTTTCCTCAGGGTGGATGATATAATAATCATTCGATAGAGCGTCTTATGACCTTTTCAAAGATGTAGTTCAATCCCGGATAACTTATCATAACAAGAAGCTATAAGCTGAGAGAAGTCTGAAGCTTCTGGATGAAGCTCAAGCAGTTGATAACCAGAATAATTGGAAAGCTGATGAGGAGACGAATCGATTGACATAATTAGTTTCTCTGTAACTTCAGAACGAAAGAAGTTATAAAGCTTGAAAGTCTAAAAAATGCAATTTTTTCTGACCTGTTTCTCGCCCAAATTTTGACCTTTTCTTTTCAAACTGATATGATAACAGTACTATATAGACTATATAGAAGCTGTTCTATCGATTACACTAGAAAAAAGTTGAAAAAGTCGAGCTTTTTTTTGAGCTTTTCCTTTTTCGCGAGAAAAGTACACCGCGGTGCTGCCCACCAAATGCATTTTACCTGACGCCAATTCAAATTTCAATGGAAAACTTTGACGGCTCATATCTCGGCTCCCAGAGTAGCCACAGCTTATCTGATCATATCATTCGATTCGTCTCGTCGTCAGCTTTTCAATGATAAAAATTGTAAACTGATTGAGCTTCATCCAGAAGCTTCAGACATCTCTCAGCTTATAGCTTTTTGTTGTGATAAGTTATCCGGGATTTAACTACATCGTTGAAAAGTTCATGAGACGTTCTATTGATCGGTTTTCATATCATCCACTTTGAGGAAAAAGCTGAGGTGTGAGCTGGGAAAATCTGCGACGTGATTCGAATCGGTGGAAACTCTTGAAGTCCTATATCATTAGAAAGCTGATGATCAGCCAAATCGTTTGATGTAATCAATTTCTCCGTATCTTCAAAACGAACAAAGTTATAGAGCTTGAAAGTCTGAAAAAAATGCCGTTTTTTTCAGACACGTTTTTTTCACCGAATTTTTAGAGCTTTTACTTTGAAAGTGATATGATAACAGTACTATATAGAAGCTTTTCTATCGATTACACTAGAAAAAAGTTGAAAAAGTCGAGCTTTTTTTTGAGCTTTTCCTTTTTCGCGAGAAAATTACACCGCAGTGGTGTCCACCAAATGCATTTTACCTGACGCGAATTCAAATTTAAATGGAAAACTTTGACGGCTCATATCTCGGCTCCCAGAGTAGCCACAGCTTATCTGATCATATCATTCGATTCGTCTCGTCGTCAGCTTTCCAATAATGAAAATTGTAAACTGATTGAGCTTCATCCAGAAGATTCAGACATCTCTCAGCTTATAGCTTTTTGTTGTGATAAGTTATCCGGGATTTAACTACATCGTTGAAAAGTTCATGAGACGTTCTATTGATCGGTTTTCATATCATCCACTTTGAGGAAAAAGCTGAGGTGTGAGCTGGGAAAATCTGCGACGTGATTCGAATCGGTGGAAACTCTTGAAGTCCTATATCATTAGAAAGCTGATGATCAGCCAAATCGTTTGATGTAATCAATTTCTCCGTATCTTCAAAACGAACAAAGTTATAGAGCTTGAAAGTCTGAAAAATGCCGTTTTTCAGACACGTTTTTCACCGAATTTTAGAGCTTTTACTTTGAAAGTGATATGATAACAGTACTATATAGAAGCTTTTCTATCGATTACACTAGAAAAAAGTTGAAAAAGTCGAACTTTTTTCTGAGCTTTTCCTTTTTCGCCAGAAAACCACACCGGTGAAAGCCTCAGACGGGCACTTGACCAGACGCGCAGTCTCAGCCAATGCATTCCATCCGACGCGCAAATTTTTTTTTTAGAGAATTTTCGAAGGCTCATATCTTGGCTCCCAGAGTAGCTACAGCTCCTCTGACTATATCAATCGATTCGTCTCATCGTCAGCTTTCCACTGGTACAATTCGCAGAGAGTTTTCTCTATCTTCAATAACGTCATAGACTTTCCCAGCTTACATCTCAGCTTTTCTCTCAACCTAGATGAGATGACAAGCGATCGATATAGAGTCTTGACACGGTTTCAATGATTAAATTCAACTCTGGATAACTTCTGTGAAGCTTTTTTTTATTTTGATGATATCATAAGGATTCGAATAAATTTTCTTTCGCATGTTCGGAACCCAAAAAAGGCCAAAATAACATGTGAAAGGTGTTTATTTGTAGTTGAAGGTTGATTGTGCTTGTGCATAGAAGAATAATTCGTGAGTCTAGGTGCATTTGGGTGTTTCGCATGTGAAGAACTCGTAAGAAACACAAAAATTATAGTTGCTACTTGGTGGACGTTGTTCTCAGGAGGTGGGTCTTTCGTTTCCTCGTTCAGAAGAATCCCGTCTCCTGCAAAATATTGAAAAGTGTGTTTTTAACGAACACAATCAAAATGATTTACATGAAGCTTTTGGACGAAGAAACGGAAGTCGGCGGCTTCGTTGGAGGTGAGTTCGTCAGTGGAGCCGTTGAGGATCCCTTCCATCACGGCCAGCATGTGAGCCGTTTCCGCGTCGCCCAGCTTCATCTCGTTCGCGAACAGGTCTGCTGTCGGTGTTTCTAAAAATTTCATCTTCTTCCAGTTGAAAACTCCTGTTTAGTCATCTTGGCTATGACTGTCAAACCCACACGGACCTTGGTAACACAAACCGAAAGCGAATCGGACGTATCGGAGCATTTTTAGTGACCACTTTAGTAGCGGCAGCACTCTTAAGTGATCCCTAGAATTTCCCGGAAAAGCTCGGCTTTCGTTAACAAGGTCCGAACAGTGATTCGTGAAGTTCTGTTCCGAGGACAACGATTGTGAAATTTTTATTCTGTTTTCTGTTTTACAAATTTTCCAAGAACCGTTCCGAAAAAAAAGGTTTATTTTTTACCGACTTTTGCGTCAAAAGAGGCTCTCGAAATTTAAACTTAAAATCAGGAAGTAACAAAATCTTTTTGCAGAAAACCACTTCTATGCGTTGCAGGAAAGCCGATTAGGACCATCTCAACTTTCAAACTTTCAAGAGGACAAAAATCCCATACTTTTGCCACCTTTTTCGGGTTCAAAAAATGAATTGAAAGTTTTTAAAAATTTTCTAAAGACTAGGTCATTTTTCGTTCGCTGTTCAGAACTTATTGAAAATTAGCCGAAACACTCTTTGATGTAACAAAAAAATATTCTGAATTTTTCAGCCTTCACAACTCCCGGGTTTTTAATGAATCTCAAAGCCCCGAATTAACCCATTTTAACGGATTTTGAGGGTTTTCTTTGACTTAAATTTCTTCTTTTTTCTCAAAAACTAGGAATTTTTGAAAGACCTTTAGGATCTTCTTCTGGTACTTCAAAGAGTGTCCAGGCCAATTTTCAGAAAAACCATAACCGCAAAGTTGAATGACCTTCCTTGTGAGAATCTTTTTAGTGTTTTATAGACTTTAATGCCTGAGGTGAGCCCTCGATGTTAGTGAAAATCATTGGGAAGTAAGAGCAGTGCAATCGAGTAGGAAATGAAAAGGGAGGGGAGAAAATTTGCAATTCGCAAATCGAGCCATTCGACGACGTGATTCCCGTGAAATATTCATGGATCCTTGATACAAACGCGGCTCACATTATTTTCGTGGGACACCTTGAGAGTTGTTCTCAGACGATGGGACTTCGAGTTGTCCACTTGGATGCTCCCACGCGACTTTTTCTCCCTCAAAATTTTCTAGCAAAAAAAGCGTTTTGGCAAGTCCGTTACGCCCAAAAAAAGAGCATCCTTGAGAACAATATTTTCCTCCAACTAGAAGAAAATTTTTAAAAATGTAGGAAAGCAGATTCAAAGTTTGTTTCACGTCGAAAATTGGTGCTCGTCTGATTATAACTGCTCACTGAAGTTCATATTGATTAATTTCTGATGCAAATCGCTATGAGCTTAAAAGTGTATAGATAAATAGTTGAAGAGATTTTTCATCTCGAGAACGTTTTGAAAAAATGTCTTCCTTCTCGAAAAAAAAGTATTGGAGTTCAAGGGCCATTCTTTTCAATTTTCAGTGTTTGCAGATTCTGTAAAAAATTGAAAATTGCAAAAAACTTCATAGCCGTTAAACTGAACAATAATCGAGAACAATTTCTGGAAAAAAAAACTCGCGATTCTCATGAATAAATCAAAAATAGCAATCCACTTTGCCAAAACTTGTATGTAGTTTAACTCTATGTAGTCTCTACATTTCATCGAAAAAGAAAGATGTACTGAAGAGTTGAATTCAAAAAATGGTCATTTTACCGTTCTTACTGGAATTTCTCAAATTTTTACTTTCGGAGACATGAAAATTTTGGTTTCATCGATTGGCGCAGAGGTTAGCGAAGCAGTCTGCAGAGCCTATGGTGAAGGTACCAACCCTTTTGCAGATTTTTTGTTGCCTTTTTTTTTGAAATCCTTTCAGACAAGTTCGACAGCAATGTTTGATCGAAAAATGCTTTTTTGGGTTCATAAATTTGAATTTCTGGACCTTGTAGAATGTATCGCATCAACAGAGAACTTTTCAATACACTTTTCGATAAAAAATGGCTATCGAAATTGTACTTACATCGTATATCATCGAAAAAAAAGACAAAAAAGTTGGCGGCAAAAGGATTTGAATCTTTACTATAGGCTCCACAGACCACTTTGCTATCCACTGAACCACGACCAGTCATCCGATGGAAGCCAGCGTGGCTATATTCCTCCAAAAAAACGTCATGTGTATGTTGAAAAACTTGAAAAATTCCATATTTCAAAAAGAAAAAGAATATATCAAGGATTTTGCGCAGATTTATTAAGAAAATTTCAGTAGTAACATAAATAAATTTGAAAAAACCGTTGAACAGTGGAAATTATATGTTCCGCTGTTAGATGATGAAGCGCTCAGCAAAAAAAGAAAAAAAAAATTAACCTTTTGAAGTCTATGAATCTTAAAAATAATCAAAACTAACGGGAGAGCGCCACGGCGACTTTGTCGACGCCGCCCATGCCAGACAGTTCCGCTTTCGCTTTTGGCCCGAATACCTAGAAGAAAAAATTTTATTTCCATGAACAAAACCTGCACCACAGTAGTGTTTTGACGTTTCAGTGGTCACTATAGTAGTCGAATTGATGGCCACTTAAGTAACTAAAATTTAGTCGCCTCTTTAGAAGTCTAAGTGGTACTTCTAGACTCTCAAAAACTACTATAGTGGCCTCCAGAGGTGGAGGATGGCTGCCCTCTGGCCGCCCTGCCTGCCAAGCCATAAACGCCCAAAAGGCAGAAATGACTTTTTCAAAAGTCAGCGTGGCGCGACGGTCATTTGTATGGCGATATCGCCCTAGCATCTAGAAGCGCTTGTTTCGAGCGATGTATGAAACTTTTTAACAAAAACACAAAAACAAGAAAAAATGATGGTATGAAAAAAAGATCAGCGAAAACTCGAACGGCGATTTTTCTGATTTTTTCATATCGCTAGGGAGCTTTCCGACGAAGAACTTTCCGACTAATGGTCCGTCGGAAAGTTCCCTAGCGATTTGAACAAATCGGAAAAAGTCGCCGTTTGAATTTTCGTTGGTCTTTTTTTCATACCACCGGAAAAATCCAGATAGAGAACTGTAAGCCTTCCACTCTTAACGAGGTGGCCTGGCGTAATAGGATTTTTCAGTCATTTGAATTTTTTGGAAACCAAATGAATCAAGAGAAATAATTTTGCATCAATTTCATAGCATCTCAAAATTTTTTTGTCGAAATTGTTCTCTAGTGAGATTGAAAATGTAGCCTTTTGACCCGTTTCAGTGACAATTCCCTGCTGAAATAACTCTTACAGTAGATTAAAAACGTTAACAGGAAGTTGCGAAAAAAAAAACAATTCAAAATATACAAAATTGATAATGATTAGTTCAGGGCGTTATCGCCACGTACTTGACCTAGTTGCCAAAGACCACGTAAATTAATGGCTCATTTCTATCTTTTGGCTTTTTGGCTTGGCTTGGCCGCCAAGCCAAGGGCTGCCTTCCCAATTCTCCACCTCTGGTGGCCTCTATGAAGGTTGTTTTAGCGGCCACTTTCGTTTCCTTCCCAAGTAGTTTTTGAGCAACCTCTTATGGGTACACTGAAGTTTTTTCCAGATCCTTATACATGATTGGCTCCAGAAGAGGGCAAAATAAAAAGACTTTTTTTAAATTTTTGTCCAAATTTTAAACTCGGATGTAAGATTAAAGTCTGATATTCTCTTTTTTTTTAAACCTTCATCGTTCCTTCAAAATTACTGAGAAATTTTTGAAAGGCCCCTATAGGGGTAATTTGACGGTCGCTATGAGGAAAGTTATTGTAGGGCCCCTATCACCTTCCCTTAAAGGACCCCTCCAAAGTTGCTCAGTACGGCCGATTTGTAGCTTTTCGGAAACCTTCAGAAAAATGTTGCCTCTCCTCCTTTGAGGAACAAAAATTCAATGCGGTAGTTGAACTTTCTTGAAGTTCAAAAGCAAAACTTAGCCTTCTTTATCTCCTTCAAAACATGTTTTCCTTTCATAAGACTTCATAATTTGAAAAATTAGCTTCTTCTACTTCGAACATTTCTCTCAGGCTTTTTGAATAAGCGATGAAGTCCATTTCCTCTATTTCCACTTGATGGGTTGATATTCCCCGGACTACCTTGATGAGGAAGTCTTTTCCGTGGGCGGCCATTAACGCCTTCAAAAAGGCTTGCGTCTCTTCCACCGGCGGTCGTGTTGCTGTAAAAAGAAAAAGATATATTTTTTTCTGTTCATATCGAATGATTCGTATGCTATTTCTCTTTATCGAAAGTACTTATTTTTCATTTACGTAACAATTCAGAGGGCTCCTTATAGGGGCGACCTCAGGCCTCTTGCCCCTACAGGGGTCACTAAAGCTCGCAAAAATTGGTCTCTATAAAGGGTTTTTAGTTAGGGTCTCTTGTAGGGAGCATCACATATCAGAATCATTTAGACAAACTTTTTAATAAAACTCGAATAAAGGTTTTAAATAACACTGAAAAATTTAGATAGCTCGCAAATTGAAGCTTTAGGTAAATTGTTCATTTTTCGTTCATGTGGACGATGAAAATCATTCTTTTGGTGAGACAAGATAATCAGATCTTCAAATCTCGAAATGAATTAAGCTTAGTTAATTTTTAAAAATATAATACTGTGATTCCTTCTTCTCTTGGGTTCACAGTTCGAGTTGAAAAGCCCTTCAACTTCCCATTTTTCGACCAGAGATAATAGGAAAATGAATGAAGGCTGATGAAAATTTCAAAACCATCTGATAGCCCAGAGTCTCAAAAGTTTTTTTTAAAACAAAAAAAAACTAACCAGCCGTACACATGCTTTTGTTCTCGTCGTATTCGTCGGAACAATCCGGCGATCCGTCGCAAAGGTACTTGATGGGAACGCATTCGCCGGAGGGACAAGCGAACGGATGCCAGGTTGGGCAGGGTACTTGAAACCCGACAATTAGGAACCTTTTTTCACGTGGTTCTCGGATACCTGTGGCGTCGGCGCGTTTGCCGTGAATAATGTCCCGAATACTGAAGGCCACCGAGTACTGCACGAAGCATGTCAACGCCACATAAACCACAAAAGTCGTTCGCACCATCCCTCGTCGAGTTTCTTGATAATTTCTACCTGAAACGTCGGGTAGAATTATTTGGAAATCGTTCATCTTCAGCAAGAATATTCTAGCAAGAATCGTGTTTTCAAAGATGAGAAGTCACTATGAGGAAGAAAGGGTCAATTTCAATCTTCCTTACGAGCTGTTGCGAATTGAATACTCACTAATGCGCATTCAAAAAAACATCCGGATTGAGCAACTCTGGGAGTCCAAAAAGAACGCAAAAAGAAGGAATTGAAAGCAGAAGAAAGGCTGGCTAAAAAATGGCAAAACGTCACTTTTTTTTTCTGAAGAAAAATTATATACCGAAAATTGTTCTTTCAGAGCCTGGAAATGAATTGAAACTGCCTTTTCAGTGCCTTAGAAACCGAAGATTTACAACTTCAGCAAGCTCTTTCAAAATCTTCCAAGTCCCCCTCTGCAGATTGTTACTGAATTTCTAGTTTTGTAAGAAGAAGCGAGGGAAGAAGGACTAAACGATCTCATGAGCCGTTTATGTACGTTGCTAGGCGCAAAAGCCTTGACAAATTTATCCGGACAAATTACATCTAATCGTGTAAGCCCAGAAGAAAAAAGTGACGAATTTTCGCCTCGAGGTCAATTTGCAATTCAGGCCTATTATTGAATAAAAATCCTTAGTCTTTTTGGCTCAAAAATTGATAAGCAAAAATGAATATTTCTCCCTAAATTCACTCAAAATGTTGTTTTAGCATTTATTCAGGCTAGTTTATGGAGATATGTTCGCAAAGATAATCTAATAAGAAAGTAGACCTCAAGGGCATATCTATCTAAGCTAGGGGCTTCTTCGAAGTTCGCCAAATCATCTGGCTGCTCAAGAAACATTCCCTTGGATCATGAGTAATTTTTTATCTGAATGAAAAAAATTTATTTTTTTTAGCAAATGGGTACTAAAATATTTTTGAACTTTCTTTCAAACTAAATGCAAGAGAAAATTTAGAAAATTTGAAAAAAAATAATAAATTTAGGGAAAAAAGTACTAGAAACAAATAACAAAAAATGTAGATAATTTGAATGATTTTACTCCTACGAACTTCTCTAATTTTCAAGCTTCAATCAGTCGAAAAGGCCTTTTTGACAAACCACTCATATATTTGGGAAAAACATGAAAAGAACTTCTCAAGCGCTCAGAGACCCACCACTCAAACAATAAAACCTCCAAATCAAAAAAAAAAGTCTGCCAAGCGTAGCCCAATCCAAGTTCAGAGCTCGAAAACTCAGAAAACAGAAAATTGGCAGGTTCTAGAAGATGATAGAATAGAAAAAAAAAGAGACCTCCATTAACCTTTTGATTAATTTTTCCACTTCACAATTCTCATAACGAAAAAAAAGGTGACACAACGGATCGATTTAACCCTGTTTAGAGCTTTCAAAAAATTGTAATATAGCACATAATAACTCGGGCAAAGTCGGAATGGTAGGAATCATCCATGGCCGCTAAAAGGGATCTAAAAAGGCCGCAGAAAGGCAGCAAAAGGGCAGAAAAAAGGAGCCTTTGTCACCCTAAAAGGAAAATTTCTATGGAGCCATTTTCCACCCTTCCCGACTTTGCCTATGAATGATAATAATAAATATATGGGCCCGTCATTATTTTTTTCAGAGCAAAAAAAAGATAAATCTTTAATCTTTTTTCTTTGTTGCATTCATGAAATTTCTATATATCAAGAATTTCATTATTGTCTGGACCTTTATAACAATCTTCAATAAACAAAGGGTTATGTCAAAACAGCTTCGCTAGCTGAAACTGGCCCGGGAAAACTTTCAGTGGTCATTTTAGGATGTCGGGCCCTAAATTGACCACTTGAGAAGCTAAAATTTAGTGGCCTCTTTAGGAGTCTGTAGTATTACTAGGCCCCTAAAAACTACCGTTGTGGGCACTAAGACGCAACGTGGAGGCGGCTTTAGTGTTCTTCAGGAGCTTTTAAGGGGCCACTAGATTTTTTCCCAGTATGCCTGAAATAGCCCTACGAAATTCGCCTTGCGTTATCGTAGCCGCTGGAAAACCATCACCAAAAGCAAATCCATTTTTCCATGAGTCCCGTTTTTTTCTCTTCAAACGACTTGCATGTTTGGAAAACGATATATAGGGGAAGATTACTAGAACAAAGTATATTGGAGAGATAATAAAGTGGTCCGAGAAATTTTTCTGGCAGGTTTCGCGCACCCGGCCGCCACTTTGGCAAATGACAACAGACGCCGACAATGAATGTTTTATTATATCCGCATGTGGCGCACCGGAATGCTTTGTTTGGCACAAAAGTCAGCACTGGGCCAAAATCATTAAGAGAAGGTAGAAAAAACATTTCGAACGTGACCGATGCAAATCTACAAATTCTTTCAATGAAAAAAAAAAACACACGCACATTTAAGAGAAGCCTTCTGAAATGATTGGAGAAGCATGATTTCAACATCGATTCAATCCATAACAGATTTCTTCAAGTCGTTGAACAACTTTTATCCGTTTCAGAGACGTTTAAATTTAAAAACTACAGAAGTCATTTTCCTTCAAATTTCGGTTTGAACAAAAAAGCTCTACCGACACTAACACAGTTTTTTTTTCGATTTTAAATAAAGGTTTAGGAGGAATCTCAGTTACTTTGAAAACGTGAGAGAACTGAATGAAATTAGCGGTTCGCCTGAAAAACAAAATAAGCACATCAAAAATAATCTGTCATTCCATTCCCACTCCCTGAAGGACAGTTTTAATACAGATTTTCAAGCTTCGAATTCCACGAGGGACCAGTTTAACTCAAAAAGTAAATAGTTAGATTTTCAATTTTACATTGAGGATTAAAAGGACTCGAATGAGACTTGGAAGTGTAGGTGATGTTTGAAATTCACTGAAACTTTTCAACTTGAGTAACTGAAATAGCGATATCGTTCGAAAAAAAAAGAATACAAAAACAGAAGGTACCGTTGCAAATTTGACAGGTACCGGCAAAAAAAGAATTGAAAAAAAGTTACCAAACCACCATGAGGCGTGCAACAAGCTGGAAAGGGCTGAGGGGAGGAAAGGCTCTTTTTGCGAGCTCCGACTCCGCCCACATCTGATCTGCGCAGGGAGTGACATCATCAACCTGCCGGGCAAGACGTCGTTCTCTCCGGGAGGCTCCACCAAATTAAACTTTGGCAATCGCTACCCTCCGCGAACTCTGTTCCAGAGTGAAATTGGACATCTTCCGACGGAAGGCCTAGGTGTGAAACTATCTGCGCAAAATTCTTAGAACATTATCTGAGCCTTATTAAACAAACTATGAGAATTGGAGAGAATATTTGTAAGGTGAAAAAAGTAATCGACATTTAAAAAAAACCATAAGGATATTTTTGCGCTTCACAACGGTTAAGTTTAGGAGAAATCATTTTCAACTTCTAAGGAGATTCTAATGGGAAAAAATTCTAATCGACCGAAATTCACAAATGTCATTGAGCAAGTTCAAACTCTAGAGTTAAAATTTCCATGACCTCTCTAAAAAAAAGTTCCACTGGAACTTCCGTGCTCAAAGTTCCTTAGCGCTCTAAAAAGTCCCTGTAATTACAAAATTTTGGGTACAGCTGAAAAAAAAAACAGATCAAAAAGTCAGTTATTTCATTTGCCACAGCTTGAATAGACTGACTTCTCTGCGCCCTCACCTTTTTCTGGCAATTTTTCTTTGAAGAATCGCTTTTTGAGAACAAATTCTGGTGGTATTCAGAAATCCCGCAATTTTTGAGCTGCTCTTCATACAATTTTTCTCTTCCGAAATCACGCACTTTCGATCCTCTTCAGACTTTTGTAGCTTTCTGAACTTTTTCTTGATAACCATGCGCTCTAGTTTCCACACTTGGTTACACGAGAATTACGAAATAGAAACCGTTGAACCTTCAACGCCTTTTGATAACTGATGATTATGCATTTGTCCACAGTGAGCTTGGAACTCGTAAGACAGTATTAATTAATCTTAGGGATCCCAGAGTGGTCCCTATAGGAGTTAGGAAGAAAAACAGGTCCTATAGAGATTTAGATGCAACTCGAAGCTTGTGGTCCCTATAGGGGTCCCTTTTTTTCAAGATTTGAAAATCAAAAATACATAAAATAAAACTTGATCAATTCATCCTGTGTTGATATTTTAAAAAAACTTATTTACTGAGTTTTCGCATTAAAACGCGTTTTCTCAAAGTTCAAAACAATAATCGACTAGCATTTCAATAAAATAATCCCTAGAAATTTCTCCATGTTTGCCCCCATAGGGACCTCTCTAGAGTTCCGAAATTCTCCCATTTCAAGAAATAGTCTAATTTTTGAACCACCAGTTAAATTAGTTTAAACTTAGTTTTTCAAAAAATCTACGATTCGAAAAAAAAATTAAAGCAAACAGAAGGACCAAACGTGTATAGAAAGCTGTCGGTTGTTGGTCAGAGTTCCCTGAATTTCTAATGGAACGGCTTGTCGTGACATTCTCGCCAGTTTACTATTGCATTCATAACTCCTCGAGGCTGAACATGATCTGGAATCTGAACTGGAAAAGTTTTCAGAGTGAAGTTCCGAAATGAATTTTGAATTTCTCTCCACGTTCGATTTTGCGAATTCCCACGCGAAAAAAAGCTTTGTTGCAAATTGGAATGAAAAGGCGGCAATTGGAATGCCAACTCCAACTTTAATTGTTGAAACATTAATCAGGGGAGAAGATGCGCTTACCCGGATGAAAAAAAATATTTTTATTCTTTCATTTGTTCTCCAAACTACTCAAAAAAACAAGATCGTGAACTTCTCTTCTTTTTTTTTTCTTTTGCTGGAACTGAAATTTTTCTTATCGGAATTGATTATCAAATAACGAACTTTCTCGGTGCTACCTTCGTCAACAGCACCGAGTAGCTCAAGAGAAAAACTTCATAGCGGAATCTGATAACAGACAAGACAATCGGATCTTGCGATTGCACCAACTTTCCAAACTGATAAGATGGACACGCGCTTCGCCGAGAAGGGAGAATAAAAGGGAAGGTCGCGAGCAGCTCATCGCCGTATCACTGCGTTGCCGAACCTTCCAACATGGTTCGTTTCTCTTTTTTGACCGTTTCGAAAAAAACTCTTCTGTTTCAGAAGGTCCTCATTTTCGCCGCTCTCGTCGCAACCTCGCTTGCCTTCGTTGTTCCCAACGCCAATGAACTCACCGGCGAAGAACTCGCGTCTTACGTCAACAAAGCGCAAAACAGCTTCGTTGCCGTTCACACTGGCAAGACGATCGAAGAGCTGAAAAAGGGACTGATGAAGGAGGAGTACCTCGTTGAGCCAAAGGATGAGGAGCGCGCTCCGGAGCTCATCATCGAAGCCGACATTCCTGACAGCTTTGATGCTCGCACTCATTGGAGCAAGTGTGCTTCGATTCAGCACATTCGTGATCAATCGACCTGCGGATCTTGCTGGGCCTTCGGTGCCGCAGAGGCCATTTCTGACCGTATCTGCATCGCCACCAACGGAGCTCAACAGCCAGTCATCGCCGCCGACGACTTCCTTTCCTGCTGCGGACACACATGCGGAAACGGCTGCGAAGGAGGTTATCCTATCGAGGCTTGGCGCTGGTGGGTCTCCAAGGGAGCCTGCACTGGAGGAGACTACGGAGGTGCTGGCTGCAAGCCGTACCCGATCCCACCATGCAACAGCAACTGCAAAGACTCTGCTACTCCGGCTTGCCATGCCTCTTGCCAGTCCGGCTACTCGATTTCGTATGCGCAAGACAAGCACTTCGGAAAGTCTGCCTACGCCGTCGCCAAGACTGTCAGCGCCATCCAGAAGGAAATTATGACCAACGGACCAGTCGAGACTGCCTTCACCGTCTACGAAGATTTCTACCAGTACAAAAACGGAGTCTACGTCGTGAGTTCTGCTACTTCGTTAGTTTTGTGAAAAAAGTGATGTTTTTCAGCACACCGCTGGAAAGAAACTCGGAGGACACGCTGTAAAGTTCATCGGATGGGGAACTGACAACGGAACGCCTTACTGGATCGTCGCCAACTCCTGGGGCAACGATTGGGGAGAGAAAGGATTCTTCCGCATCGTCAGAGCCGTCAACGAGTGCGGAATCGAGGCTGCCGTCGTCGCCGGTCTTCCCAAGTAAACGAGTACCAAAAACTGTACAAATAATAAGAATAATAAAGAATTTCGATCAAAAGAGTTCACGTACACACACGGAGAAATATTTCATTCAAGGGTTTTTCGAGTAGCCATTTCGAGTTTTCTCAGCTTGACCAAAAAAAAAAATATATTACTATGTAACATGAAAACGTAAAAGAACACGGCTCTTTCGCGGTCATCGTCTTTCTTTAAAAAACAAAAAAAAATTTTTTTTTTTTTCAATCAATTTATTTTCGCAACATCGGGATGATATGGTGATGTTGCAGGGAGGGAAAGAGACCACTAGGTGGATTAACTAACCCCACCTGTGAAGAAAAACTTTTCTGTGTGAGAAAAGAAACATAGAACCATAATAAGTAGATATTAAAAACCAAGTTGATTATGGCACAAATCTGCGAACACTTGAAAGAATATGCTCGACGCCAAAATTTTCTGCATACACTAAAAAAATGTCCTTAAATTTTTTCTTGTCTTTCTCTGCCAATAATTCATGTTCAATGTCATTCCAAACATTAGTAATACGATGTGATGAGAAATTGAAGAAAACCAGTGAAGGTTTCGTTTTTATTAATTTAAAACCATTTCCTCTGAGCTGAATGGGACAGTCAAAGATGTTATGTACCTGGATGGGAGAGTCTGACCAGCACTTATTATGCAAAAACTGATGTGATAATACCAGATCCTTAACTAAACGCCTAAACCAAAGAGGTTGAAGACCTAACAGTTTTAATCGTTCATTATATTCCATTCTTAGGAAAAGGCGCTTCGTGAAACGCCTCTGGACAGATTCTAATCGATCAATATCTGACTTTGTCAATGGACACATTAGTTCCGAACCATACTCTAGAATGGGAATTTAAAAAAATTTCGCTCTTCATTGCGGAGTTTGCAAAGCTGTAAATTTAAAGTTGGTTAATATTGAAATTTATATTAAACTTCTTGTGCTTTGACACAAAACCCATGGAAAATCTACTCGAACACAAATTGTCCAAACTAACATTCTTGAAAAAACCAGAGTTTCCTGACTTCCTTGATAAACGAAAGTCGTCAGAGATTCTCCGAAGAACTTTGATGCAAAGATAATTTTGTGCAGCGAAAACAATTTTTATCAGCTCCTGTTGGCCCTGCTCTTTGTTCATGATCATAATTTCATTAAAGCGTTATCAGGGAGAAGAAGGACGCTGTGAGAACAAAAAAAGAAACTGATAACTGTATTTGCCAAGAGGAAAAATGAAGAAATCATATCCTCTCAAAACTTCCCCGGGTTCACATTCATTTTACATTGGATAAATTGCCTCTAGAAACAGTTATGGACTGATCAAGAGCCCGAAGAAACACTAGCTACTCAGAGAAAAATTCCGAAAACCTTCTGAAGTTAAAAACCTCAAGAAAGAGAGAAAACGTAGCTTTTTGAGTTCCAAACAGGCTACAAAATATTTTCTTGAAACCTTTTTTCTCAGACTTTTTAAAATGCAAACTTTCTTTCGTTTACATTTTTAGCCTTCTTTCTTTTACATAGAAAGGGATAATTTTGAAAAACCTACTCTTTATACGAGGTTATGATGGTAAAATAAATAATTGAAAACATTCCGCTATATTATACCATCTTTAGTTGAAAATATGCCGTTTTGAACTTTATTAGATATTTCTTACTCATGGATTTTAATGACAAGGTGCTTATAGAAAGTTATCTTACACTTCTGCTTGAAAATATCAAGAGTTGTTTCAATCGCCATTTAAAATAACAAAAAAATTTTCTTTGCGATGAATATTGCTATGCTTGATCATAATACTAAATTCTGCTTTGAACCGATAAGAAAAATCTCAAAGTGTTACCAAGCGATTTAATTAATTTCTACAAACTTCTCATATGACTAGCGAAGACTTTCTTAGCTGTCCATCCTTACGGGGCAAGACCAGAAACCGTCAAACGTCAAAGCTCCTCACATGTCTCTGATCGAAAGATTGAGATCATACATCTCGCGACCGTATATCAAAATTCCTTTCTGCTTTGGATGCTCATCGAGGAAAGACGTCAAAGAAGCGGGCAAAAAAGCTGATAGTGAGATAAAGCCAGAAAACTTTACTGGAGTATCGATAGGCCCAGACTCCTCCCATAGATCTTGTTAATAAAAGGTACCGTTGAGGCAGAAAGTTGCCGCTGCTTCAGTTGCCCATCAATAAGAATGGTAAGTTCTACAAAAATTCGAAAATGCTATCGAATCGATATTTAGAAGGTTCTCATGCTCTCCGTTCTCGTCGTTTCTTCCTTGGCCTTCGTGGTCCCTAACGAGAGTGTTCTCGGTTTGAATCCTAATCGAATTCAACTTTATTTTAATATTCAGGAGCCATCCGCGCACGCCAAATCCCGGCCGAAGCGGAAGAGCTTTCCGGCGAAGCTCTGGCAACTTACGTCAACCATGCTCAGAAGTTCTACGTAGCAGAACACACCGGAAAGACGATCGAAGAGCTGAAGAAGGGACTGATGAAGGAAGAGTACCTTGTCGAGCCCAAGGATGAGGAGCGCGCTCCAGAACTTATCATCGAAGCCGACATTCCTGCCAGCTTTGACGCTCGTACTCATTGGAGCAAGTGTGCTTCGATTCAGCATATTCGTGATCAGTCGACCTGCGGATCTTGCTGGGCCTTCGGTGCCGCCGAGGCCATTTCTGACCGTATCTGCATCGCCACCGACGGAGCTCAACAGCCAGTCATCGCCGCCGACGACTTCCTTTCCTGCTGCGGACACACATGCGGAAACGGCTGCGAAGGAGGTTACCCTATCGAGGCTTGGCGCTGGTGGGTCTCCAAGGGAGCCTGCACTGGAGGTGACTATGGAGGTGCTGGCTGCAAGCCTTACCCGATCCCACCATGCAGCAAGAACTGCCAAGAATCTGCTACCCCATCGTGCCAAGCTTCATGCCAATCTAGCTACTCTACACCTTACACGAAAGACAAGCACTTCGGAAAGTCTGCCTACGCCGTCGCCAAGACTGTCAGCGCCATCCAGAAGGAAATTATGACCAACGGACCAGTCGAGACTGCCTTCACCGTCTACGAAGATTTCTACCAGTACAAAAACGGAGTCTACGTCGTGAGTTCTGCTACTTCGTTAGTTTTATGAGAAAGGTGATGTTTTTCAGCACACCGCTGGAAAGAAACTCGGAGGACACGCTGTAAAGTTCATCGGATGGGGAACTGACAACGGAACGCCTTACTGGCTCGTCGCCAACTCCTGGGGTAACGATTGGGGAGAGAAAGGATTCTTCCGCATCGTCAGAGCAGTCAACGAGTGCGGAATCGAGGCCGCCGTCGTCGCCGGCCTCCCCAAGTAAACGAGTAATAAAAACTGTGCAAATAACAATAATAATAAAGAATTTCGATCGAAATCATTCATATATGAGCAAAGAGGCGTTACATCGTCGCCTGGTAGGAGCTTAAAAAGAGTAAGATGCCCTCAAAAGCCACAGTACTTTAACTGTACAAGTGCGCTATGAATATTTATTGTTTCTACATGCAGTAAGGGTGCGATGAAAAAGTGAGCAAAAATCGACCAAGTTGACATAAGTTTACTTGTTGGCCTCGGCGACAGTTGTACCGTTGAAGCCAACAGAATGGGGAGCGAGGTCATTGAAGGAGACCACCACCTGAAGAGCCCTTTCTTCTCGTCATTTCAGATGGAATCCTTACAGGGGTGCTTTTTGACAATGTTTGAAATGCCTCTTTTACTTCCCTCGTTATGCAATTTCAAACTTCATTATCCAACATATGCTCATCAATTTTTTTTTTAGAAATACAATTTCGAACCTTTTGCGGGGGTAAACCTAGCTCTGCCAGACAGAACGCCGTGATCGCTTGTGTGTGGCGAACATTATCCGAAGCCGAAACCGCACCAATCGAGTTAACCTAAAAAACCAAATTCTCAACTTTCATTGGGCGATTTCCAAGAAACAAGATTCGATTTTTCGTTATCCCTTCCAAAAAAATATTATTCAAATCTTTAACTATTAACTGTAACTTCTCGAAACTTCAAAATTCAAAATTTTCTCTGGTCTAAGAAACTCGGTAGAGCCGCAGTAAAAATGAGCGTTTGGGAGCGTTTACCGGCATTTCTGGGAGGTACACGTTTTCATCTCGATTTTTTTTCCCGCGGGAAAAAATTTCGAGCGCCTGAGCCTTGAATGTTAAAAAGAGGACAATATATGCTAAAATGACTCTTTATTTATCTCCAAATGTTTAGAATAACAAAAAAAAACCGTCAATTGAAGAAAAAAAAATCTTACAGTAAGTACGACGACAGGATCTTTCATCGCTCCATGTACAAGACGCAAACCGGGGGCAATCTAAGAGCTTACATTATTGAATGGATTGAAAAATAAATTTTTCAGTAAAGCATCACCTTTTTTTCAGTCATACAACCGCTGAGGAGAAAGTGGAGAAAAATTAGGATAATTAAATAGTTCGAAAAACTGAAAAGACTTATTTTTACGAAATATTTTTCAAATTTTTGGGAAAAAGTTATTCTCGTGTACCGCGTTCGAAGCTATTTCGAAGGAAAAAAAATTATCTCTGGTTCTCCAAAAGCTTCTTTATTTATTTTTTGCGCTCTGCAAACCTTTTTTTGCCAGAATCACTTTGAAAGCGTCATAAACGAACAGATATTACAAGAGTGGCCAGATATTTATGCCGTGTTCAAAGTGGTTTCGCAAAATAAAAAAAAAAGCCGTCAGAGATAGAAAAAGATAACTAAATTTCCACAGATCAGCTGTTGGATTTATTTGATTGTCTTGATGTTTTATTTTTTTTTTGTATTTGTGCTGATTGCGGAATGGCGAATAAACACTTGAAATGAAATGAATTAATGAGAGCCAGAGACCATTTTGCATTTCGCGGGAACTACTTTGAACACGGTATTAATTTCATTATTTTAATTTTCTCGTTGATGAACTAAACCGACTTCGACGGCGAAGCGATCCCGCGGTTTTCCCATAGACTCAGCCAAAAGGTCTGTTAGTCGAACCTTCAAGTTTCTGATAAAGCCGCATAAATTCTACTCGAAAAAAACCTCAAAATCAACAGGAACAGAAGAGTCGGGTAAATTTGTGGCAACTCGTACCATCGGCATGTTTCGTTATATTAGAATCTCAAAAGAAAAGAACATGATACCGATGATACAACTGGTTTTGTTATCGATAACTTTGGTTGCCCTCACCGACACAAACACGACAGAAGAAATTGATCAATCAAGTTTATCACCAACAAACACAACATTTTTCAGAATTAAAATTGGAAAAAAACCGTATTCGGATAAAAATTGAGATACTTCCATAAAAATTATTTAAATAGAAAAAAAAAAAAAGTTATAATCACTCCGGTAGGGCAAGAGGGTTCTTCAGGACAAGAATGACGGAATCGCCACGAAGGAACATCTTTGAAATGAAGCGATCTTTTCGCAACCGGCTTGGCCTTAAAAAAATCAATTTGAGTTTCCTATGATTTTAAAAAATTTTTAGTTCGAAAATCTATTTCGAAAAAAAACCCTATTTTGTTCTTCCTACGTTTGATTCCGCGCCGGCTTCACACTTTCTATTTTTTCTTCTTGTCACGCTTTTTATTTTTTTTTTGTGAACTACAACGCCTTCCGGGCAGCTTTTCTTTGATGCCCGCGGCCTGTTTCAATGAGCCTTCTATAGAACAAAAATTTCGGACTAAATAAAAGGCGCATACGGTGACAGGCTGCGCGCATCGTAAGGATGCTTTCCGAAAGTGTTCAGAGGGAAAAAAAATTTTTGAAAAATATGCTATACGCAATATCTGAAATTTGTCGTGACACCCTGAATGAGCTGTTTAAAACTTTTTTATAAACTTTGAAAAATGGCGTTGAGAAAAAAAAAAAGCTTTTGGCGTTTTAACATACGAAAAATTAAAAAAAATTGCGCTCATCAACAACAAAAAAACCTCAGTAGTAATAAAACCCATTTTAATACGTCAAACCAAAAGAAAAACAAACTTCATATAATATAGAAACGAAAAAAGTTCACCTTCTTCTTTCCTTTGCCAGTTTTCGGCAGCTCTGTCCACATTTCTTTGACGTTCTCCAAAACCATATTGCAATGCCTGTCGAACGCCTTCACGCGTCCCAAAAGCTTCTTGTTGTTTCGGCAGTTGATCAGAACCTGAATCATACAACATGAAGAGAAATTAACTATCGGAAGTCACCTGAGCATTGTTTTTCACCGAGTTGGTCAAGATTGATAGAGGGCCAACATTGAACTCCTCTTGCTCTTTAGCTGCCAGTTCTTCGGCCGTCATCTCGGAACGAGGCTTCGCTAGGCTGAAGAAAACAGTCAATAAAAAATGAACTATTTCTTCCTCCCTAGATTAACATTAATGAAAATCAACTCTATTATGTGATCATAAGTGTGCTGGATCCAAACCCAGACTTTCGCCCGCAACATTTTCTTTGAAAAATTACTGGAATAGGACGTTTTTAATAGTTAGGCAGTTGCCCAGATTGGATCCAGCCCAACTATGTATATGACTCAAAAGAAAAATAGCGTGTGACGGATTTCTGTTCGAGAAAAAGCACACGCCATCTTCAATTTGATTCGAAGCGAACGCGAAATCATAAATGAAATTTCTATGGGAAATGTCTAAAATGAAACGCACCCGGCCATTGCTTTTTGAAGTTTTTAGATGGAGAGTCCTGAAAACAATTCAATTGAATATTGTGGTGAAAATATGGCGAATAACGACGAAAGAAACCAAAAGCATATATTGTTCATGTTCAAATGCTGAGACTTTTTTTATGAAGCCTCGAAAAACTCGCAAGTGAATAAATCTTACAAAAAAACATTGGATAAAAAGAAGAAAAAGGACAATGAAGAACAAAAAAATTAGCAAGTATGGAGCAGATTACGTTTAAGTTAAATTTTTTTTGAAAGCAAGTGGTCAGAAAAAAACAAATAAAGGTAAAAAAATTCGGTTAAAAAAATTTGAATGACTATTTCCGAAAAATTCAATAATTTTCGTGAGATAGTCAACAAGAAAAAATTACTTGCGTGTTTATAACGGATGAACGGAGCATGTATCCAAATGCAAAAACTAAATCTTGAAAAATGCTTTAATGAAAGATACTATCAAAAACTTTATGGAAGTAAAGGCATTTATAACTTTCTTAATTCTCTTCTTCCACGCCACAGGTCTTTCTGTGAGCGGAATAAAAATTTCATTCATTCAAATATACAAAAAAGACAGCACTATACGGATCAGAAAGCTATCGAAAAAGTTAGAAAAAATATTCGTTTAATATAAAAAAATGTGAAAATTAAAAAAAACGTCCTATTTTATTAACTTGCAGTGGAGCACAAAAAAAGCGGTCGCACTGGTCGCATTTGGTAAGTGCCCGTACTTTATGCCGTGTTCAAAGTGATTCCGCGAAATTCAAAATAGCCGTCAGAGAAAGAGAAAGATAACTAAATTTTGGAGGGTCAGAGACAATTTCGCATTTCGCGGAAATTACTTGAACACGGCATTATAGAATGCCAGAAACACGCTGAATAGCCAGAAAAAAAAAAAACAAAATGAGGCGCGATCCGAAAATTTCGAATCGGTCAGCACGCACCGCGCTAGGGGACGCGTTGCGACCCTAGGAAAATTAGGAGGACCGTGGCGCGCACAAGCCACGCAAAAACGGGAGAAACAAAATGACTCGGACATTGGTAACGCGAAACGGACGTGCTCTGGACGGACGTTTCTGGGCGATTCTAGGGATCACTTAAGAGTGCTGAGGCTACTAAAGTGGTCACTAGAAATGCCCCGTAACTTCCGATTCGCGTCCCGTTCGCGTTACCAAGGTCCGAGTGAAGAGAAAAAATAGTGAAAAATATAGAAATTAGATGAAAGAAAAATCAGATATTTATTGGAATTTCTAAACACTCGCCAGAGATTGAAAACGATAATGTGTTCGAAGTAGTTTCCACGAAATCATTTCTGACTCTCCGAAAACTTTTTTATCTTTTTCACTGTCTGCTGATTGTTTTAAATTTCACTGAATCATTACGAACAAGGCACAAGAAAGTTATGAAGCGTCAAAGATAGTTTTCATTTCCTTGAAATTACGTGAAAACGGAGTGATAAATTTTTTTTGGTTACCAACTTTTTGACCTGATGAACAATTTTGGCGATTCTCACACGGCAATATTTCTGCAGGCTTTCTTCCAGAAACTCATAAATCTGAAAGAGGAAATAAGCTGAATCAGAAAAAAGATGCGTTGATTGCGTTAGTGATTATGACGGTGCGTCGAGACGAATTCCGGCTATCTTTCCTGAATGTTCGCTTTTTCCAAATTCCGAAAAACTTCCCAATATCATAGAAATTGAATCTTTTTTTAAATTCAAATATAAAAAAATTTTATTTCATCGAATTCATTTGGTGTGTGAAATTTCTTTCCCGGTTTTTTTTTCTGTAAAAGCGTTCAAATAATGACTCGACTGTTTGCTTTTGGTGAGTGGTTTTTTTCACCGGTAACTTTCTCAAAAAAAAGTTTTGTTTTTTTATCATTAACTTGAAGAGAAAGTTTAGTCGGGTAAATACAAAATTAGCCTTCCCAAGTTTCAAAAGAATATTTGTTTTATGATTTTCTTTAGTGGGATAATTTTGATTGAGATTTCAAACCTACGGATGAGGACCTAAAATTTTGGCTGATTTATGGACTCGCTGGACTCTTTTGAGATCCTAAACTCCTCTGCACGGTTCATTTCTCAATTTAAGTACATATCAATGGGAATTGCTCCCACCACACGAGTTGAAATTTCTCAACAACGAATAAATTTGGTTTCAAGCTGAAACGGGACTTTAGTTCAAGAGAACTTCTAGACGAGGAAATGTTCCTTCTGGAGGCGGAAGGACAAGGCGAAATTGGATTATCGCCAACCGTTCCCCACGGTTGCTTCTTCTCCGTGTGACGTCTAAAAACAACGTGTGTTTCCACTCAAATCAACAACTTTTTCTTTCCGGTCCGGCCAGTCGCCCTCCCTTCGGCCTAATCATTTGTTTAACATGCGATTTCCTGAATATTTGTCTGCTCAAGTTCTCTTGTCGGTCTTTGTCTTTTTCAATCTCAACTCATTTTCTTTATCTCCTGAAAATTTAAAATTTCTTGGTAGATTTCAGATAAGAACTAGCGGAAGTTGAAAAAATAACATGAGGCGATCCTAAAAAAGGGATAATTGTTTTCAGGATAATTTAACTGACTTTGACCGGAGAATCAAAAATCTACATTTTTTTTCTGGTCGAGATCATCTCTAGGATTCAAAAAAACCTCACTGTGTGAGGTAGCAAGAAGAAATTTTAATTTTCTGCTTTATTGAATTGATTAGATTGAGAATGAATCTTTACTGTTTACATAAAAGAGCTCTTTAACAAGTAAGAGGCGTGAAGAAAACGCCGGCAAACAGTTCTGATGCGACTGAGCCTCTTGACGTCGAGAGCTGCCAGTTCTGAAGGAGGAATCGTTCGGTCTTTAGTTCTTCAGTTCGCTTCGAGAGCATTCGCCCTAACCTTGTAGTTTCAGATTTTTGGACTGTGACTGAAAATTTTTTATCTATTTTGATAGTTCAAGCTTATTCTCAAAAACCAATGAATTCTTTTTTCCTCCTATTTTCGAGATTTTAAAAATTCATTTTCTATGATGTTTTCGAAATAAACATTGTTATATCCAAAAATTTTCGAAATTTTTTTTTTCGGTGTAACGCCATGTAGCGTCAAATGAACAACGTCAAAGTATTATCTAGCTTTTTGCGTCTTAAAATAGACGGATTTGAAAATTCCTCCAAATCAGCAGAGAAAATTCCGCAACCTAAAAAATGCAGTCTCATCGCTATGAAAAGTATTTTCTTTCTTTTTGAGTTTGTTCGATTTCACATCCACCCCTCGCAGACTAACAAAATACAGTTCAAGCATCATAATAATCAGAATCACCTTTTAACTTCTTATTTTCGTTTTAATTTCCGACGCCGTACTGACAATTTCAAAGTGAAACCATTAGTTTATTTTTTTGAAACATCTGTTTAATTCTGTAAATGTTAATCAAAGTTCTCTTTCAAAAAGTTTTCTGGAACTAAATATTCAAAGGGACGAAAGATGAGCGTTCAGCCCCGCGAAGTGAAACTATTTACCTCTTTCTAAAGTTTTTAACGCCTACTCACCCAAATACACCGACTGATTCGAAATCAAACAATTGCTCACACGAATCTCCGTGGCGAAGAACTCACAAACATACGTACGTTTGGAGCAGAAGAAAAAAAAATCAGTTGGAGTGGCGGCAGGGCCAAGCCGCTTTTTCGCCCACTTTTGTGTATTTTACGGGCGTTGCGCATTTTGCCAACCGTCTTGACGCTCTTTTCTTCGAACAGCGTGTTATTTCATTACCGAAATTGGATATTTTCAAACTATTTCTTCAGAACGACAATGTCGGACGTTAATTGGACGAACCGAGAGCGTGTTTTTCATGAGAAGGTTATTTTTAACATTTTCTCACGCTTCGATGACTTGATTCTAGATAGTTTCGTGAAATGATTACAAAGTTTTTGAAGAAAACCAAAAAAAGTTATCCTTTCGAGCGCAATCATAAAACTAGTGTAAATTCCTAGAATAAGAATCGATCCAGAAAGATAAAACTTTCTTACCATGTCCCTGGTTTTTTAATGAAACTTTGCTGTAGGGTACTTCAGGATTAACTGAACAAGAAAAATATTCTCGCAATAGATCTGGTTTTCAAGTAAGGCCGCTGCATAAACTTCAAACAGCGCTTTTTTGTCAAAATATTCCTAATTTGCAAACTTTGAAGCTTCATAAATTGAAAGAAGATCTATTGGGAGAGACTCCTTGTTCTGGAAGCTAAAATGCTTGGTCTCTCCCAATAGATCTTCCAAGTTTCAGAAAACGTTTCCTCCAAAGTCGATTTACAATTTTCAGGTCTTCGACACACTTTCAAGGCCAATGTCGCGAGCCAGTAAAAAAGATTCGGTGTCACCTAACGAAAATACCGGAACGTGGGTTGTTTCTTTCTAAAGCTCTGTGTTGAAAATTGTTGAAAATTCGAAAAAGTGAGGTCCGATCTTTCGGAAGAATCTTGTAGGTTGTACATTTTCGATTAGGCTATGGAGCGTTCTTAATGAAGCTAAACCAAATATTTCACAAGAAAAAGGAAAGGTGAGATCCAGAACTTACTCTACTTTTATCGCGCCTTTGCATGCAACTCTATCATGTTCGAAAAAAAAAAACCTCTGCACACTATTCGATTTCGGCTTTTCTTTGTCAAATTTCAAACGCGTTGACGAACTTGTGAATAAGTCGTGTCCACTGCAAAAACAAGCCTTGTTCCAGGTGGGCCATTCTATTTCGAGGAGTGAAAAAGTGCTTTGAAATACGGGCTCAGTTGCATTCATTGGGCTCTCGTTTCCTGTTTTTACCCTTCCTTCCTTCTCTTTCACACACAGCTTGACGTCAGTAGTATGGAAATTAGCAATGTCGGAGTCATATAGATTTACAATGAGCCGAAAAAAAAAACGCTCGAGTGAGGGAGGCAGAAAGCTAAACTTGGCCTCAGCATTTAATGTTTGAGCAGTTTTTCAGTTTTCCAGGAACCACTAGAATGTAAATTTTTGTGAACGAAATCGCAAGTTCAAACATCACGTACATCGGAATATATGAATACTGCAAAGCTCTGCCTTTCACAATCTCTTTCTTTTCTCATTAAATTTGTAATCCTCTCATTTTTCTCATGTATTTGTTTTTTGTAACCTAGAAAAAGCGGAAAATAATTTGGACACAATTTCCTAGCCGAGCAGTTTTTTCAGCTCTTGCAGCCGACTACGTAATCGGATGGCTCCAAAAAGTGTTCTAAAAATAATTATGCAAGTTTTACAAGCAGAATAAACCTTATTGCCAGAGATTCAAAGTAGTCATTTTTATACAGGTCCTAGAGTCTCCCGAGGAAGTCGAATATTAAAATTCTACACAGCGAGAATCGTTCCAATCTCACCAAATTTTATGCTCAGTCTGAAGAGAAATCGAGTTTTAGGCCTCCAAAAAACTAAATTTCTATTTTTTTAAAACTCAAAATGCTAACTAAAGTTGATTTATCAACTAGTTTGCTAGCCTCGAAAAGTTTTCTCGGCCGAGTTAAGGCCGTCGAAGAAACATTTAGTTGAATTTTCAAAAAAAATCAACTTCTCATTTTGAAAATATTTCTCATCTCATTGCTTTTTTGTATAGTATAAATAAAACCAAAGCACAGCCCGAAATAATTGAGAAATTGTCAAAAAAATATAATCAAAACCTTCAGAATTCTCTCAAAAGCTTAGATACGGTTGAATAAAAATCTTTTCATTGATTTCAATTCAGATATTAAGAGTTCAAGTAAAAAGAATAGCAAACATCTTGGAGAAGTCCTCAATGTTCAAAAATTGCTCTTCTCGTCGAGAAAAGGGCATTTTTTTCTGCATAACTTAGCCTACCAATACCGAGGCATCAATCATTTCCCTGAATAGAAAAATGGACGTTGCCCGATGTTTTTTTTTAGTTTCGTGCACTCAGTTCCTTCGAAATTTATCGGCCACTTTCAAAAAGGCAAATGAAAAATGCTTTCCCTCTTTTTTATTTCTAAATTTTAGTGAATCCAGAGAAAATTTCCCAGCGTCCCCCGCTCTTTTCATTGGCTTTCGAATTGTCGAAGAAAATTAAAAGAATTTTTGCAGCTTCACTCTTTTTTTCTTCTTCTTTTTGTTTGTTCCTAGATTTTCGGGTCAGAAAAGACAAAAAAAAAGGGGAAAATATTTTCGTCTTTTCTACTTTTCATTGACAAAGAAAGAGACAAGGAAACCTCATCGCGTGGTCGAATGGGCTCAAAAAGGATGTCCAGAAGAAAAAGGGGTTTTGGCTGCGGAACGCCCGCGGCTTTCTGAAATATTAAAATCTTTCAGGACTGCGGGCGGGCGGTTGTACTTTTTCCGTCAAGTTCCTGTTTTTGTCCAGCACCCCACAATTTTCCCTAAAATTTCGATTCTTAGCTAGGTTTGAGACAAAAAAACGTCACCGTCCAAATCTCTCTTTTTCGGAGATCGTCTCTCCAATACTGTTTAAAACGAGCTTTGAAAATTTTCTCAAGCTAGTATTACTTAATAAAAATCGAAAAAAAGTTCAACCTACACAGACATTTTTTTTTGAAATAACATCTATTCTGCGAAAACATCATTATCACCTGTGAAAAAAACAATTTCCCAATCATCTCGGTTTTTCACGAACTCCCAAAAACGGCTGACGCTCATTAAAAAGTTTTTTTCTAGAAAGAAAAAAATAATAATAAATCTCGGAGGTATCATCAAATCTCATTTCAAAAAAATAATGAAGTTTGAGAAATTCACTTGAATGCTTCCATTACAAGTTTTTTCGTTTTTTAGAAGCTTTTAGTTCAGAAGGGTCTGAAAGATTCTTCTAAATCTTTTTTCTAGATTATGACTTTGGTTGTTTCCAAACAATATATTGTTTCACGCCGTTACGGCTTCTAACAAAAAAAAAAACAAAAATCCAAGCCAAGCTCAACTTTTCAAGGTCTTTTAACGCCCACTACCAAATCTTTGGACTTTATCAAAGAAATTTGAGCCAAAACTCGAAAAGCGCAAATCGTTTATTCCACACGTGTCCGTGCAACATTTATCATTTCATTTTTGATATTTATGGTCGCCTGGGAATTTTTTCGTCTGTTTCGAGCCAAATTTGAGCTCCGGCTTCTCAAAGTTCAAGCTCAACTCAACTTAACCAACTTAGCGCTGAAATTCCATCCGAAAAGAACTTCAGCTGTCAGCAAAGGGGAAAAAAACGCGACGTGCTCCAAAAATAACCCAAATTGTAGTTCCGAGACATGTTTTCCATCTCTCTCAGGCCAAAAGTTTTTGTTTCCATAGCTATCACGAGTCCATGTACAATTTTTCGAATGAAAAAAAAGCTATGGGAAAGTCAAGCCATAAATATTATGAGTTTTTCACAAGACTTACTTTTTCGATTTCGAAAACAGACTGCAAAACTCCACAATTACTTCCTCATCTCAATGCTTCCATTCAGAAAATTAGGAAATCGAACATGTTTTGAATGTTTCTTCCAGATCAAAAACCGCACAATATATCCCTTTACCAAAAACTCCCAGAGGTGGGCGGAGCCAAAGCTGAAGCAGTTGGTGGCTCAGTTATTATCCTAGGAGCAAAGAGCGAGCGACGTCTTTGTCTTTTTGTTATGATCTCGAAATATTTCAAGTTCTGAAAGTCTTAGCTCTCCATTCAGATCTTCCAAAGCATAAAATTCAATTAGTCACCGTCTAACCCGTTTTGATGAATTTAAGTTTTTACATATCAAACTAGAGCCGAAATCGTTTCTGCTTTTCCAAAAGTTCAGAAAGTTGAATTCAAATTTCCATACTCAACGTGTGTTTTCGCAAAAGTTCTTTAAGTCCTGCTCGCATATTCCTTCAAAATCTCTTCATTCTGTAGTTTTGGAAGCCATAAACCAGCTTCACGAGTTTAGAAGTTAATAAAGCGTCCAAAAATCCAGTAGACATTCCAACAATGTTCGTTATTAGGAACATTGTACCTTGGAGACGCCAACAAAAAAACAAGGCATGGGATGGGAGCGTTGCGACAAGGAGCCCATATATAAATAGAAAAGTATATCGGGTTTCCCGTCTCTCTTATTATTTTTTCTTTATTCGACCCCTAAGTGTTATAATCATAATAATTCGCTTTACTTTACAGTATGAACATGTTCTCGGGTCGAAAAGTCAAGTGGAATCATTTTGGAAAGAAGTACGCCCTGCGTTTCAGCGACTACGAGATGGAGTACGCGGATTTGTACGACGTGAGTTACATTTTTTGTCCCGATTTTTGTTCCCATCCAGGCTACAGAATTATTCCTTTCGAAGCGGTCCACGCGGTTTTTTTTGGCCTAAACATTCCGTTTGATTGGCCGTGCGTATCGAAGGGAAGGGTTCTGTAGCTTGAAAAAAAAAAACGAAAATTGAGACTACACTCTACTTTTCAAAGTAAGATTGTAATTTCAGCATTCTAATAAGTATTTTAGGCGCTGATGAAGAAAGTGCACGAGGTGCGGCCAGACTTCGAAGGCGATGTGGCTTACATCGACCAGTTCGGCCGACAGGTATATGAGAAACAAAAAAAGACATTTTTGAGAGTGAGCGTGTTTTTTGGACTAACAAAGAAAGTTATTTTACTCTGCGGTTGCGGATTTCCTGGAAATTGCACAGAATATTTTTTACTGTATCAGATGATGATTCGAAAAATCTGAGCCTTCCTAGTTTTTGAGGAAGGAGATAGTCAAAATAAATTCACAAAATCCGAGAAGCTAGGCCATTTTGGGACATCACTGGAAAAGTCTCTAGTAGCCACTTGAGAGGCTCCTCAAGGACTACATGGAGAGAACACTTAAGTGGACAATAAAAAGACCTCTATTGAAGCCCCTATTCCGCGTGTTAGTGACCGTTATGGTACTTTTTGGTGGTTCAGTAGTACTACTTGGACTTCCAGAAAGGACACTAAATTTTAGCCATCTAAGTGGCCACTAATTCGATGATTAAAATTTTTCCCAGAAGTTGTACCAAATAAGCACGTAGCCATCAGTAAATTCCTAACCAAAAAGTAAAATAACCTTCCTCCAAAATAACTATTCTATTGACTTTTTTTCAAAGCTGACCAACAGATTTTTTATTACTACTACGCTTCAGGCTATCGTGACCAATGACAAGGACGTTCGCGCAGCCATACACCAATCAAAAGGCAAACTGAAACTGCACACGACGTTGCGCGAAGGCGCCGTTCTTTCCGCCGCCGACATCGCCGGTCGTCCGGCGCGGTCGCAGTCTGTCCCACCGGTTCGATTTTCACGTTTTGATTCCCAATCAGAAGGAATCGGCTTTTAAATCGCATCTTTCTGGGCGCAAGCTCTCTTCGACACCCTCCAAAAATGGTTCTCCAATATTTATGTTATTGGGATGACTCGGACCTCGGTGACGAAAACCAGGCGCTTCTGAGTAATTCTAGGGGTTACTTAAGAGTGCTGACACTACTAAAGTGGTCACTAGAAATGCTCTGACACGTCCGATTCGCGTTATCAAGGTCCGAGGAATGATATTCCGAATATTCAGGAGCGGTCCTACCACTCGTACCCTCCTAACTCACGGTCGCCATCTTCGATGGACAGCGCTCCGGCGACGTATCGCCACCGCACAATGTCGCCTCCACCGTCACATACGCCGCAGCCACAGCGGGAGATCATCAAGACAACCTACAGCCACGCTGGCTCTTTTTCCGGCTATGGAGTGAGTTAACTAATAGTCCGTTCTCGGACGTCTGCGTCTCTCTGTTCCCTCACCAGCGAGGTCAGAGAAAAATGAAAATAGCACTTCGACATGAGAGGGTGCCGAGAGACGAGGAGGGCGCAGAGAAGTTCCGCCCTTTCAAGTCGCGAAAAACGGACTACATGAACATTCGGAAATTTTTTGGCTTGAAACCAGCATTTAAATATTTTTTCAAAGGAGATTTCATACACGGCGACACCAAATCGACGCCACACCCACCACAACGGCGGAAAATAAAATGTGTTGTACGCAGAGCACGCGATGCATGAAAAGCGACGCGCAAAAAGCGATATGATCATATCAAAAACGCCCAACTTGATTGAGGCAGGGCTAAAGCTATTTCATCCACAATCACCCTAAAGAGTTGTGTGAGAAATCATATTTTAAATTTATAAAAAAATAATTGGGAGTGAAGTTCTCTAGAACAAGTACGTCTGGAAATATTAGACCAGTAATTTCCATGAGCGAATATTTTGAGAAATCCATATGTCACCTCTTGATTGGTATTATGAAGATTAACTTTTTTAACAAATTTAGCTTCATTCCAAAGTGAAGCCGCTTATCGAAAAAAAGAGATTTTCCGCCACATTAATTTTTTGCCGAATGAGGAAAAAAAAATGATCGAATGTTCTCATATGCATAGGAAATAAAGAGCGCAAGTTTCATCATTATGTGGTCCGGGAAAGTTTCCTTCCGCTTCTATAAATATATATTTTCTCGCAGATCGCAATTATGAAGGATTTTTGGACGTTTCTGCACACAAGTTTGAAGCGAAAAAAAAAATGTTTATGCCGTGTTCAAAGGGATCGCGCGATATCAAAAATAGGTGGTCAGAATAAAAGCTAAAATGACTGAAAAGAATTACAAAATAATAAAAATGAATCATGATGACTTAAAGCACCGATAATTGTCCTGGAAGTGATACTGATGACAAAGGTTTTTCAACAGATTTTAATTTCAGAATGGCACTACAGAGAACTTATTTTGATCGGTTAGAGATTCATCTTGAAATATGAACAAAATGGCTTTTCGCGTTGATTAATTTTCAAGATTTGAGTTTAGAAAAACAGTAATTGTGACCAAAATAAAAATCTCTTATCCAATTACTTGCAGAACGGCTACCCTTACAAGGCGGGGTATCCATACTCGCAAAGCATTCTCTACGGAATGCCGCCGCACAATGGAATGCTCCTAAGGTTAGTTGGTGAAATTAGGAATTCTGTTGCCGGAGAATCCGGAAAATTGTGAAAAAGAGTACTCAGACCTCAGTAACGAGAACCGGACGGGCTCCGGACGTTTCGGGCATCTCAAATAATAACTTAAACCGCTGTAGGGATTTATAGAAATGCTCAGAAACTTCCGGAGCGCGCCTGACTAGCGCTACCGCGGAATTTTTTTTTGCATAATTAAAAAAAAACAACAGCCCAGGAAACTCCAAATTTTTAAGTCTGTCTCATTCCAGGTTCCTGGCGAACCCATTCCCATTCGGTCACCATCATCGCACTTTTGTCGGTCCCAACAAATACCACCATTTTGGCGGCTGGGGCGGCGGCCGCTACTATTCCTCGGGCTTCGGACCAGTTTGGTGATCCCTAATTGCTATCTTTTTCTCAGAATGTGCGCACTTTTCAAAGAAACTTGAAGGTCCTCTAGCCCAGGAACTTTGCGCAAAACTTTATGCTTCCTTTTGGTCACAACGACAAAAAGAGAAAAACGGTGAAATAAAAAAGTTTCTGACGTTTCAGACAAAAATTTTCATTATACGAAGATAATAGAAACTTCAAAAATTAAAAGAAATCATGAATATAGTTTTGCGCGAAAATTCCAAGTTTTAAAAGTTTTCATGGCCTAGTGTTTAAAAAAAACTCAAACATCCCCTGAACAAGAATTTATGGCTTTTCCATTTCTCTAGTTTGTTTCGAATTTTTCTGGGGTTTTTAAAGGATTTCTGCTTGAACTCAAATAATTATCAAGACGAAGGCCGCTTTCAGTTCAATTTTTGGTGCCTTTAAACACCCTAGTAAGAAGAATTTTATACTTTTCCTCACATTTTTTTCAAAATCATTGTAGTAACTGTATTGTTCCGTACTCTGGTTTTAGAAAAACCAGTTTGTCTTTTCATCACTTTTTGCATATCAAGTCTTCTACCTGTACATTTTTCCACACGATGTTTGTTCTTATCTTGAATTTTTTTTTCACAACTAACCCATTAAAACGAGTTTTCAAGGCATGGAACGCCTCCTCAAGTGTTTCGTTTCAATATCTCGATTGATAAAGTAGATTTTAATTTCGTTTTTCCTTCTATCAAAAATAATATTTTTCAAAAGTCTAATGATTAAACCCTATCGGTTTTTTTGTAAAAAGAAAGTTCAAAAAAGAAAAAAAAGAAACTTATAGCTGATTCAATTGAAAAAAAAGAAACTTATAGCTGATTCACTTGATCAAGTCTGGCTTGAGCCATCAAAAAAAAAGCCTGACAAATTAGGAAAGAGATAGTACCTGGTTGGTGGAGGACGCAGACAGGCCCCGTCTCTTTGAGTCACAGGCTGGCCCTGAATTAACTATACTTCACGGTTTGAAAGGCATTTTTATGAGCGATAATATTGTCTGAAGTTAAAAACTCTTTTTTTCAAAGAATTGGAGAAAAATTTCAGGATTATATTTATCAGGATAATGGTATGGAAATTAGAATCACAGAGCATAAACTTAAAACAACAAAAAAAAATGTGATTTGATTCGGGTCAGGGGGATTCTTCTTCGAAGGCGACGTTGTGTTCGGTGTCCTTTTTGCGTTCAATAGAGCGAACGAGGGCTCCCAGCCGTTGTCGATTGGTCTTGCGCTCTTCCAAAAGACGCTCCTGCTCAGCAAGGTCTTCAGGCTTTATCAGCTTCATCTCAAGCTCCGTGAGCTTGAAACCAGCCAGATGCGACTTGGGAATGACGTCCTGAAAATCAAGAGATTATAATTCATTGACAGGGTAGGTCATTTTACTTTGTGGTTGGTATTTTCCTGAAAACTGGCCAGAACACTCCTTGATGTGCCATATCAAGATTCTGAGAGTCTTAACCTGCGAAACTTTCTTACTTTTGAGAAACAAGAGCTCAAAGCTCCAAAATGTATAAGTTTGGACCACTTCCTAGTTCTCAAGAAATAAGGGTTTAAAGTCTCGAAATAACCTATTTTAATGGGTTTTGAGGGTTTTCTTTGACTTTAAGGCGTCTTTTCTTGAGAACTAGAAAGTTGTGCAGACTGAGACTTTCAGACACTTTCTCCGGTACATCAAGGAGCGCTCTGATCAATTTTCTGCAAAATCCAAACCGCAAAGTAAAATAAACTCCCTTGTGAAAACTGAAAAAAACATGACCAGCTTGTAGAAAATTGACGCAAAATTCGGTTATTTTTAAGGGTCCAACTATTGGCGCGAAAATCATTAGAGTCAATTTTTGCCGAACTGGCACTCAGTGTTTACGCGCTGCGGCTTTCTGGCGAGGATCTCGAGGTCGGAGGCGATCATGGAAATAAAAAAGAAAAAAAAGAAGTATTTCAGTCAAAAGAGGAGAAAAAAAGTGGCTCACGTTCAAACTCTTCCTGCCGAAAGCCGCGTCGCGTACTCAAGGCTTCACCCTTGCCAATATACCCATTTTGATTTTGTTTTTTATTCGGTTCATACTCTTCCTCGCAAGGCATAATCCTTCCACTCCAAGATGAGCACCCCTACCTGAATTTTGAAGGAAGCTCTGGTGTGAGGAATGACCGGCAGGCATGGTGCATGGATCGACGGACACATGTCGGCCGTGTCTGTCGCCAAATTGTACGCAACGTACATGTTTCGGTCCAGAACATAGTTCAGCTCTGGAACAATACCATAAAAACAACTTATTTTTATCCACTAAAAAAACCTCTATAGAAGCCTCTATTTCGCGTCTCACTAATAGTTTTTAATGATCCAGTAGTGCCACTTTGACTTGTAAAGATGCGATTAAATTTTAGCCACTTAGTTGACCACTAAACTGGACACTAAAATGTCAGAACCCTAAAAAGGGCACTAAAATTTTTCCTAGAAATTTTTTTTACAAAAAATAAAAAATCACGTAGCCATCGGTGAAACGTCATGAATGAAAATTGCAAAATCGCTCTTCTCGAGGTTTCTGGAGTTTAATTAATCTCCAAACTAATTAATGGGAATAAAGAAAGTTTTTTTGTTTGTTGAAGATACCGAAACGCAGCAAAAGAGAGATGCGTATTTTTTTAAAAAAATTTCGGAAGCCTCCTTTTTTAAATGCAAAAAAAATTTTTTTCTTCAGTTTACATCGACATCAAGAATGGACGCACCGAAATCGTCATCGTCCTCGCCGAAAGGATTCATCAGGAACTGTCCGACTTTCAACCACCCAAGATAGAACAACATTTGGAAGGTGGTGAAAATGGGGAACAGAATCGTGATCTCTTTTTCCATCGACTTTTGGTCGAGTTTCGGTTGGCGGCCAATGAGGCAAATGAAGAAGTAGCCGTAGGTGGCAATGGCAACCACCTTGAAACATTAAAGAGTGATAATTAAACTGTCAGAATCACCTGAGTGTACACTAGAGGGATCTTAATCCAATCATACACATAAAGCATCGCGAAACCGTCACGGAAACTGTAGACCTGAAAAATAATCAATTTACTTGAATCAAACTGAAGAAAAAACCAACATGCTTGAGAAGCATATCAAGCTGAACCGAGTCGATTTTCTTGGCCGTATGTTGGTCCCGAATCAAGTTGACAACCCAGATTATTGGCAAAAACCTTGGAAACTGTTTTTGTGTCTCAAGTAACCTTTGTCGAACTACCATTTTCCCTGGGGAGCTTCGAGGTTCATGTACATGTCGTACTCCTCTTCTGTCATCAGTTTCGCTTGAACCAAATGGCGTTCAGTCGGGAAACGCTTCTTGGTTCGGACCGAGATGCCGGACCAGGCGATGGCTGACTGAAATGTTTTGTTTAAAAATCCGATCAGCTTTTCAACCTGCAAGCTGGACCAACGAGCGATCGTTTGTCGGACTGCCAAGTTTTCCTTGCCTGGAAAACACGCGCCAACCATAATCATCAATTTGTCAGGCCAGGAGATCCAGTTGAACTGCTCCCACCTGATAACTTTTTTTTTGATGATTTTTTTTCAAATTACCATCTGGCGACGATAACCGAGACGAAGAAACCGAGCAAGAATGAGAGTGGAATGTACTGGGCGCCGATCTCGCACCACACGATCCAACCGGTGAAGTACTCTTTTTGCTTTTCATCTAGCAGGTACCACTGAAAACTTTAACATAACCAACCAAACTTTTTTTTAGTATTTTTGGAATCGCAAAACTATTGCTTGCAATGTGGAATGAAATAGTTTGGGGTAATAATTGAAGGCTCAACACGAATCTTGTAATTTTCGTTACTGAAATGTTTAAAAGGACCTGAACTATTTTCATCAGCTATTTTGATGATTTTTCTTTTTTGTAAATTGTTGAGAATCTATTTCTCCAGATGAGTTAAGTCACAAAAAGTACACAAGCTTTTCTTTTATTACCGAAAAGCCTATCTAAACTGCCGTAGTACAACCGGCTGCCTTAAAAACTTGGGCTTGCCGGAAAAAAAGTCGAAAATTTACTATGGTGTATCTGGACTTGAACACCGACCCACTACAATCACTAAGAATAACTGCGGAGTAGTGTTCTAAAATTCGACCGTTCGACCAATTAGACCGTTCAACTGATATGACCGTTCAGTTTTTCGAACGGTTATAACATGTCATTTTTCTGACCGTTCGTTTGACCGACCAATTTCTGAAATTTACGAAACCGTCCGACCATTTTCGAAGTGACATTTCGAACGTTCGAAAAATGACCGACCAATTTCGAAGTGACATTTCGAACGTTCGAAAAATGACCGACCAATTTCAGAGTGACATTTCGAACGGTCAAAAACCAACATGTCATTCTGAAGTGACATGTTGAAATGTTGAAACTCCAACCGTTCGACCAATGATCATTTATTATGACATGTTGAAAAAATATTGGTCGAACGGTCGGTCGAACGGTCATTTTTCGAAACTATACTGCGGAGATGAAGGCGAGCTCGCTGCGATACACTGACGATCTCGCAATAATGCTACTTCTTAGTCGCGCTTGTCTTGCACTTTTCTTGACACGATATCGCATTTTTCTCGTCCGGCGCGGCAAAAAAGCGGGTCTTTTGCGAGGTTGTCAATGTACCACCAACTTCTTTTTTTTCCATCGAATTCACTCGAAATATTCAATTGACATATCCGGTCAACCAACCTGATAGGCGAGAACGATGTAGTAAAACACATAAAAGCCGATGAGATCTTTGAGTACCGCCTTCCAAATTGAGCCGCGCCAACGGAGCATCAATGACGAGAACTCCTCGTCGTAGGATATCGTCATTGTTGCCCGCTAGTGATACCTGTCCAGTCTGGAAAAAAAAAAATACTAGCGTGATCATGACCAACAGATGAAATATTGTTGAACTTTTTCGAGTCGATGCAAAAAAAGTTGGAAAATATAGACAAATACTTCTCAGTTTTTAGAGAGAGCTAGGAAATAACTCGGAAAACAAAGCAAACTCTGAAAATGTGGTATTTAATTTTTTTTTTTCACAAGGCACAAACATCTCTGAAGCGAGTTTTCGACCAAGAAGTCATGAAGAACAGAAATTAACAATTGGAGAACGGACCCGATTGAAAAGACAACCGACCAAAAACCAAAACTAACGCACCCACAAACATAATTACCTAAATTGTACTATTCGCCCAACTTCCTAATTCATGGGAATTTATCAAAACTTCGTAATCAGGTAAACCCCCGTAATTCTGCAAAGGAAAACCGTGAGAAAAAAAAAGAATAGTAGCTTGATTATTTTTGCTGGATAGCAAGGTTCGAATAAATTTTGTTTGAGGATTTCGAACTGCCTATTTTCCTGCAAACAGTAACAAGTTTGACGCTGAAAGATAATCAAGTTATTCTCCAGATGGATAATCCAAGAAGTTTTCTAATTATTGGAGAAAAAGAAGTGAAACTAAAGACAATAAGGAGGTCAGAAGTCATGCTTTGTAAAAGAATTAAGAAGCCAATCAAGTTGAGAAGTGGCCGACGGACGGCGGCAAAATGTCGGAACGATAACAAGTTGACTTACTTACTGACATCAAAAAAAAGGGAGAAGAGAATGGCGACGGCGGCGTCAATGAGGAAACTAAAGAAAAGAAGAAGAAGTTGAAGAAATTTTTCTTCGTCGTCGGTCGTCTTCACAGCAAACGTAATAGTGGTTTTGGCGCGCATCTTGTCCAAAAAGGATAGAAATTGGCTGGTTAAGGGGCGACGGTAAACGACCAAAACAGGTACATCGGCAAATATGAATTGGACATTTTTTGCAGATGTCTGTATTAGGTAGTTCCAAATTATTTTCAACCGAATCTATCAAAATCAAACCATCGGGACTATATAAACGAACCATATACATAGCCACACGAAAACTGTCAAGTTGCGGCTTTTTCACACTTTATTTTTAGACAGAAAAAAATAAAAATTTAAAAAGGGGGTAAAAATTAAAGATTGCAGCTACTAAGATAAAAAGGGTGCTTGAAAACCATCGCCTTTCAAGCTGAAAAAAATTGGCTATATCGGAAAGGTCCAGCGAGATTGAAATTTTTAACCCAACACCTGAAGTGGAAATTTCGTTAATTATCTTCAAAGTTTTTTTCCCTTCTACATCTTTATTCACTAAAAAAAGTGATAAAAAAATTTTTGAAAAATAAAGAGTTTTGCGATGAAATAAAAAGAACGAACGCCAGAAAAAAATTATCCATGAAAGCAGTGGACTAATTTGATTAGACACAATGACCGTATCCTTCAAAAAAAAAAAACGAAAAGTAATTTTTGAAAGAAAACAAAGAACTTTTTACGCTTGAATTTAGGTTCCAGCAGAGCTGAAATCACAAAAAAGAACACAAAAAAGTTTGCAACTTGAAGCCAAATCAGAGAATACGTTCTCCAAAGTTGTAATGCGACCTTGGACGGTCTCGCCGTCCCGCAATTAGTTCGCCTGATTAAAGATAACGGTGCAATCGCCTTTGTGGTAACTTTCTTCAAACGGAAATCTTGAAATGAAGGTGAAATTCGGTCCAATCAAGAAAAAAAAAAATTAAAAAATCATAATATTTTCCATTAGAAAATTTTAAAACACTAGCAAAAGGGTTCAAACTTGACAGGAGGGGGAGAGATCTAAATTGGAAAGGGTAAAACGTCATCTAATACAAGATTCGCATTTTTACTGACTATCGAATATCTAACGATCCGCCTTAAATTTAGATTTTTTTGATCCGCGGCCGTCAGCCTTTATCTTTTCATTATTCATATCTCGTTTCTACCCCTCCAGTGGCCATTCATCATTTCTGCTCTCGCCAGATCAGAAAAATCTTTGCCCGTTAAACTTCAAAAGTTGAGAGTCGGTCTGTTTAATTTACAGAAAGACTTTTTTCCTGTTAACATTCCAGAAAATGAAAATTGGTCTGCTTCTACTGCAGAAACATTTTAGTGTTCTCAACTGTTCAGAAGATGAGGGGAAGTCAGCTCAATTTTCAGAAAGACTTTTCGGTCAACTTTCAGAAGATGAGGGGAAGTCAGCTTAATTTTCAGAAGAATTTTTGTGGGCTAAAAATTTTAAAATATGAATTTTGGTCTTCTTCTACTGATTGACCCGCTAAATTGTTCAGAAGATGAGGGCCGGTCTTATTTTACAGAAAGACGTTTTCCTGGCTCATTTTTGAGAAGATGAATTTTGGTCTGCTTCCACGTTAAAAAGCTTTTTCTGCGCTGAAATTTTCAGAAAATCAGTTCTGGTCTGCTTAAAGATTAGAAGGTTTAGCGGAAATTTCTTGTTGAACGTTCAGTTTGGAACGAGTATCGACACTTTTCACTTTGAGCTGCTCTTCAAAGTTTTTCCCCGCATACCTAGTTGAACAAGACAAGGGACGACAGTCTGAAGAAGCTGGCAGGCACTTGTCGTCCGACACGCCCATTTTCGCCTTTCTTTTTCTCTTATCCACTTTGTCGCAGCGCTTTTTGCTCCGCGGCACTTGGCTCCTTCTCGTGTCGACAAGTTGCACGGTTATTTCTTCTGAAACTCTCCAATAAATTTTTAAGATTTTTCGTTGTTTCACAACAAAACTGAGTGTTCATTCACGAGTTTTTTCTGAGATTTTACGACCATTAAAAAATATCCGTTTCTTCTCTGATCATTTAAAAGCTCCAGCAAACTTTTGTGATTGGAGATCAAATAATTTTTTGCTCGCTTCGATTGTAACGCCTTTTTTTGTACAATTTTCGTACATTCGCAACCTACCTAAAAATATCTTAAATCAACGGAAAACTCTAAATTATATTTTTCAGCCGCCCTCAACATGTCGGACGAAGAGGAGGTGTAGTGAGTTACAAAAGCTTTTTTTTGCTCTGAAATGTCCTTATAAAACAAAAAAGACCACCCTAATTTGAAATCATGAAGATTTTAATTCAAATTCATTTCTTACAAAAACTTGAGATAACAATGTTTTAATGAATAAAAAAATGATGGTGCAAAAAAGAGGGAAACAGAACATGCACCAGGCAACGCTATAAAATATAGGCATTTTTGAGAAAGGTAGATTTTTTCTGAATGCAGTAGTGCTGAAAGATTTCTGAAAAAGGTAGTTTTGCAGCTCGGAAGAAGAGGTGGAAGAAGAGGAAGAGGTAGAAGAAGAAGAAGTCGAAGAAGAGGTCGAAGAGGCGCCGGCGCCAGAAGATGACAGGTCCGACGAGCACCGCACCACCGTTGATGACTTCAGCACCTCACGGCACGAGTACGATCTTTTGCTCTCACTTGCACAGCTTGACCAGTAGGAGCTACTCCAAGACAGAACGTCAAGTTCGAATTCAGCAACATCTGAGTGCTCTGTTCAAGCTGAAATTGATGAACTAGTCTCTTTTTGATTTGCACAGTCTAACGTAGTGCAACAGTATTACTAAAAGGCACATATCACGGTTTTGAGAGAATTTCTACTGACCTTGTAAAAGTGCATAAGGAAATGAAGTTTGATCAAACGTGACGGTAGAACCAAAGGTCCAACGTTTGCCATTTTTGAGCTCATTCTGGATTATTCCAACTCTTTTTTATTATGGTGACTTCTGAAGCTTATTTTCACCATTAGGCTGATTTACAAATTTACATCAAATTGTTATCATAGTCAATAGTCAAAACAGTTTCAGACAACCTTTTTTGAATGATTTTAAACGGGCGATGACAGCCTCGAGCCTGTTTTTGTCTTTAATAACATGTCTTCAATGTAGTTTTGTCTGAAACCCTTTTGACTATGAGATGAACCAAGTTGAAAGCCGTACAATAATTAGGCCCTAGCCAAGCTTTCATCCGAAAAGTGATAAAAAAAGCGGCTAAACATCAAATAATTTATTTGCACAATAGTAGAAGCGTAGGAGGCCGCCCTTGAGATAACCGTTTCTTTTCTTCGTTTTTCAAGAGCAAGGCGCCCCTCGAAATACTGGAAATGTTTGCTTTTGCAGCTCGGCAACTGGAGCCACCCCACGGTGAGATTTCATCCCTCAGACCTTCATCCCTTGGGATCAGAAGAAGAAAAGAAAATACTAAAACATAAGAAAGATATCTTTGAACATTTCCCTGAACCAATCTCATTTGTTTAACATTCTTTTTGGTTTTGGTGGATATTGATCGAAATTTCATGCCAGAAACGAAAACGAAATTGAAAAAAAGTTTCTAATTTTTGTAGTCGATTTTTTCCTCGATTGGTTGAAATTCATATACTATGAATATTAATTTTATCCGTTTACAGTTCACTCATTTTGGGAACTCATAAAAATTCAAGTCAGCTCCGAGCAAATGCGCTACACTGAGAACTAATGTTCTTATTTTTCGCCTCTCAGGACTTTTAGAAACGCCCAAAAATGCAAAAATTCTCATTGGGAAAAAAAAATTCGACACAATTTCCAACTACAGAAGTCAATTAATTGCATGACGCTACCTGCATTGAACCCAACTGATTCCAAGAGACGAACTTTGAAATAAAGGATCCTTTTCAGCAACGACAAGCTGAATGAGGCCGAGAAGGCAATGCTGGTGAGCTTATTGATTTATTTTTACAAGCTAAACATTTGAAAAGTTTAGGCCGCAAAAAAACGTCACGAAGACGAGGATCAGGCAAAACTTCTCGACTACGAGGAGCGTCGCCGTATTGAACGAGAGAAAGAAGAGGAAGACCTGAGGAAACTCAAGGAGAAGCAAGAACAGCGAAGACTTCAACGCGAGCAAGAAGAATTGGAAGCGGCCGAGCGTCGACGTCAAGATGAAGAGCGTCGTCGCAAGGAGGAGGAAGACCGCAAGGCGCGTCTTGAGGAGGAAAAACGCAAGAAGGAAGAAGATAAGCTCAAGAAAGCTCAAATGATCGGCGGTGGATTCGCTACCGGTGGTCAGGGAGGACGGTGAGCTTTTCGGGAACTTCTTTTTCTAACAAGACCTCAAAAGTTGCGAGAAAAAAAAGCCCAACTTTCGCAATTTTCAGCAACTTCGTCATCAACAAGAAGGAAGATTCGGCCGGCGGCGTCGGCGACCGCTTCGGAAACATCGTTCAGGCCAAACAAGAGATGGGCATGACCAAGGAGCAACAAGAAGAGGCCAAGTCGCAGTTCATGGCCCAAGTTCGCAAGAACATCGCCGACTCTTCGACCATCTTGCCCAACGACCTCAAAGCCAAGATCAAGGAGCTTCACAACCGCATTTGCAAGCTCGAGGCTCAGAAATACGATCTTGAGAAACGTCACGAGCGCCAGGAGTACGATGTAAGTCGGAATAAAAAAGAGAGTAGATTTGAATTTTTAATCTAACTTTTATCCATCGTGCTCTCACGTCTCAGTTGAAATTGGAGAGAAACAAGACAAACTGCAGTTGAAAGAGCTGAACGAGCGTTCGCGTCAAGTCGCTCGCGCCAACAACGCCAAGAACGGCCAAGTCACCAACGACGACACCGGCGGCCGACATCCGGCCAAGGTGCAAATCGCCTCCAAGTACGACCGTCAGATCGACCGTCGAAACTTCAAAGAACGCCGCCTCGTCTACGAGAACGTATGTGAACTTAATTTTAGTTATACAATACTGAAAATGTCTGAAGAACGTTCGTTTCTATTTACAGAAAAACGCCTTCCCCTGCTTCCCCGGCGTCCCACCACCCCCCGTCATCCTTGAGAAAGTCATCAAGAAGCTGGAGTACGAGATCCAGGAAGAGTTGGAGGTACTACTCCTTCAAAGAAAAATCATGAGATTTTCATCAAAAACTGAAATATACAGCAACTGGGAAAAACACAAATGGCCAATTAAGAGGTTTCTCAAGGACCTTGAGAAGACACTAAAGTGGCCACTAAATCCACCTCTATATAAGCCACTAGTATGCATACTGGTGGTCACAACAGTAGTAGAGTCACTTTGACTCCTATAGAGGACATTGAATTTTAGTCACTTACATGGCCACTAATTCGACTACTATAGTTTCCACAAAAGGTGGCCACTAGATTTTTCCTGAAAAAGATTGAAAAATTACGCATACAAAATGAATTTAGGCCCGTGAGCAAGCCGTTTACGAGGAAGCCTACGATGATGAAGACTACGAATAAACCTCTGTCCATCCTTTCTCTTTGTCCGTTCTAATAAACATTCGAGATGTAAGATTGTGTTTTCCGGCAGAAAATTAATGTTTCGTACAAAAAAATGGCCATCAAAAATCATGGATTCGCCCGCTGTTGAGCTATTTTCCATGATAGACTCATGGCTTTTTGTTTCTAGGCTACTCTTTCATTTTTCCGTCGTCCATTCACCTCGAACTAAAAAAAACTCGCGTAGCAAGAGGACGCCAAGGCGCCGCCCCCCATCTACGTCGATTCATCATTTCGACTTTTCGTGCTTCTTCTCCCCGACGCCACTCCATTTTCGGCGATAAATCCTAACCCAGGGCCTAAATTTACAATGTTTCCTTTTTCTTCTTGCTACGTGTAATGTTCAATTTATCCAAGTTGCGCTGGCTGAGATTTTCGGAGTTTTTATTGGTGTGAAGAAAAAAACTTTTTTGAAACGTTTCAAGTTATGCGAGTTTGGGCAAAAGTCGCGAAATATATTTCAATTTTTTCTATCATAACTGTATAGAAAAGAAGTAAAATAGAAGAACTTGATTTTTTGAAATACTTCAATCAAATAAAGTTCTTCCACAAGGGTTTGAAAGCATATGAAACATCAAATTACCTGTGAAAAAAACTATTTTTTACCAAAAATCTCCTGCTTTCGGAGCCACTAGAACAATTTTTCATTGCGTTTGCAAAGAAAGAAGCTTTCGGGCATAACCTGCGCTGCTTTCGCACAAACCCTTGAAGATTGAATCAAATGAAGGAAGTTGTTCGGAAGAACGCTCGACAAATTGACGTGGACAGCGCCGAAATTGAGTTTTTTATCTGGCCGTCCGCCCATAAAAACATCAATTCGATTTTATTTGCGCCGCTTCAAGTGCAAAAAGACGAAAAAGCATCGCTACTAGAATATTTTTCAAACAAAAAAATTCCGGTTGTTGTCCTCTGAAGTCTGTTTGCTCAGGCGTGTACTTTAAAGGCGCAAAAGTTTGAGAGTTTCTCGATGAACTGGCTTTTTCCTTCAAGAAAAATATTCTTATCTATTTTTTTCAGAAATCTATAACCTCATGAAAAAATCGAAGTGTTCGAAATTGTGGATAGTAAAAGTCAGCTTGAAAAAGATTCGGATTTTTTGAAACAGAAGTCCAGCTTGGCCAGATTTACTCAGGTTGGATGAAATTCTTTACAAAAAAATGATTTTTTTTTTCACATCTCTTGCAGAATCCAAAACCAAGCTGTAGATGCGATTTTTCACATCTAAAGCGAGAGAATCGGTACTCCAGTGCGCTGATTTGCACATCGTAAAAGTTTTTTTCGAAGAAATCAGTTATTCTTCAAATATTCGCTCAATTTAGAAGCGAACCAACAATAGGGACAATTTTATACCCAAGGGATAGTCGTTGCGCGAATTCTCCGTTTTTTTGAACATTTTTAGCAGATTGAAATTCTTGATATTTCCACAAAAAAATTTCGTGAAATATTTTAATAAAGTCATTTCCACTCATCCCATAATTGAATCCTCAAAAAGCACAATCTGTCAAAAGCATTTTTTGGTCACAAATCCTCTTCTCCTTTCGTATTCATTTTTAATTTTTCGAAAGAACTTGTGAAAATTGCTCGACTTTTCCTCACTATTCTTTTTTTTTTCTTTTTAGACTAAAATTCATTCTCATCTGGGTTGGTACAAGAACTCGATAGGGACATATAAACCTCTTTGTCACTCCCATTATTCTAATTGACGTGTAAATTCCGATAATATGGCACGACCGTGATAAATTCGTGACCTACTTTTTTGAAAAATGAACAGGAAATTTGAAAACAGAAGACGGGGAAATGCGATAAAATGTTGAAATGCCAGCGAGTGAGGACGACAGCCTGGACTTTGACATCACAATTTCTGGTTCCAGGTGAGAAAATTAATTTTCGATTTCAGTTTTTTTGTACGGAACCTGGACACAGAGTCAGTACAAAACAGATAACGGCGCTAGAGAAAAGCGAGATCGCTCACGGTACATTGACAACCTCGCAAATGAACCGCGTTGTCGCCGCACTGGACTCGCATTTTTCACGCAATCATAAACATTTTAAAAGTTACATAAACGCGATATTGCGCTGAGCTTAGTCACATAAACACGATATCGCGCTACAAAGCAGCATTTTTGCGTCAAGGAAGTTCTCTTGCCTGAGAAGTGAACCTATGTTTTCTACAATAAGAATTCATTTGTGAATTCTTGAGTTTAGTTTATAAAAAATGGAGATTTAGATGATCGCAAAACTCTCGAAATTTTCAAAAAAGAAAAAAAATGATATTTATATCGACTTGAAATCCTATGTTTACTGGATAAAACATCCTTCACCAGGAAAAAAAATATTTTCAAAGCTATTTTCAGGCCTTCCCTGTCAGATCCACTGACGCCACCACCAACAATACGAAAATCGCTGGCGGCGCGGCTTCAGAACCGGTTTTTTTTTGATTATATTTCAATTCGAAAAATGGGAACAACCTTTCAGATTGGCGTTCTGTGCGTTATGCGTATTCGTCCTGTGCCTTGTCGTCTCCATCGTCTTGCTCTTCGCCAACATGCACAAAATTTGAAACATTTTCCGCAATAATAAACCCTTATGAAATATATTTCTGAGCTTCGACGGCACAAAATGTTTCAAGTTGAATTTTAGACCGAATAATTCATTAAAATCTGAATCGAATCAATCATTCAATAAGAAGGTAGTTATTAGTAGAAGATAAGTGACAGAAACAAGTGAACAGGCACGTCAAAATGATAAGTTTTCCTAAAATAAAAGGAAAAAAACTGATAACAAAATGTCATGAAGAACTTAAAGCAACAATCCAACATACTATCATTCGGAAAAAAAACGAACAAGAAGAAGAAGAAGAATTATGATAACACGATTACTTTTCGTTATATTATGGCTAGAGAAGGCGAAAAAGAGGTGTCGTATGATAATTACTTTCATTATTAATAGACAAGGAGAACTGGAATCCAACACATGCTTGAATTTAATCACCTAGTCATCTTTATAACTGGCGGCGCCGAGGAACTCGTTGGGGCAGGCGACGTTGGCGTGTTTCGAAAGAGTGTACATTGAATATTTGTCGTCGCCAGTAATTTCCTGAAAAGCTCACGGTTGGAGAGAATTGAAGCGGGTTGAAATGTTCCGAATATGCAATAAACTCCCTGGAGATGATTCTCGAGAACTATAACCACAAAACCGTTTTGCTTGTTTTGACAGGAACAAACAAGTCTATTCTTTCAAGATTCTATTTGTAAATGAAAAATAATTAAAATTTCCTGATCGATTCACTGAAAAGCTGGGAAGGTGCTTTTCGTCAGCGTGCAAGATCAGAATCAGATAAAAGTTAATATTCAAGATTTTTTCTTTTTCTTTCTTCCATGGAAATTGCTGTAATGATTATGAGAAATTATGAAGTTTTAACATTCCGTACCATTCATAAGATAACTTTTTCTTCATTTCTCATCCCGAAGAACTTTCTAAAGCTTCTTTCATTTCAAAAAAAAAGTTTCACCCTTTACTTTTTTAAAATCACTTAATTGAAGCCTAGAGCTCTGTCAAATGAACAAGAACATTTCAAACCTTCTCCACGATGAGAAAACCCGGAAGAGGTGGGATGGGCGAGCCTTTTGGAGCCGTTGTGTAGGTCTCCAGGAACATGTACTGGTGTCCTTCTGCCTTCGGCGGCAGTGGGTCTTTGTAGATGTCCAGATTGAAGTACTGAAACCAGTATTTTTGGGAGGTTCTTCTTCCATTCGAACCTGGTTTCCGACCATGAAGCAGCGGCGAAGTTTGAACAGCTTGGCGCGGCTGTTGTCCTTCATTGGCAAGTAGTGCTGATACTCGCGCTCGCTTAACTGCTTCCTGAAACAATTAAACATTTTTTTGCATTGTACAGTCAACCCTTCTCGACTTGAAAGGCGAGATGAGTAGATTGACAAGGGTGAAGCGTTGCGAAAAAAAAATATTATTCTTTCTCTAAAAGCCGCGACGCGTACGCAACGCTTCACCCTTGCCAATCTACCTGTCTCACCTTTCAAGTCGGGAAAAATTATTATAATATTCATTGCATTCACAAGGAAAATTGTCGTTGACAAAGGATTGACTAATAATGTGTGAACTATTTGGAAAAAACTTTCAAAGATCAATTTATTTTGAAAAGCAGAAAAACAATTTTGCATTTCAGTGTAGATTTTTTGAAAGGGCCCAATTTTCTACAATACTGCTATAAAAAATTTTATGCTGGTCTTCAAGAAGCCTTCTGTACTGTTAAAATCTTTTTTTCCTGAAATTGGTCTACTTTAATTCAGTAAGAGCCCAGGCCCTTCATGATTTGCTGATCACCTTGTCTCGATGCTCTCCTGCTCATCTGGGAACCATTCCCTCGCCGTCAAGGTGTAAGAAGACCTTCCACGCTGAGTACGACGTCGCAAACGAACCTGAAGCCCATTTTTGCGAACTTTCCTCTGATTTTCTCTCACCTGATACTTCGGATTGTCAGTGAGCAAGTACAGGTGCTCCATTTCGAACTCCTCATAGGGAACGAACTTGGTCTCGTCGATGACCGATACGAGCCATTTGCGTTTTCTGTCAAGTGATAACTTGAGTATTTGAAGGGAAATTAGCATAATTAGAAATGAAAGGGTGAAGGGGTGAGAAAATTTTGATGGGGAAACTCTCGAAAAAAAAGACGCAGTAATTTTTTGAGAAGCTGGATGTCAAATCGCCAAGTTTTGGTCAAGTTCTTCAAGACTGGTTTGAAGAAGAAAGTTAGCGGAAAAAAGTTACGAATCAAGGAAGAGAATTATCACTATCATCCAAGAAAAACTTTCTTCAAATCTAGGAAAAATATGCTTTTCGACTTCCTAAGAAGAATTTTTGTAGAAATTTTTGAAAAATCATTTTTGGAAAACTGAAATTAAAAAAAAAACTATTCCTGCAATACCTGAAAAAGTAATGCAATAACGATAAGTGATAAAATTAAAGCTGGAGTGAGATAGCTACAAAAATAAAAGGTATATCGAAATGATTATTGACCAAGGAAGTTTGTCAAATTTTTGGGCTGATAAGGTGTACCAAAAAAATAAAAGTTCTCCTAACTACACACTTGCTGTTTTTGTCGAGTCTATCACCCATACGGATTCCTGTTCGATAGCAGACGACCTAAAATTCATGACATTTTTTCCACAAAAATTGTCTCTGAAACCTGGATCAGTTTGTTGACTTTGTCTTCGAAAGTGCAGGTGTTAGTGTTGTCAATTATGTCCAGGTACGGGTGACCTACCCAGACCTGCAAAAATGAACTGAAAAAAGTTCACGTAAAAAACAACGGACTTGTCCTTCATCTCAACCTCACCCTATAGCGAGTACGAAAGCTTACAAAAGTGGCCACTCAAGGGGGGGGGCGATCTAGTCTTTTATTTATATGAACTCTATGGGAGGAAGAATTTCCATGCCAAAAACTCAATAAATGGAGAATATAAACAGTGGACAAATCGGATCACGTTTTATCAAGAAATCTGAAAAAAATTTAAAGATCCCTAGAGTGCCTTAAGCTTAAGAGGGTTAAAGGTCAGGTTCTAAACCCCTATAGGGAGTCCTATTTCGACTCTACAGTTGCAATATTTCCTTTTGTTTTGAATTCTCATACATTTCGCGTGATTTTGTCGAGATCTCTAGCATGATCGATTCCCTCGGAACGGATCGAGTTGTTAGCAAGTGTATAGTACTTCTCGGCCCCGTCAGCCGCGGTCACCAAATGGGCAATCTGAAAATAACTTTTCCTAAAACGGTCCCAATTTTGGATTCACTTGATCGTAGCGATTGCACCGCAAGTCGAACTCGTCGTATTTCAGTTCGGTCAACATTTTGTTCCAATGTTCCTGAACAGTGGTCATCTAGTTCTTCCACTGGAACTTGAAATGTTCGGTCGCATTTGGGAAGACTTTTTTCAGTGTCTCTTCACGATTCAAAATATTTCCGCTCTCATTATCTCACAAGGGAGGCCACTTTGCTTTGCGACTGGAGATTGTCTACCAGAAAGTACCAGAAAAAGATACTGAAAGTCCTCAACCTGCGGAACTTCTTAGGTTTAGAGATATAAGGGGTCACAAGACCTCAAAATGCCCTATATTAACGGCTTTGGGGGATTCCTTTGCCATTGAGGTCTCCTTTCTCAGAAACTAGAGATTTTGGCAAGTTGAGACTTTCAAGATCTTCATCTGGTACATCAATAAGCGTCCTGGCCAATTTTCAGGGAAGTTCAGAGGGCAAAGTAAAATGACCTTCCTTGTCGTAGCGAGGTCATAACTTAATGAAAAATTACGTGTAAACAAAAAGTGAAAAGATAAAGTTTCACTTCGTGTCATAATAGAAAAGAAGCCAGGAAACTATGAAAATCCCTTTAATTTTAATGATAAACCTTAGACTCAGAGACAGAAAAGACAAATTTCTTTTTCGACCACAACACCGAATGAAACGGCTCCTTGAGCCAATCCTAATCAGCTTTCTCAAACTCACAGCACTGGAATAGGCCGACGGGTCCATGCAGCCGCGGTCACAAATAATCAGAACATTTTTGTTCTTGATGGCTGAAGCTTGGTTGAAGAAGGTCTGAAAAACTTGAAATATTAGTGTTGACAAAAAAAGGGTTTGAGCCTTTGTTTACTGATTTTTTGCATCTGTTTGTCTTTTTGTCGTTGCTAAACTTAATCACAAGCTATCAGAGCCAAAAAAAAAAATTAGTTACTTTATGGATCACGTGAGCATCGTTGTAAAACAGGAGCAAACGGAAATTTTTCAATAATACTGCCTTCCTGATTGCCTTCATATTACTTCTAACGTGAGACACGGAGTTCTTGTTAGTGGAAGAAAACGCAAAACCAAAAATTAAGAGGGCGTGGTCAAAATCTTCGCCGTTCCCATGTGACGTCATGGGAAAAACGCGTAAACAACAGGAAGTATTGAAGACGCATCAATGGAACCAGAAGGAATCTATTTCTCATTTAAAAAAACGCGATTTTTCTGTTTTTTTTTTTGTTTTAAAACACATGCCGTGTTGAAAGTAATTCCGCAAAATTAAAAATAGCCACCAGAGAGGGAAAAATATAACTGAATTTCAGTTTGCGAAAATTACGTTGAACGCGACGTGTGCAAGAGTGCCGCAGTGTATGCACACGACACACTACACTTTACGGAAAAAATATTCGCGGGCCGTCGCCAAAAAAAACGCCGCGGAGAAAGATAGAAAAACGAAGGAGACGTATGGAAAAAAAACTTCAAAATTCATCTCCAGTCTTTGCAAGCCTACCTCAGATAAAGAAAAAAACGGAAAAATTATTCTTTGAAAAAGGATATTGAAAAATTTGGTTGAAATTAAAAAATAACTCGTGTCGACTAACATTCTCGATTTGATGCATAGTCGCGAGGAGATCCCGCTGGAACAAATACAGTTGATTCTCATCGAGCTCAGAGAACTTGACGCGGCCTCCTAGCAGGATAGTGGCCGTTTCCGGCACTGTGAACACCTTCCATCCGAGGTTCTCGAAAAAAAGTGGCCAGCCGCACCTTAAAAAAACTCTTCTTATTTACAGAAATGAGAGAAAAATTTGAATTTCTCTACTCTATTATTTTAGTTTCAGCTCTCTTTTAGCTTTTCTTAGTTCGACATGGCCAAGTGGCTTTTAAAATACACGTTATTTTTATTTTTCAGAGTTCTGTGAAAAATTATAATGACGCACAAAGTAGTCGAAGAAAGAATAGTGACCACTCAAAGAAATAAAAATTAGTGGCTTCTTTAGAAGTCTAAGGGATGCTAAGGCAAAATGGTCGCTTCTATAGAGGTCGTTTTAGTGGCCACTTTAGTAAACTCTCCAAGTAGTTCTTGAGGAACCTTTGAAGGAGCCACTAGAGTTTTTTTTTTCAGTTTATATTCTCAGCTGAAATTTGAAGAAATAAAACAGCCAAGACTTATTTTCATAAACCTTCCATTTATTCCTCACGCTTAAATATCACTACACCTAATCTATAGCGTCAGTGGCTAAGATTTTCTCAAAAATAGCTCAGCGGCTAAGATTTTCTCAAAAATAGCTCAGCGGCTAAGATTTTCTCACCTTTTTCTCACCTGAGCAGTCGTTTTTCCACCGCACGGTCCGCCGGTCAGCACGATTTTGTAGACCTTAAAGAAAAACATTAAAAAAATTTTTTATTTAGGCTTTATTGTATTTCAATACCAATAACTCGATTTTCACCTCTTTCGTCAGCATATAAGAGGTGCTGATTTATTCCTTCATATTCTTACAATTATCAGCCTCCGATGATTAAAAAACTGATAAGGAAACCTGTAAATCACGCGCGAAACGGGAGCGCAAACAAATGAGTTTTCTTTGAGATTGCTGATGTTGCAATATTTCATATATTCGTTGTGAAATTTAAAAACTTCATGTAAAAAAAAATTAATTAAAAACTGAACATCAAAGAGTGGAAAATTAAATTTGTAACTTTCTACGTTTACTTCTATAGCAGCAAGTTAAACGGCTCAATACGCGAAATCACAAAAACTTGAGATAAAGGGATTTTCTCTCATTGAAGAAGCATCTAGGAAAGTTCAACGGAAGACGTGTAGCGCCCAGAACAATCTCTGATGAGCCCAAGAAATTCTTCGTTTCCCCTTACCTTTCTTCCCTCCTTGACGGCCTTATAGGAATCGCCACCAACTACGGTAGCCGGTTGAGCAGTATTTGAAACTCGTAGAGGCCGTGGGATTCTCATTAAAATGTGCTTTGTGGACGGTGGCTCTACGCGCATTGGCGAGACGACAACCGTCCGCGCTGGCGGCATTTCCTTTCCTGTTCATTCTCACGTTTTGAAGAAGTTCATTATAGAAATGACAGAAGGAAACGTTATAAATACGCTGTAATCAGAGAAGGCTGAATGAAAAAATTTCTGTCGTGAAAAGCCTTACAAACTTTTTCTTTTTTTTTCAATTAAAGAGAAAAAATGGTTATGAAAGGAACTTCTCAACTTCCTATGAAAAGCTGTACAGGTTATGCCAAAAATAAAAAAAAACCTTTGCAAGACAAACATGAAAAAGTGGAAAAACAATGGAAGAAAGATAAGAATCCTGCTGTGAAAAGGTCAAAATTGCGTTTTAAATAACATGGAATCCATGTGGACCGTCAGAAAAGAGAAAAAATGACGGAAAATTGACAAATTCAGGCTTTTTTTCCGATAGATGTCGTCAGTTTGGAAAAGCTTAAGAGAGCGAACTTGTTTCTTTCGGAAGAGAAAAAACACGAGGCTGGCGACCCCGAAAACAACAAAAATCAACAAAAACAACAAACAACTCCTTGCAAGTATAGAGCCAACAGAAGAATATTCGGAAAATTTTGAAAAATTGCATTTTTTTGGCAATCAACTATAAAGGTACTGTGAAATACCACGGCAGCCCTTTTGTGGAAAAAAAAAGTTAGTAAACTTGAGACGAAGCCAATTTGAACAGATTTTTTTTTTAGAGAAATAACTATTCGAATGAGGAAAGGCGGCGAAGCGAGGTATTTGATAAATCAGCAGCAGCAGGCTTTTTACAACCAATTGTGCCGCGAACAGGGTTGAAAGTAGACTCAAAACAATCCACGTGAGAGAGACGCACAGAAAAAATCGAACGTTTTGAAGCATATTTTAGCAAAAATTTATCTTTTCTAAGTTCGAAAAAAATTACCAAAAAAACGCGCCAAAAAAAGGATGTCGAGAATGGGGAAAAGTGGCGTCCTTGGGTCAGCCCATCCGTCAAAATCACGCACACCTATCTACAGAAAATCTTCGCCAACTAATGTTATTCTTGTTTCTAACCGAACACACAAAGAGCAAGACGATTTCGATAATATACTAAATAGGCCTTGCCTATTCTTATTTCAAAACAACCTTGAGATTAGAATATTTTCGTTTTGAGCTGATTCCAAGTTATATTGGTGCAGAATCATTTTTCACAAATTCCTATTTTAAACCAATTTTTTTTTCAATTCTTTTTATACATTACATTCCACAGCTTAGAAACCATTTTTGGAGGGCTTTAAGACAACTACTGAATCTACTTTGACTTACTTATTCTAATCGAAAATTTTCAAACTTGTGAGAACAAGCTGAGCAGAACAATTGTTCGCGAGAAAAAAAAAAGCCTTTGGGATGTCATTAAAACGTGACTTTGAAGAGGGCTTTACACACCGCGCTGGCAGACGCTCAAGGAGCAACGAACAAAAAAAAATTTTTTTTTTTGGATTCTCTTATAGAAAATAGAACCGAGTAGACCATACGCTCGGGAATTTTGCAACTTTTCTCCTACAGTAGGACAATGAGAAAGGCCGAAAATTGAAATTGTCGAAGATAACGATGGGAGAGCGAACCTCGTATCTCATTTGACGACTAATTTTAAAACATACTGATAAGGTGAAAAGAAGCAAAACAAGGCGTGGCTTAGGGACAGTAATGAGTCCGAAATAAGGCCAGGCTGGCTGACGGCCAAGCCAAAGACCGTTAAAACGCGATAGCGCCAGAAACGGAAAATCAGAGGGGGTATGTTTTGAGAATCGGTTGACTTTTCTCAAAGATCATACTTTAGTATAATCTAGTTTGAACTTTCTAGAAAAGACCATTTTTTTTTATAAAAATTGAAAAAGCCTCGAGCATTTATAAGCGCGATTCAAACGTCAACTCAATTTTCAAACTCCCAGTGTACATTTTTTGATCGTATTAGCGTATTTGAATCTGTCATTTTTTTGGAATGCGACCAGCGACAATGGTCAAAAGAAGAAGGATTAGAACTTAAATAAAAAATTTCTAAACTTCATCGATTTCTTAAGTTGTTTCAAATTAAAAAAAAATGAACACGTATTTGCCCTTTGGAAGAAACGCCGCCGCCGTTCTCCTTAGGATACCTTTCCCACTACGGTCCCATAGTACACCTAAGCCAAACTTTGAGACACCGATTCCCACTGGACGCAATCGAACGGCGCAATTTTCGAAAAGGCGTGTGAAATCAACTTCAAAGGAAAATTCCCGGCAGTTTTTTCACTTTCAAAACTAAGATCACAGAGTTTCATTCAACCATATCCCTTCTTTTCTATATCAATCTGTTTCTCCTTGTTATAGAAAATATTATTAGGAAATTTTCTGAAGGCATTTTGCGTTTTCTATCCCAGTTTGTATCTCTCCTACAATCCGGACCCTTTTTGACTATATTTCTAATCGCATACCTTTTTTGGTAAGTTCCTGAGTATCTCATTTTTTTTTGTTACGGAATGGTTTTTATTTTTGTTTTCAAAAGTTGACGAGAATCTTTCCCTTTCTTACCTTGAACTTTGGCCGGTCTGCATCTGGAGAAGTCGGCAGTTCGCTGGTGTGACAGACGTTGGTCAAGGCGACTGGAGCCAAGGGAGGCTCTGTCGGCAGGTCCACCGTCAGTTTGTCCGACTCGACGGGATTCATTCGGTCTTGCCGAGCAGGCCTAGGAGACCACAATGATTATTGGATCGAAGATAATGAAATATTCAATTTCAAAGACATTTTCTGGATATAAAACTGAGCCGAGATGACAAAGTTAGAGCAAACTTATAGATACTGGATTCGTATAACATTTTTTTGCTCAGTTGGTCATGAAGCCTCAAAGTGTTTAGTGAGAAGATAAAAAAAAGAGGGATTAACTTTGGTAAGACGATAATCACCAGACACGAATGACAAAGGATTTGGAGCCGTCTCCATATGATACGAGTAAGCTGTTTGTTCGTATAACAGCTCTTTTTTTTCATTCCAATGGTTGAATGTGAAAAATAATGAACTTTAAAATGAAAAATGGATCCGTCGGAGAGGAGGTTTTCAAAAAGAAGAGGAAATCAAATTCGAAACGGCTCGGGCGACTTGAAAGAAATGAAACAAAAAGAGGAAGAATATGAGTCAACGACGCCGTTTCGTGGACAGATCGCCGCAGCACCACGACATTTTCACCCTAGATCTCTAAAACTTTTTGCACTCGCGCCGCCCACTTTCCGGTCGGTAAAACATCGTGAGATTCCAATTTCTCACAACAAAATTGATCATTAAAACAAAAAGATTTGAAAAATTTTGAGATTTCAAAATCTCTTTCGCAAAATTTACTGTTTCAAAATGATGAAATTTCACCTGTTTTTTTGAAAACTTTTTTTGACTTTTTCTAAGATCTCCTAAAAATCGAAGTTTTAACAAGCCTCAAGGTCTAAAGTAAGACTTTTTCTCAATAATCATACTTAAAATAATCAATTTACACATTGAAACAATATAAAATGCACCAAAACATTTACTCAATATTTTCAAGTTACCAGAAAAAACCAAGCAAAAAAAAAAGTTGTAGAAAGCCTCTTGGGGTCAACGATAACGGATTATGCCGAAAGGAACATAAAGCAATGGCCATTCATGAAGGAGGGCGAAGCCAGGAGGAAACTTGGCTTTGAGGTGACACCTCAGTGAGTATTATGTGTAAAGGGACCTTCCCCGAACACTATCCTACATAATCTAGCAGAGTTCAAATTGCAGCTTCCTTCAAAAAAAAAAAAAAGAGTTTAATTTAAACCATGGATCGCATCGAATAGTTTTCCAATGAAAAAAACTTACCGTAACAAAAATGAAATGTTATAATTTCCTATCCTATATCAGGGTTCTTGAATCAGCCTCATGGAGGTCTCTATCAAAGAAAAAGGCGCCGAGTGTTTGTCGAAACTGAGAATTTGACCGTTCTTGAACAAACGAAAACTGATGCCAAGAACCCTTCTTTCGCTTTTTTTTTCTCCTTAAGCCAATAAGATACTTCATTCAGCCCGTGCTATTGATTCGCGAGACTATGGGGACAAAATTCGGCATGTTATAGTGTTCAAAGCGATTCCGCGAAGTTCAAAATAGTCGTCACAAAGCGAAAAAGATAACTAACTTTTGGAGGGTTTTTTCTTGTGAGACTGTGAAAAAATGTCTCATCAGCCATAAAGGAAAACCTGAGGATACAAACAAAACTCGCGCAACCAGTTCAAGAAGGGCACTCGAAACTTTATCGCCATCTTCAGTGCAAAAACCATTAATTATTCAACGCGAGTACGTTAGAATGAAAATCACGAGGGCAACTGAAATCAAAGTCAACGGAGGCTATTCAAGGGTGAAACTTTCAAATAAAAAAAAAATGTTGGGTGGCCTTTCAAGCCTAGTCTTCTAAAAAAATAGGCAAGAACTCGTCGGCGTGGCAACCGAAAATTCTGTTACGAAAACCTTGAATAGGTAAGAGATTGAAAGTAGAGCTTGAGCTTGAAAGGGGGTTCGACTTTTTCCATTTCTTCCACGGGCCTAACAGCAAAAACCGCTGAATCTAAGAATATAGAAATAAAGCAACAAAGTATAGATCGCTGAATTGAAGTTCATCTACTACAAGAAAAAATAAATCAGACCTTCCAAAAATGAAATTAATTGAATTCCTAAGAAACAAACTATGTCGCCGAAAAACTCTTGTAATAAAGAAAATTAAAACAAATTTCGCGTTTAAAGTGATTCCGTGAAATCCAAAACAGCCGTAAAAAAGAGAAAAACATTACGAAACCTTTGAGAGTTAGTGATAATTTTTAATTTCGGGCTCACTACTTTGAACATGGCGTAAATTTCAACACCAGTGTTCCAAATATTTTCACGGAATCGAAAATAAGCATCAAAGAGCGAAAACAAGACTACATTTTGAAGAGTCTGAGATCATTTTGATTTAGCGGAAAATACTTTGAACACGGCAAATTAATTAATTGTGAAGCTGAAATTTTTCAAAAGAAAAAACAAGAATGCATAGTTGCGCTGAGAGAGATGCACCAGATGCGCTGAAGCCCCTTCACAGTAATCAATATTTCCAACACCGAGCTTTATCCCATTGCGCCCAAATCCTTTTAGGCAACCAACTGTTTTGTGGAAACATTTTTAAAAAAGATAGTAGCTTCATTGATAAAAATAAACAATCGAAAAATTTTCATTTGAGTCAATTGTCTTTTCGATCCTTGAATAATCGAGAACTTCTGGAGCGGCTGGCTAGAGAAACATCGTAGCGATGGATCTAAAAACTTAAGTGTCAATTCATGAAAACCTTTAGTGAATGATGAACAACGCTTCCGCTTAGCTGTCTCACATTAATGAACATTTGTTTCTGTAAGTTCTTCTGTTGAAAAATCGGACTCACATATAAATGAGTAATAGAATTAAAGAAGAATAGATAATAAATTGAGCGGTTTTTTCATATTGAACACCTTTAAAATCGAAGTATATCGTGATATCTGCATTAGAAACCACTACTCAGCGACTCAAACAGCTCAATACTGCCGACAATGGGTAATATTTGTACGTTCTTGAGGCCGAACGCAGCCGAGTTAGTACTGTTTCTGAAGAGATAGCAAACTCTGCGGACAGGATAGTACACAGGTAAACATGACCTTTCTAACAGACAAAAAAAAATATTTTCCTCAAAAATGTAAGAAAAAATAATGTCAATTTAAATTTTATAAAAAAAAAAAATTTAAAGTTCAGAATGCGTGGTCAGGCTCGTAAAGCGTAAAGGTCATACGTTTTTTAAACTATATTTTAAATTTTCTTTGAAGAAAGAAGAAAGCATTTCAGGATTCTTCAATAGTTTCGTTCAAAATTATTCTACGCGCCAGCAATCTGGCTCGAAGACATGAAAGATCGAATACACTACAACACGCGCGCATATTTTGCGCTTTTAACGCCAGGATTAATAGCTTGACGCACAAAGCGTGCACGGTGGCGCAACCCTGGTGTTTCGAGATGTTTTTTTATTTCGCTTTTTTCTCTGCCTAATGCTGTGTTCAAAGTAATTTCTGCGAAACTCAAAATTATCTTTGACTCTCTGAATTCTATTCATCTTTTTCTCTCTCTGACGGCTATTTGGAGTTTCACGGGATCACTTTGAACACGGCATAATCTTTGAAATTTTATTTTCATCGTGCTCATATTAATCGTTTTGAAGTGAAGATCTTTTTTTATAAAAAGATCAAACTTTTAGATTTGGGTAACACGTTATGCCTAAGGATAAGGCAGGGAAGAAAAAAGAAGATCCAAGTAAATCACCAAACGACGTTAAGTTCAAGGTAATTGTTTATTGAATTGAAAACGCTTTCTATCATAAACCTAGGTATCTTCTTTTTTTGGCTTAAACGTATCAAACCTTGAAAAAATTTCAATTAAACAACGCGATGTTACTTATAAATTTTTTGTTAGCGTCAAAATTCTCTGACTGACGTGTCAAGCACATCCAGCAGTTCATCCTCTTCATCCACCTCTTCGAGCGGCGCCGAGAGCGACGAATCCAGCATCCGTTCGTTCATAGAGTTCAAAAGACGAGTTGGATTAATCTTTTTTTCAGTTTTTTCTGCTTTCGAGAAGAACCGAACAACTATGACTGATGGGGCGACCAATACATCTGACGCGCAAGAAGCGCTATCCGAGCCCATTATTTTCAATTTAACAACTGTTAGTTTATAAAATATAATAATATTATCAGTGATATTCTTTCAGAGGCAGTCGCCAATCAAAATTGTCAGTGAGCCTTTGCAACCGGCCGCTCACTCACATTTCAGGCCAATCAACGTTGATACTCTACCGGTGCGGTATCACTTCTCGCACTTTTTTTTTTCAAAAAAAGAAAAAAAAAAAAATTACTTGGATTTAATAATGGCTCAAATAATCGAAAATGCAAAATTTACTATAAAGTTAGAAAATGATTTGTCATTTTTTTTTCAGCATTTTAAAAGGAAATAAGGCCGCTCTTCAGTTGAAAGATTGCAGGCTCCGTGTGAGAATGCATACGAAACGGTACGCAACGTTGCGAACCACATCCGGCGCCCCAACAGCTACACGGCGAACGGCGCCGCAGGAAGTTACACGCTCAACCCCGGCTCGAAAACTCCGCCGCCGACCGGCGCCGCGGCCAAAAAGAAAGCCAACGGGAAGCAGAAAAAAGAGCGAAAGCTGACAAAAAAGCAACGGAAGCAACTTGATCTGGGCCATGGGTATAAGGCCGTTGATGTGGTATCTGAGGTGTTAGCTGAAAGCGAGGAATCCCTTTCGCAGAGAGGCCTGTGCGAACCGCAGCAAAAGCCGCGTAGCGAGCTCAAAAATGATAAACGACAACTGCAAGCGATCATGTCGGACGACGTCACCTACATCAACCAGGATGAACACGAAACATCCGGAGAAGTACTACTCATGGGCCAAGTCGGAACGATCTCAATTAAACTCCAGTTTTTTGGAGGCCTAACTGTCTTCAGAACTTTTTTTTGCTTAGGTTTCCGATGAAGGTTGGAATAAATCCGAAATTTCTGACAAGGAAGGTCATTTTGCAGTTGGAATCATTCTGTAAGTAGGCCGAACAACATCTTGAACAAGATTCTGAAAGTCATAATCTCTTCTTTTTTTAAGAAAGGGCATTTCAAAGCCGAAAAAAACCTCAAATTTTGTTAAGTAGGCTATTTTGAGATTTTGAACCTTCCTTGCTCGGAATACACCTCGTACATCAAGAAGTTTTTTGCCAAATTTTCAAAGAATTACCAACCTCACGACAAGTCAAACAAAAAAAAAAAACAAAAATTGATTGAGTTTCCTTGTCAGATTTCCTGGGAGCTACTTCAAATTTTTCGACCCGAAATTTCAACAAATTCACGTATTTAACTTCTTCGATCGAGTTTCAATGCTTCTTAGAGTCGGAATTTAAAAAACCTTTGTCAGAACTTGTAATCTTGCATTGAACTTGTAAATCTGAAATACACGCGTGAAAAGAAAGTTTAACTGAACTTTTTTTTTTCAACATCGACAAAATTTTTTCAACACCGTATCAATTGTTTAACCATTTTTGTGCGTCCTTTCCAAATCATTGAACTGTATCAATTATTCCTTGCTTCTCATTAAGAGATCTTTCCGAGCTTTTGCTGTGTTAGAGAAGAAATCAATGCCGTGTTCAAAGTAATTTCCGCGAAATGCAAAATGGTCTCCGATTCTCGAAAAATTCAGCTATCTTTTCCTTTCTCTAAGGGGTATTTTGCATTTCGCGGAATCACTTTGAACACGGCATAAAATTGAAAACACGAGAATTTTTCAGATGACGGTCGTGCCAACAAATCACGCTGCTCGCGCTGCCCTCGGATTTGATTCGACGATAAAAATGCCGTATTATGGCCCTCCGGTTTGGTTTTGAATTTTTGAAATATTTGAAAAATCTTACAAAATGTTCACGTAATTTAAATAGTTTGTTCTTCAGAAGTTCATAAACGTTTGATTCTTTTTTTCTTTCTGTGAAAGCCAAAACGTTCAAGAAAATACTACGGCTGCCGGTGACCGGTTAATGTTGCGCTGCCAGTTTCGGAGCCAGGATTTTTTTAAAAATTTTTTTGGAATTTTGCATTTTGTTAAAGACCTACGAGGTTGAAAGATAAGTTACGTCAAAAAATAAGTACACAAGTTTTCATTTTTGTTACTGAAAAACCTAGCTTGACTACCGTAATACGACCGGCCGCCTTGAAACTGCGTGCCAAGCTTGGAAACATACCTGAAAAAAAAAAACAAAGAGGGCATATTTTCTGTTACAGGTCGGAAACGAGTTCTCTACCCGGAAACCGAGAGCGCCGACACCGCCCGAAAGTTTGAGCGATCTGTGGGGAAACGAAATGAGATACGCGAATCAGTTCGACGAGGATTTGCCGATCGGACGACGATACCATGATGCCATGACTTTTTGTCAGCGTCATTATCTGGCTGGAATGGGTGGAATGTTAGTTATGATGGATATAGAGCGCTGAGCTGGCCATAGTGTTGCAACGCGGTCGAAAATTCGGTGGTATGGAAAAAAGACCAGCGAAAATTTGAACGGCGACTTTTCCGATTTTTTCATATCGCTAGGGAACTTTCCGACGGCCACCTTTTCGCCGAATCTTTTTCCGACTTTTTTCCCTTATATTTTGTGGATCATAAAACATCTATTAACATTTTTGTCCTATTTTTTGTGTTTTAATCATAAATAAACTACCTACTTCATATAGGAAGATTCAAAACAGAATGTTCATCGAGAAAAAAAAGTCGGAAAAATTTTCGTCGGAAAGGTGACCGTCGGAAAGTTTCTAGCGATATGAGAAATCGGAAAAGTCGCCGTTTGCATTTTCGCGGATCTTTTTTTCATACCACCGAAAATTTGCCACTCTTATAATTTTTCTCTCAAAGTTTTCACAGAGCGTGTAAATTGGAGAGTAAATCTTAAAAAAAGTGTGTTATTTACCATCATTATGTGATGTTGTAAATTTTCAAATAGGATAAAAAAAACTTTTGGACCTATTCGATCTTCAAGGCCGGCTCACGCACATCCTTGAGGCCGCGTGCGAAAAAGTGGGAAACGGTTTCCCGCCATTTTGAAACTCGAAATTGACTAAAATTACTCTTTTTACCATCAGAATTGTTTCTTCCCTGTCCGAATCTTCTAACAAATCCTATTACATGAGATAAAGACCGATGATATTCTAGCGATTTTCAGGCCTTTTCTATTTTTGAGGAAAAATAAATAACTTTCCACTTTTTTTAGCATACGGCCTCTGGATGAATTTACGAAACTATTTAGAAATTATTTGATCATTCTGAAAAAAAGAAAAATTGTTTACAGTGGTCCGTACACAAACCAGTCGGCAGCCGTCAAGTTGACATCGCGCATGGGGTTTGGCATCGCGGGAAGTGGAATTATGGATAAGGTTACAAAAAGTTTACCTCGAAAAAAGTTTCAAAATGAAGAAAACAAAAAGCGAGGATCATGGCTGAAAGAAAGTTATTTGCCGTCTACTTCATCCAACATTTTCTTTAAAAAATTTCTTTCAATTTTCGAAAAAAAAAAGATTACGGCCGTGTTCAAAGTAATTTTCGCGAAATGCAAAATTATCTCTGACTCCGAATTTTTGATATATTTTTCTTCCTCTGTTTGCTATTTTGGATTTAGCGGGATCACTTTGGACACCGCATCATTCACACATGCCGGGTCAAGCAAAAAGAAAAGAAACTTTAATTTTTTGAATAAAACGCGATATAATTCAGGAACCATCGGTGAAGCTGTCAATGGAGACGTCGCGACCTGTTTTGAAAACGACTTTCAGTGAACTGGTCGGCCCGAATATTGAGAATTGGCGAACGGCTTTTGCTATGGTTCTCCTAACGCATTTTCTTGTTTTTTGATCATATTCTAATTCAGGGCCTCGAAAGAGAGATGATGAGCCCGTCGATCAACCACGCCGGCAGCGTTCGGAACATGCAAGAAATCATCAAAGCGGTACAATTTGCTTATTTCCTCTTTATTCAACTTTACCGTTTTATAGAAACTATCTGCTGAACGTGTTGAGTGGATCCACAAGTTGCTGTCGTTAATTCTGAAGGGAGAAGTCCAGAAGGTGAATCAGATTGTTCTTTTGTTCCAATTAAGCGTGTTGCAATATGATTTTCTAAAATTATACTTTGATTCGTTTTTGAAATTTCCTTCAGTCGATGCTGAATGTCGAAAAATACTATCTGAAGAGAAAAAGGACATACAAACCCCCTAATGTCCGAAAAATAGTGCTTCCTCTTGTACTAAGGTTATATTAAAAATTTTTTAGGTTTGGAAGCGGATCCAAAATTTCAACCAGCTGCTGATCCAGGGCGGCCGTGAAGCGTCGAGACATTTCACGCTCATGGCGCCGCGCGATCGCTACGTTTACATTGTGGAGGTTCATTAAAAAAAATCACTTCAAAATCGTATTTTTTCTTGTTTTTCAGCAACTTCTGACCAAAATTTCGGACAACGAGCAATCCGTGAACCCCGTGATGTATTTGGCGTGTCGCGGCGCTGAGCAAACGTTCTGCTTCAGAAACAACCACAAAAACTGCATGTAAGCTGGAAAAATACGCCATGAAATGGATGAGTCGAATTTTAATTAAGAGAACTTGTCATTATAAAAAGTACAGAATTTCTATAGGAAAATAAAATTGTCGAAAAAAAAACGCTTTTTCATCATCATTTATTCAATACGAATAACAGTTCAAGGGCCAAAATGACCTCTCACCGAACCAATTTTTGAAAAGGGGGTACAAAGAATTAAGAACAGAAACAAATAAATAAATAATCAAAAGAAATAATAAGAATTTCGGCGAAAATGTGGGTTTATTTCTAAATAAGTTTTGAATCGCATAGAACTATTACAAAGATCAACCACAAAATCGGGAAGTGAGAAACCATCTATAACTCTTCTAATTGCTATCTCTTTCACTGTCTGACCGTTGTTTTGGATATCTTTTCGAAACGGCTTTAATAACTCTATAAGAAGCCTTTATCGATACCTTAACTGAGCACTCAAGCAAATTTCCAGAAAAGCCAAACTTCGAACTGAGTCTACCTTCCTTGTCCAATTTTTTGTTCCAAATATAGAAGCTATTTTTCTCTGACCATGAAGTTTCAGTCTTCTGGATTCGCTGCTCGCCGCGCTGCCGGTTTTCGCACGAAAACGGTATCTGACAGCCAAGTCTTCGCGTGACGGCTTCACGGCGTTGCATTATGCGGCTCTCGCCGGATACCCGTGCCAAATCGACGTCTTGCTCAGATATGGTACAGTAGTCAGCTTGAATTTTGAACTCGGAAATATTTGCAGGGTGCAACTTGGAGGCGAGATCGGCCGATGATAAGACGCCGCTTTATCTGGCTTGCAGACGACCTTGCGGACTGATGGTGAACTTTTTTTTTCAAGAGTGTTTATGGGCGTGAATCGGAAATTTATTGATTTTTGATTTTTCGGCTCTCGCAGAAATGAAAACAAAAGAGTTTCTATCACTGCTTTAGCTGTGTGCAATTTTGGGCGATCCAAAAATTGAATGTGAAATGATTCCGCGTTATGCGCAAAATTGGAATTTCGGGAGTCGTTTGAAAAAATTTTTCATATTTGTCGATGGCTTTTACGCGCGAACTGAAATTTTTTTGATTAAAAACGTCTGAAGATGTTCAAAATTTGGAGTGAAGGGTGTAAAAGCCGCTATTTCATTCTAGGACCCGATTGTTTTTCACGGCAATCCTTTCCGTATTTCGCAAAATCATCTCCAACGAGAAACGTGTAGTCTTCAAATTTTCTTTGAACATTGAAGAAGAAAAAATAAATTTAACACTGGAATTTTCGTTTCCAAACCGATTCATTTTCAGGCTCGACAACTTCTGTGGCATGGAGCTGACATTGGCGCCGCCAGTGGCGGATACACGACTGGACATTTCAGAGGCTCACAGAACAACGATCGATTCGCGGTTTACTCTAGCCTTTCTCTTTGGAAGTTATCTTCTTTATGTTTTTAGAGTCTCAAGTACGTTTCGGATCGTGTTCAAGCGCTCGAAAGTACTCTGAGAAGCTACGTGGAGCTGATGCTGCGAGGTGAATCTCTAATTTTTTTCGGGAAAATGCTAAATAAAGTTTAATTTTTTTTTAGATAGTTTCAAGTAGATCAAGCTCTTTAAATATTCAAACGAATTTTTCTGTTTTAAACTTGAAATTAATCAAAATTGAAAAAGAATTCATTGCCCACTGCTACAGTATTCGGATCAGAGACCACTTAGGCGGCTAGAATTAAATGGCCTCTTCAGAAGTCTAACTGGTACTACTAGACCGCTGAAAGACCCAAATTAGTGGGTTTTATAAAAAATCTTTCAGTTAATACTTTAGTGTCCTTTGAGAAATCTCTTAAGTGGCAACTAAAGTTTTTCGCATGAACTTCTGAGAGTTTTTCAACTTTGTGCACGAGGAATGTAGATAAATAAGAATTTTTCAAACGATTTCGTCATAAAATCTGCACAAAGAACTCTCTCACCCAATAAATCTTTTATATCTTTTTTGAAACAAAAAATGGAGATGTTCAGAACATTTTCGACCATTTAAGTGGCCAGTAGAGGTTATCCCATTTGAAAAAAGAATTTTTGTCTGTTTGAAATGCATATCAACTTTTCAGGAACTGATGAATCTTTCAAAGCGGCTATTGGAGATCCGATAACGGATCTACACACGGTACGACTCTCGCACTGTATCGATGATCTACACGAAGACGCGAATCGCCGGAGAACGGTTCATTCAGTTCATGAGGCCTTTTTCCGTACTGCTGAGTTTCCAGAACGATAAAGTCGTCGAGATGAACTTCCGCCCCCGGTATCATGCCATTCCACAGGACAGCATGGTGGTGAGTTGTCAATGTTAAAAAATGCTGAAACAGTCATGAACATAGCTTTTTGTGAAGTTTTCTTTTTTTAGAATCTATCATCCTTTTTTGAAAATAACTTTTTCCTGAAAGTTGTCTTTGCAAAATGCGCCATCATCACCTATTTTTAGCGATCTCCATAACTGATGCCATTTTTAATGACTTTATTCTCAAAATTAAGGTCATAACTACCTCCCTGAGCTTGCTTTTATTCTTGGCAAAGCTCGGAAGACATTTTCACTCGTTTTGGTCAATTTTTTCCTTCTCCAGAACTAATTGAGCTCTCTACATGCCTAAAGCCCAATTTTTGAGGTGCTGTTCGCGATTCCGGCGACGTACACCAAGTACGACACGACGATGCCGGCGTGTTTCCCGCACGTGACTCGCGTCTCCTTGGTCGAGAGACCTTTCGAGCTGGCGCAGTCCTTTGCCGTCTCCCATCAACAGCTCCAAAGCGACGACGAACATCCGACGACGGCCCTTCACCGTCATGCTCTGCGTGTTCAGGGAATCGCCGACCGCATCGTTCCTATCGCTGCAATCGGAAATCCGAGGTATGAGAAGGGATAGGTGAAATGGACAGCAACCCAGTGAAAATTTTAAAAAAAAACGGATGAAAATAATTAATTCCTTTTGATTCTAGTTTCGAAATCGTTCTCGAGCAAAAGGTGCTTTTTTAGATTTTTTCGAAACTTCGTTTGAATATTTGAAGAAATACTTTGAAGTTACTTGCCTGTTCTATGAGTATTCGTAAGAACTGGGGATCGAAGTCTTCAGAAAGGATCGCCAGAACGGCTTTTGATGGGTTTCTTTGACTTTTTAAAGTCCGCCTTTGTAAACTAGAATACTGTTATAGCCCTTGTCACGATTTCTGTTTCTCTCCGAGCTACAAAATCATTCCTATCGAGGTGCGTGGACTATTTCTGTTCATGCGCTTTTTACTTGGCCTGAAAGTTTCGTTATATTAAAGGCGCATGCACAAAAAGAAGGTCGCGCGCTTCGAAGAGAAGAGTTTTTTGGCTTAGAAAAAAACGGAAATCGTGACGATTTGATGGGGAATGAGCTGTTGAAGATTTCCGAATATCTCTAAAGTACATCTGAAAGTTCTCTGGCCGATTTTTCAGAAAATCACAAAAATAAAGATACCTTTCGAGACAATTTGGCGTAAATTTAAAGTGTAATGGCGCAGAACAAGTCTGCGCCTAACGAAAAATAGTAATATTTTAATATTTTTCTCCTTCTTTGTTCGGCGTTCAAATGCCCCGATTTCCTCAGACTGTGCTTCGAAGTCGATGGCAAAGGCCTGGCAGTGAGTCTGACGTCGTTTTTCTCCGAAGAACACAATGGCTCGGTATATGCGTACAACTTGCCGAGTGAAAGAGACCACAACGGCATCGCAAGAATGGCCAAGGGTTCTCTCCGTTTCGAGCTCAATTCCGGACCGTCCATGAAGGTAAATTAACATTTATTATATTTTTTGTGAGTTATTTGGCGAGTTGAGAAAAGAAAACTTAGCGCGGTCAAAAATTATCGATGGAGCGCACAAAAGTAAGCATCTAACGCAAATTCTCATCTCTATATTAATTCAAACTTTTCGGTTCAAATAAAAATGGAAAACTCTAGTGAACCCTTAAGAGGCCCCTCAGAGACTACTCGGAAAGGACACTAAAGTGGCCCCTAAAACCGCCTTATAGACGCCACTATTTTGCGTCTGAGTGGTCTAGTCCCACTAAAGCCACTAAACTTAACCACTAATTTGACTACTACTAGTGGTCACGTAAAACTTCTTAATTTTTGTTTTGTCCAGCCTTACGAAAACTCGCACCTCATGCTCCAAGCATATGTGGTTCGTGACGCCCGCAAGCCGAACGTACCGATCATGATGGTGGACCGGAAGAAAATGGATTAGAACTTGTTCTTCGACCACTCCCTGTTTCATATTACAACTGTCTCATCAAATTGTGTTTATTCTTCCTTTTTTTGCGCTGTTTTGTGTCTATCGCGGTGTTACTGATCATGATCTTGTCGCCTTAATGCTCAATGTTTCCCGGTGATCAATCTTTTTGTTCTGTTTTGTTTTTTTTTTCTTTTTGCGAGTCCCAGAATGAGAATTTATAGCCTTTCAAATTATTATTAATCGAAGATTGTATTATGTTATTTTTTCCCATGCGGCAAGTTTTCGTTGGCTCTTTCTAATCCGGGTTCAACCTTATTTTGTTGCGTATCGACATTTCCTTTTTTTGTTTATTTTTTCTTTTTGCTGAATATTTCAGCATTGTTCGTAAGCGCTCATCTCTTTCTATTGTTTCAGAACTACTCAAGTTTTTAAAGTGTTAATGTGCTTTCATTTCTGTTTTGCTTCGTTTTATTGGGGTAGACCTCGCAGTTTAAGGCTTATTCATGGCGAAAGTTTTAGAGCTTTCAGTTTTAGTCGGCTTATGAGAGAAATTTAGTTTTCATTTTTTTTTGGGCGAAAATGTAAACAAAAAAAAACGTGATGAGAAGTTTCAAGTAATTTATTTTTAGTTTTTCGTTCCCGATGAAGTTTCTAACGCCGTGTCATTGCGCCTACTTCTTTTTCTTATTTATTTTATGGTGGCTCTTCTTTCTGCCGATTTTCAAGATTCAAGGAATTCTTCCTTCTTAAGTTTTTTTTTTATTAGGCAAGCCAACTACACTTTTTGATTTAATGTTACATAAAAACCGACTTTTCACTTGGCCGAAGAATATTTTGTTTTGGTGCTCGCAGGTTTTCCACACATATGCCGAAACTTATATCGAAACATCGTGAAGCCTTTCAGAATAGTCCGAATAGTTTTTCATTCGACTTAGGTGCCTAGGGCGTTTTGAAACTCTTTTCTCATTTTCTTTCCTATTGTAAAGACTTTTTTAGATATCTTAATATCTTGTACACTTTTTTTTAATTGTTTGTGCGTGTGAGAACTGTGAATTTGTTTTTTTTTTCTCATCAAAATTGTTCCTAGATAGTAAGATCAAACGTTAATAGTAATTTTAAAGAAATTAATCGCAGTGTTCCCTGTCCCGTGTAATTATTTCGCCGGTTTTTTTGTCACAGTGCTGTTAAACTGTCGTTCTTTAATTGCATTTACATAATTTCTCGTATATTTATGAATAATGTAGCTGGTAAAGTTAATTAATTTTTTTAACGACCTAGTTTCCATACTGTACTTGCCATTCGAGCCCTGCAACTTTCTGGAAAGGAGCTATGTGTCTGTTTGGACGCCTACGACCCTGGTCTTTGTTAACGCGAACCGGACGTGCCCCGTACGTTTCGGGAGATTTGCAAGGAACACTTCTTAAGTGATCTCTAAAAGTGTTCAGAGGCGTCTGGTTCGCGCTACCAAGGTTCGAGAAATCGGGCATTGGTAAAGTGAACCGGCCGTGTCGGTCATTTCTAGTGACCCCTTTAGTTGCATCCCTAGAATGTTCAGAAACCTCCAGTTTTCGTTACCGAGGTCCGAGCAGTGACAGCTTTCTCCAGAGCCCACTGTTGTGGTTCAAAAAGTTGATGCTAATTAGAACTTCTTTGTGAGAGGTAGTTGAAATTTTCTTCGGGACTTCTATTCGAGAAGGCCAAGCTGGTGTATCAACCATTATTGTTCTTGGCTTGCTTTCACATCTCCCTTAACAGAATGTCCGTTTTTCTGTGTTGTTTTACGCCTTGACTTGTCTCTTCTCTTCTGCCTGCTTATGGTCTATATCACATTGACACGCTCTTAATTTGTTTTTATCTTGATTGTTTAATTTTTTGTTTACCAGTTATGGTTCAAAAGCTAGTGATAAAGTATTAAAATCTAGTCTCGTTCAGGATTTCAAAGCTTGTATAATTCGCATACCTAAAAGTTTTTAAAGGTAGACAAAAAAAAGAGAGTCCATTTTTACCTTTTTTAGGTAGAAATTAATTTATGTCGCGAGTGAAGATCGCAGAGCTTTTAAAAGTATGCGACAATTTGAAGCATTTGAAACGGACGGGATGGGTCAAAAGAGGGGTTCGTTTAGTTTTTGAATTCCTAAAGTTTTGTGTTTCTAGGTGCCCGAACCGGAAACTGTCGCCTGTCACATGTATCGGATGGCTATACTAGCGATGGCTCTTGAGGGCGAAATTGAAAGTCTGTGTTAAATAATGAAATGAGAAAAAAGCTCTCAATTAATTTTCCCTGAATATAAAATCTTCCGTAAGCAATATTTTTTACTTCTTGCTGCGACCTCGCAAATTTCTCGCACTTAATGAAAAAGCTGGAGTAGGCCCTATAGGCAGAGAATATCCACCCTTTTTGCGCCCCTAGAGCCCCCTTTACTGGTAGTTCAGGATTCGCTATAGAGGTTTGCAGGAAAAAAGTTGGAAAGACGGAAATAAGGTTTTATAATATTTTGAAAAAGGCTTTTTGAACCTGTCCAACTAGTGGTCGGAAAGGTGATCTGATTCTTTTGGTTTTTCGGATTTCCGAGTAAAAATCATGCTTTTGATACGTTTTTACGTTATAAGGAGATTTCAGGAAAAAGCTCTGAAAACTATAAAAAGGACAAAAGTAGGTTTTCGAAATTTTTTGAAGGAAAATACCAGGTATAATTGGTATAAAAATTTTTATTCGTTTTTCAATGCAAGCTTTCTTTTAGGAACTATTTTTTCGGAAAAACAATGAACGATCCAAGAAAAAAAAACTTGGGAATTTTTTTCAGACTTGGACGTGATTCGAGCGCTGAAAATGTCGCTGGTTCATGACATTGGCGAATCAATTGTCGGCGACATCACGCCGCACTGTGGCATTTCGCAAGAAGACAAGTTCAACCTAGAGAATGAAGTTGGACCTTAAGATTTACTTGATCAAAATCTGCGATTTATTTTCGAGGCGATGAAACGCATCGCGTCGTACGTGCCGAACGTGGGCGATGAGTGGATGCAGTTGTGGAACGAGTACGAGGAGGCGACATCGCTGACGGCAACCGTCGTCAAGCATCTCGACAAGTTCGACATGGTCGCACAGGCGTGGAGCTACGAGCAGAAACACGGTCTTAACAGAAAAGATTCACGGCTAACTTTATACGTCTGCGCCCTCCATCAACCAAGCAATCTCTCTTTTTTATTCGTCTCAGGACCCATTTTCCGACGGCTCAAGCCAGTCGTGGACCGGTCTGAAATTAGCGATGAAAACAGTTGAGATCCTCACCAATCTTATTGATTTACCCTGAATTTTATAACTTCTGTAAAAACTGCAACTTCTTCATATGGTAGCCTTATGAAAAATGACAGGTAGCATTAAAAAAGGCCAGGATAACCACGGTTGAAGTGCGCTCCAAGGAAAACCTTTTTTTTTGGACTTGAAGTTCAACGTAACTATATAAATCTTTGATTCAGTGATTTTACAGACATCTGCCTGGAGGAATTTTTCACGAGTACAGCCGGATTTTTCAAAATGGAGCCGTTTTTGACGTGGGACCGTGAGTTGCGGCAGGAAAGAGAAATCCAAAAAAAGCGAAACGATAATCTTTAGTTAATCAATTTAAAATTGTTATGGTCATGCGGATTGTTGAAAAAAATTTTTTGAGTTTCTTTTCTACCTATAAATAGAAAGAAATTATCTGGTCAAGATACGCTGAAAAATTTGGGAAAAGTCCAAAAAAGGAGGGACCGACTACTTGGTCTCAGAGCTGCTGACGAAGCGGTTAAAAGATTACGTCACATTGAAATCTGTTATACCCCCTTGATTTTCCTTCTCCATTTGTACTTGTCAGATTTTTAAAAATTTGTAAAATATTTATTGATGCGTAAGATTTTTACAATATTATACAAACCGTAGTTTCAGATGGTGAGGATGTAAGGAAATTTGGATTTGGTATTTCAAGGGTAGCTTAGCGATCAATGTAAGCTGGGTGGTGGACGTGGTTCACGTTGTCGACGTGAGTGACGTTATCTTTGACGGGAGCTCCGGTGACAGTTCGAGTCGTCTCGGCGACGACGTAACTGTTCGAGGGCGTGTTGCGGACATCAGTTCTCACGACGGCTGGCCGGTCTGAAATGGGTTTTTGTAGGGAATCAAAATAAGTATACTTTTCTAATTTCAGTGTGAGCAGCAAACTCCGCCCCTAAAACCGCTCTCTGATTGCATTGATCTTAGCATAGGGGCGGAGCTTGAGTGATGACTTGACATTCAAAATCTAATCCGGTTATAGCTATATCAAAATCACTAGCCTTCTATAAGGTGTAAAATTTTTTTTTTTGAACGTATAGTAGTAATGAAATTTCAAGTCGAACCTTTTTCGAAGTCGCGGTTGACGACACCGATCTCGCGATGATCTAAACCCAATGATTATTTTCAAGCCTTTTTTTCACGAATTTTTTAAAGATTTTTGAAGTATGTTTGAGGAGTCTGAACTTCGAAAGTTAGAATGATAGGACAGGCTTCTGTCGCTTTTTTAAAAATCCTCCTGCTCAGCAGCCTTCGAAGAGAGAAAGTAGTGGTTATATTTTAGATTATAAACCTCTATGTCTGCGAGCGGATCGTCGTTTAAGGAAACAGCAAAGACCGACGAGGAAGAGTGTGAGCAGAAGCAGAAGAAGAATGAAAGGAAGCAGAAAGTCGCGGAACGACCATTCCGAAGACGATTCTTCGGCTGAAATTAATTTGTCGAGTTAAGGTGAGTGAAGGGTGAAAATCAACCAGGAAAAAAAGTATTTGAAGAAAAATATCGTCAAAGTCACTAGGAAAATAACTTATTTGCTTTACTTCGTTAATAAATTTTCAAACTTTTCGGTTTTTATTTATCTTCTTTTTTCTAGTTATTCCATCAAATAGGAACCTAGAATAGTCGTCGTCTCCTCGTCAACCGTCACCGTACGATTTCTGGTAGTAATAATGGTTTTGTTGACCGCGTCAAGTGGAATCAATGCTCTTTCTCTGAAAAAAATACATATTCCACTGAAAAAATTTATTTTTCACCTCATAGACTGAATAACGTTGACGAGGGCTGGCTTATAATCCAGCTTCTCGAAAAGTGGCCTCTGTAATCATTTTTTGGTCATTTTTTCACTCAAAATTTCTTACTTGTTGCTCAAAAATATGCGCAAACTCGTTGTCAGAAATTGGTACACCTTCTTGGCGTGCGATTGAAAGCTTGTGGTCGTCCATTGAGAGCTGTAAAAACGGAATTTTCATATAACTTCTCGAGGTCTAGACAAAATTTCCGTTTTTTGAGAGAAATATTACTTTTTCAGAATGAAGGAGAGGAATTTCGGTGGAGAGCATCAGCAAACTCATTTAAATGAAGAAATCTTATTATTTTTTTAACTTTGTGATTGACTTTGTGTGATAAATGATAAATCGTTTTGTTTTTTTCGTTGAAAAAAAATTATGGAATATAAGTTTCCCTAATACCTCAGAGGGCGCAAGTTCGAAAAAAACGTGGAATTTCTTCATTTTTTTATTTTATTAGTTCATCTTCGTCTCATTTCCTGTCAGGGCTCTCCTATAACCTCATGGAAGGTTTGGCAATATATTTTTTTTAATTAGGTTTTTTATTTCAGAGTTAAACCGAAGAAGAATCGGATAGAAATATAGGGACCATTAAATCGACTCACGAAAATTTGACAGGTACTTTTTCCATTTTTTTTTTTTGCCAGTCATTTCAGGGTTGGCCGTCGATGAATTGAAATAACTAGAACAGGGACTTTTTTTAATTTTTGACATGGACTTCTAATTCCTAATTTTTTTAAAGAAACGAATTGTTTGAAAAAATAAAATGTCTTACCACATAAATGACTACACGCGGTGACATGAACTTTAATCTTAGAAAAAAAAGAGTTTTTTTGAGAAAACTCACCACCATCGCTAGAGCTTTTCGGCACTGTTCGTCCAGAGACCAGCGGTTGAGGAGATCGGCCGCCAATTGGCGCTCATCCTGTAGTTTAAAAATCAACTTTCAAAGTTCGTTTTTTGGAATTAATTAGTGAGAAACACAAACCGAGGGGGTTCCTCCGCGGACTTTCCGCAAAACTGCCATCACTGGCGTCACTCCGCGCTTCTCGCAGAATGTTCGTCCACTGTCCTGAACTTAACTGTTCATTTTCAAGCCCTTGAGTTGAAGTCCCTATTTGAAAAAATTGTGATATGGTAGACCTAAAGGCGCGTAATTCCTATGAAAACGAACATTTCTCGTGCGACTTTCAAACTGTTTGAGCTCGCTGTCGACTTGGGTACGAGTTTCTGGGGAAAGAAGACCTTCGGGGTCGCAAAGATTCGAAGCACCAGTCATTTGGCATCTGTAACGTTCATTTTCATTTGTGGGATAAGGGGTAATTTAGAGTTTTCTATTGTTAAGTGCTACGAAAAGAGCGATTTTTCATTCTCGAAGATTACTGTATTTGAACGTTTGGTGTGTGCACTTTGCGTGTTTGCACATTGCGCGTGGTCTATTTCCTTCCTTTTTCCATCTTTATTTAAAAATTTTTTATTTCGCGTTTTATAATGAGTCTGAATGAATAGTTGATCTAATTCAAAATTTTTCCTATAGTTGTATTTCCTTTCGATGAGATTTAGAACAAAAATGGAAAAAAGCGGAAATGTGCAAACACGCAAAGTGCACACGCCAAATGCGGAATTTCACATACAGTACTCTTCGTAAAAGCAAAAATCGCCCTTGTCGTAGAATATGTATCATTAGTAAGTAGCAGTATTTGGTAAACCACAATTTGGTAAGGAAACTTCAAAGAATCATTTTCGGAGCTTCTCCTTGTCAAGTAGATTTTTTTTCGTGCGATAAAACACTCTGAGCTATCATATTTTTGTGTACTTGTTCGTAAAATGCATAGGCTTTTTGGTATTGAGGTCAAATTTTGCGAATCGACTCAAACCTACTTTTGAAAATCGCTGGCTGGATTCGGGAAGTTGGATGCGTCCCAGTCCTGTTGGGCAACGCTTAAAGCAGCAACTGCCGAAATTAATAAAAGCCAGCGCATTCTGCAACAATTTCAATTCTAGAGGAAAATTTTCCGATTTTTCCAAAATAGGCGCGGTTTGGTTGTTAACTGGACCCATAGTAGAGACATTATTGACTGGAAAATTCCTGATGGAGGAACGAGCTGCTTTTTACAAATAAATTACCGAATCAAGAAGAAGAAGGAGTAGTGAATTACAATTTTGAATTTTTAAACATCGAGGGGGAAGCCATGATCTTTCGATAAGAAAATATCTCTAACCAAGATATGAGAGTACTTTCCTTTGAGAAACTTTCATTTAAAAATCAAAAAGTAGAAACGGATTGAAAAGTTGGTAGCTAATAGAAGTCAAATCAATAAGAATATAAGATTTTTGTAAAAAAATAAAAAGGCGTTTTCGTGTGTACTAGAAGCTCTCGTAAAGATCTTCGAATTCAGTTGATGAAGTTTCAATCCTCGACTAGCAGCAAAGATCTGAGTTAATGGTTATTTTTAAGTTGGTAGAAATAAAAAAACAAGTTGAAAAACACCAGAAATGAAGGCGTAAACAGGCCGGTGAATACTGCTACCGTGAAGGTTGTTTTATATGCGAAGTGATCGAAAAAAAGGGGGCGTGTCGAAGATCGGTCAGATGACGTTGATTCTTCGTTCAAAATAAACATCTTTCTGAATGTTTAGTCGGTTTTTTTTTTGAAGGTCACTCTGATGGAAAAAAAAGATGAATAATTTAGGGAACTTGGTTAGTCTGTTGTTAATCTGTATATGGAAAGGAGAAAAAAATCTCCGTAAAAATTCCGGAAAAAAATAATCGGCTTTAAGAGACGCTCTTTATGCGCTCCATAGCTAATCAAAACAAATTCTTGTAACTGAAGTTTGGATGTTGTTGTTTATCTCTATTTTTTCATGACTATCAAAAATTTTTTTCTTGATGGTCGTTGTTACATCGATCAAAAGAGTCAGAAGTAGAGCGTTTCAGACAAACGTATTTCAAAAAACCCGAAGTTTGTAAAATTATCTGCACCAGAAATACAAGGCGGATCGAAATAAATGGAGCACCTGGATTAATAAAAACGTAACTTTTGAGCTTGAAATAAAAATTCATTGCGAGAAGTGGGATTGAATTTGCGCTGGATCATTACAAAAAAAAACTCAACGTTGAAATTTTTTTTGTCTTTTTCAATCAATCTGATATAGAGCAAGTGATGTGGCAGTTTTCCGTCGTAGCTTAAACTTCTGAGGACTTGTAAGAAGCTAGCCAACTGACTCAAGCTCATCGATTGAACCTCAAAAATCATGGTACAATTAAACCACCAATAAGGGAAAGAGGGGCTAACTTGTCTAGATTATGAATTAGGCTACGACAAAATAATGATTTTTGAAAGAGAAGATAGTACTTTTTTGGAAAAAATAATGATTTTCGAAAGAGAAGATAGTACTTTTTTGGAATTTGCATTTGCTCTTTCATCTTGCTAGAAGTTTAACGTACGCAATCTGGCTTTTTCATCTTTCCCTTAACATTTTGTTCTCAATAGGGAAACGCTTCAAGTTTATTCATTTTAACGTTAGTTTCCATTCACAACTAAAACATTTTGCTTCTAGGAAGTCAAAAAAAAAAGCTGTCTTGAAATGTCTCCATATGCTTCCTGAGAAGTTCTTTTCAGCTCATTTATGTTTTTTTAATTCGAAATTTTCTAGACTCAAAACTACGACCCGTATTTTAGTTTCTATATTGGTTTTGAAACGTAAAGAAAAATAGTTACATTTTTGTTCGATTTTTCAAAACTATTGATTGAAACGTGTGTTCGAATTTTCCTCAATAGTAATTCCCTTTTTTTTTTCTGATTTTCAACTGGAATATATATCGTTTATCGTACAGAGGGCAGTCATGAAAGGCCAAACAATTTACATATACAGTTATAATACAATTGTCTTTGATTTTTCGGAGATCTAGCGGGTCGTCCAGTGAGTGTTGTCATTTTGGGCGTTGATGGGTCGGTGGGTTTCGTCGACGGCGTAGGTGGAGACAAGGGGCGTCCTCTTCACTTCAGTGACCACTACCGGTGTTTCTGCAAGAATGTTGGCGATAAATAGCTGATGTTGGCTTTGATTAGGCTATTGAACCTTTCGAGATCTAGATTTCCTATTGAGAAAAAAAAACAAACCATGGGTGCGCGTAGTGACAACTCTGACGTCTTTGTGCACCACCGGGGCTGTAAATGAACATGTTAAGTTTTGGTTCATTAACTTTCATTTACCTCGGCTCTTGCTAGCCTGACGGCGCTTGAAGAAGTAGGCGAGGCCGCAGAGCAACAGACTGAGCAGCAGGAGGAGCAGGAGAAGGGGCCACAAATAGTCAATGAAGTGCCATCTCGCCGGTTCTGGCTCTGTAGATAACACATATTGGATGAGGCGACTAATAGGAACTACCGTAGGTGGTGACTCCGACGACGGTTGCGTTGCGGTGGTAGACTCGGATGACGGCTGGAAGGCGGTTCTTCTCGTAGGCCTTGGCCCTGAAACGATTACTTTCAGCTGGACTTAGTTTGGAATGTTCTCAGCTCACAGTGGGACTTCTGAATGGGTACACTAGACGCTTATTTCAAAAATGGTCTTAAAAGTCCAGAATTTCAGTGTCTCAAATTACTCGAAGTATCTTTGCTAGGTTTCTGAAGGCTCTTCGGTTAAGTTTCCAAGTTTTCGAACTTTGTGAAAGATTCTTCGAATGGCCTCAGCCTTGATAGTGGCTTCATTATTTTGAGCCCGGAAGCACTCACCGTGAGTCGCGAAGAACATTGTTAAGAGCTGGAACGAACTGAAGCTTCTGGAAGAGAGGGATCTGAAAAGAAAAGTTTCGGTTTTCGAATTTTCCTGAAATTATACCTGACGGTCGATTATTTGAGTGAACTCGGCGCCGGTAACTGGCACGTTTTCTTCACGAGCCACCGTCAATCTCTGATCGTCGGTGGAGAGCTGAAAAATTGGTTTTTAGAATTTTTTTTCTTCAACTTTGAAAGAAAAAATATTTAAACTTACAACCATAGCGATAGCCTTGCGGCATTGGTTGTCCAGAGCCCAACGAGCCAGCATGTCGTTGGCCATTTGTTGTTGAGCCTGTAAGTTCTATTTTATCTTATTTCGATGAGATTTCAATGATGAACCTCTACAGTTCGTCCACGGACGTTTCGGACGATGGCGAGGCCGGCGGTGACTCCTCGTTTCTCGCAGAAAGTTTCGCCGGACTCCTAAATTTTCTCTCTCTTGAACTGCTGTAATCTAAGTTTTTAATTCAAGTTGTTTTGAGAAAAATTTTTAAAAACGAACATTCCGCGTGCGGCTTTCAAATTGCTTCAACTCGGAGTCGAGCTGAACACGAGCCTGATCCGAAACCATACCGTCCGGGTCGCAAATGTTGGAGACACCAGTCATTCGACACCTTGAAAATGGGCTCTAGTCAAGGAGCGAGGATTTATCGAACTAACTCTCTAAAATTGGTCGTTGTTGGGTTCGGGATGTTGGTTCCGTCCCAGTCAGCCTGTGCGACGGCCAGAGCAGCCAAAATGCATACAATCCAACGCATTCTGAACTAAACTTTCTTCAGGAAGGTTTATTGAAAGTTCATTGTATTTATATGATGGACGACGATGCATGAAAGAAGAATTGAGACTTTTGAATCTTAAAATCTGTTTTGAGCGGTGAAAGTTGCATTCTAGGGAGGAAATTTTAAGTGTCCACTTAAGAGACTAAAATTTAGTGGCCTCTTTAGGAGCCTGACAGGGAATATTTGATCACTAGGAACTACTCTAGTAGCCGCTGAGACGAGAAAAAGTGGCTTCTATAGATGTGGCTTCAGTTGATACTTTATTTTTCTTAAATAAAACCCTTAATTCTCTTTATTTTTATTATTTCCAAAGTCTCTTTTTTTCAAAAAGAAAGTCTCCAAAGAAGAAAAGATCAATTTTTCATCATAAATGTGAGCTGCATACAAAAAAGCTGAACAGGAAAAGTTTCTCCTTTTTTGTAATGCAAAAAGTGAGTAATAGGTTCAGCATTGAATACGAAAACTGTTGAAAAAAAAGAAAATAAAGAAGCAGAAAGCATGAGGGAATTCTCCGCAGCGAAGTAAACAGGCACGCTATTTTCCGAGGTCATTTTATAGGGGGCCCCTTGGCTGCTGCATAGGCGGACCAAACACCAAAACCCTCCTTGCCAAAACAACATTTCCGGGGATTTTCGAAAAGCGTTATTTCAGGCTCTTGGTTCGTTGGACCTTTCTTGGAGCGGTGGAGAAATACACCATTAAGTAGTCGCTGTAACTGTAGTGAATAGACTGGGTTTAGACCGGGTCTGATCTTCTCAAAATTTTAATTGTTCTATCAAGGAAGATAATTTTACTTTTCGGTTGGGATTTTGCTGAAAATTGGTCAGAACACTCCTCGAAGTACCAGAAAAAGATCTCGAAAATTTCAACATGCAAAATTTCCCAATTTTTGAAAAAGGACACCTGAAAGTCAAAGAAAATTCGTTTTCGAAGGCTGTTTTTGGGCTTTGAGCCCTTATTGCTCAAAAACTAGCAAGTTATGCGCGTTGAAACTTTTGAGATCTTTTCCGGAGGGCGGTTTTGGAAATTTAAAAAAAAAAAACGGTTCACGGAAGTACACGTTTTTACACGTACAGAAGTTCTTGTGAAAGTTCTAAGTCTGGTAAAAAAAAAAAAAATCAAGGATTGCTTCTGTAAGACTTCCAAACTTGCAAAATACATTTTAGCGCATCTTTCAAGCAGCGGAAGCAATCGTTCATAAATAGGAAAAATTTAGACATTTTAGCGAATTTTTTTACAAAAAAATTTTTTTGTGAGAAGTTTTCCCTTAACCTTCTTTTTTTCGAATATTTCACTCGAGGTTCGTTTGAAGAAGCTTTTTTTCGATTATTCTCTTCATTTTAAAAAAAGTGTCAAAAGCCTTGCAAAACATTCTAAACTGTTCTTAAAATCACTAATTCCGCTATTTAGGTAGGGACCGCAAAGCCACGCCCCTTTTCGCGATAGAAAAAAAGTGGCTTTTTTTGGTTTTCAAATTTAATTTAGTTGTAGTTGCAAAAATATGTGGAACTGGCTAATAAAAATTTGACACACATGTACAGAAAAAGCTTCCTCTTTCGTTTAAAAAAATATTTCACGCTTTTTTTGATGCGTTCTCGCGGAATGTCGTACAAAAAAACGTGAATGGAACTAAAAAAATTTTGTCATTTTTTTGCTTTTTTTCATGTGTTTTTCAGGTCGAACGCACTCTTTCTTTTTTTATATAATGATTTTGATTCAAGTAAAGGTAATTTTAAAACAATAAAAATAAAAAAACTCGTCTTTGCCAAAAAAATTTTTAGGGAGTGCCGAAAGTCATAATTCGAAATATCGTTAATATGCGAATATAATCGAGTTTTTTTGTTTTTTTCAGGATTTAGACCATGGGCTTACTTAAATTTTTTTCTCCACAGCATATGTGCTTGAAAAAAAGTTGTTTGATACGCAAAAAAATGCTCTTGAAAAATAGAGAATAAAATTAGCGGCGTTTATCACACAAAAAAGCGGTCGAACGCAGGTTTTTTTCAAACGATTATATACATTTATTAGTAAAAAAATCTTTCAATTAAAAAAATAAAATAAAAAATTCGTCTTTGCCGAAAATATACGGGGCCGTTTTAATGCAGCGATCGTTAAAAGAGGCAAAAAGCACTAAAAAAACAGTTTTTTCGAAGTGAATTTCCACGAAACGTTCGAGTAAAGATTTGCGAACATATTCTGATAAAAATAGCTTAATTACTTCAAGTTTTTCTTTTTGAAATAGGCAATCTGTGCTATCCAAACGGCTCAAGGGTAAGGCGGATGGAAGCTCCCCGCGCTAGACCTGACAGCTTGGCGCAGTGCGTGCGCTGCGATTTTTTTCATTTTGAGGTCGCGAGTTCGATGCGTCAGTTTTTTTGTTTTCTGCAAAAATACCGACTTTTTTTCGGCAAACTAGCTGATTAGCATCATTTTAGCACTCTATTATAATTTGTTACATCATAATAGACCAGTATCAAAACTTTTTCTAGAAGAAAAATCGAGAAAAATGTCAAAAATGGATAATACCAAAATTTCAGTACTAAAAAAATGGTGCGCGGCGTGCCACATTTTTCGTCATAACTTTTTTCATCCTCAATCTTTTTTGAAAAACTAAACGGTTCTGAGTTCTGAATCGAATCAGCTATCAAACCATACAAAGCTCAATGCTGAAAAAAAATTTTTGAAAATTCGTCTGCGGTCCCTATATTTAGGTTAATAACATCTGAAAGCTTGATTTTAAAAAGGCGTTTTTTGTTCGAGATTTCGCGATTACCTTGAAAAGTCTGAGCGATTTTTGATTCAGAACAGAATCTCAGTGCTTTCAAATGTTTGCTACAAGGAGAAGATTTCGACAAAATTCCTTTCTTATCATCGGATCTGCAGCCTTGTCTCCACACAGTTTTCTTTGAAAAATCACCCGTAGATTTTTTTTGCCAGTTTGTTTATCCCTTTTTTTCTGTCCATTCATTCCAATTACCAAAGTTCATTTGTAAAAAAAGAAAGCGTGAACTGTTGGTCTTCGAAAAGAACAAAAATATGTAGGGCATCGTAAACAGCAATGACATCAGGCAGGAGCAAGACAAAAATGAGAGAGAGAGAGATGTGGGAAATTGAGGAGAAGACGTTGTTGTTGTTGTTTACTCCTTGCCCTGCGTCTTCATCCGGAATGTAATGTTTTTTTGTTATTCTTTCTCTCTTTCCCTCCGGTCGCCCTTCTCCGTCTCGTCGACCGTTTAGAAACAATTCCAATTGTTGATATTATTGCGGGAGAAGGGAAAATTGCAGCGAAATCAATAATATTCCTCATCTTCGAAGTGTTGAAACTGTTGTTTAATCGTTGAAGTTCACAATCGTGAGAGTTTTTTTTTTTTTGCGAAATGGTCCATAACTTTTGTTCTGGGACTCAATAAATCTCAGGGACGCGAGAGTGGTTCCTATGGGGGTTAAATTTAGGTGGTTCTCCAAATTGTCCCTTTAGAAGCTTTCAAGTTTTTGCTCAGGTTTGAAAACTCATAAATGACTAGCATGTGCCCTACTTTTGCAAGCTTCAATGGCCCCTATAGGGAGATGAAGTGGTCCCTAGCGTGGAAACTTCAAGGGCTCCTAGAGATTCGGCGCTAAATAGCGGGGTAAAAATTAGAAATAATTCAAATGATTATTTTATAAGTTCCCATCTTACTCACGATTACGACAATCACAAAAAAAGCAACGAATAGAAATTGCTTTCAAGCTTTTTAAATCTCACGTTTCAAGGATTCTAGTCTTTTTTTTAACTTTAGTTTTCAAAAAAACTTCACATTTTTCTTAAAAAAGGCCAACAAGAAACCATCAAAAAAAGCTATAGTAAAATTTCCAGAAGACCCTTTTTCAGTAACTCTTTTATTATTCGAGATCTCTGTCTCAAAAATTTTTTGATTTAGAACGAAGCCAGAAGATTTCCATTCAAACATCGAAAAAAAAAGAAATACGTATTTTTAAAACAATATCAAAGTCTTGCCGCAAAGAGCTTCCAAAGTCAGAGTTCCTTTTAGAAGACTTCTCCCTGATTGATGATTTTGAAGCCTTATTCTTTAGGTTATCTTGACTTCACTAACGTGATACGAAAAAAAAATGAATATGATATTTATTCATCGAAAGAAAGAAGAAAAAAATCAAGCAAAATGGGGGACACTGAGGCGGTCGACACGCTTTTCGTGGGCGGCTTTCTGGTATCCGTCCTTCATTTGAGCAATTATGAACAGTATCATTCGGCTCCAAGCCTGAAAGATGACTTCCGTTCTGATTTGAATTCAATCCGCGGCATCTTGTCACGGGTTTTTTTCTTCTACGAGCTTTAGAGCTCTTCGCTCCAATGCGAGTTGCCTGCCTGTGTACATGCGCCTTTAATAAAACGGAAATTTTAGGCCTGACAGTTAAACGGGAATTTATGGGCTAAATTAAAGGCGCATGGACATTTATAGAAGGGAAGCTTCCCGGAAGGGCTCTGTAACTCGGTAAATAACAAAACTTGTTAAAAAATGATTTTAAGCACTTTTTTCGTCGCTGGGTAGCTGGAAAAATGAAAATTGCAATGTTTCCTCCATCGATAATACGGAGAAAAGCTGCAGTGAGTCTTGTAGGGATACAAAAAAAAACCCTACGGAGGTACTCTAAAGGTCCCCTTCTTCGCCCCTATAAGACTTCCTGAATACTCATCTAGAACCCTATATAGGGTTAGTGGTTTTGAAGGGCCTCCTATAGGGGGTACTTCAAGCTTCTTCCTTTAAATTTTGAAAGGCTAATACACTCCCTATAGGACCCACTAAATCTCAAACACCCTTTAGGACTCACTTCAGCTTTTCTCATTAAGCCGTTTCCTTTTTTTGAAAATCAGAACGACCGTACATTGCAATTTTTTGTAAAAAAAAAAAATTTTTTTTTGGAAATCAAGTTTTTCGGGCTCAGATTTTCAAGAAAAGCGTCTTGCTTTTGATTAGAAATATTGAAGGTTAAGAGTTCTTTTCAATTTTTGCGTCACAAGCTAACGAAGGCAGGTTACACAGCTGCTTTCTTACTTGTTCGCATAGAAAAGAAAATTCCGACTCATCGATCCTCTCGCTGTAAATATAGTCACCTCTCGTTCTGGACCTTTCCGAAACGATGGCGGCGGGTTCCGTTCAAAACAGTCGGTGAAAATATCCCAGTACATTGATTGGAACGCTGTTTTATCGAACAAGCTTACGTGCTGCTGCCCGAGAGCCTTAATTTCAGTATTGAAGTGGTTTCTTAAGTACTAATTGGAGAGGACATTAAAAAAGCCACTGAAACCTCCTCTATAGAAGTCGCAATGGCCACAATAGTACTTTTACTAGTTTAGAAGTATCTCCTAAAGAGGCCACTGAATTTCAGTCACTTAAGAGGCCACCTAATCGACTACTATAAAGTCCACTGCAACTTTGAAACGCTAAAGGGGCCACTAAGCGTTCCCCCAGAATTTTTTCACTCCTCTTTCGAATTTTTGAAAACACACCTTTTATTCTCTGAACTTCAAGAAGCTCACCTGTAACGCGTCGTGAGCTTGTTCCAAATTCTCTTCAAGACTCGTCACCACCAAATTAAGGACTAGAGCCAAATTTGCCGAGTGTCGTCGGAAATAATCGTTGTCTTTGAGCTTGTTCGTCGGCACATGGTCCTATATTTCTTCTGGTTGAAAATTGATACATTTAGCGCAGTAAAAGTATATCAAAACTACATGTAGAGCGAAAGTCATTTTGAGATTCGAATTGATTTTTTGCTGGAAATTTCTTTAATTTTCCAGTTCCTACAGGCCACAATATGTCGAAACGTACGACATGTAACTGAGAAAAGCTGTGGTGGGTCCTATAGGGAGTTTGAGCTCCTATAAGCATCGTGATATGACGTCCTGAAGGGAGAAACTTGAAGTACCCCTACAGGAGACCCTTTAAAACCAGTTTTTTCCTCCCTATAGGACTCACTTCAGCTTTTCTCAGTATGGGGAATGATTAGCAGAATAGCAGTTGTTTCGAGACTTGAGGCTACTTGCGCGATGAGTTATAGAGCATGTTTAAATCCAATATTGACCGCTTTGACGCACTAAGGAACTTCAGAGAAACCCCTATAGGCGTGAGGGTCTGAATGATTTCTAAAGGGATTTTTTCAGAATTGAAGAATGAAAAGAATTGATCAATTCATCCTCTGTTAATATTTTTCATAAAAATGACGCTTCGCATGGAAATTTTTCTTTTTATAGAATCCATAAGAATAAACGACTAGCAGCTCCCCTAAAGGGGCCACTTTCGCAAGCTTCATGGCCCATATCAACAATAAATTAGGTACAACTTCACCTATTTTTACTTGAAAGTATACTGGAAGGTAAATTGGTCCCTAGAGGGCCCTTAGGATGCCCCCTATAGGCACCACTCTGGTGTTACTAAGCAACCTCAGGCAATCATGGATTTTCAATAAGCTAATAAGAGATTTCAAGAGACACAGTTTATAACATACTAGTCGAAACAATCTCAACAAATCTTCGTCGGTGTGTAGGATTTCGTAGAAAATGTCCTGCGAGCATTTGCGAATCTGCTTCGTCGAACATTTGAACCAACACGTTTCCAGAAGTCGCTTCTCGTCGCGCGTTAGGCCCGATATTAACCCGCCGGCTGCAATTTGGTCTCATTTTAATAAAAATTCAGTATTCCTCATCAAGTATACTTTATTCAGAAATTGTTGAAAAAGAGGAATAGAAGCTGAATTTGTTAGTAGCGCGGGAAACGGCTGCGAATAAAAAAATTCTTCTGTGAGAAGCTGAAGTTGGTCCTGAAGGGAGTTTGAAACTTAGTGGGACCTATAGGGAATGTAGGGGGACTTCCTAATAGGAGAAAAATTAAAGGACTCCCTATAGGAGGTTCTTAGAAACTACTTTTCAAGCGCGTAAAATTTTTTTAAAATTTTTTTATCTACTGGGAAAAAAACTCTAATGGTCTCTCAAGAGTCTCCTCAAGGACTACTTGGAGATGACACTAAAGTGGCCTCTAAAAATCACCTCCATAGAAGCCACTATCTGTTACTACTACAGTAGTTTTTATTGGTCTAGTCGTACCACTTAGACTCCTCAAGAAGCCACTTCATTTTAGTCACTGAAGGGGCCAGTAATTCGACTACTATAAGAGGTCAAACCCCAAAAGTGGGCATTAAAAATTTTGCCAGTTGAAAAAAAAGGTTTAAAAAACCGACAAGTTTCATTATACTGTGTCAGCTGACTATCTTTTGTGCTTCTCTCGTAGGATCCGTACTGTTTCGAGTTGTAGTTAATGTACACTCGCTCTGAACTTTTTGTCGGAGAGGACTGATTAAATGGACGGAATTTATGGGAAACGTTCATTGGCTGACGTCATTGGAGAGTCAGGAAGAATGGATTTAATTTGCCAGCCTTCCGGAAAGCAACGACGCTTCGAATGTTTCCTGGCCACGGTTTGATCTGATTAGGACGAGATGCGCCTTTTTTTCGCTACTTATTTGGACTCGGCCGGCCGTGATGAACGAATAACAAGCATTTTTCGATTTTTGAACAAGAATCCGAACTTTTGATGAATGAAAGTATGATGGTCAGGAAATTGAGGTGCGCTTTATGGCTGATCGAAATTGCGAGCTGGGTTTCTAAAGGAGCTTTAAAAATTTCTTCTAGCTTTCTTATTTTCAAGGTCTTATTTCCATTTCTTCTTCTTCATAAACTTTTGTGGATTTCTACGTTGTGTTACTATTTTGGTATAAGAACGTGTAGAAAATGTTTTCTTGGAGATCATATAGTCGGTTTTTCCCGACTTGAATGCCGAAATGATGGGTAGATAGGCAAGAGGGGCGCGTTTAAAAATTATCGGAAACTTTCCAAAAACAGAGAAAAATATCAATAAAAGCGGGCTCGCGTTTGACCTCAAAATTCTCACCCAAAAGCCGCGTCGCGTACGCCACGCCTCACCCTTGTCAATCTGCCTATCTCGCCTTTCAAGTCGGGAAAGATTGACCTTACAGCCGATTCACGGCTAGCTAGGGGCGCTAAGAGGCTTGGCCTGTCTGCACTCTCCATCTTCCAGACTCTATATTTTCTTTTATCGTGTTAGGACCCCTTTTTCATGGCTCAAGTCAGGCCTGAACCAGCTATACAGTACCGCTCAAAAGTCTATTAACTTTTGGTTTTTTGGGGATATCTCAGCGAGTACTTATCCGATTTATATATAACTTTCAGGGATAATGTAAAAATATACTTTGAAACATATACGGTATACAAAGACATGTCCGCAATGACTGTGACGCGTTTTAGGCATTTTTTTATTGAATTCCATTTTTGTTTTTTTATACTTTTTATTTTTTTATTTATTTTTTTATTAAATTTTTTTAAAAATTAATAATGTTGCCATATGATTTTTTTCATGTTTTCAGACATGGGAAGAATCTCTGGAAAAAAGGATTTGACTGATAACGACAAAAGAGCCATCGTTGTGGTCGTCAAAATGGACTGACCATGATGACGTTGGCAGGAATGTTCGGCGTGACAGAGGCGGTCATTTCTCAGTTCCTAAAGCGTCAGAAAGCTCAAGATGGCTCTACTAACAGCCAACGCACTGGAAGACCACGTGTCACTGATCGTAATGACGATAGGAACATTTTGAAGACGTCTAGAACCAATCCAAGACTCACCGCTTCTGCGATCAGACGGGAAGTTTTCTTGAATTCGCCATCTCCGCCATCCGTCTCGACCGTGAAACGACTTCTGAATGCTGCTGGAATCATGGGAAGACGTCCAAAGAAGAAACCGCTGATTTCTGAAAAGAATCGAGTCGCCAGGGTGAAGTGGGCGAAGGAGCATCTCAACTGGACCCGTCAAGACTGGAACAAGATTCTGTCGTCCGACGAAATCAAGTTCCTCCTCTTCGGAAGTGACGGAATTCAATGAGTTCGTAGACCAATTGGGTCCAGATATCATCCGAAATACCAATTACCCTTTGTGAAACATGGTGGAGGACCGTTTCGTCGGACGACAGAATCTTGTTCCAGTCTTGACGGGTCCAGTTGAGATGCTCCTTCGCCCACTTCACCCTGGCGACTCGATTCTTTTCAGAAATCAGCGGTTTCTTCTTTGGACGTCTTCCCATGATTCCAGCAGCATTCAGACGTCGTTTCACGGTCGAGACGGATGGCGGAGATGGCGAATTCAAGAAAACTTCCCGTCTGATCGCAGGGGCGGTGAGTCTTGGATTGGTTCTAGACGTCTTCAAAATGTTCCTATCGTCATTACGATCAGTGACACGTGGTCTTCCAGTGCGTTGGCTGTTAGTAGAGCCATCTTGAGCTTTCTGACGCTTTAGGAACTGAGAAATGCCCGCCTTTGTCACGCCGAACATTCCTGCCAACGTCATCATGGTCAGTCCATTTTGACGACCCACAACGATGGCTCTTTTGTCGTTATCAGTCAAATTCTTATTTCCAAAGGTTCTTCCCATGTCTGAAAAACATGAAAAAAATCATATGGCAACATTATTAATTTTAAAAAAATTTAATAAAAAAATAAATAAAAAAATAAAAAGCATAAAAAAACAAAAATGGAATTCAATAAAAAAATGCCTAAAAACGCGTCACAGTCATTGCGGACATGTCTTTGTATACCGTATATGTTTCAAAGTATATTTTACATTATCCCTGAAAGTTATATATAAATCGGATGAGTACTCGCTGAGATATCCTCAAAAAACCAAAAGTTAATAGACTTTTGAGCGGTACTGTATGACATGTATAGAACTATTATGATAAGTTCTAACTAGGTCCGATTTGCTGGAGGAGATGTGAAATTTCTCACTAACCTGTGTCGACTGATTCCTCGTATCTGGGAACGTAGTTCGTGAGACAACGTTGCTTGGGATACTTGGCAGAATGACTACCGCCGACGGGTCTCGTCGGAGGCCGCGCCTGTCGATTGTCCAAACTACGACTCCGGTTCGAGCGGTTGTTCTGCCGGAACAGCTTCTCTACCTGTAGGGTTTCTTTTTTGAGAACTTGAACTGTCTTCGAAGATGTCCAGAACGATTTACGCAACCAGTTTGACTTTTAAGACTTTCTGGCTTTTCCTACCCCTTACTTAGGAACTTCGGAGTGGTGAGGGCCTCTCGACGGTTCATAATAAGTGAAAACTTAACCTTCCCCTAGTAGGTCCGGTTAAGCTTGCAAAAGTAGACCCCTTTAGGTTCACTATTCATCGAGAATTTTGGCTTCTTCAAGCAGTAAAAAATGACCGGATTTAAGAAATGAAAGTTGAAACTGACAAATCTCGTAAATATATTTTCAAGAGCCAATTTTGACGTCGTTTTTGTTCAGATTGCGTATCTTTCTGTCATTTTCGGAGTTAAAGGACCAAAGTCTATAGGTTTTTGAAGTTTTTTTTTCAGGTACAGTTTTACAAGGCGATGAAAGGAATAATCACTGCGACAAAGAAGAGTTTAATATAGACGTAAATTGTGACAATTTTTGAGAATCAAATCCACAAAACTACCACCGAAAGGGATCTTTAAAGCGACCTAATTGATGAATTTCCGGAGGCGACTCCTTTTCTTGCCACCTTGATGAGTAATGAAAAATTTCGAAATTCGATAATTTTTTTTTGAAAAATATTCAAGACTAGTAGATTTCGCTCCGCGGATTAGCGAGGCGAAAAATGAAAATTAGAGGTTCAGTTCTGGCTGCTCAAAATTTTGTCAGGGTAATTATCTCTGGGAAACAGTTAATGATAAATGTCTCCAGGCAATTTTCAATGGGGTTTTCGCTAAACAGTTTGCAAAAAGAAGAGGTTTTTTCAGTTTACCGTATTATCTTTTCAAGATAGTGCACTCAATTTTGGTGTCGATTCGCGCGATTTAAGAGCTTTAAGAGCTTCCTGAAGAACTACTTGGAAAGGACCCTAAAGTGGCCACTGAAACCACCTCTATGAGAGCCACTATTTTGCGTCTAGTAGTAACATTCAGACTCTTGTAGACTCTACTACAGTGTAGAGGGCCACTGGTTCGACTTAAAATGGCCACTGAAACGCGAAACCCTGAAGTAGTCACTATAAATTTTTGCAGTACAGTACCGAAGGTCATTTCAATTTGAAGTCTCAAGCTTCTCTGTGATTAGCTCCGTTTGATATACCATTCGAATCTTTTTGAGCCTTGAGAAAGGTGAAGAAAGACACTTTGAAGCCTCTTAAAATGGCTTTTTCAAAACTTTCAAAAGTGGACTTCCAAACGCATTTTCCACCCATACAGTACGAACGAACCTTTTCTTTGGTCTGCGGATCAGTGGTGGCGAGCGAATGGGCGCCGCCCATTCTGGCGAAAATGAGTGCGAGCAGGGCAAAATTCGGAATGGCGGTGCCGTCGTCTCGCGTTCACTGCAACGACAAAAAAAGAAACCTTCTCGCGTGCTCTTTCGTCGGCCTTGCCTCCTGGCCGGCCCCCAAACGACTAATTAACTGAAAACACGGAGCAAACGGAATGAACCACCTGAAGAAGGGGCTCTTTTCGGGCGACGTTCAAATTTTTTCCTCTTTTTTAAAGGGAACAGAAGAGAAAGTTGATTGGGAAAAGGTTGGGGCTTTAATTGGAGAAGTCTTGAAAGTTCCTAAAGATTCTTTGAAGCTCCTTATTCCGATCTTTCAAAAGTTGGATAGCGGTAGTCCCGTTCCGAGCATAGCTCCAAAGTCAAACGCGAAAGATTTAAAGTCGTATGCCCAAAAATAGGTAACTGTTGAGAACTTCATGATGTAAAAAGCAATATCTGAATATCAAAAGGAATTTGTTTCTGGAAAAAAAGGAAAACCTTTGCAAGATTGAAGAAAAACAAAAATATCCATTTTGCAAATAGAAAATGACTTCTGAGGCCGCAAAAATTCGAGTGTAAAACCCCAAACAAGGAACATTCATTTTGTGTACATCCAATTTTGACGGGGGGAACGAAGCAAAAGGAGCGTGGGAAAGGCCTAAAAAATGCGGTCGTCGACACTTTTTTTTTTTCCTGATTTGGTATTCTTGAAGTGAGGCAGCTTTTCGTTCATTTTTCATGAGTTCAGCACTACCTTGGGATTTTTTTTCCATAGCCAAAGTGCACTTGAAGCTTTTTTTTTTTCAAAATCGATCTTCAAGGATTTTTCTTGAATTTGTGACTTTCAAGAGAAAACCCGATAGTAAGGTGTAAGCAGGTGACCAAAAATAATTGCATAAAATTTCCCTCTACTACTGGAATAGATTTTTGCCGAGACAAAGTCCAGAAGGATCCAAGAAGAAGCTTTCGGAAAAATACATTCGACAGGCTCCTTTTTTCTTGACTTTCTGAGGGGAAAAAAGAAAAAAGGAGATTCAGAGAAACTTTCGAATGATTTTAGAAGCTCAGAAAAAAAGCTCTTGACTCTTCTTTTTGAGGCCTTTTTAAGGTTCCTCCCTAGGGATCACTTTAAAGACCCCTATAGGGGCTGTTTTCCCTCTGATCGCTTTAGGGACCACTCTGGAAGGAAAAATATAAAAAGCATCTCTTCATTTGCAAAAATCGGCGAAAGGGTCTCTAACTCTACAAAAAATCAGTTATTTTTTTTCATTCTCGAACTATCATATCTACTTCATCACGCGGCGTATGGACATCAACTATATTTGCAATCAAAAACTTGGAAGGAGGAAAAACTCAGAGACAAAAAATAGACCCTATGTCATTGGGAAGCTTTCAAATGAGAAGAAAGTCAACTAGATGGGGCCACAGAACAACTGCCGATCATTATTCCTTCGGCATAAATTCGAGTAAATTTGACTTGGCACACTGCCGTCCGTTGTTGTCTTTGCTCCGAAAATAGGCGAAAAGCTTAATTTTTGGCCGACGGAAGGAATGCAGAAAAGGATAATTAGAGGCGATGCGGTTGAAAGACATTTTTGTTCGCAAAAATTCATTTTTAATCAAGCTTTTGAACGAGTTTAGCTTCATCCTAGGCCAGTCATCATATCGAAAAAATAGGTGCTTTGTGAAAAAGGACGATTAATTTGTTTTTCGTTAAAGAAAGGCTGATTTTGTTTTCTAATAATCTGAGAAAGTTTTTAGTGGTCGCTCCAGTGGACACCGTAGTAGTTGAGTTAGTGACCACTTAAGTGACTAAAGTTTGTTGGCTTCTTTGAAAGTCTAAATGACTACCAGAACACTTAAAACTGCTGCAGTGACCTCTAGAACGTAAAGTGGGGACTTCTATAGAGTGGCCACTTCCGTCCTTTCCAAGTAGTCTTGTAGAACCTCTCAAGTGGCCACTAGAGTTTTTGGCAGTATTTACTCCATTCAGCTTAAGCTAAAAAAGCTGGCGGGGAAGTCCTCTCACATGAAGTATCATTAATCATGTAGATAGCAAGACAACTGTAAAAAAAAGTGCGGAATTTCAGAACTCAAACGAATTTTTTTTTTTTTTAAGTATTAGCAATCATTCAAGGAGGATTTTGAGAAAAAGAACTGTACGGGGCAAACGTTTTTCGTAAAAATTTTTTTTTTTCGTTTCCTGAAACTAGAAAGTTACGTCAGTCATACTCAGTAATCAAAGCTCGAAACTGCTCGGCACTGAAAATGAAGCTTATTATTTGTTTTTTTTTTCGCGACGTGCGAATCTAGTAACGCAGGCGAGTACGAGGTTTTCATTTGACACTTAGAGATTGCTCTGCTTGAAGACGTTTCCCAGCCAAGAAAAACAATTAGAAAAGTGCAGATCGATGCGTCTAAAAATGGCAAAATTGATTGAAAAAAAATTTTTTAGAGTTTTGAGTTTTCTGAATAATATCCAAAGCAATTTTTTTTGGTACTAGGGTGGAATTTTTTTAGCTCCTTTGAATTAGCAGTAACTTCTCTTAAAAAATAGAAATTTTTCGCGTTTTGAGGCTATGTGATACAGCTCTGCTAAAGACTAGAGAGACGGCTAAATCTCTATTTTTTTTTTTTTTTTGATAACGGGAAGATCCAAATTAAGTGTGTTCCCAAATCATTGATAGAGTAGAACCTTCTACAGTTCCAGGGAATGTTAGAAAGGTACTTACCTACGTCTGCATTCCGTTCTAAAAACCTTTCCGAGTTGTGCTGCTCTGAAAACTTGTCTTGAAACCTGCGGAAACTGGGAAAAAACACTCCCCCTTATAAGGTTCCTCTAGGACTACTTGGAGAGGGCACTAAAGTGACCGCTAAAACAAACTCTTCAGGAGCCTCTATTTGGCGTCTTAGTGGCCGCTGTAGTAGTTTTTAGTAGTTCAGTAGTACTACTTCAATATGCCACTAAATTTTCGTCACTTAAGTGGCCCCAAATCGACAACTATATTGGCCCCTAAACTGTCCAAACCCGAAAATGGTCTCTAAAAAAATTTTCCAAAAATGTGCATGTTTGTTTTTTTGAACACCAACAAAGAATTTCGATCAAGTTATTCAATTTTTCTTGTTGAGAATGGAGAAAAATTTTTTTTAGGTTTCTTTCTTGAAATGTTCAGATGAGGTCTCCAAGTCGCTATAAAATGTGGAAGCAATACAAAATTGTATAGCCGTGTAGACAAAAAGAAGCTGGCCAAAACTTAAGAAATGAAAAAGACACTCGCATTAAGGCAACTTTCTAACTAGGTTTGCAGGCGCGCCGGCGGCTGCTGCTTTTGGGGTGTAGCAGAAAAAAAAAGAAGAAGAAGAAGAAGACGATGCAAAAGAGGTAGCCGGTTGTTTGCCGACAAAAAAAAGTGCCGCCCATCTTGCTCCGCCGAGCTCCCGACCAATTATGCAATTACCACGAGTTTTCGTCGCGGCTTTCGGCACTTTTCACGCAACTTCTTGAGTTGTTTTGAACCCAATTACCCTGCCTTCAGACAAACTATTGTGGAATAACTGCGCGGCAAAAATGTAAAGCGATATATATTCAATCCTTCTCGTGTTGAAATGCTACGACAAGAACGAGTCGTACGCGGTTTTGGCACGAGTTCAATTCAAGCGCCACCGACTATTTAAAAAGCTCGTTCATCGCCTTTTTTCTATCTATGTCACTATTTTTTTTAATGCACAGGGAAAAAAATCCAATAAAGAATCAAAAATAAATGAAAAAAGTGATTAACGAGCTCTCCAAATAGTCGACCGCGTACGCGCACGCTACGCGTCCCGCCTCGTTTTCTGTCTCTCCCTCCCCCTGTCAAGTCGGGAAAAAAATTGACTATTGCTCTTCCTCAGTTTCAAGTCTTCTCTAGATTCAAATAAGTAAATAACTTTTAAATCAATCCATTGCTATAGTATGTTATAATGAAGTAAACTACAAAAATAACGCTTATCTCGTCCACCGACCAACCTATTATATCAAAAAAGAAAAAGGTCAGCTTGGAGAGACGGCAGACAATCCTCGCATCTCTGGTCTCTCTTCAGGCCGTGTTGATCTCTCATTCTTGTTGATTTCAATCCTACTTTAACTTTTTTTTTTTACAGGCGTAGAATGACGGGACTACCTCCTGAGGACGGTCAGACCCATATCCGACATTGATGAGATCGAGGAAATCCCAAGCTGCTCGGTTAGCGCAAGGTTTGAAAGAAAATGAAGTTATTGTAGAAAATATGAGAGAAGAAATAAGCAGAAGAATAAGTAGAATTGTTTATGAAATTATCTTCAATCAGTTAAGAAATTTTCTTTACACTACTTGGGAAATATTGAGCGAAATGAAAGACGCTGATACAGAAAAAGCTCTGAAAAGGGTAAAGTTTCTGTACCAGAATTAAATTTTCGTAGTAACTATGATTTTATCAGAACTTATTTTTTTATTTTTTCTATCAAGCCTGAAGGTGTAAAAAGTTTTGGCTTTCTTGGCTTCATTTTATAGCCCGTTCACGGCTGACTTGGGACGGCGAACGGGCGGTTTAATTTTCGCGGCGAAGGTAGATCATGGCGACTATCCATGCGCCTTCCATAAAAGCCCCATTTTATGTCTTATTTGTTATTGTCTCATAATTCGTCGATTTAAAAAAATAATGTAAAAAAACAATGAGATTAATGTAAAAAACAAATAAATTCAATAGAAACAGAAATAATTCATTAAATGAGGCTTTTATTAAAGGCGCATTTATGACGGCCATGATCTACCATCGCCGCGCAAGTTGAACTGCCCATTCGGTGTCCCAAGCCAGCCGTGAACGAGCTATAACTCTTTTTTTCCGAAAATTGTCTTTCTGGTATTTTTTTTTTCTCGTTACCTCCTTTAGAGAGAAGGTTCGAATTGAAAGACCTTATAGCTTTATATATGCTGTATGCTCAATCTTGAAAAATGGGAAAAAGTAGGAAATCTTATTGGTTTTATCAAAGTTTAATAAATTTTTTTTCCATATTTCGGGCACCATGATCATTCCAAGCGCTCTGATGCTCTCATTGAACAGTCTGAAGACGATGATGACGCTTTTTTATCATGGTTTGTACTTTTTTGAGAAAGAACAATGACAGGTTCTGACGAAAAATGGTCGAATCAGCTCCTCTAAAGGAGCATAACCATATTTTGCAAAGTCGGGAGGAAAAGCGCCGTTTTCCGTGCTCTTTATGGTCATGCAGGAGTGTTAAAGGTTACATTCTGGCAAAAATCTGTGAAGATCCTTGATCATAGAATCACTTTATTATTTAATCCGAGGGTCGAAAAAAAAAACAGAATAAAATGAAAAAAAAAACTTTTGCGAGTCAAAACCAATAAGCTATGAGGAAGATAAAATAAAGGATATTACCGAAAATTCAACAATTCTCTCTTTTTTCGAAAAAAAAAACCGTTGAAACACTTTTTGAGAACGATCACAGTGCAAATATGAAGAAAGAACTCTACTCATAAACTCTAGATAATCAAGGAAAGAGGTTTTTCTTAGAGGTCATTTACGTGAACAACCAACATTCGGAAAGAATGGAAAAACAAGTTCGGTCAAAACCAATATTATAACTAGAAAGGAGCTTTGTACCAGAATCAAAAAAGAAAAAGTGGAGAACATTCATGAAAATGATGCTTAGAAAAGAAAAGGCGCTAGGTAGAACATGCAATAAAAGATAATAATAATAATAAAATCGTTTCACAGGGGACAGGCAACGACCGTTAATTAATTAATTAAGGAGTGAAGTAACAGGAAAAATATGATTAAAACATGATGTTGGAATAATGAAATCGGATATTGTGAGCATGCGAAAAATCGCCAAATTTTCAATCTTTAGCTTAAAAAATATCGACGTTTTTTTTTCGCATACACACGGTTATTACATGAAAGGATTGGACTATCACAGTTTGATTTTAATTAATTTTCTTTTTCGCAAGGAAAGAACTAGTGAAGGAACTGAGTGGGATAGGAAAAGAGCGGTAGTTTCAATGGGAGGAGATCTACGGACTGGGGAGGAAAGACAGCGAAGGATGATGAGGAAAGAAGAAGAAGAAATTTAGTCGACAGGCGTCTCTGTGGACGTCGGAGTCGCCGAGTCGTAGACGGTGTCGTTATCGCGGACTTCCGTCTGAAGGCGGCACTGCTTCTCCAGAGTGCCGGCGCCACAATCGCAGAAAAACCTCAAAACGTCAGTGAGATGACCAAAGCACAGTTTCTTTTTCAAATCTATGCTGTTCTATGGTAAATTTTCCCCGGCTTGAAAGCAGAGCTCTGTAGACTGTAGAGGGTGACGCTCTGGCTGAAATTCATTTTCCCCCCTTCTCAAAAAAAACCTTTTTTTCCAAACATAGCCTATCGATTTCATAGTTTTTTTTTCAAAAACAAAAGCCTTTAAAGGAGCATGAAAGATGTTTGAAAGCGATAATAATATCTTTTTCGTTCACGCCAGAGTTTGTCACCTTCAAAGAACTGAGCTAACGGTCAATCTGCGCCAGACCGTCGCGATTTTCTTTTCTCTCTGTGCTTCAGGACCCTTCTCCTCGATGCGCGCGGCCTTTCACATAACGGAATTTTCAAGCCAAATTAAAGGCGCATGCAGAGAAACAGGCCGCGCGCTTTGAAGGGAATGATTCTCTAGCTCGGAGGGAAACAAAAATCGTACCAAGCTGGCGTGGACTGGGCTACTATAGTATGTTCCCGATATCAGATGTGTATGAGGAGATCTAGGAACCGCTTCAAAGAAGCTTCTTCAGGTTTTAATTTTGGAATGCTGAGAGAATATTTCCTCAAAAATCTTAAAATTATTTCCAGAACTGAAGAAAAAGAAAAACATACCGATCATAGCGAACCAACTCGACGGTGTGTCCGCGATGACACGTTTTGATACAATTGATACAGATGGCGTTGCGTTCCGTTGTATTGCACGTCGCGCATCTGCAAAAAAAAAAATGGATTCACAGTCTTTTTCAATCCATTAATCAACCATTTCTTCGTCTTAGCGCAACAGGTTGTGTGCCTGTCTACGGTCCACAGGGTCACAAGTTCGATCCCCGCCTCGACCCAACCAAGGGGTTTAAGAAATGTTGGTGGTGGGAAAACACGGCTTTAAAATCCCCAGCCGTCACACACAAGGACGGATATGTCACTAGAGCCAGTCCACTGATAATAATTGATATCAGAATAGGACCTCGGCTCATCGACTTGGGCGCCGACGCCGCTCAAGCGGTACAAAGGCGTAGGAAGAAGAAGAAGAATCAATCATTTCTTTTGTTGCTTTAGTCATAGTTGTAATCAACCAGGCGGTGAACAAAAACTGAAGCTATAATGAACAATCGCCTTTGGCGAACTAGAAGTACCAACGAGTGGTTGATCAAGTTGAAAGGCATTGTCTTAGGGTCCTTCGGCTTGTTTTTAGCGCTTAATTCATCAATTTGCGCCTTGAGAAGCTTAGAATACAGCGGATGATGTACTGGGGCCCGGAAGCCTCGGAATGAGAGCAGCTCCTCCAAGTGGAGACTTCATCTAATTTTGAAAACGAACCGATAAAACTCGTGCATGGGGAAGCTGGTGCAGCTGCTGATCTTGAACAGACACTGGCCGCTTTTCACCGCCTTCTGCACCGTATCGTAGTTGTCGTAGATTTTGTTGTTTCGCTGCACGGGATGGACGCCCGTCGCGAGACAAAGACCTGAAAATTGTATATTACAGTAGTTTGATATGGAGTCTTTAGTGATTAAACAAAGATTGGCTGAATTAAAAATTTTTTTTCAGAGATGTGATTTTATCCCATAATCATTCCTTGGAACAATTTATTCAATAGCACTGCTTTTTTTTCAGGTCTATTCTTTTTTTTCTTATCGTCTAGTGTATAACTATTGAAATCAAAATTTCACGTGATAATCTTTTTCATAATTTTTTCTTTTGAAGAGCTTTGAGCAGCTGTAATTTTCTGATTCAGAAGCTCGAGTCGGAACGCAGCGTGATTGAACGGCTCCTCTTTTTTGGCAAATATCCAATATATTTTTTTTTCTTGCTAAATGGGCCAAAAACATGCTCTGTGGAAACCTGCCGCGTTTCTCTGCGATACCTGTCGTGCAAAACTGTTTCCCGCGCTGAAAAAATAGTGTGCCGCAAATCGCGCTAGAGCCTTTCTCCCGCGCGTTCTGAGTGCGAATTTCGTGAAATTTTAAAATCAATTTTCCGTTTCACTCACCGCCAAACTTGTTCTGGAACAAGTGGTTTTCTTCGAGGGTCGCCGTCGCACTGTTGGTGATTTCGATTCCCGCAGCTTTTCCTTCGAATATTCGATTCCTTCTCAACGTCGGGTTGGACTCGGTTGAAATCAAGACGCCGGCCTGCGCGTTTCGGAAGATTTCGTTGTCTTCGAGAACGCCTGAATTTTGAGTCTTTTCATGGAGAAACTGAAAATTCAATATAAATTTATACTTTTCAATTTTCTTCAAAAAAAAAAAGTAATTCACTGGAAAAAAAAACTCCAGCAAACTCTTAAAAAGTTCCTCAAGAAATACTTGGAGAGGACACTAAAATGACACATCAGAACTACCTCTGTTTTGCGTCTGAGTGGCCTCTACAATAGTTTCCAATGGTCTGGTAGAACTTTAGACTTCTAAAGAAATCAATAAATTTTAGTCACTTAAGTGGTTACTAATTCGACTACTAAAAGGGTCACTAAAACGTCAAAACCTTCTTGGCCACTTTCCGAATAAGATGTTTTTGGTTTGAAAAATCGTGACAAAAAAAAAGAAATTTTCGCACTCCAAATCTTAAAAACTCTGACATATTTTTTCATATGAAATTTCGTAATGTTCAAGATTTTTATTTCCTTAAAAAATTACCTCTGCCTTTGTTGAAAATGCAGACGCCGCCGTCGCGTCCGTCGTAGATCTTGTTGCGTCGCAAAATCGGCTCGCTATCCGTTTTGATCCAAACGCCAGCCATCGCGTTATCGAAGATTTCGTTATCTGAATGATAGCCAATTTATTTCAAAAGTTGAAAATTGGCTCTGAGATAATTTTTTTTTTGGAATAAATTACACAAATTCATTGTAGCATGAACAATTCTGATAATTTTTTTTACCAGCCTGTCTTTGAGTTTTGTTTTGACTCGCACACCTTGCTTATAAAATACTTTTCTGCCTCGATGAATATTGTAAATTTCTTCTATATTCCTTAAAGAAAACTTCATAAAGACTTGCGGCTACCAAAAAATCAAAAAAAATAAGAAAAAAAAATTGCAAAACGGAGAATCTTCTTCCAAAAAAATTTTCTGAGGGCCACCAATAGCTTTTTTTCTACATCTACTGATAAAGTGATGCTAGAAAGCACTTTAATAGTTTCCAGGGGATTGAAAAAGGGCCCTCTGCGGCTATGAAAAAGGTGCTCTTTCCATTTTTTTTTTCTGAAGGTCCTCAAAGTAACTTCTTCATTTTACCTATGCTCATAAAACAGCACAAGATTATTTTTTCCATGTTTTATTGATATTTCTTTTCAAAACTCTACCTTCGAGACATCCGCGGCCCCCGTTGTAGACGAGGACGCCGCCGTTTTGTCCGCCCCAGATCTTGTTGCGCGTAATCTTCGGATTCGAACCCGTTCTGCAGTCACAAAAAATTCATATGCAAAATTTCTCTAAAAGATATAAAAAATTAAAAATAACCAACCTAATTTGTACACCGGAATACAAATGATTGAAAATGTCGTTCTCCTCCAGAAGCCCGTGACCATTATCGTAAAAGTAGACGCCGACCTGACAAAAAAAAAAATGAAAATATAAAAATTGAAAAAAAAGGCGAACCTGTTTTCCGGAATGTATCCTATTCTTCCTGAGAATAGGCGACGATCCGGTAGTGACCCAGATGCCGGCCAAGGTGTTGCCGTAGACCTCGTTCTCCTCGATTAGACCCTTTCCTTTTTCGTGCTGGAAGTTCGAGTTATCCGTAGGAAAGAAAAGAGATAGTTGTTGAAAATTTGAAAGTTTTTTTTGAAACAGCTCTTAGCTAGAGGTTTAGGCAAGCGTGTGCTACAAAATATTATTCTTCTATGGTACGGCGTTCCCAAACGGGGTGAGGAGACGTCAAAAAAATTTTGGCGCGAAATTTGAAATCTCAAGTACGCAGCCAAATGGGGAGTACGGTATTCATCATGCCGTTGGATACTCACTTTAATTTGCAACGATAGATAGCTGTGACGTCACAGTCCTTTTATCCGTACAGTACCGTAAGAAAAAAAAAACTTTTCCTCACACCTTTCTTGTATGGAGCTCAATCTTACTGAAATTCTCTGAGCTGCGCTTTTTTTTTTTACTGGAATTCGAATTTTCAATGGTATTTCAAATAAAAATCATCAAAACTCCAGAAAGTTTCAGAAAGATTGAAATCCATACAATAAAGTTGTCAAACCGTTTTTCTCTAAACTTTTCTGACAGAAATGAACAAAAAATGAAGTTAAAAATCTAGCGAGAGAACTAAGGAAGAAAAACAGCTCTGTGGATTTCCGACGCTTGTAGGGTCCAATGTTTACGGACCAGGCGCGAAAATCGACGACTATTTTTTGAGACGTCGAAAAAAGTTTTTTCATACGACCATCTTAATGGGATGAAAAAAAAGGCGTACCACGTAGATTCCTCCATGAAGTCCATCGTGGATCTTGTTGAGCCGAACGATGGGATCCGACTGAGATCGGATCTGGATGCCGGCCAAGGCGTTGCCGTAGATGTTGTTCTGCTCGATGAGCCCGCGGCCTTCGCCGAAAATGTAGACGCCGCCCTGTTGGCCGGTGAAGATCTCGTTTTTCCGGATCGTCGGATCCGACTGCGAGGTGATCCAGATGCCGGCGAACGAGTTGGCGTAGATTCGGTTCTCCATGAACTGACCTCGTCCTGCAACAAAAATGTATAGTTTTAAATAAAATCTTGGAATATTTCGTGGTAGAAAGTGTACCTTTCTCGTGAACGTAAATTCCACCGGTTTGGCCGTGATGCACTTCGCAGCGGATGACCGTCGGGTTGGCGCTGTTTTTCACTTCGATGCCTGATATCCGGTTCGAGTGGATGTTGCACTTTTCAAAGTATCCTTGTCCGTGCCTATAAACAAGGAAAATTATTAACTTGCGACACGCGAATTTTAAGGTACTCGTACTCTGATGAAACAGCCTTCAGAGCTGCATAATAAGCTGGGAAAAACATAGTATTTTCAAAATACTGAGGAAATTTTTAGTGACCACTTCAAGGTTTTGATGTTCAAGTGGTCACTTAAGTGACTAAAATTTAGAGACTTCTTTTGGATTCTAATTTGAGGAGCCTCTCCAGTGGCTACTATAACTTTTCCTCGTCTAATAACATTTAAAAAAAAAAATCGAAAATCAATAACATAAAATGAAAAAATAAAAGTACAGTACCGATTATAAATCTCTTTCAAAATGGTTTTTTGGGTATAAATTTTCTGTAAGTGGTCCGAATGCCTTGAAACTTGTCACATAGTTTGAATAGCTGAGCAATAACTTATTTCCGAAAAAAAAGCACCTTTTTACTCGTCTTCGCCTAGGGTTGTGAGCGAAAAACTAAAAAAAAAAGATCTCAAGCAGTTTGAAGGCGCCACTTAAGGGTCTAAGAGTGATTCCACTTCAACTTTCCTCAAAAAAAAAAAGTATAGGAACCAACTCAAAAGTGAAGACGCCGACGTCGCGTCCAGAATGAATGTGGCATTTGCGGAACGAGGGATTCGCGTGGTTTTTCACCCAGACGCCGGCGAGGTTGTTCCGCGCGATTTCGCAGTTGTCGTAGTGGCCGGCGGCGTGGTCGGTTATGTAGATGCCCACGTTCTCGCAGTCGACCACCGTACAGTACCGTACCTTCAAACGATCAAATTGAGCATTTTTTTTTTCGACTTTTGTGGGAAAAAAAAATGATTACTTGAGTTAAAAGCGCTTTGAGCTGATGAAAGGCTAAATTTGGATTTCAACTGGATGAACTATAATCAGACCTAGCCCATTGCCGAAAACTCAAAAGGAAGTCATTTTACTTTTCGAATGGGAATTTTCTAAAACTTGCTTAATCGTAAAAAATTGAGCACCAGTTGCCAATTTAGGGCTCTGACATTTTAGTGACCACTGTAGCGATCGATTTAGCGACCAATGTGGTGACTAAAAAATAAGTGGCCTTTTTAGGAGTCTAAGGGGTACTACTAAACCACTGAAAACTACTCTAGTGACCACTAAGAAGCAAGGTAGCAGGCGCTTTTAGTTTCTTCTCCAAGAAGTCCTTGAGGGGCCTGTTATGGAAATACCTTGGGTTCGGCGCTCTTCTTGACGCACATCGCGGCACCGAAGCTCGACTTGGAGTTGACATCGCAGCGTTCGATCATCGGAGCGGCGCCCTCGTCGGTGACCAACAAGGCGTAGAAATGCTGCTGAGGCGGCTGATGAGGCTGGGCGCCGAGGATGGAGGGACCGTTCCGCTCGGGTCGGAAACGGATGGACATGTGGCCGACGTAGGCGCCAGCGCTGCCTTCTGTGAAGGCGATCGTCGTGTTGCGCGATCCTTCGATGATCACTGACTGTGTGATGTCGCTCGACGCTGAAAAAGATTATATTCTCATCAAAAGTAACCAATTTTTAGTTGACAGTCATTTGCAGACAGATATTTTTCGTGCATAAAGAACGCAGATTTTGAAAGATCTAGTAAAAAAAAGAGAAATTTGACAACCAGGCATCTTCATAAATTCATCCCCATATGGGCCACTCTGGCGTTCTTGAGTTTAAAGCTTCAGATTAAAGAAAAAGATTATTTTAATGTTTCTATAAAAGGTAACAATGATCCACATCACATAGTTGAGGGAGGTGATTTCATTTGGAACCTGACAAATTTCATAAACTCAGCAAGAACACAGCTTGAAGTACTGGTGGAGACTCTAAAAAAATCGTAACTGCACAAGTTCCGATTTTTCTGGAAATATTTTGCGGGAGACTGCGACTTGACAGCGTTTATCAAAAAAATAGATTTTTTTGCTATTTTCAGAATTTGCCCACAGGAGATCTGAATCAGAAGAAATTCTTTAAAAAAAGTAAATTCGACAACTTAAAAATCATTTTTTTCATAACTCTTCCAAGTACATAATTGCATTTAAAAGCTCGTGAAGAATAGTCAAAATACAATTTATTGGCTTTCCGATCGATTTTTTTTATATGCTTTCTACAAATTGCCCTTTTGGCATTGTCCCTTGCGGAGGATTTTGCATGAATCGGACTTTGGATTCGCGACAGCCGATTGGACTTGACGCTCTCGTTCCGAGTGACCAATACACGGCTGGCAAGGAGGCGCGTCTATTCGATTTGCTACGTCACACGGGAGACAGGACACACGTTACACAAGGCCGTCTTCTTCGGCCCGTTGCGGCTTATAACGAGATCGTAAAGTTGGAACAGTGAAGCCTTCAGTTTCTGTCCACATGTATGATGTTTGAAATCGTTAGGACCATGATCAAATGTCAAAAGCCTCTAATGAGGGGAGAAATGCGGAGAAAACTCGAAATAAATATCCGTTGAACATATCTCGTCTCGTTTTGAAAAAATGATGCTTCAAAATTTGCCAAGCATATTCTTGAAATTTTTTGAAATTCAACCATTTTTAGGGACGCCAGAGTGGTCCCTGAAGGGGTTAGGAAGATATGAGATCACTATAGAAGCCACTTAGTGTTATGCTAATGAAATCATTTAAGAGAACACTCGGCTCTTGTCTACTGAGATCTAACATGTCTTCCTAACTCAATCCATACTTGAGGGCCTTTTTTTGAGCTTTCCTGAGAGTTTCAGATCATGGAAATAATGTCAGAAGAACTGATTTTTTAGATAAACTTGTTTGATTCGAAAATATATGTTTCTAGGCAAAAAACAAAAATTACCGGCTCCAATGATCTGAACGGGCGAGCTGATGGTGAGCGTGTCGGTGGGATGATAAACACCGGCGTGCAAGAAGATTAGCTTCTCGTGGTTTGGGTTCGCCTCCAGGAAACTGAAAATATTAGGAATGGAGAAAATCATCTAGGAATTGCACTGAAAATTATTCAAGTAAATCTCTTTTAACCAAATTTTCGGGAAGAATGACGTCTTTTTGGCTTTTACAATTTTTCAAGTACTAATAACGCGTATCGGTTCTGTGAAATCGACATAAAGCTAAAGCAATTTATCGCTGAAAATTTTTTCTTCGATTGGTTTCTGCGCCTTTAATATTCCTTGAAAACTGACAAAATAATGAGGGGTAAAATTTGAGTGGTCTCTATAGGGGTTCAACCCTAAGCTTTTGAAGATTAACCCATATAGAAATTTTTCCATTTTTTTTTGTTTCGATTTGAAATAAAAACTGAACGATGACATTTCTGTTGACAAATTTTATTCGATCGAAAAAACAAAAATCATGGATTTTTTTTCGCGTGGAAATGCTTTTTCTCATAGAACAGTAAACGACTAGCACGCTCCCCTAGAGTGGTCATTTCCGCGAGCCCTTTAGGGACCACTCTGGCGTTCTTGAGCCCTACTGCTCTTTTTTTTTTCGTTTTTGCGATTACATACTTCAGGGGTCATTTTCCGTATTCAAACAAAACTGACGACAAAGCGAGCTCGATCCGATCGAAGACCATAATTTCCCGCGATCGCAGGTCCTCCATGTCGGAGTTTCGCGGTCTCACATGAACTCCATTTCTCTGAAAATAGAACTTTATAAAAACTTTACTCAAATTTCATCCATTTACTGGGATGGATCCTAGTTGCACTTGAGAGGTTCTTTAAGGACTTTTATGAGAGGACACTAAAGTGGCAACTAAAGCCACTATTTTACGTCATAGTGGCCACTACAGTAGTTTTTAGAGGTCTTAGACTCCTAGAGCTAAATTTGAGTCACCTAACTGGCCGCAAATTTGACTACTACAGCGTGCACAAAAAGGTAAAAACTCTTAAGTGGCCACTAATAACTTTGGCACATCTCTTCATTATCAGATCATCTACACACCAAAATTGAATAAAATGAATTTCCAATGAAATAAAAAAAGCCACGAACCAATTGCCGGAAGCTCTCCTTCCAGGGATTCTCGTCCCGCCACTTGTTCGGCTCGCGAAATTCAAATTTCCCATGCGTTGGATGGTACAATGGTACCCGATACCCGAAAATGTCTTGATAAAGCGTTTTCCTGAAATAATTCCAGTTTTAATGATCAAAAAAAAAACAAGGTAACTCACCAAACATTGATGCTGTTGGCTAATCGATAAAATCTATTGTTGACTGATATGCTATTGATGAGATCTTTTTGATGCAGGTATTTGAAAATCTGAAAGAAAATGGGCGTTTTCATAGAATAAGTTTCTAAATCCATAAAATTGTTTTCCTCGTTCACACGGTTACAAATTCTGACAGAGTGTTTTTTTCAAGCCTATCTCATTCAACATATGACGAAATTCAAAACTTCAAAAAGATTGTAATATTCAGATAAATTTAATCAATACATTTAATTCATTCATTGTGGAAAAAGGCCAGTTTTGAACCTAGTTTTTTTATTATGAAACTCAAAAAAAGAAAAAAACTAAGTTATGAAAAATTCGTTTTAGAAATGACCGTTAGAAAGCATCACTTTTTTTCAAATATCTAGGAAAAACTCTAAAAAACACTAAACCGCCAAAAATCACATTTGATCTTCAAATTGAAGAAAAGATTATCAAACTTCAAATAAAAGTACTTTGAAAAAAAATTCTGAGCTTTTTGCAAATCCCAAGGTTATTTCAATCTTTCGAGTTCATCTCAAAAATATGTCAAACGGAAACCTTCATAAGAATTTCTTCTGGCATTCGACTGATATGGTCGACGCCATCCGATGTCAATTCGCAGGGCTCTTCTTCAACGGCACAACTGAAGGAAAAAAAAAATCAATTCGATGTCAAAATTACAGAAAAACACTGCATATGCTTTAAGTTTTGATTCACTTGATGCATTGAAAGAAATAAAGTTTTTCGAAAATTTTCAATAGCAAAAATTTTTATTGATCAAATCCGTAAAACAAACTCTTTTCGCGCTTCACCGGGCGATATAGAATCCGTTTTGAATCGTTTCAACGTAGGCTGCGTCGTCTGGAAACACCTTTTTTACTCTTTGAAACTTGTCCAAACAAAACCTCGTCGGCCGTCGCGCCGCTGATTGGACTACATGCTTCTTCCTCTTTTTGCGTTGAACAGGAACGCCGTTTACGTAAAGAATACCTGAAAAATATTTGGTTAAACGAAAAAAAATTGAAAAAAACATCGCGGTGTTTTTGCATCGTAAAAATGGGACATGTTTCAAAACGCGAAAGTGTGTTCATTGACGCACCAAAGCAGTTCTTATTTTTCTTTTTTGGAACAAATTCCGTATTGTACGATGAACACGTCATTACATTTTTTTAAGTAATCCCCAGAGTGACCGCTGAGACAGAAGAGATTAGCAATGGAGCGCGTTTGACAGTTTTCCGCAGACTTTTTTCCCACATTGCTTTTCATTGAACTTTTCACAAAAAAAAAATCTCTTTATAAAATATCCAAAAAGCTCTAAGAACTTTCCAAAGCCTCCATTTGAGACAAAACATAGTTTAGCATAAATTTCGCTCAGACTTCTTATGCAATTGATTTTTTTTTCAATTGTAACTTTTATATTTTCAACTAATCAAGAAAGTAAAAAAAAAATGAACCTTGAAACAGTAGCAGAGCTTTGGGAGACCGAGGGATAGAAGACGTCGACGGGGACGACGTCGACGGACGACGTTTCGATGACGCCGCCGACGTTGGAGGTGCTGCTGGAGGCGGCGGCGGTGCTGCTGCCAGGCTCGCCGCTCTCGTCGGCCATCGGAAACAGCTGACCGGGGAGGACGTCTTCAGCGGCAGATGACGTCGTCGTCGTCGACGACGAGTCCGTCACCGTGCAGGACGCGGAGTAGCTCCGCAGTGACGCTTTGGTCCGATTGGTGGCCAACACGCGTTGATGGCTGGTTGCAGCTGAAAAAGGAAAGATAATCCACATAAACGGCCAAAAGGAAGCAATTACGATATCGGCTTTTTTGAAGAAGTGGTTTTAAAAAATAGATAACTTCTATTTTTCAAAATAAATTTCAAAAGGCGTGGACAGTGAAAAGAGGATTCTCTCGAGAGGTTTCTTAATCACTTATCCCGCTAGAGTGACCACTCCAGCAGTTCCTTAGGGCGCGAAAAAACTTCGAGCGTGATAAACGAAGAAACGAAGCATGTATGGGAATACTGAAAAGTGTTGAAAGCTCTATTTTTTTTGTTTCGGAATAATTATTCGAGTCATGAAAACTTCATAAGAAAAAAAAGCCTTTTAAAAAACAGATTTCCAAAAATTTTAATCTCGCAGTCAACGAAATAACGTGATCGACTTTGGATATTTGAAAAAGATGGATAATTTATCGATGGATTGAAATTCGAACATTCGTTCGACCCGGTGAAAATAATTGAAAACTCAAAAAAAGTTTCATGAAAAATAAAAAAAGTAAAGTTACAAATGGTTAAGTGGAAAAAATCTGCGAGTAGGTGGAAAAAAGAAAGAGGGCGACAAAATTGCCGGGCGTATTGACATTTTTCAAGGCAGTGGCGGGAATATGGAGTGAGAAAAGAAACGAGAAGCTTCGTATGTAGGAATGAAAAAGAAGTGGGGGAACGACGACGAGGCGTACATTTCCACGCAACTTTCTTAGGAATGCATTGCAATAAAAAGGAAATTTGATGGTGGGGAAACGTGTGAGGAATCAATTCAGAACTTGAATATTCATGGTACTATAGTTGGGCGACCAGCTCGTTGGGACGTGGAAATTTTCGTCTTGGAAGCTGGATCTATCTAATTCTGCTTAAATAGTAGGAGTTTGAAACAATTTTCAGGATTTTTCAGGAAGTGCGTGGCATCAAATCTCGAACAGTGAGTTCGAAGGTTCGCGAAAAGGTACAGGAGCGTTGAATCGAACAGACGAGACTGTGGAAAGAAAAATCAATCATTTTTTTTCTGTACAAAAAATTATTTTAATTTATTAGCAACTAAGATTTGGAGCCTAATGCCGCGTTTTTACTTTAAATTACTTTAAAGGCGGCATAAAATTTGAATAAATTGGGTCTATTGAAGCCCTTCAAGAATTTATAAAAGATGGGTCTGGAAATCAATGTGAAAATAGAATTTGGTATTTTGAAAGCTTGAAAAGTTCACGAAAGCAAAAATGAACGAAGAGATCTTTGGAAAAAACACTTTTTCTAACAATCTCAAGTTCAGGAAAGCGGATACAAACTGAGTTCTTCGAACTACAAAGCTTAAAATTGTTCTTCTAGATCAAAAAAATTAACAAAACCAAATTAAAACTCATCGAAAAAAAAATAAGACGAATGACAAGAAAAAAATGGGACATGGACGAACGGAAACACAGCGCAAAACCAGTCGCCGTGCCTCAATTCGTCGTCCCCCACGCCATGAACGTCTTCTTCTTTTTCGTCTTCTTTTTCTCCGTTTGGAATAAAGCATCCAGAAAACGTACAAACGAACGGGTGGGGAGGAAAAAAAAAATCAATGTTCAAGAGAAGAAATGGGCAAAAAACGACGAAGAGTGGTCGGCAAATAAGCCGACTGAAAAAGATGGAAAAGAAGAATGAAAAAAATAATGGATTAGGCTGTGAAGCAAAGAATTGAATAGTTGTAGCAAATAAGATTGTCGATAAGTTTTAAAAATCGGTAGACTTCCAAGAAATTGACCTTGACACAAAGACTGTGAAAAACTTCTCTTTGTGTGATATAGTGAAAAAATATTAAAGCTGACTCGAAAATACAGCTGTAGATAGGGATATTCGAGCCAAAGAACCTCAGTAAAATATTTGTTGAAAACCAAGTAAAAAAACTAGAAAAAAAGTAATTTTAAAAATGAGATATGAATCAGAAAAAATCTTAAAAAATTGAAAAATATTCAATGAAAGCTCATTAAAATCCTGATTATACAAAAATTTCATCAACTGATCACATATTTAAACTATCAAAGTTGGTTTCTAAAAATGAGAAAAACTATTTTTAAAAAAAGTCTCAAAAGACAGTATTTCCTGCTCATCAAGATAAACAGAAAAACCAAGAAACTTTCTGGAATGGATCAAAAAAAGACTGAGAACGGATATTGTAAAAATTTTTATACGCAAGGGAGGGAAGTGACTTTTCAGGTGCAGAATCTCACGAAAAAAGCTGATTTAAGACCGGTTTTTTTTAATGAGAAAAAAGAAAGGAATAAAAGGATAGACAGTGTGGAAATGTGTGTGCATATGCCCCTTGTTCGGATTGGATGGGCGGTAAAGGTATTGGTGTGCGGGGGTGCGCCTCTCGCGCTCATGTCATGGTCATCCAGTGTCACCCGCCACGGCGGCCTCCTCGTCTTGAACTTATTCCGTCTTTCTCTCTCTTTCTCGAAGTGAACTGACTGACGTCGTCCTCGATCAGGCCAGTACAAACATGCCCGAGGGCTTGAGAAAATGTTTGAGAAAAAAAAACTCGTTTTTTTTGTAGATCAAATCGGTTTCCAAAGAGCTCTACTTTAAACCCCAAGTGAAATCGCTTGATCACTTCAAAAGCTCTTTTGCAAATCAGAAAATGAAAATATTGTCTGAGATTTCATAACTTTGGGGGGAGTGGTTCTCAAGAAGAGCATTTGGAAAGGCCTAGATTAAATTGAGACTTCAAGGTCGGCACACCGTATGCGCCTTGTTGAGGCGAGGTGGAGAGAAAGCGAAGGGACCGATTTTCAGTGGGAGAATAGCCAGCCGAAAAACAAGTACACATTACGATTGGTTGATTCCGAGCTTTGAGAGCATCCGGAAAGAATCATCTTGGAAATTTCACAAGAAAAATCCGAAAAAAGTCAGAAAATAAGCTCATAGAGCTTGGAGCAGAACATAAAAAGGACGCAAAAAACTAAAAATCATTTTTTGGTTTAGGTTCCAAAAACTCGTAGCTTTCAGATGTTTCAATAACCTACAATTCCGCCCTTCCTATCGAACAAAGAGACAGAAACTCAAAGAGAAGCATCATAAGAGCACAGAGACACATGTCAATGTTTAATTTATCGTTTATGGGGCACAAAATGGGTGAATAATTTTCATTCATCAAAGCTTTACAGCCCCAAACTTCTAGAAAATAGCCAAATGTGTTTCAGCGATGATCAATGGAGCGCAAAAGATTAGATTTTCAAGTCATTCGATGTCATAATCCAGGAGCCAACGTCTGAAAGGTAGTCAAAACGTATTTCGGAGATGATCAATTTGAAATTCTCAATGGAGCGTAAAAGATTAGATTTTCAAGCCATTCGATGTCATAATCCAAGAGCCAGCGACTCAATAAGAACCACCCTGCAGAACAACGTTATCCATTGAGCGCAAAAAAGACTTTTGATGCTACAATATTCCAGAAAGCCTGTCGAGTCAGATAAAACGTGGGGATAATGGGAAAGAAGCATCAATTGCATAGACTCTTAAATCGCCGCTGACTGTCGCTATCTGCCTCTTGTCGCTTCGGCAAACAATCGTCACGTGTAGTGTAGACTCAAGGGAACGGAAGAACCGACCGACCGACGGCCTGGCCAGTGTCTGTCTGTCGCCGCCGCCGATAATCATCGATTCTCGGACTTTTGTGTGTGTGCCCGTGATCCGACCCTGCCAGGTCATAACTAACCAAACTTTACACCAATCGGGTTCATTAAATGGGAAAAAAATCAGCAAAATAACTGGGAAAAGAGTTCTGAAAAGCTTCCGTTTTTTAGCTCTATACATCTTTCTTTGAAAATTAGTCGGCAGATTACCCGAATTCGAAGTAACTAACTAAGGACGTTTTTCCCCCCCCCCCCAAGGCTTCACCTTTTGCTGAAACTTTGCTGAAGTGTACTTTAGGACCCCCTGATCCCAGAGCAGAAAGAAAATTTCTCGCAATGGATCTCGTTTTTGAGTTAGGACACTTCAAAAGCCCGAAATAGCGCTTTTTTGGCATAATTTGCGTATTTTGCACACTTTGAAGCTCCATAACTCGGAAACGAGATCTATTGCGAGGAATTTTCTTTCAAAAACGAAAAAGAAAAACGTTCTCTAGTAAGAAAAAGGCCAGAATGTGAGCTATAGTTCAGATGAAGATCTATTCAGATCTCGAAAATGTCTAGCCCAAATGAAAAAGTTTCAAAAACTTTTTTTAAAATCTCATTCAGTAAAGTTCAAAGTGGATCAAAATGGGAAAATTTGGGAACAAGGAATAAATTCCAACATTAAAATCGGCCAACGCATGAGACTGTTCTGACAGTCAGAAGTAGTGGTGTCAACGAACAAGTCGGAGGGTCCAGAGAAGCTAGCCGGATTGTCAAGAGAGCGCCGACGGCTATTTCCCTCTCTCTATGTCTCTCTATTCGAAGAAAAGAGGTCGTCGACGTCGTTGGTGTTGGCGGAGGGACGGTGAAAATCGATTTCTCGGTCGGTCTGTGGGTCGAAACCCATCGGACGGTCGGCTGTTTAGATAACGGTTGAGTCCTCGTTTTCAGGGCCACATGTTTCGAATTCCCATTTTCAAAGCTTCATGTTGAATTTGCATTATGAACCTAAGTCTAACACAAAAAAAAAATTGAAGACCCCTTTATGAAGCTTCGTAGGGAGGAAAGTTTCAAAATTGCACAAAGACGTTGAAAATGATTTTAAAAGTTCAAGAAAGGCAAAAAAATTACAAAGATTTTTTCGAATATGAAGAAAAAGCTTTGTATGAACAATTAGGAAATCAAAAAAATCTTTTAAATTTTTAAAAAAAGATCAGACTTTTTTTGTTGGATAAACGATGATTTTTTGAAAGTATGAGATCAAATTAACAAAAATGACACATCCCACCCGGATCAGCTGTCGGTCATGATGCAGCAACGTGTGTAAAAACCAGACTTTCATCGAACTTTTGATCTTTTTCCAATACTCGATTGACAGTGTAGGTGTTACATAATGATGATGAAACCAAAAGGAATGTCAAATATCGAGAAAAGAGAACAAGGCTTTCAAACTTTAAGCTAAATTCGGATAGAGATAGATAGGCCTAGATAATTCCGCTAAGCTTCGCGTTAATCCGCGGCTACTCATGATGACATTAAGAAGATGAGATCGATTTCCAGAGAAAAGCTGGAGGAAGGTAAAGTCGATTCTTCCATATTCGAATAACATTGTTTGGTCGCAGAAGGAATAGCTAAACGTGTCGCGGTCGCGTTGCGGTTGTCCGGCATTTTTCATGTTGAACAATTCTCACAAGGAAGTTTATTTTACTTTTTAGCTGGGAATTTTTAGAAAATGAGCCGGAAAATTTCTTGACAAACAAAAAAAAACGACTTGAAAGTTTGAACCTGCACCACTTTCCCGTTTTATTGAGAACTAAGGTCTTGAAGTCTGGAAATGGTACTTTTAACTGATGTCGTTGGTTTTATTTGATTCTAAGACTTGTTTTCTCGAAAACCAGAAAGTTGTGGAGATTGGGACTTCCAGGACCAGAATCTGGTACACAAATTCTCAAAAAATTCCAAACTGCTAATTCAAATCACCTTCTTTGTCAAAGACGTTGAAAATGATTTTCAGCACAGTCCGTATAAACAAAAAAAGAGCAGCAACAAATAAAAAAAACCGTTTTTCAAAAAAAAAGTTTTTTTAATCAAAAAAAGCTCAAAACTTTTGCAAAAAAAAGGAAGGAGAAGAAAAAATGGGCATTTAGGGCAAAATTTCATTGAGGCGCAAAAGTCGACGCACTTCGAGCGCCGCCTTCTTTTCCTCATCATCAGAAGCGACGCGAGGAGACTTCAGCCCGGCCAAGCACCGAACTGGATCCCCCACGACGCCAAGCCAAAACCCGCGGCTATTCACTCGTTGTCATCCTCCGTTTCCATTCAATTCTACCTTTTTTCTCCCTCTCTCTCTTCTTTGCCTGAGGGTATTCAATCTATAGCAGTTGCAGCTGATCTTCACAACATTTCCGATTTACCGAGAGATGGCCTGATCCAATATATTTGATTTTACCGGGCAAAATAACAAAATCCGTGAGTTGAGTATCCTTTTTGGTACTCTCAATTATTCATTTTCAACCGCAAGGCCCATACAAAAAAAACCATATAAATACGTTGGCGGGAAAGGAAAATTTAAACGTGAAGGTGGGAAGATTGGAGTTTTCAAACCTTGATTTCAAGCCAATACCAGAATGCAAGCCATAAACAAGAAGAAACATCAGAAAAATGACCTTGCTTTTCAATTTCTACTCCCACCAACAAGCCGCGTCGCTACAATAAAAATCAACTACAAAAGGGCAAAAGAAACAATTTTGCAGAATTTCAAACATTTTTCTAGAAATCAAAAAAACGAAGCATTACGACTTTTAATTTCTAACTGTGAAAAACTCAAGTGGTCTCTTAAGAGGTTCCTCAAAGACAACTTGGATAGGAAACTAAGGTGGCCACTGAAACAACTCTTATGTAAGCCACTACCTCCCCTACAGTAGTTTTTGAAGGTTTAAGAGTGACACTTTTGAGTAAAAACTCCTTAAGAGGCTACTAATGCGACTGCTCTAGTGGCCAAAAAAAGGCGAAATTTTCCCAGTAAAGGCAAGTCGATCGAGAGAAATCAAATTTTGACAGGAATGAAAAAAAGCGAAACAGTTCAAACTTGAGGAATATCCTTTAATTACGGACCTGGATCCATAAGAAACTATTGCTTTCGAGGTCAAATTGAAAATTCAAAAGCCGTTAAAGAACCGAAAAGCGGGGTGGTGTCTCCAGCCGGCATTGACCGCGTTGTGCTCCTCCAGGGTGGAGTCCACACGCTCGGAGCAGCAGCAGCAGCAGCCGCAGCAGCAGCAGAAGCACATCAGACACACATACACAAGCACTAGGCCACCGTCTCTCACACTCTCTCACATACGAAACTAATGATTCTTCTCTGCATAATCGACGACGACGAGGACGACGACGTATTCGCGCATCGGGTTACGAGGTCTTCATAGATTCTGGTAATGCCACTTATCTCTGTTAACTTCCTTTCTTGTCGCCAAAAGTCCAACTGAGATATTTTGAATGGGAAAATGTCTATCGATGATAAATATGCATTTTGTTGGACCAAAACCAAAAAATTCTCAACCGGTCAGCTTGAAAACAATCAACAGAAAACCTCGAGGCAGTTTAACATTGCAAATTTTTCTGAGCAAACTCTATGAACTTTTTTCTTAAGTAGTCACCATAAAGAAACTATCTTTTTTGAAGAAAAATCTGGAAAAAAACATTTGATTAATTGAAGGGGTGATAAAATTTCAGAAACACGAACTTCTGAGGAATTCCTCAAGAAGGAAGCTTCGCAACTTCGAAAGAGCACCAGGAAGAAGAGTTTTTTTTTTTGCGGAGCCGGCAAAATGAGGAAGTTTGCAGAAGTGGAAAGAGCGAGGCCAGAGCGGAGGGTCGGGAGTGGGAATCGAGACACAAGTGTGACATTGCTACTCCTTAGCTTTGAAGTGGAATAGATAAAAGCTTCCTGGGAAAGGATTTGTGATAGTTTGAACCAATTTTGAAAATTCTGCTGAATGATTAAAATGAAAACGAGAACTACTTTCTGTCGTTTAATGCGTCTCATGGGCAATCAGTGAAATCTCTTTTCTTTCATTTCAAAATATTGATATCAAACCGACGGAGGCTATTTTCGAGTGATCACTGTGCTCCAGGGACAGTTCAAGTACTTATTTTTATTTTGCGGCACAAGATATCATTTTAAGCCTTGTCGATGTCTAAAAATAAAGAGTTCACTTCCGTTTTTTGATATGTACAATATATTTTTTCATATTTGGTTGATTACGAATAATATTGTAGCAAGGGCGGTGCTCCAAAATACGCGTGATCCCTTATTTTGTACTAGAACTTTTACGTTAAAAAATCAAGCGGTCCGATGTATCAAATCACAAAAAGTTTGCTAAATATCTCAAAAATTAAAGCCTGTAAAAAATAGGATTCGCCTACAGTCTACGGATCAAACTCCAAAAAATGTGCTGATCAGCAAACCAAGAATGAGAGAACTAGGAAATCTCTTCCTTACGATCCGCTGACCACTGACCAACCACTTCCACCATACCGGTCGGCACCACGATAAATGACGACGAGATCTTCTCCAGAATCAGAGAAAAAAAGATGAAGAAAACATATTCGCCCAACAAATGGGAACGGCATCGGGTTGCACAACGTACGATAGAGAGAAAATATTGGAGTTTCAGAAAAACTCAAAAAAAGCCATATTTTATTCGCCACACGGTCCTGGTCGCTCAAAGAAGGCTCAAAAAACTTGCAGATTCAAAATCAAAATTTCTGATAACGAGGAAGCCGCTTCGTTGGAAATCGTTTTTTTTTCCTTTTTTCACGGCAGAAACTTCCAAAAAAGAATTTCTGCGATTTTTTAAACGTTACAGTTTTCTTCAAGCAGCACGTCTTCTAGGATGAGAAAAAAACTAGAAAATTTTCCCAGGTACATTACTTGACTACTATTGCTAAATAATAAGCAGGATTCTTCAAAATTCTCGTCGTTCTCCCAAACAATTTTGAAGGAAACTTAACAGCTACGTCAACCGAAAGAAGACTTACAGAATCACCTTCAAAGTTCAACTCGATAAAGATCATAAAATAAGCGATAGAAACGGCAAGAAATGAGAAGAAAATAAAAGAAATGGAAGGGAGGGAAGGTCGCGCGGGGGGACAGAAAAGATGAAGGAAGATGGAAAACTGTGTCGTCGTGCCGATTCGTGCTCCACAGTGCTTGGAAGCGACGTCGGCCGGCGACGTCGAGGACGACGACTTCGACGATGACATTTCGGCCCTTCAAAGGGCAACGACGGCGTCAAAACGATCATATTGGTCTCGAAAGGACAGTCATGTTACTTATAACTTTGCAATTTTTTTCTAATTACTGGAAAAAAAAAACTTTCTCAGAGAGGTTTCAAGAGGTTCCTCGAGCGTTACTAGGACAGGACACTAAAGTGGACACTACAGTCGTTTTTAGGAGTCTAGAAGTACCACTTGGACTTCTAAAGAGGAAACTATAGTTAACTGACCATTGATTCGATTGTTCAAAACCCTCAAGGGGTCAGTTGACATTTTCCCAGTTAGCTAGAATTTTTTTTGATGTAGTTAACAAAGCCTCACTTTTCAATAACGGCTCGAATCGGAATTTTTTCATTTCTTACCAAGAGAGAAGTGAATGGAAAACTGAAATCATGAAAGGCCCTTAGAAAAAAAAGAATTTCTGAAAGGAACTGTAGTATTGCTGCTTTTATCATGTATCAACATAATATCAATTATCATTGACACCATTTGAGACCAGACTTATATCCGCCACATTCTTGTTATTCGCATCATGGCGCCGAAATGTGTCCGAATTAATATTTTTTTTGGAAATATTAAAAGAAAAAAATTACTGGAGTAATGAAAATTAATGAGTTATTTGAAATTCAGTTGAATCAATTATTCGTCTCGTTCTGACAATAAAAAAAGATTATTTTTTTAAAAAAACAGAAAAAAATCAAAAATTAAATTAATCTAAAAAAAGGCGAATTATATCTTTATACCTTTTTTTATTGAGTTGTATCTTTTTTTATAGAATTATATCTCCTTCGAACCTATCGTATCCACTCACGGCGATCAAATTCTTTCGGTATAAAAACAAGAGAAAAGACCATTCGGAACACGGCCGCCGGACAAAACAAATTGACGAAAGAGGGCCCCTGTAAGGTGACATTGATGAGGTCAACGGGTTGATCTCCATCCAACAACAAAAAACAAGTCTCAGGTCACACACTTCCGCACTATACAGAGGTGCAGGATGAAGAGAAGGGGTGGGAAGTTGGAATAAATTAAAATTATGTACAAAAAAGCCCCTCCAGGGATCGAAATCCTCTCAAATAGTATCTAGAAACACAAAAAAATGTTCGTTTTTTAGTTTCAAACAAAAATTTTTTTATATTAATTTCAATGCTTGTATCCGCGTAATTTCTTTTGTAACAGTAATGTCATGAAACACTGGCCAAACCCTCCTTTATTGAGAACTATCTCGAAAACCGATTCTTTTTCCGCCATCATCACGAAAAACGTTAAATTGAGATGATTACAAGGAATAATGGATGATCTGGAGAGGGATCTGAGGTCACAAAACCAAATGTTTGTCGACAATATAGGCGGGAGCCAAGGTGTGCGAGACCAACCGGCCGTGACCTCCGGTGACCCCGGCCCTGTACTCAAAATGCACTAAACAACACACTTCATTGTATTTTTTTTCACAAATCAGATTGCTGCCAGTAGTTTGAAAGTTCAACTGAAAACTAGAGCTGATTAAAAAAAAATTTTAGTGGTCATTTTAGGGTTTTTTCTTTAACGAGCCTTGAGGAACTTCTTGAAAAACCATTAAAGTTTTTCCCAAAGCTTGAAAAGTTCTAAGAAATCAAATAAATGAGATTTCAAAATTAACCAAAATCCTTCAATTTTTTTTGAAAAAGTGTTATTTCTAGTAATTAAAACATTAAAATAAAATAAAATACTTTAAACTCAACAAAAGTACAGGAGAAGTAGCACAAGAAGTATAGGAAAAAGTTGATTAGGTGGAAAACTTGAGCAAAAATAATAAAATTCATTTTTGAAAATCCTTCCCTATGATAGAAATGAATTTAACTATCAAAAATGGAGAAAAAAAAGCAAACAGACTTAAAAATCGACAGAAAACTGTTCAATTGGTCAAAAAAAAAAATTCAAAAACCTATATTTCAATAGCAAAGTCTAGAAAAAATAGGAAAAAAATTGAAAAAGGTGGAGAATTTAAGCAAAAAAATTAATATGATTCATTTTTGAAAAATATTCCTTATGATAGAAATGAATTTAACTATCAAAAATGGAGGAAAAAAGCAAACAGACTTAAAAATCGGCAAAAAAATTGTTCAACTTGTCAAAAATAATTTTAAAGACCGATATTTCAATAGAGATCTCAAATTCAAAGCCATGAAAAGTGCAGAAATTTTCTTAGAAAATGAGACATTTTGCTGGAGCAAATCAGAAATGAATATAAAAACTAGATGGAGAAGAAGCTGACGCCAACAGATGATGAGGAGGAGGACAAGAAGGACGCCTCGTACCAGGAGATCGAGCCGGCACCCAATGGGTTCTAGTCGGGCGGGGGGCCCACACAGAGGGAGAAAAGAGGCAGGATCGCAATGACCTCCGTGACCTTTTTGACCTCTCCTAACCGATAACCGGGCGAGGAGCGGGGGACCATATGACACCACTTCAATCCACTAACTGTCATGTTTTCATCAAACTAGAGTATCAATTTTCAGACTTCCCAGACATTAAAAAAAAAACGGAAAACTAACCCATTTTCCGCGCAGAAGCCGACCCGCGACGTTGCAGCCTCGATCTCACGACTTTCCCGATCGTCAGCACTGATCCGACGTCGCCAAAGCGTTCTTCTGAGGTCACTGACGACGTCGCCGGCTCCAGAGACTCGTCATCGCCTCCCATGACTCAGAGCTGGAAAAGAAATGCTCAGCTACGTAGGAATTCAATAACGCAAAGTAAACATAGAAATGACGTGGAAAATGGATTTAAAAAAAAATTTGTTCATTTTTAGTGGCCACTTTAGGGTTTTGCCTTTTTAGTGGCCCCTATAGTAGTCGAATTAGTTATCACTTAAGTGACTGAAGTCTAGTGGCCTTTTCAAGAGTCTAAGTTATACTATGAGACTGTGAAAATTCTTGTAGCAGCCGCGAAGACGTAAAATAGTGTCTTACGTATAAATGGTTTTAGTGACCACTTTAGTGTCCGCTCCTAGTAGTCATTGAGGGACCTCTTCGGTGACCACTAGACCTTTTCCCAGTCTTTATTGTTCAATGCATTGTGAGAAAAATAGAAAAGATCATTAAAATATCGAAGTTTGAATGACCATACAAAAAAGGTTTTTTCCAGGTGGATCGCGGCAGTTTAGGGGCTATCTAAACTATACTCAAATCGAATATTTTTTTCGAGAAAAAACTTTTAAAAAGATCATATCGATTCGAAAAACCTATTCTGCAGGCTTTTTGAGATATTTCGAATATTTTAGTCGAAGCAGTGGTCACTTTAGTAGCAGTGGTCACTTTAGCTAAATTTTAATGGCCTTTTTTAGGAATCAAATTGGTACTGCTAGACCTCTAAAAACTACTGCCGTCCCTAAGACGAAAAATAGTGGCTTCCACAGAGATGGTTTTAGTGGTCACTTTAGAGTCCTCTCGAGAAATTCATTGAGGAGCCTTTTAAGGGGTCACTAGCGTTTCCTGGAATAACCTCCTCTGTTATATAGCCTGTGTACCACGACTTTGAATTTCACCAAACGACATTCCGCTGTGCCGCTGCGCGCCTTTGCGAACCTCGATCGCGCTTAAAATTTTTTTTTTCTTTTATTAAGGTACTCTACTTTCATGTGCTCCCACAACAATAACAATCAAATGAGAGTGTGACCTAGATTCGAAAGACGCTTCGCGAACGCACGCAGCGGAACATCGGAATGTCGTTCGGTGAAATTTCAAGTCGTGGCACACAGACTATAATGTAGCGAATCTAGTGGTAAAAGTATTTCAAATCTACAAAGTCAAAGGGACGAATTCGAATATGAGGGACGGTTTGTGTGCATTATGGTGCGACACACAGGCACACACACACGCGAGCATATACAAATCGCGTTCAAACAACCCCGGAGGCGCTTCGAACGCACACAAGAACGCATTCCCTGCAAGGCTTCTTCTGGGATTTCTAGTTTAGTACAATAATGGTAAGTCCTTCCGGAATTGGAAGACGAGATGGGTACATTAGCAAGGGTGATGCGTTGCGTACGCGACGCGGCTTCTCGAAGGGAATTCGAGCTCCAATGTGAGCCACCCTTTTTTTGAATGTTGGTCGTCAATTTTTTTATCTTTTTTTATAATATAAATACATAGTTAAACGAATGAAAAAGAAAAAACCTCCTTTTTAATGAAAGTATCATGAAAAATTTCAATGTACTTCAGAAAAAAAAAGTGAAAAGAAGGTGTGAAAGGAATCGAAAAAAACTTCGGAAAAAAACGCCTTTTTGTTGGGAATATTGCATACTGAACGGGTCCTTGGGACCGGTTTTTTTCCTTTCGAATGAATGCCGAACGCGACAAACTGAACGCCTCTGTTACAATTCGTGAAATGTGGATTTTTTGTACAATTGTTGGCATGAAATGCTTATAATTAAATTTGGCTTCGAATTTATTTTTTAAAATCTTTTTCTGTGAGATTGAGACATTTATCAACAAAAAAAGGACCTTCATCTAACTGATACTAGAACAAAAGCCACGATTTTTCAAAAAAAGCAAAAAAAGAAAATTTTACGCTTTTTCAAGCTTCTAGAAGAAGTCTAAACCGATGAAACTGAGAAAAACACAGAAAATTCCAAATAAAATTTCCCATTCAGAAAGACAAAGCGAAAGTCAATCAATTATTGATGATAACTGATAGATAAACCAAAAAGTGAATCTGGGGTAAAGAGGTTCAGCTGATTAGAACGCTGATAACAAAACAGTTCCAAGGAAATCGACAGGAATCAAGGAATCTGGGTGATTTTGTATATGAGAGGGGAAGAAAATTATCCACTTCAACCAAAAAAAGAAAAAAACTCAAAAAAATTATAAATTCAACTTCAGAAAACCTCTTTCAAATGAACAGACTTCAAAATCATCGATTTCAAAATCAAATTGAGAGCGACAAAAGCCCACATCCCACACAAAATGAAACGAATCGTTGCTATTTTTCATCATTTCCTTCGTTTTAAAACAAAAATCTTGCTCAGAAACCAGAAAAACAGATCGAAGAAATTGAGACAAATCACATGAAAAGCTTTTTCCGATTGCGTCCAGGAATAAGAAGCTTTCATTTGTCCTGGGAGCTTTCAAATGGGAAATCAAAGGCGATTATCGAAACGAATAACTCCACGGAATCATTTCAAATAAAATGCAGAGAAAATAAAACTTTTCTTTTGAATATCACGCAGTATATGACACAGATTAAATCTTTATAAAAATTAAAAAAATTGAAAAAATTTCCAGGAACGTTTAATTTTTTTTGGAAAATCAATTTTCAGAAAGAAAATTTGGTTCACAAGCTTTAGAAAGACAGAAATTCCTTTTACGAATAAACTGGTTGTCTACTCGGATCCGGCAAAAAAGAAAAATCTTATAAATACAAAAAGAATAAAACTTTGGAATGAATAAAAAAATACATACTTTTTGAAAAACACGAAACGACTTGAAACAACCGAGTATAGTTTTGGAAATGCAAAGGTCGACGTTTCCAGGACACGTCAAGCGCCAATTCTCTCCACTTGCAAATTTATCCTCCCTTCTCCTCGGAATAAGGTCCAATTTGCGTTTAAAAAAAAAGGAAAAACTTTCTCACTCGTTTCACTTGTCCGACCATTTTTGGGGGAGTCCCGTGGAGGACAATGAACCGTTCCGAAAAAGGCGAACAGTCTGGGTTCCAGAGGCAAATTGATGGATTCTTTTGATTTTCACTCTCCTAAGTCAGAAACTATGGAGGGATCCCTAAAGGGGTTAAAGAAAAAAAGGTCATTACAAAAATTAGAGATGGCTAAGAAAATGAAAGAGACTGAAAACTCCTTGCAGTTCTGGGAAACAATTTAATAACCCCTTTAGGGTTTTGATATTTTACTGACCACTTGAGTGATTGAAATTCAGTGGCCCTTTAGGGGTCTAATTGTTATAACTGGGATACTAAAAACTACTGTAGTGGCCACTTAGACGCAAAACGAGGGCTTCTATAGGGATGGTTTTAGTGACCACTAGAGTTATTCAGAGCTATTAAATTATGATAACAGATAAAAAAGACCAAACATGTGTAGAATGAATTCCGACTCAAACTGCAGGGGAAAAAAAAAATAAAATCAGAAAATATGAAATAAACGATAAGGCACAGTTCACAAAGAGAAAAATCGATAGAAAATTGAGACAAAAGTCCAAATTCCAAGATTCTTGAGTGAAAAGGCTCTTGAGGGATGTACACACCTGTTGGAGGACTGTGACTGCAAGAGAAAATGGGCGTCACCTCAAATATTTGCAAAAGGCGCACGCGCGTCCGTGCACACACGTTCGAAATAGCTATCCCCGAGGCTATTTTTACACAAAGCGAGCTGTTTTTTTTCTCACTTCACTTGGTCGATGATTCGTCATAGCGTGAAAAGTTGGATAAAAAAGAAGGTGAAGCTAAAAAAAAGAAAAAGCATTCAGTCCAATTATTGGGGCTTGGGAGGTGGTCAAGTTCAAACTTGTTTGAATAATTATAATAAACTGGAGCAAAGAGCCTGGTAAAAACTCTATTGGCTTTTTGAAAAGATCCTCTAGGTCTATTTGGAGAGGAAACTAAAGTGACCACTAGAACCACCTCTATAGAAGCGAAAATTTTGGGTTTTAGCGTCACTACAGTAGTTTTTTTGGGTGTGATAGTACCACTTCTCCCAGGAAACGATGCGGATCGCGAGCAAAAAAGTGGGCGTGGTTGAGGTGTCAAGCGTAATTTTGCCCTTGCGGAAAGCGAGCAAGAGGCCTGCGTTGCGCAAAAAGGGGAAACAATTGAGAGCAAGGTTACGGTGCGTTCTACGTACGTGACCACGCTAAAGTAACACGACCAAGCGTTTTATTTGACGTCTGTTCTCATTCAACTTTTTTTCAAAAAAGTTTTTCTTCTGTTCAAAGTACGTTAAAAGTTGTTACCTTGTTTGCGTGTTGTGAGAAAGTTGGAGAAGATCATTCTCACACTTAGTTTATGAGCAAATAGCATTAATAGTAATTACTTCTGAAGAAGCGACCAAATTTTAATCCCTTAGGTGATCACTAAAACGTCAAACCCCTTAAGTGGTCACTCCATTTTTTTCCACTTCAAATTTATTATCAAGATCCGCTTTTTCCGATTCCCCGACATAATTAAAGAACTTCTAATTAGAACACTGCCAAGTCCAAATTTGTACTTCGCGAGAAAAAAAAACAACCCACCAAAAATGGCGCCCAGAAGCTGTGATGGAGAACTTTGGGAGTCACTTCGAAAAATCCGAGAAAAAAAATTGAATTTTCCAGGAATCATTTTCATGTATCTATGGAATTTCTTACAGCTTCAATGAAATAAAAAAATGTTTAATTTTTAAAAATTTATCGAGAGCTAACAAATTCAGTAACAAAAAAATGCAACAAGATACCCGAAAAAAAGTTGAAAAAAATCAGACAAGAAGCATTGAAAAATACAATTAGAAGTGCAAATAAGTATTATTCGGGTTGCTGAAGCCATTGGCGACTGGAGCAGACTTTCCCACGGAATCCGACCGAACGGCCGCGTCTCGTGAAAATTCGATGAAAACCTCAAAGTAGAAATTTAAAATAGTTTTTAAACTTTATCCACCTGCTCAAGGGTCGTCTGGGATAAGGAGTAATCATCCCAATGAAGACGGTCGGAAATTTGTTCGAGTTTTGCAAATAACTCGGACCAACTGTCCCCATCCCGCCGCAGATCCCAGTTCAGCTGTAGGATCTGCTGCTCCTGCAATTTTCGGTTTTTAAACCCTACGAGCTGGGAAATATTTTAATGGCCACTTCAGGGTTTTGACGTTCAGTGACCACTCTAGTAGTCGAATTAGTGGCCACTTTTAAAAGTGACTAAAATTTAGTCGCCTCTTTAGGGGCCTGAGGCGCACTACTAGACCTGAGTTGCACTACTAGACCCCAAAAAACAACGGTAGTGGCCACTAAGACTAAGAAATAGTGGCCTTTAAAGAGGTGGTTGCAATGGTCTCCAAGTAGTCCTCGAGGAACCTCTTAAGTGGCTATTAGAGTTTCTCGCAGAAAAATCAGACACGGTGCGTCCGGTCTGCGTTACCAAGGCCCGAGTAGGTTCATTATTCCCGTGAAACGAAAATGCATTTCCCAGATCCCACTTTCCAAAATTGAACTTCAAAAAATTATTTCTTCAGTTATTGCGCAACGATTTTTTGCAAAAGAGAGCTCAAACTTTAAGAGAAGCCGAAGGGAAGGTAGATTTGATGGTGGCGATCGTCTCCGGGGCGTCAAGCGAAGACCGAAGTCGGATGATCAAAGTGTAGCCGGCGCCGTAGAGACTCTTAATGTGCTGACAGCTACCGTAGCACCGGAACTTGCCTTAAAATTCATAATTTCCACAGCAATACATTAACACGCCCTACCGTAAACCATGATGGCGAGTTCAGTGCAAAGAGCCTCGCACTCGTCCATGCTGTGTGAGGTGAGCACCAGCGCGGTTCCAAGCTCTCTGACGCGGCTCAGGATGTTCCAGACGATGCGGCGAGCCTTCGGATCGACCCCGGTCGTCGGTTCATCCAAAAGAAGCACGTCAGGCAAGCCAACTAGCGCGATTCCCAGCGACAGGCGTCGTTTGTTGCCACCACTGTAAAACAATGAATAAATAAAAATGACGGGAAGTGATAGTTTTTAGGATCTGTCGCTAACACAATCAGCAGACCCCTTCCTTGAAAAACTCAAATAGATAAGTTTTTCGAACCTGCTTCATAGGTTCCATAGCGCTAGACCGCTAGCCACTACACCACGCTGCCTGCTGGCAGCTAGAGTTAGACGCCGCAACACATTCCCTCCTCCCTTCCCATGCATTTTTTCGTGCAAACTTTGAGGCGCCATAACTCGACTAGAACCAGAAAGGCGCATTTTTTTTTTCAACTTCTTTGGATTCAGGATGTCCGAAAGTACGTATATACCAAGTCTCATTCAATTCCAATACCTCGACCTTTTGCACTTCCCGTGTAAGATAAAGAGAACTATTGAGAAGCCCAAAACTGAGCTTTTAAAAAACGCTCTTGACATAGGAGCTCCTGGAAAGCTGTGATGACGCTACCTGTAGCCCTTGATCTGACGCTTGGCGTACATCCGGATGCCGATGGCATAGACGACGGCGTTGACCTTCTGGGCGATGTCCTTCTCCGGAATTCCGCGAATCCGGGCGAACATGTAAAGCGTCTCTTCGCCGGTCATCTCGCGGATAACGGCGTCGAACTGAGGACAGTAGCCAACGTTGGCGCCGGCCTTAATAGTTGCATTTCTGGCATCGTGACGGTGTTGTCTAACCTCCAGCCAGTTGTCTTTCACGCTCCAGCCTTTGATGTAGGCATTACCCGACGTGATCGGGTTTTCGCCGGTGAGCATCTGAAAACGAACCCGCTTTGAAATTCACTGTAACTCTTGGAAGAGGCTGTCAACTTTTAAAAAAACTGAAAACCTTCCCAGACCCTTTTTCAAATTTGCTCTGCTCCTCCTATTTTGTAAACAGTGACTGAGTAATAAATTTAAAAAAACTACTATACAGCCATTTTGTCATATTAAGTTCAGCGATTCAAAATTCTTAAATCTGTACTTTATAAAGATTAAAACTTCAATAATTCCACTTTACTGTATGAAAATTGATTGAAGACTACTTAAAAATGCTGAAAAAAATGTACAAAAAAAAAGAAACCTTTTAAAAAAGCTCTAAAAAAGTTTCTGGGTCTCTAAAGTTCAGTCACCCTTGTTCAATGCGTGTTTTTACAGTACCGCTCAAAAGTCTATTAAGTTTTGGTTTTTTTGAGGATATCTCAGCAGTACTCATCCGATTTATATATAACTTTCAGGGATTATGTAAAATATACTTTGAAACATATACGGTATACAAATACATGTCCGCAGTCACTGCGACGCGTTTTAAGAATTTTTCGAATCTAATTTTTTTGTTTTTTTATGCTTTTTATTTTTTTATTTATTTCTATTAAATTTTTTTAAAAAGTAATAATGTTGCCATATTTTTTTCATGTTTTCAGACATAGGAAGAACCTCTGAAAAAGGATTTGACTGATAACGACAAAAGAGCCATCGTTGTGGGTCGTCAAAATGGACTGACCATGATGTCGTTGGCAGGAATGTTCGGCGGGACAGAGGCGTGCATTTCTCAGTTCCTAAAGCGTCAGAAAGCTCAAGATGGCTCTACTAAGAGCCAACGCACTGGAAGATCACGTGTCACTGATGGTAATGACGATAGAAACATTTTGAAGACGTCTAGAACCGATCCAAGACTCAGCGTCCCTGCGATCAGACGGGAAGTTTGCTTGAATTCGCCATCTCCGCCATCCGTCTCGACCGTGAAACAACGTCTGAATGCTGCTGGAATCATGGGAAGACGTCCAGTGAACAAACCGCTGATTTCTGAAAAGAATCGAGTCGCCAGGGGTGAAGTGGGCGAAGGAGCATCTCAACTGGACCCGTCAAGACTGGAACAAGATTCTGTCGTCCGACGAAACGGTCCTCCACCATGTTTCACAAAGGTTAATTGGTATTTCGGATGATATCTGGACCCAATTGGTCTACGAACTCATTGAATTCCGTCACTCCCGAAGAGGAGGAACTTGCTTTCGTCGGACCACAGAATCTTGTTCCAGTCTTGACGGGTCCAGTTGAGATGCTCCTTCGCCCACTTCACCCTGGCGACTCGATTCTTTTCAGAAATCAGCGGTTTCTTCACTGGACGTCTTCCCATGATTCCAGCAGCATTCAGACGTCGTTTCACGGTCGAGACGGATGGCGGAGATGGCGAATTCAAGAAAACTTCCCGTCTGATCGCAGGGGCGGTGAGTCTTGGATTGGTTCTAGACGTCTTCAAAATGTTTCTATCGTCATTACGATCAGTGACACGTGGTCTTCCAGTGCGTTGGCTGTTAGTAGAGCCATCTTGAGCTTTCCAACGCTTTAGGAACTGAGAAATGCACGCCTCTGTCACGCCGAACATTCCTGCCAACGTCATCATGGTCAGTCCATTTTGACGACCCACAACGATGGCTCTTTTGTCGTTATCAGTCAAATCCTTTTTTCCAGAGATTCTTCCCATGTCTGAAAACATGAAAAAAATCATATGGCAACATTATTAATTTTAAAAAATTTAATAAAAATAAATAAAAATAAAAGCATAAAAAACAAAAAAAAATGGAATTCAATAAAAAATGCCTAAAACGCGTCACAGTCATTGCGGACATGTCTTTGTATACCGTATATGTTTCAAAGTATATTTTTACATTATCCCTGAAAGTTATATATAAATCGGATAAGTACTCGCTGAGATATCCCCAAAAAACCAAAACTTAATAGACTTTTGAGCGGTACTGTATATATTTTTAGCCGATCTTCTATCTTTTATTTTCCTCATTTGACCATCTACAAGACCTGGAAAGTTGACGTTTTTCCGGCTCCATTGACACCAAGGAGCCCGAAGCACTCTTTTGTGTTCACGTGGAAGTTGACGCCCTTCACCGCGTTAAAGTCTCCGTACCTAGAAGGATACAGTTAATATTAGTAACTCCAGAGTGGTCCGTACAGGGGCGATTTCAAATGTGTCTTGTTGTGTTTCGATTTTCAATCAAAAATTAAGAGACCCTCGAAGGACCACTTGAGCTTTAGGGGCTGAGGGATCAGACCCAAAACCCTTATAAGGACCACATAAATTTTACCCCAATAGGGGCCACTTTTTTGTCCTCTATATAGAATTTCCGCCCACCCCCCCCGTCCTTCTCCTTTTGCTGAATCTTTCCTTTTTATATCGTAGCTTATTCTTTTATATTCGAAAGAGCATCACCTGGTTTCCTAATTCAATTATATTCGAAAAATCATCACCATTTAACAAGATCTGTGGTGAGCAGGGCGGCCGATTGTGGAGACATTTTCCGTGTCTTTTCTTTTTCGGCGATGACGTCAGAATCTTCGACTTGGCTCGCTTTTTCCTCCTCTCCCCACGCAATCTGGCTTTTCTGGAAACAAACACAGCTTTTGTCTTTTTTTGGAATCGAGGGATTTGATATGAAAATCGGCTTTGAATGAGAAAACGGAACAACGTTGTATCATCGGAAAAAATTTGAAAAGGAAATTTTCAGGGGCATGGGAAAATGAAGCCTTGAAAACCCTGGCAAAACTGCAAGCTCTTATGAAAATTTTAATGGCCACTTTAGAGTTTTGACGTTCCAGTAACCACTATAGTAGTCGTATTAGTGTTCACTTGAGTGACGAAAATTCAGCGGCCTCTTAAGGAGTTTAAGCGGTACTACTAGGCCACTAGAAACTAGACGCAAAATAGAGTTTTCTATAGAGGTTGTTTATTGGCCAATTTAGTGACCTCTACAATTAGTCTTCGAGGAACCTCTTAAGGAGCCACTAAATGTTTTCCTAGCTCGTTATTCAATCCTTACATCTTCGTGAGCAACTTTGCCGCATCTCATCATTCTTTTCAAGAATCCTTGAAGAGCGGCGAACTTGTTGGCTTCGGCCATGAGGGTGAAGATCCAGTAGATAAAGCCCTGAAAAATTGAGAAATTAAAAAAAAAGCACGAAAAGTATACCTGTACGATGAAGAAGATGATGAAAACCAGGATGCCTTTCTTCGTCGCATCGAACAGAATATTTTGGGAGTAGGCCCTCTCTGAGACAAAAAAGTTTCTATTTTGCGCCTTAGTGGTCACTATAGTAGTTTTCAGGGATCTAGTAGTACTACTTAGACTTCTAAAAAGACGGCCAAATTTTAGCCGTCACTATAGGGGCCACTAAAATTTTTTCCAGGGATGAGCTAGAAATCTTCACAAAAGTGACACCGTCCTATAAAAGTAACCTAACAATTAACGGAAGAAAACGATTTAAAAATGTAATATAAACCGAAAAAACGTCCTTAAAATCAAAATTATTGGTAAGTTGTACAAGAAAACCAAAAAATTTGTGAAACGAAACAAAAATAACAACTCCAACCATCAGCGTTGCCAAAGCACTGAGTATTTCCACTGAAAAGCGGATTGTTCTTGTCCAACTTCGCGCAGGCCTGACGCGCCATCTCGTTGAGGTAGACCTGGAACCGAGTGTTGCAAACTGTTCCCAGAAATCGATTACCATCGTGAAAATGTTGGAGATGCTGTAAGTGGGGAAGAACCAGGCGAAAACGATCGACCAGACGTATCCGATGTCATCGTTGCTCGTCTGCTGAATGATCGGCACGGCGATCGAACCGATCATTCCTGAATCGCCTTATTGGAGAAACCCTGAGAGCCGAAGTCAACCAGTGACGATGTTGTAGACGACGATGATGGTGAAGCCTTGAGGAGCCGAGTTGAAGAGGAACTGGAACCAGTAGGTGAACGGGATCGCCGTCCAGCCGAACAGCATCATAGCCAACACCAAGATCAGCACCGTCGTGAAGTCTTTCGTGTATTGCTGGAAGATCCGAGATATTCTCTTCAGTTTTGAATGCGAACTTCGATGCTGAACGCGTAGAAGATGATGATGAAGGCGACGACGCGGAGAAAGTACCAGATGAGGTCCCAAATGAACGCCGTCAGCCAGTACATCCAGGGTCGAAGACCGCAGAGCATCTGACAACACTTTAGTCTAACAACACCCAAAAAAAAAATTTGGACTTTTGGGTGATCTTTTCGGTGCACTCCGCGTTGGAGCTGGAGTACCCCTCGAAAAAAGGTTTTTTTTGAGCTGCCGTAACAACTTTGGGTTTTAATGTGAAGAAAAAAAAAACGATTTCCAAAACTTGTACGGTATAAGTGCCCTTATGAGAATTTAAAAAAAAAAGGGGGGGGGGCACCTCTGGTTAGACTGTGGGGTGCACCGAGAGTTCAACGCAAGGTGCGCCGCCACTTTTGTTAGAGTACAAGCTTTGACGAAATATTTTGGTTTTTAACAAAAAAACATGCCAAAAAGTAGAGATTTTCCGATAAACCAAATAGTTTACATTTCAGGCTATAATATTATTTCCGCCTTTTTTTATTAAAAAAATACCTGCATGTGCTTGCTTTTCTTCTTTCTCTCTCGGATCAAGAACTGCGAGTAGCCGGCAATAATGATAGCCATAGCCACTGGAAAAATCTTCTGGTCAACAAAAACTACAAAATATTCTACCGATGATGCCGTAAGCGATGATGAAAGCTGCCCCATCGCTCAAACTCTTGTTTTTGAGCGAATCTTGAGGAGACGGCGGGAGTGGGTGGTTGATCGTCTGTACCATGATTTATATTTACTTACGCATGGAAATTTTTATAATTTCATGAGCGACTTGCACATCAAATTTTCAAAATTTTGAAGTGATGTTCTTACAAAAATTACATTATGAACGCGCTAGCGTGTCACGATTTTTACTTCCCTCTGAGCTACAGAACCCTTCCCTTCGAAATGCGCGGGTTTTATCTGTGCATGCGCCTTTAATATAACCGAAATTCGGGCCAAATAAAAGGTGCAATGCAGCTTAACATGAGTCTGTTTTCTGTTTTATTAAAAAAACCGTTTTTCGGCTTTTGATGAAATTTTTCGACCCCATTAATGATCCCTAAGCTCTCTTTATAAGAGCCCTAAAACGGTTTCGTAGAGGTCCCTATAGGGGTCCAGCTCTAAAGGGTGCCTCTAAAAATTTTGACCCCTATAAAGGCCCTATTTTTGTCTCTTATAAGGGCCCTTAAAAAGAGGCCTTAAGGGTAGGGTCCGCAAGCCATTTCTTCAAAAACGATCCAAAAAAATATGTTTTTTTCACACTGTTCGATAGAGGAGACTGTCCATTTTCATAATCCGTTCAGTTTTTTTGAAAAAAAGGTCCACTAAGAAAAAAAGTTATGGCCAGAAAACTAGCGCGCGCGGCGTACAACTGGAGGCAAAAATCTCACGGTTTACCCGCTGCCGCACGCTTTCTTTTTAATTGTTTTTTTGTGCGTTTTCTGGACCGTTTTTAAATCGGTTTTCTGTTCTGAGAGGTTGTCGGACTGAGCCTCATGTTTTTGGTATAAATCTTTTTGTATAACTCTCATAAGAATTTTTTTATAAAATATCAAAAAAACTACTTAGAAAAAAAGGTCAGAAGGAATTTTTCAACTTATTTTTTTCTTTTTTTGCTAATCAGAAAAAAATTATTATCATTCGATTTGGAAGAAAGAAAAAAATGAAAAAAATGATGTTATTTCGAAATAAAAACAGGAAAAAAAGCGCAATTTGACTCCGAAAAAAACGGCTCCTGCAACATTTAAAATGGCGCATTGGTGTGTTTTGACGCAAACACAGCTACGAATGCTTTGCACGAATTCTTCCAAAATTTCAAAAAGTTGCCATTTTTCGAGGGTTTTTCAAAGCCGTTATTTTTTTCGCGTCGTTAGATTTTTTTCATTGATAGAGTTTTGAACGCTTAATAACATAATCAAAAAAATATAGACGCGATCCTATTCTCTCATGCGTCAACGAGGCAGGCGAAAAAAAGGAGGTTTTGGTAAAAATTCAAATATAATTTAATTCGCTGTCCCAATAATTAATTTCATTCTAAATTTTTTTATTTTTTTGAACACATTGTGAGTTTTTTTAAATCAAATAAAAAGTATACCATGTCGCTGAAATTTTTTTCGCATTTCAGCTTCAAAGTTTGGTGTCACTTTACAAGCTTTTAATATTTTTTTCGCGTCGTTAGATTTTTTTAAAAAACTTTTTACTCGAAAAAAATAAAGAAAGTGTTAATATATAACATGCTCAAAAATTTAGAAGCGTTCCTAACTTGGTTTTCTGAAACGCGACGATTTTGTGAAACTTGTCAGTTTTTCGTGTTAAATCTTACTTTTTTTCGCTTATTTTTTTGAAAAAAATACATAGTTTTAAAAAAATATTCAGTCTTGTAGAGCGTTGTCGATTACATAGATTAACAGAAACAGTTCCTTTTTAAAGTGGGCCTTTAGCTAGTATAAACGCCTCAAAACCGTTTCTGCAACAAAAAAATCGTCATTTTGGTGGCATGAAGGGGCGGGGTTTTGCGCCCCCTACTTAAGGGATTGCTAGGAAATTCCTAAATGTGGGATGCCGAATCACCGTAAACCTACACAAAGCTCTTGTGCGCTCTACCGCACAACTTTTCTGAGCAGGATCCATTATCGGCCTGAAGTGTTTTTACCCCAATATTTGGTTGGTAACTTATTTTTTTGTTTTTTTAGATTTCTCGATTATATTCAAGTTTAATATTTTTTTATCAAACGATAATCTTTATAAAACTAAGGAAAGTAAAGTGATCGTTCCACACAATACAACACTTTTCTTAAAAGGTTTGTAAACTTTTCGAATGATTTTTTCCAACAATAATCACCAAATCGTACCGTAATCGAGTACTGTGTCCCTTTCTTCAACGACAAAGCCATCGAATCGGCCAAAGAGACGCCCAAGGCAGGGCTCGTCGTGGCAAAGTTGTTGAAGTACGTCTTGATCAAGTTCGTGTTTGAATTGTTCAAACTGAGCGAAAAGGTGTCGAAAGCAAGTGGATAATGGAGTCCGAGGCCTCGAGATCCAATCTGAAGAAAGCATTTACAATTATTCTCAAACTTGGTCTAACCTTGTTGGTCGCGTCCAAAATGGCTTTTGGGACATCTGCCGCGGTATCAACGTCCATCGGGGGCGGTTTGAAAGAGTTTATCGTGTTTTTCACGATTCTGGAAACGTTACGGACTGGTAAGAGCTAGAAAATCGATGAACAACGGACCTTTTTCAGGAAATGATGAGAAATACTAATTCATAAGTTTATAACGATTTGATATAAAAAAATTTTTTTAATGGAACAATGACCCAGTAAAGTCCGTGGATATTCCAAAAATTTTGTCTATAGTCTGTTCAGATTTCAAATCTCAAGTCCTCGCTGAAGCTCCGCCCCCTAATAGTGCGATGAACCAATCAGAGAGCGAGCCATCCACAGAGCTTTTTCGAATGACGTCATTCTACTTGACATTAAAAATCTGTACAAGCTATATATATGATAAATCTCTTTTTTTTTAAATCTCAGAATTTCCTACTAACACGTTAAGGCTTTGTCCCATGTAGTTTGCCGTGGAGGCGATGAAATGACCAGAGGAATCTTTGTCCGAGAAAGGGTCGAGCAGAATGGGCAGAGCTTTCTGCTCCTTGACCGATGGGACGACCTGCGATACGGAGAGCATCAGGGCCATGTAGGCGATCTTGAAGGAAATCCACAGTAAACATTGGACATTTTCTAGGATACCGGGAAGGCGAACTGCGTGATGAACAAGGTCCACTTGCGGAAGAAATAAATGGCGCGTTTGATGAACATCGCCTTGGCGTGCTGTAGCTGAAGTGCGACGCCAGTGAGTCTCTCCGTTGCGCGGAGGTCTTGAAATTCGAATTTCTTTGTATTTTCAGAAGTATTCAACTTTTAAGTTCAGGATCGTCTTGAGCTAGCAACTGCTCGTCGCTGTTCTCTTTTCCGTGTTCTCGCTCAAGGAAACGTTCTTCGGCCTGGTCACCTACTCTGAAGCAGAATGAGTTGGAACTCGATTCAAATAAAAATTCAAACTTCAAGAAAACTTCCTCCATCGTGGTGATCGAGACACCGAAAGACGTGATTCCCAACTGAACTTGTCGTTCTTCGAGACTCTTGAACATCGACGGAAACCTGAAGAACATGCAAAAGAGTATCAAGCCGCTGTTCAGACCTGCTCCGACGAGTGGCATTGAGCAAGAAAGTCGCCTCTTGGCCGACGAAAGAAGCCATTTTAGCGTCCGGAACGAACTCTCTGATGAGTTGGGCGGTTCCGACGGTGTCGGCACGTTCTGGGGAGCCGTAGACGATCGTCAGGTGATAGCCGTCGCCGTATTGCGACTTGAGGTACATTCCCGAACCGCAACATTCCAACTGACCATGAGCCATTATGGCGATTCTGAGGAAACATATTTATTTATCAATTGGCTAGATGTAGACATTGGAGAATCAGCTAAAAAATATTCAAAATTTTTAAAAGACCAAAATGCTGGGTAAAACTGGACTGAAGAGGTCCCTAAAGGACTACTTGGTGAGGACATTAAGGGGCCACTGAAGCCACCTCAATAGAAAATTTATTTTGTGTCTTAGTTGGCACTTTAGTAGTTTTTAAAGTCTAGTAGTACCACGGACTTCTAAAGTGACCACTAAATTTTTGTCACTCAAGTGGTCACTAAATCGACTACTGGAGGGGCCAATAAAATGTCAAACCTCTGAAGAGGTCACTGAAAATTGTCCCAGGGTAGTAAAAAAGTTCCTTCTATGAGTATGGTTCATTAAAGACTGACTTTAGACAAAAATAAATCCTCGACTCGCTCAGCGAGACAATGTGCGAAATGAGAGGTTTAGACAAAACTAGAAGTTTTCTAATTATTTTGATGTCTCTAAGACTTCATCGGTAAGTGAAAAAGAAACATAAAAGTCAGAATATTCCTATTTTAGGAGGATGGATCAAATTGAATCTCTGTTAGTCTTTTTCAGAGACTTTGACATATGCCTTTTTCAAAATAAAACAACCCGTACCGATCTCCCAACAAATCAGCTTCCTCCATGAAATGTGTAGTCAGGAGAATGGTTCTTTGGGCTTTCTCAGCTTGAAGCAGGGTCCAGGTCTCATGACGAGCCCCCGGATCCATTCCTGACGTCGGCTCGTCGAGCATTACAATCTTTAAATAAAATATTTTTACTAAAAATGTTCTAAGGTTATCGTATTCTGCTCCTATGAAATTTTGAAAAAAAATCTCGAAAAAAGTGCATTTGAACATTCAAAAGTCCATTGTTGTTGACTTCAAACTCTATAAAGTTGACCTTAAATCTCGAAAATCTTTAAAATCTCCCACGATTTTTCTTCTCGGTTTCAAACCTCAGAGCCTCCAATCAGAGCGATAGCCAACGAAAGCTTGCGTTTCTGACCACCGGATAAGGTTCCCGCAAACGCATTCGCCTTGAACTCTGAACCAACACCATTAGAATCGCCAAAGTGGTCAGTAGAGGGATTAGGGAAAAAGTCCCTGCGTAGGAACGCTGTAGTGATCCCTACAGGAGTTCGGAGATCAACAGTGTCGACAGCGGACAAAAAAGTGTCTTGCATAGGGGTAAAATTTTAGGTGGTCTCTGTAGATGTTTAGAGTCTGACCCTTAAAGCTTGAGTGGTCAAGAAAAACTTGATTAATTTATGCTGTTGACATTTTCTATTCAAATATCACTAGTTTATTGAGCTTATCGTATGGAAATGTTTCTCAAAAAAATTCTACAGTAACCCATGATGGTATGTACTGAAAAAGTTCTTAAAATTGAACTTCCTATCGATTGATATACACTATGACAAAAATCGACTAGCATGTTTTCTATATGGGACACTAACCGAAACCCCTATAATGACCAATTCTGCAAGGTTTAGGAGCCCTTATAGGGGTTAAGTGGTTCCTAAAGGAGGACCCACACGTGACCATAAGATTGCCTCTATAGGTACCATTATGGAGTTCCTAAATATGGCGGAAAAAAAGTGTTCCCTAGAGGGGCAAAAGTTAGGTGGTCCCTGTAGAGGTCTTGGGTCTGACCCGTCTGGCCCTAAAGCTAAATTTTTCCCTATAGCGGCCCTTTTTCTATTGTTCTGATTTGAAAGTAGCAATATAGACCTGTAGGGTCCACTAGCACGCTTCCCTAGAGTGGCCACTTTTACAAGCTCTACTGGTCTCTATAGGAGATTGCAAAGTGGTCCCTTGAGAGAAACTTACAAGAGCCCCTAAGAGTGCCTTCATAGTGACCACCATGGCGTTTCAACATGGAGATTATAGAAAACCTAACCAATCTTCAGCTTCTCCAAAGTATCCATGGCGTCTTTCTCGTCATAGGGTCTTTCTTTCAGTTTGCAGAAGAATTCCAAGTGTTCCATGACGGTCAGGTTGTCGAATAATGTGTTGTACTGGGGGCAAAGGCCCATTTGTTTGCGGATCTTTGGCAAACTCTCGCGGATATCATAGTCATTGATATAGGCCGTGCCAGAAGTCGGAACACCGACGCCTAAGAATTAAAAATTCTCTTTTTGACTTCTGAACGTTTTTGATAACCTGTCAACATGCTGAAAGTTGTACTTTTGCCTGCGCCGTTGTGTCCAAGCAGGACGGTTATCTGGCCGGGGTACATTTTCAGGTTCAACTTTTCCACTGCCTACGAATGGGACGATTAAAATAAAATACTGCCAAGAATGATGTCTTTGAAAATATAAAAATAGCTTTCCTTTTATTGATCAAACTGAAAATTTCGAAGATCCCTCTGTAAAGCACAAAGGTTCTCAGAAAAACTAAGCTCAAAATTTGAACTTCAGTTTTTAGTTAACATTTTTGTGAGCTTTTTGAAATTAAAATATCAATTGCTATTTTTTTAGGCCGGAACTTTTGAACCAAATGTGATAGAAAAGCTTTTTTTGTTAGTTTTTTTCAACAAAGAGTTTTTTTCTATTCCTCAATTTCCGCTGTAGATTATCGCTTTAAAATTACCAAATCAATAATTATAAATAAATAATAACTGTTCTCTACAGTATCAAATTTTTCGAAAGTGAGAAATTTTAGTAGCCACTTTAGGGCTTTTGACGTTCTGATAGCCGGTATAAAAGTCGAGTTAATGATAAATTAAGTGATTAAAAAATAGGAGTACAAGTGGAAAACCACTCAGACGCAAAAATAGTGGTTTCTGTAGAGCTGATTTTAGCGGGCACTTTAACGTCTTTTTCGAGAATTCTTTGAGTAACCTCTCAAGTTGCCCCTAGAGGTTTTTCCAGACACACACAGATTGTCCATTTTCCTCAACCAACCTTCTTCTCGCTCAACTTTCCAAAGTTGCAATCAAAGAGCTTCTTGAAAAACGAGGTACCATAGACTTTGTTCAAGTTCACCACATTGATCGTCGGCTAAAATTGCCAAAATTTATCCCTTTAAATAATTTCTACCCACCTTCAAGCTCGGCTCAGCTTCGAGTTTGACCCACGACTCATAATTGACCGTCTGACGTTGATTTTCCGCCGAGTGAGTTTTCGACGCCGAGTAGGGGAACCAATATGACGGCTGGGTGTTCAAGATATTTTTCAGAATCAAAATAATCGAGCACCAAAACGAAGAACCAAGGCTTCTGGGGGACACCTTCGCCGCCAGGATAAATCGCCTCGAAATACCAGGTGAGGAGCATCAGAATGAGCCCGTCAATGACCAACATGATCATCAAGTGACCTAGGGCCAGTGCGTTGTCTGGGGTCGGCGGGGTGAAAAGAAGACTCCATTTGAGTCCGTCGGCTGAAATATTGGACATTTTGCAAAATGAAAAAAGTTATAAATAGTATCTAATGATAGGAACTTTTCGAAAAAAAAAAATCATCTTTCAGCCAAGGCTGAGAGAGCAGCAAGGATATATTTACTGATAGAGAAAAAAAAATGAGAAAAAGGTAATTTAAAAAAATGATGCGGTTTTTAGGCTTTCTGCAAAAACTTTTAGCGACCAATATAGGGTTTTGAGGTTTTAGTGGCCCCTGGAGGGACCAAAATTGGATGGCTTCGTTAAGAAACTAAATGGCCTAGACCCTGAAAACTACTGTAGTGGCCACTAAAACGCGAATTAGTGGCTTCTAACGAGTTGGTTTTAGTGGTCACTTTAGTGCCCTCTCCAAGTAGTCTCCTGAGTGTCCACTAGAGTTTTTCTTCCCAGTTGATTCAAATTAAAAGAATGTACATGCGAGTCCACGAATGAAAACCCCTTTTCTTGTAACTGGGAAAAACTCTAGTGGCCATTTAAGAGATCCCAAAAGATCTACTTGGAGAGAATTTAGTCACTTAAGCGGCCACTAATTCGGCTACTATAGTGGCCACCAAAACGTCAAAGCCCAAGTGGCCTTCAAAAACTATTCCAGCCTTAAATTCCTTGCGACTTTTCGCCATTTTGCGACTCGGAAAAGCACCTTGAGTCTCATATTGAGCCAATAAAGTCACTCCCAAGCCCATGGCAACGTCCGGATTGATACAGTTGACCATCCGAGTGGAGAATGGGAACGGCTGGGCCTGGTCTATTCCGCTGAAGAAGGCGTACCAGAAGTAGAGAAGCATCCAGCCAACAACCCCCATCATTGTGCCGGCGGTTCCTTTTTGAAAAAATTACGATATTCAGAAGCATTTCATGGGTGATACCTGATTGCATAAAGGTCGAAATCAAGAACGCAAAATAGAGGGCACAGTAGGCGTAGAGGAGAAAGAAGACGAACATCACAGTCATATCCGATCTGATATTTAACTTTTTGATGGAAAATTTGGACAAAAATATAAAACTTTTTTGAATAAATTTTTTTCTCACATAAATTACCTCTTCCTAAAGTTCACACTGGAAATTTTGAGATTCAAAATTATTAGAAACTCCTAGTACTAGGTTTCAATTTCGGTCTTATATCCTCTTATTCTGGCAACTTATTTCGAGAAAATGAACACAATTATACTAATAAAATTTTTAGTGGCCACTTCAGGGTTTTTGAGTTCTAGAGGTCACCATTGTAGTCGAATTAGTGGCCCCTTAAGTGACTAAAATCAAATGACTTCTTACGAGTCTAGGTGGTACTAGTAGACCCCGGAAAACTCTGAGTGGCCACTTAGATACAGAATATAGGCTTATATAGAGGCGATTTCAGTGGCCACTTTAGTGTTCTCTCCAAGTATTCCTCGAGAAACCTCTCAAGTGGCCACCAGAGATTCTCCCAGCAAAACTAACTTCAGAGCGACGAAATGAAGTAAAACAGTGAGGATAATGACAGCGAGGATCATCTTGAAATAATTGACAATGAAATGGGAAAGCCAGTTCACCCATTGTGACATTCCCATCACTCGCATGTACTCCTGAAATAGTTCATCCGAGGCTGCTTTCGAAGATTCAGAGGCCCGTCCCAACCTTCAACCGATTCTCCTTCTCCATAACAATCGTTCGAACGATATAAATGACGCTGGTCATATAGGAGAAAATGATGATGATGGGGATGAAGAAAACTCCGATTTCGATTATTTTGTTGGTATACGGAGGGAATGGATAACGGCCGACCTGCAAATCCTCGAATTTCGAGATTAACACGATGTCTCTGCACTTTTCAAAAAGTAGAAAAAAATTTTGATTTTCTGATTTCGATAAAATTTCAATCAATGTGATAACCCATCATCAGAAATGCGGACACAACTTTTTGAGCCATTTACTTCTACTGTAGCCGGGTTACGGTAGGGAGGTGGGCACCTGCGTATCTAAGTATTGAAGAGTTTTTACTAGGCAAGTGATATATCAATCGATAGGTAATAGAATTTTAAGGAACTTTCACAGTATATACCATCTTGAGTTACTGTAGAAATTTGCGAGTTACGGTAATTTTTGGCTTTGGAAAAGTCGGTTGTCGGTCACCCTGGCCGTCGGCATATAATCGCATCGTAATTACATGGAATATCGATTGATATTGCCTAGTAAAAACTCTGCGATTTTCAGATACACAGGTGCCCACCTGCCTACCGTAACCTGGCTACAGTAAGAAGAAATGGCTCAAAAAGTTGCGACCGCATTTTCTGATGATGCGTTATCACGCTGGAGAGAGTTTCATAGAAATCAGAAAAATAAAAAAATTTTTTTGTACCCCTTTTTGACAGTTACAGAGACAGCGTGTTAAAAACTTATTTTTGTTGAATAAAAATAAAAAAACATGAAAAGATTTTAACAGTATTTCTAATGAGGGTTCGGAGCAGTTCAAAATTTCTAACGGTCTAGAAAAAACTCTAGTGGCCCCTTTGAGTGGTTTCTCAAGGGTTGCTTGAGAGGACACTAAAGTGGGACACTACAGGCCTAGTGCTACCGCTTAAAATCCTAAAGAAGCAACTAAAATCTAGTCACTTAAGTAACCTCTAATTCTACTAATGTAGGGGTCAATAAAACGACATAGCCCAAGAGAAAAAGTTTCACAGAACGAGAATATGCTGGAAGCGAGGGTTAACACTTCTGCAGTTAGCTCAGTTGGCTGCACGCGCAAGTCGTTTCTAGTCCGGCACAATAAAGATTTTTTTTTCCCAAATTCCTCTCTAAAATCATACTTACCATAACAGCGTCTTCAATCGGATCAACGACTTCATTCGTCAAGATCTGTTTAATCGCGGCGTCAACCGCTTTCTGTACCGTCATATAGCCCTCCTTCCAATATCCTGAATGGATAAAGTCAATCAATTTGATTTTTCCGGGTTTCGAAACAACCTGGATAGCCTCCGTCGGCGTCATTCGGATTGATTGGGCCACTGACGTATTGCACTGAAAAGATCTGGCTAGTGTCCCATGGAGCATAGTTGTTTCCAAACTGAAAATTAGATCTTAAGAGCGTTCATGCTGACGAAGAAAGACCAGCGGGCGTACCCGCATTATGACCGTATAAGCCCAGCTGCTAGAACTTTTACAACAACTAAGGGCCTTATTTAGCCAAGTTGGATCTCAGGTTTTTGAAATAAACATAACTGGGTCACCTATTTCGTTTTATCAAAACTAAAACAAAAATAACCTCAAAAACGCAGGTTTAAAACGGGTAAACCCTGTTGGGACAGCTGGCCCAAATAAAGGAAAGCACACAATTAAAAAAAAAGTCGATATTTCAGATTTTGCTGAGCTCCTTTCATCATAAATTGAGTTGCCTTTCTCGTGGTTCTGATTTTTTATTTGAAAATTTGAACAATGAAGTTTTTGGATTCGTTTTTTTGTTCTAGCAAAAAAACAGCCCTTCTATAATAACTTGTGCGCAACTTTGGTTAGCGAACTTTTTTTCTACATTTTTCCATAGATGTATTCTTCAGACTCGCCTTCAAACTTGGCATATTTAATGGTTCTGCGAATAATGGACACAAAGCAGAAAACGGAAAATGAACTATCTTATCATTATTTCGATAAGGAGGCATATTTTATAACTACGCCGATGTTGGTTCAAATTTCCTGGGCTAAATCGTCAATGGAATATTATAACCAACCGCCTGAAGACGTCGGTTTGTATTGGCCAACCGAATCGTGTAGGAAAAACTGCTTGAAGATTGTAAATTTTTGGAAATTGAATCGTCGAAAACGATCCCAGCTGAAGATTAAAACTTTCAAAGAAATTTTAAAAAGTCTGGAACCTAGCAAAGGGTTTCCGCATTGATTGACAAATGAATCCAGCATGTAACTGACCATATCATCTTCGTTTTTGAAACCTTGAGTTAAATTCAAAATGTATCATTCTCAAGGGAAGAAAAACCTTTGTAGTCCATTTTCACATCGATTCCCACGGGAGGGAAAAAAATTCCCCGCGCTTCGAAATAAGGCATCAACTTGCTGACGACATTATCAATCATATATCTACTCTGAAATTCTTTTAAAATTGAGTCTAAATCAGCGACACCTTAATAATTTCCATAATTTTGTCCGTGGTTGCTGGGTTCGCTGGTGCGTACGCCAAATCAACTTCTGAATTCATGAAAAATAAAAAGAATCTTCCAATTAATATTACTTATCAAAAAATTAGTGTCTCCTGTTTTTGTGACGTTGAGAAACTGACATTCGGGTTGAATGTTGAAAAATATGGACGGGTCGATCATGGCGCCCTGAAAATGACAAGATTCATTGATATAGTGCAAGTTTTTATTGGAAAAAGTAGGAAAAGAATAAACTTACATTAAGATTGGATGTGTTCGTAGGCATGATTAAATCGTAACCACTGCCGGTGACTGCCCAAGTTGGGTACACGGTTTCATCGTGAGCGTTTTCAAAAGAGCCGGAGAACTGAAAACATATACTCAGAAATCTCACGGCGTTCTTTTGACGACGCCCCTTACGGAAATTGTGGGAGGCCTCCCACTATTTCCGTAATATTCGGCGTATTTTGTGCATACACACAACGACGCTAACTCGCACACTCATAAAATTCGAAAATTTTTTTTCCTTCGAAAAATAGCGTTTTTTCAAACTATAGACGTGAAAAAAATTCATCCTTTCACAATTCCTTTTCTAGTTGACAAAAAAACATTTGGGTGAAAGTTTTCTTATTTTTTGAACACTTTTATCCCTTTTCACCCTCAAAATGAGTTAAAGTACTTTTTTTTTCAGTTACCAACGTGGAATTTTGTGCCGAAAATGGCTTATTGTGGTTCTTTGTGTTTTTCCCCACTCATTAAAAATCAAAAAGAAGTTTTCTTTACAGGTTTGTTTAGTTCATCCACCGAGTGGTTTTTTTTCTCCCCTGCAACATCGCCATACCATTCTGATGTTGCGAAAATGAAGGGATTGATTGACTCGAATAAAAATTTAATTTGACACTGAAAAATTTTTGCTGAAAGGATTTTTGCTTTAAAAAGGGAAAGTTTGTCAAAACCGAGCAGTTAATTTTTAAAATTAAAAAAACAAAAAAATTCCTTCGCATTTTGCTGTCACAATGAAAAATAATTTCCGTAAATCAGAACCAAACAGATAAAGATACAACTGAAATGAACAAGAAAAAAATCATCTGAAGCACTTGAGCAACAAGAAATTCAAACGTTCGCGCGCATCGCCTCTACCGTAAAGTGATCTTAGAGTGGTCCCTATAGGGGTAAGAAGAAGAACAGCCTCGACAAAGCCCGAAAAAGCGGTCCCTATAGGTGTTTAGGGTTTGACCCTTGAGTGCTACAACAAAATTAATAAATGCATTAATGAACTTTTTCATTTTTCAAAAAAATTTAAGCTTCCTTCAAATTATGGATCTCTCTAAAACCAGAACCAAATTTTAAAAAAATAAGTTTAGGAGTGAATTTCAAAAAATTTTTGAGAGAAGATACTGTCAAAAATACAGAAAAGGATTCATGATACCGATAAAAAACATTCTTTTGTGTTGAAAAAAAAGAAATTTTCAAAAAGTCCTGTTTTTTTAATAGTTTGCGATGGATAAAAAAATAACAGTTGCCCTTTGTGAACGTTCGGACTTCATATCATTCCATTGATATTTGAGCACCGGTAGCGAAAATCACTGTGTTCGCGGTTCGAAACCCTACCGTAATATCGAAAATATAGAAAGAACTTTCGTTTTCACCGTCTTTTTTTTTCTTAAATTTCAAGAATAACGAACCCCAATCATTGTACCAAATGACGCTCCCAAGAGGATAAGCGGGACGAAAAACTCGAACAGCGTGAACCATCGTGACCGCCACTGTTGTAGGATATTTTTCCATAAGAGTAGTCGCAATTGCGTAAATGCGCCCATACTTTAAAAAAAAAAGGAAAAAATTGGAACTCTAAAAACAACCGAAAACATAACAGAAAGAATATGAATCAGCGTTAATCCTTGATGAAAAGAAAAACTCGAGCAAAAAGAAAATATTAATAAAAAGAACCGAACCTTGGCAGAAAAAATGTGCGAAGTGTGAATCAGCTCTTGTCATATCGCGTTTTTGAAGTTTCCATTAAACAAATAAATAGGGTGGAGGCAAAGAAAGAGAATCGATTTGAGTTATTGGAAAATTTATCGTTATCAAATTAATAAGGAACCTCTTTTTCTAATTTAACTTACAGCTAAATGAAATCTTACCGAACCCTAATAATTTTAATTTCTAAATGAATATACGTTCCAACCCAATATCATAAGAGATCGCAAAAAACTCTAGTGGGTCCTATAGGGAGAAAAAAGCCCCTAGCGAGTTATCCTTAAAAACCCCTATAGGACTCACTAAACTTGAAACTCCCTTTAGAATCCAATTCAGCTTTTCACAGGACAAAGAAGACTCAATCCAACTCGAAAACTAGAAATAGTTAATGTCGACTTTAACTAGAATTTAATAATAGTTGAAACGAAACCAAGCAACGCGGGATATATAAAAACTCAGGAGAAGTGGAGGACACCTTTTTTTCTTGCTGGGAAAATTCCTCACATTATTCACATTGAGCAAACACGAGGATATCATGTTCAGCTTTTCACCTGTGGTCTTTTGGATTTGCAAGGGCGACTCGGGTAATTTTATGGGGTAGGAAACTCTTTACTAAAACTAAGAACAGGAATGGAAGCAGGCAAAAAAGAGACGTTCAAATATATCGTGTTTGCCATTCAGCGCTGGCGTCTTATACGTTTGCACAGTGAGTCTGTCCTTATCAACTTCTTTTCATTTTTTTTTATCACAGTTGAAACTTTTCGGCTGGCAATAGAGCAGAGAACCCCGTTTATGGGCGGCCATCAAATGATTCAATTCACGTCATCTTGCGAATTTCGGTACATTTTTTGATGAATAATCCGACTCTAGTTTGCGAAATTGAGCTTGTCTCGACTTGAAATAGTCTGACATGTCTGCGCTCTCTTCTCTTAGACTGGAGAGATTAGATAAAAGTCCTCAATTAGCCTAAAAAATCCCGTTATTTTAAAGGCGCAAGCCCAGGGACAGACCTTGCGTATTAAAGGGGATGGGTTCCGTATCTCGGCGAAAAACGTTAAAAGCTGACGGTGAATATGTCAGAGCGTATAAACTCGAGAGCGCGAAGAAATTAAAATTAGATTCATTAATTTCTTGAACAGTCATACCTGTCTGCGCTCTCTTCTCTCTCGCCGCCGCTGTCAGAAGCACGTGAGTGCAGAGAAATCAGGATTTTCCAAGGCACGTGAATGAAACTCTAGTTTCAATTCCTGGCCTCTTATCAATTAGTAACTCGGCTTCCGCGATGACATCAAAACGAAATATCGAGCTGTTATCTCAAGGACCTCCGGCCTCGCCTTGGAAATGCCCATGACGCAGTCCCCCAATTTCTTTCTGATCTCTTCTTTATTTGCTCTAGCTAGACGTATTTGATAGCTCAGAGGTAAACTGAACTGAACACATATTTGTGGTTTCTACCTGGTTTAACTGCTTTCGGAACATTTTTTGTGTTTGCGAATCAAGATTATACTCTATTTGTTCAGAATTTCGGTCGCAATTGAAATTTTTCGAAGCTTTGCGATCGTCTCGGGATTGGACTAACCGACTCAAAAATGAGCGGTTTGCTCTCACAGTTTTTGACATCCTAGCGCGTAACTCGCTTTAGGTCCGTTGCGCGTCAAGCCGTTCCATGTGCGACCTTTGAGCTTTCAAGCTTGTTTTTAAGTGAATCAAAAATTTTCTACTTTAAAAAAAAAATCGTCATCATCCTTTTTTTTGGAGCAGGGTCGTTTTTCATCAAATTAATACCTTTATCAGCCCAAAATCATAAAAAAGAGTTACAGTGCAAAGGCGTGGCAGTAGTGATTTTCCTTCCGAGACCCACAGTAGGCCGTTTCCGAGCGAACAGTATAGACAAACGGATTCTGAAAAAAAAGTTCAGAAATGTTCGCTTACTGGGAAAGAACTCTAGTTAAAAACTCTAAAAACCACTGAAGAGGCAAAGACTACTGGAAGATGACACTAAAGGGACCACTACAGTCACCTCTATAGAAGCAACTAATTTATGTCTTAGTGGCCACTAAAGTAGTTTTTAGTTATTTAGTAATAACACGCGTACATACGAAGAAGCTACTAAACTTTAGCCCCTTAAGTAATCACTAAAATGTTAAAACCCTAAACTGGCCACTCAGGAATTTTCCCAGTATGTCAGAAGTTTCATGGGCCTTCAAAGATTTTAACATTACATTATTTTCCCAAAATCTTCTGATTGAATTTCAAACCAGTAAAAAAAAAACCTCCGAACAGACGACGACGTAGCGCTGCAAGTCGTGCCGCTCAAGTGACCACTGAAGGGCTTTGCTCGAGTCAACGGCATTATCTTTCATGCTCTGAAGCAAGAATCATGACGTGAAATGCATGGAGCTCGACCTCGATCATGAGCTGTTTGAGCTCCGGAGTGTTGCACAGCATGTCTCCGTCTTTGCTCACTATGCCAGGAAACTCGAGCTGCCGTTCTTCTACCGATCTTAAGAAGTAATAAAATACACAATTTTCCTTCTTATTTCACTTTGAAGCTTCTTTCAAGAGCTAAAGTAAGTGCAGTTTCAGTCAGAAAAGGCTCAAAAATTAAACTTGACTCTATTTTCAATAATATAACGCTTGTTTAGAGAAAATGCCCCAAAAAACATTGGCTGGACATTTTTTGACAAAGAGATATAGTATTTTGTAAATGGAGCGGCTTACAAAAGTTGTTGAAAAATAGAAGAAAAATAGGTTTGCTGTGAAATTTTTATAAAAACCTACTGAAAACCAATTTTTCTTACTATCTATTTTCAGAGGTTGAGACAAATTTGTGACCTAACCTCTTTCAAGACTAAAATCAAGTGACGGGGTTCAGAATGAGAATAATTTACTGAATTAAGTTTTTCAATCTTGGAATTATGAACTTGAATGATCCTTGAATGAGTTGAGGTATTGGGAAACAATTTTGTTTTCCAATTGAGCTCAGTATTATTCGATATGGAGCTCTAACTCTTTCCTTTCCGAAAAATTTTGAAAAATTTTTGAGTAATTTTTCTGAATTCAAGTCGTTGTTAGACCCAACACAGATCCCCGCTGCAATTTTTAAGCTAAATAATATAACTATCTCTTCCGCGGAAGCTGTTCGCGATCTAGGCATTCTTATTGATAACAAACTAACATTTGAGCCTCACCTTCGTAAAGTTATAGCCTTATGCAAACTAAAAAGTAAACAAATCATCAGAGCGTTCCGCGCCCTGTCTCCCCGCTCTAATGAGCCGGATTTTTCTTACTTACGTTGCTCCCTATATGGACTACTGTTGTGAGTTGTTCAGTCCCCCCCTAGCTTCAGAACTATCTTACACCCTCGAAAACATCTTCCGTCAATTTACTCGCCAAACATTCATGAGATCAAACATTAGGTTTTCTAGTTATGAAGACAGGTTAGCTCAGATTAACACAAACTCTCTTTTTAGAAGACGAGTCGAATTTTGTCTAAGAACACTACATAAAATCTATATTAAGGAGAGTCATTTGCCAGTTTCTCACAGTGTTTTCAGGAGATCAAATTCGGTACGTGCTCCATCACGTCTTATCAGAGTAGGGATTCGTTTCGAAAATTTCTTTGAGACGTTCATCCCTCTTTGGAATAAACTGGCTACATTGGGAAACCTCAATGTTTCTCCAGATCGTTTCAGGTCTTTGTTACTATCCCTCGATAACAATTTCCTTTTTGGATCTATTCCCAGCAGACTCCGTTGAACCAGGTACCCGTGCTTTAGCCCTACTCTAATCCATCTTATGCGCGTCTATATCATTACAAACAATTAAATTCCCCATTCACCTGTGCTACACTGTGTCATAACTTATAATGCTTTCTTTTACCATTCACTTATTTTTACCTTTGCGCAATCCTCACCTCTTATTCTTTTTCATTACTGGCTCAGAGGCTCGTGAGGGCCTCAAGTGCCTTTTATTTATTTATTTCAGGCTTAATGCCAAATTTTTCTCTTTTTTTTTCTGTACATGTTATTTTGTTCTGCCTGTAAATAAATAATATTATATAAAAGCTCAAAACTTGGAAAAATGGTCCTATGAGCATATACTGTGGCTACTGACCATTTTATCGGCAGAGTTCAAGGAAAAAAATGACTAAATTTCCTACCAATCTTTTCGAATAAGCAAAATGATTCGTGAAAAATGAACCATAGCCGATTCTGCATCAGTTTGTCACGCTTTTTCCTAGTTTATAGAACCTTTCCGGGAAGCTTCCCTTGGATGAGCCAGCCTGTGAGCCTGCGCCGTTAATATACCGGAAATTTCCGCCAAAGGAAAGGCGCATGCAACTATTTTCATTTTCATGAGAGGGAACTGTAGCTCGGAGGAAAATAAAAATCGTCACAAGCTGGCGCAGAAAAGCCTATGTGGAAAGGTTATATTTTCTATCTGAATAAAATATGTTTTTCCTTTACAAAACTCAGAGTTATCGCTCAAAAATGAAAATCTGGTCACCTCTTCTTCCGGCCACAACCGCCGCAGCTCTGCATCGGCATGGGGCAACAACCGCCGCCGCCACCAAAGAAAAGGGCCGAAGCCGCCGAGAAAAGGAAGACGAGGCTGAGAATTGTCAGGTTGTGCATTTGTCGCTTCTTGACTCAGCGTCGAGAAGGCTTTTATATACCTCGGATCGTCGTTTCGACAGGAAATAAGTAGGGCCGGCGCAGACCATTATGTTGGAAGCATATCGAGGCCACGAGCCGCATTTTTGTTGCAGATGGCGTCGTGTCCTCCGGTACCTTGAACTATGACGACCTGGCTCATGTCAATATTTTCGCTGAAAATGAAATTATGTCTCAAGACTTCACGTCAAAAAATGGTGGAAAAAAATTAGTCATTTTCCATGGCTTTTCGTTTTACGAAGAGCGCTCTCTGATTTAAAATGTCCTTGTCCAAGATGCCCGAGACGGAGTTTTTAGTTAAAGACAAAAATATTTGTAATCTCGAGAAGAAATATTCCGAAAATATAAAATGAAATTTTTCTTTTTCGAAAAACACTCGAAACGACCAAAAATTGAAGGCCGGAACGTCATATATCACACCATATATATTTTTGTGTACAAAAATCTATTTCGAAATTTATGGAAAAAATCTCGAGACGAAATCGCGTATAGTGCATCCCTGGTTGAAATCATGCCGATAGAACTATACAATTTTGATTCTCTTGAAAAGGAAAGGTTGCTTTGGAAAGGTTGAAAGGTTGGGTTTTTTAGAATAAAAAAAAACGGTTCTCGGGGGGAAAAAAGATATCGACTCATTTCACGACACTCATTCTCTGTTCAGAAAGACCTTGAAAATATTGAGAAAGGCTTTTCACCTAGAAAGCTTTTTGAAATCTTTTCAGCATTCAGCAAAGAGCTTCAAGTCTCGAGTGTCAATAATAAATAAAACTATGAACATTAGACCTTTTCAACTTCTCAAAAAAGGAAAAATTCCGCTAACCAATGATCATTTTCCTTTAAAAAAAGAGATAAAATTTTTCAGGTCATCTTCGTAATTGTTTTCATCTTGAAAACAGACCGACCCTTCATCATCTCATCACTGACAGTTGCAAGACTTATTCGACAACAAAAAAAAACGAGTTTCATTTTAGCAAAAGTTATTGCGACGATTCGCACAGTATTCAACCATTTCAAAGAAAAAGAACAAAAATTGAAAGAAAAAAGTTTATATTGTCATAATAGGTGAATTGAGCAAAAAAACATAACAATATACAGGAAAAATTTGTACAAAAAAGAGAATTTATTTTCCGAGGCCGAAGATTCCGGGTCCGTAGCCGCCGCCCAAAAGTCCTCGGCCGTAGCCACCACCGTACATGCCACGGCCATAGCCTCCGTACATTCCACGACCGTATCCGCCATACATTCCACGACCGTATCCGCCACCGTACATCCCGCGACCGTAGCCTCCTCCATAAGGTCCACCGCCATACATGCCGCCGCCGTACATGCCACCTGGAAATGGAAAGCTTGAAAAAACTGAAGAGAAGAGATCATGAAAATGAATGAAAGAGCAGCCTGTAGAAGAAAAAAAAACAATCTCTCTTTTCTAACTTCTTTTTGAGATGCCGCGGACCTATTGACTCTAATTTCCAATTTTCCAGTCAATTTTTATTTCATTGTTAAAACTCTGTCTATTGCACCATTTCTAACTCTCAAATTTTGTCTAAAAATTCAACTTTTCATTTTCTTTTTCCACGAAGCGGTAATTTAGGTACTTCTTAGCTTCGAAAATGTGAAGATCTTTATTTAAATGAGCTTTAGCACCTTCATTGTTTTAAAGTCCTGACTTATTGAAACTTATTTTCAAAAAACTGAGAAAGTCTTTTCAATCTGATGTGAGGGCAATAGTCTTCCCAGCACTACCAACTGCTCAAAAGTCTCCAACTTCTTTTCAAATTTACCTCCGTAACCATATTGGGCTTCCGTTAAGGCGACGACGGCGAGAAGGACGACGAGGATCGAAACAAACTTGGCAGACATTATTGTTTTCTGAAAGCCGAGTTGTTAGCAAAAACAAAAGGATAGGAGAGAAAATGTGATGATGGGTCAATTTCAACTCATCTTTTATATGGCGACCCGGGTGGGAGGAAGCGAAGAAAGAAAGAAAGATAAGAGAGTGTGTTTGGCGAGTTGTTCTCGATTCAAGGTCTGGGTTCGTCTAACCGTATTCGTCATGATCTGAAATGAAGTTCGAGGTGTGAATTTGGTCATTGATGATGGTGTTGATGTTGATGCTAACGGATTGAACCTTTAGATCGAGTTTTGAGATATTATCGAAAAATGGATGATAAAACAAAGTACATCGTGTTTTCTTTTCAAATATTTTTTTTGTGTAACTGACCTTTGTAAATAATTATCCACCTTCACGTTGATCTAGCCGTCTTCGTCATTATCTTCCGGAGAGGGGAATGAATTTGGCTATTTTTGATGATACTGACAAAGTGAAGAACTCTAACTAAACTTTGAGCATCAAATACATGAAAAAAATCAAAAAAATTGATGTCAAAATAACTCCTTGGTTTTGTACAACAGTTACTCCTATTCTCATTTCCGGCCCGAGTGGTCGCACTTCATTTTCGCTCTTGCCTGAAAGAAAAAATCCGACGTCCGCCAGCCCTGGACAAGCTGGGCGTCGAACTGTTCCCACATGGAGAAGCAAATGATCTTCAGAATGTTCATAACTCTTCTACCATAATTAAAAAGAAGGCGATGATCAACCCGCAGTTCTTGACCAACGACAGTTCCGTGAACCGACATATCACTCTTCAATTATCCCATGATTCAGCAGTGAATCTTCTGTTTGATGTGTAAAACATGTTGTTCGGCATCATTATTTTTTCAAATTTTTTTTGCCTATCATTTTCTAGGTTCGTCAAACAGTATGGATGTGCAGTTGGTGTCTGATGATGTTGATGCTGACGAATTCAAAAATTCATGTTGAACCTTGACGTCAAACAAACAGACCAACTTATGGGGAAATTTCAAAAAATTGATGTTAAAATAACTGGTCTTTTTATTATTTTTTTCAAATTCTGTTGTCGTATTTGATATTCTTGAACACCTATCCAATAGCCCTTAAAATTCGTTTTGGAAGTCGAAAAGTTTCCAACTCGAGAAAATATTCAAAGATTTTTTTTTTGGTAAAAATCATTTTCTTGAGAAAAAAATTATCACCTTTTGTGGACTCATAACTTTTTAATTCAACACTCCCTTTGTAAAGATTGTTTAGTTCTTTTCAAGAAAATCCCAATATTTCAAATTCATGAAGTTTACAAAAGACAGATGGTTATATAACTGATAAATTTTCGTTTTTGCGACATTTTCAAAGGTTCTTTTCGACTTTTCACACACAACTTTTTTTTTGTTTACTACTCCCGTCGAATTCCAACTTGCAGACGAATCAAAAAGCAACAAACTTTCGGCGGAAAGCACGCCGCCGCCCGAGAAACGAGAGAAGAGAAGATACGTTTTTACTTTGTTCTATCAATTAGGTGTTTACTCCTTGGGCAGCTAAATTGCTTTTTGTTTTTCTTCAGATGCAATCGCATCTCTTTTCTCTCAAGAGCTGAAAAAGAAAAGAAAAAAGGCGGAAATCGCTTTCGGAAGTGTCAGACTGTCATTTTTGATTAAAACTTTGTAAAAAAAAATTCTAGAGGGTCAATAAACAATATTTTTTCAAAAAAGAAATGAAATTTACTGGGAAAACTCTAGTGGCCACTGAAGAAGTTCCTCAAAGACTACTTGGAAAGGACACTAAAAGGACTACAAAAAAAAACTTCATAGAAGCCACTATTTTGCGTCTTAGTGGCCACTAAAGTAGTTTTCAGCGCTCTATTAGTACCATTCAGGCTCCTAGAGTGGTCACTAAAAAACACCTACTTTCAGGAAAAAGGTATGCTTACTCTGCTCAAATCGACAACCCCCGCAAATTTGGTTTCTGCAAATTATTATCCCAGTAAGTTCTACTGATTTATCGAATTTATTTCTAGTTCTCTGCATTTCAACTTATTTCTGTAGTTTTTTTATAGAAATTTCAAATCAATTAGGATCTTGGAATGAAAAATTTAAAAAGCTTTAACGGAAATTAGCTTGACGTAGTTGTAGGTTTGGAAGAAATTTATCTCAACAAGGTTCATCTAATTCTCAAAATTTTCTATTTTCAGTTCTCTTCAAGAGAGCTCCAGTAACAAAACTTCTCAAAAAGCCCTTCAAAAAAATGAAATAAAATTTTTCTAAACAACAATTCATTCAGACTTTCCACGCAACTTGCAAGATAATTTGATTTCTCAAAAGGTTCCGCAATAAACCGCGACACGGCTTTCTGATTACCTCAAAAAGTTTTCTCATGCTTGAATTCCTACGTTTTTATTTTTAGTTTTTAGGATTTTTTTTGTAGTTGAATCATTGGTTATGCAAACTTTTCATGCACTTTCTCTTTAAAAAGTATTATAAATATCAGTGTATTTTAATCTTAATAAGCTTTTCATAGAAAATGGTAGACGGACGGTCGGTTTTCGCTGTCGAATTATTCATTTTGAATTTCATCGGCAACTTTGGAAACCTCCACGTTCTTTACTTAACTATTAAACGACCAGAACTTCGAGGAAAATCAGGTGAAACTTGAATCCATTAACTAAAGCTCGCCTTGGAGGTGAAGCTACCAAAATTAATACAGTAATCTCAAAAAAAAAAACTATACTTTTCAGGCCTCCTGCAGTGTATATTATCAACCAGCCATGCGATTTGTCTAATTTCTCAACTTCCAAACGCGACTTTATACCTTTTGGGTGTGAAACTAATCCGACATCACTGTTTTCGAATGATCATTCCCTACATTTTTTTTATCAACTTCCAATGTGTGATGATGCTGATGATGTTGCTAGACATCGTTTTTCTTCTAATCGCCCCACTAAAGTATGTTTTTTCTGTACTAAAATTGAAAAGTGTGTCAAACTTAGGTACAAGCAAATGAGTACCCGTAAATTTTTGGCTACGATGCTGGTGCTTCCAGTGTTATGTGGTTTATACTTCTTAGTTCGTGGAGCAACGACTTCCGATGGAGAAGAAGTGCATTTCTGCACCCCTCCCACAGGAGGTTCGACTTGAAATTTTCAATGTTCTGTGAGAAATTTTAGTGGGCACTTCAGGGTTTGGACGTTTAAGGGGCCACATTAGCAGTTGAATTAGTAATTACTTGAGAGATTAAAATTTGGTGGCCTTTTTTGGATTCTTATTGGTGCTACTCAAAATCTGGTTTCAAAAACTGCCGAGGGGCTTTGTGAAAAAAGTTATGGACCCTCAAAAGTCGAAAATTTTAGTGTTTTCGATTGAGCTTATTTTTGATTGAGCTTGTTCAGTGTTTCCGATTGAGCTTATTTTTGAAGCGTCTTTAGATCTTGTCCAGGCTTCAAAAATTTTTTTGAGAAAAATGTAATAGTTTTTGTGACTAGAGGCCGAATGCAATAAAGGGGAAAATAGTTTTCCGCCATTTTCCTGATTAGTCTTTTTTAGACTGAAATTTTTTCTTCTCTATCAGAATCTTCTTTTTAACAAGATTTGAGATCAGCGTGAAAAACTACATCTAGAAAACTTGGTCTCATTGAGAGATCCCACTGCGACCCGAGACCATTCCCTGGTAAGCCGCAAAATAGTGGCTTTTATAGAAGTGCTTAAGGTGGCCATGTTAGTTTCCTTTGAAAGTAGCCCTCGAGGAACCTCTTAAGGGACCAATGAAGTTTTTCCTAATTTTTCACTATTATGGCATCTTTTCCAGCGTTGACCAAGTCTGTTAGTATCGAATGGCTGGCGACGATGTTAGCGACCAACACCGTGATAGTCATTGTTTATTGCATCACCTTCGCCCTACTACACTATATAGGTAAATCATCAACTTTACAGTGATCCTTAATAATGAAAAAATCCAGGGAAGAAAAAGATGCTGGAAAAAGACATGAGTCGAGTTGCAAGACGCCTAAAAGTCCTTCTAATCGTCTACATCTTCTCTTGGTACTTGAGTGTGTTAGGAGCCAATTTTCTCCGCTTTCTCTTCGTTGGAGAAACCCTGGCGTTTCTTCAAATCAATATGGTTCGTTCAGAAGTTCTATCATTCGCAGAAACAATTTCCAGGGTATTTTCGTAGAAGTTTGCTACTCACAGTCGTTCTACACGATTATGTGGCGATCGAAAGAGTATCGACGCGCTTTTTGCGACCTCTACCCAAGGATCTTCAATTATTCTTCCCGTTCAAAATCTCTCATGACTGTTCCACTGTCCAAGTCTTCGATTTCTCGGAAAAAGTCCCAACAGGCAGCAGGGAGAATTGCCAATTCTGTTAACTCCCATTAAAAGGGCTAACATTCACGTGTAATTTTCATCTTTAAATTTGATCTCAAATGAAAAGTTCTGAAATCGCCCTATTCACAATATACGAAAAGCCAGAAATATATATTATCCGGAGTTTTTCTTCCCAAAAGTCAAATAAATTTTTTTTCCTCGATTAAAAAGGTTCAATCCAGATCTTTAAAAAAGTAATTTATATTTCCTTTTTTTGACTTCTGTTGTCTGTAAGCTCCTACAACCTTATTATATTTTTAAAAGAGGGGTGTTTAACCTTTTTTTAAAACCATCATAAAATCCAGAAATCCAATTATTTCTATAATCTTCTCTATTTTTTTCTTTTGCAAGTGTCGTGTTCTTCGAAAAAAAGCCTATCAATTAACGTAGGTCTAGCTATAATCCAATGCAATAACACGGAATTGTAGGAAAAAAACTAGTAAAAATCGCCATTCAAACACAACTTCTTCAATTAAAAAAATTATTTTACCATTGCGATAGAAAAACAAGGGAATCATAGACTATAAATTACAAGGAATAACAATAGATTTGTATGATCTATATAAAAGAAACCGGAAACCGCTCATGAGATGTAAAAAAATGGCGTTCCAAGTGGTCCAGGAGTTTTATACTTTATACACTGGCGGTTTTGTTGACAGGTTTGTTGAAATGTTATTTTAAAAACGACTCTAAAAAATAAATTTTCCAATTAATATTCAGGTACTCCTGTGAAAACAAGACCGAACTAGAATGGTTTCAAACCGGAATGAAGCGACCAATAACTGGGTTATATCTCCTAATTTCTGGAACACTTTTCGAGGTTTCTCTTTAAAAAACGAAGTTTCTAAGTTCAATTAAGGCCGCCTATTTCGTCATTCTGTACGCCATGAAGACGCCGGAACTTATGAAGAACAACAGCTTGAGAATCATGTTCATTATTGGATGTTACGATGCCATTTCTCTACTCGAAAACGCATTCTATCCTGGTTATCAATGTATTGTCGGCGGGGTGTTCTGCACGCATCCGCTCAGCAGCTTATTTATGGGCAACTTCGCTTTGAGTTAGTTCTTTTGAACATTTTCTTGTGGCGAATTCAATCTGGAGCACAAAATAATACTGGGGAATTTTTGGTTTAGTGTTTTGACGTTTTAATGGCCTCTATAGTAGTCGCTTTAGCGGCCAATTAATTGACAAAAATTTATTGGCCTCTTCAGGAGCCATTAGACTACTAAAAACTACTGTAGTGGCCACTAAGACGTAAAGCAATCTTTCTAGGGAGGCGGTTTCAGTGGCCACTTTCGTTTTTTCTCTAAACAGTTCTTGAGAGACCTCTTAAGGGGCCACTAAAGTTTTTCACAGTATTTACAAAATAAGAGGAAAACGCTTCAAAAACGTTGGGCTTTGTCCACAATCCGGGAAATTCTCCGATATTTTGATAAAATGTGAACTCTCCTTTCAGCTATGTGGTTCGCTGCAAGCACGACTTGCGCCTACTTGGCTCTGGGTCGCTATGGCGATATTACAGGCAACCGCTACATTGCCGTGCTTTTCGAAGTTTCCACTGCTAAATAAAAAAAAAATCAGAGTTAAACTTCCAGAATAAAAATCGAGTTACAATGGGCTTGGTGTTCATACTGATTTACGCAATCGTCGGCGTCGGAATGACTGACACCATGATGTTCAACACCGTTTACATGGCTTATCTATTCAATCCAATGAATGGAAAGGTTCCTTATCAAACAAATTTTTTTCTCAAAATGTATAAGTTCAATGAAATATTAATCAAGTATAGAACTAAAAAAATTTTTTTTTCATCATTTTTTTATCCAAAGGAGCAAGAGGAACGGGAAAAAAACGCTGAACTGCTATATCGGCAAGTTTGAAAAATTATTCCATAGATGCTATTTTTTTTTTTAGGAAAACCAGTTCTAAAACGCAATCTTTAAGAAAAAATGGTTTCCTTGTTTCGGGAATATTTATTAGTAGAATTATTATTAAAGTGTATATTTAAAGGCTGAAACCTACGAGTACTACAACCCCGTTCAAATATTCCAAAACATATTCGTTTTCTTCACCATCACAACTCTTCATATAATGATCGTCCTTCGGATTCGTCGAGATGTTCAGACGTGGCAACAGAATTCCTCGTTTCAAAGAAGTGTATGTCAATTTTTCTTTTTTGGAAAGAAGTTGAAAATCCTTCAGGTTACTATCCAGTCTCTACTGACCTCCAGCCTTTACGATCTCTCAGCAATGGCCTACACTTACATAAACTATTTTGTCGTTCCAGACTGGGTAATCGTCGTCTGCCACCTTGGTTATCAGCTTAGTAGCGGTAAAACAAATTGGAAAGAGAAACAAAAAACGATATGAAATCTGATTCAGGCGTACCGTGCTTCATCTACATTTGTATGAACAAGACGATTCGCAAGAATATTATCAAAATGATCTCAGGCGACGCCGCAAAAACTTCCAAAGTGTCTGTTTCTGCTCTTCAGTAAATAATGAACTTGTTCCTTTCATTTATATGTTGTTCATTGAATAAATTTTATTTATACTTCTGCGAGGAAATGGAAATTAAAAGAAATCTTCAAAAAATGAATCGGGAGAAAATTTTCTTGGATCTTGAGCACTATTGATAGCGTTTTTATTTTAATTTAAAACTATTCGAAATTTTTTTGATTTCGGAGCCTCATGAAACTTCTAATATTTTTTTAAGCTGAAAAATTTAAAAATATAGGAGAATTATCACTTCGAAAAGAAGAGCCCAGGATTCTCCAAAGTTCTTCGAATCGTATCATATCTATAGTTTAGCCTAATCACATCATCTTTTTAATGTGGGATATGTCATTATTGGAAAAAAGTCCCGTAGATTAACGATATATAGAAAACAATACCTTGTCTGATTGATATAATAGTTAAATGGCAATAGAAGACAATGGAAATCGGCATAAATAACATCCGATAGTAATATGGGGCTATATAATCTCGAACTCGTCCATTTTCGTGAGTAGGACCGCAAAATAATGTTCGACCATGTTTCCGAATTAATTACTCTATATTCGGGCGGCACTGTTGACAGGTAAGTTCAAAGAGTTTGAAATTCAAAAACGGAGTTTTTTAGATACTCCTGCGAGAATAAAACCGAACAAGAATGGCTTGAGACCGGCACAAGGCGTCCTTTTACTGGCATGTACCTCATCATTTCCGGAACTATTTTCGAGGCTCTCTTCATCTTGAAAATCCGTAACGGATTCTGTTTCTAGGTTGCCTACGCCATCATCCTCTACGCAATGAAAACGCCAGAACTGATGAAAAACAGCAGTTTGAAAATCATGTTCATTATTGGGGTCTACGACGCGATCTCCATCCTCGAAAATTCATTCTATCCCGGCTATTTATGCATTGCCGGAGGGGTTTACTGTACTCATCCGCTGACGAGTCTGTTCTTCGGGAAAAGCGCTTTAAGTTGGTTCTTTTTAATTAAAAAAATTTTAAAAAAATAAAAAGCCTGCGTTTCATTTCGAATTACTAGCGCAAACCAACTATTTTCATAAAAATATTTATAAGAATCCAATTTCAATGAGTTGATGGAATACTTTTTAAAAAAATGTTGAGAAATGTTCAAAAAAATTAAAAAAACATATTGATGAAGTCTATTTCAACTTGCTTTTTCAATAAGTTTTTTTCAACCAAAGCCGTCGGTTAATAGACAAATTACAAAAATTCAAAGGCTTCCAAAAAAATTATTTCCAGTCTTACAAAAATTTCTTAAGCTTATTTTTTTAAGCAATAAAAAAAGTTGAGAAAAAAATATTGTAAATAAAATATTATTTTTTTATCAAAAAAATCATCTTTTACAGCAATGTGGTTCGTAGCAAGTACAACATGCGCCTACTTGGCTCTTGGGCGATATGGCGATATTACGGGCAATGAGTACATCTCCAAACTGTTCGAAGTGATTTCAAAAGTCCTTGGGAACAAAGTCCATCACTGTTTTAGACCAAAACGCGTGTGAACATTTGCCTAGTACTAATCTGGGTCTACGCAGTTGTGGGCGTCTTTGTAACCGACACCATGATGTTCAGCACCAACTTATTAGCCTACATCTTCAACCCGGGGAATGGAAAGGTCTGAACCATGCTGGAATTATTCAAAAGAATAATGTTAAAGGCTGACGAGTATGATTTTTACAACGCGATTCAAATATTTCAAAACATGTTCGTCTTGGCTGTCATCACAACTCTTCACTTGATTATTTGCCTTCGGATTCGTCGAGACGTCCAAATGTGGAACCAGAATTCATCTTTCCAACGAAGTGTAAGTCAAATTCTGTCAAAAGAATGAAAAAAAAGCTTGATTAACAACTACACAGGCTTTTATTCTTGTAAATCAATTGGTAACTTGACCGGCTTTAACAGCTTTTTTTTTTAACCAAGCGGAAAAATTTCAAAAGTTGCTTGAGACCTCAATAAAGACCCTTTCTTCAGAAAAAACACACTAAAATCTATTATTTTCTCTCAAAAATTTCCAGGTGACAATACAATCTCTTCTGACGTCTAGTATCTACGATATTACGGCGTTGGGCTACACTTTCATCAACTACTTCGAAGTACCTAGCTGGGTGATCTTCACAGCTCATATTGGCTACCAACTGAGCAGCGGTAAATGAAACAGAAAATATTTTGAAGAAAGAAGCTAGGCAAGTTAAAAAAAGAAACGAAATTTTAAAATAATGCACTGTGAACATTTCTTGTGATCCCTCGAGAATTTTGACGTTATAGGGGCCGCTGTAGTAGTGGATTTAGTTCCCTCTTAAGTGACAAAACTTTAGTAGCCTCTTCAGGAGTTTGATGATCACATCAAAATTTATGTTGCGCTACTTTCTTTTCCTACTTCTTCAGCTCAATTTTCACATCATCATGATTGAAAAAAAATTCGGAACGTTTCTTTAGACTTGAATTTGGCGTTCAGGCGCCCCATGCTTCATCTACATCTGCATGAACAAGACGATTCGTAGAAACATCGTCAAAATGATCTCCAGCGACGTTCAAAAAGTCTCTCACATCAACAGCGTCTCAACGAATCATCAAAATTAGAATATAATACATATATGTAGTCATCCTCCTCTTTTCCAATCAAATTTTGTAACATTTGCTTTTTAGTCCATTCATAACATATTTTTGATCTCCCGTCTTCCCGGAACCTTTTTCAGTAGAAAGCTGAGGATTAAAAGAGCTTCTATTAATCTTGATTCTGATTATGTTGATAGTCTATATAAATTTAGGAGAATGAAAAATTTCTTTGCTGTACAAACTTTAACAACACCTTTTTCAAAGCTCATTTAGTCCGAGATACAATTATTATAACGTATCTGAATTGTGCAGTTGAAAAAAAAATTCCTTTTTAATTTCACGTCAAATTTCCAGTATATTCGAAACATTTCATTGCTTAACATTTTCAAAGCGTGAAAAACCCGTTTCAAACGAAAATCCCAACATATTTCAACTCACATCCTAGTTACTAAAACCCTTTTACAATTGAATACCGCAATGAAGGCCGGAAAGACGACGGCGGCCCCGAAAATCGACGTGAAACTCAAAACAACGAGCATCGTGCCAACCTGTCAAATATAATAAGTGGAAAAAATTAATGCTCAAAAACTCAGAGTTCTCTGAAAATTCGACAAAGCTTAAATTAATTAGAAGGAAATCCTAAGAGTCGTATCCAACATAATGAATCATTTTTGAAAAAAAAGCCTATTCCATTTTATTGCAAAAGATCCAGGAAATGGATTTTCAAGGCCTTCGAAAGACCAGTTGGAAGCTTTCAATCAGAAAATCAAAAAATGTTTGGCCAGGCTTCAGAAAATTGTAATATGTGAAGGAATCTTATTATATTGGGACCGAATAAAAAAATCTATTTTTAAGGAAGAAAAAATTCAAATACCAAGTTTTAGGCCCACATATTTAGATGAGAATTTGAGAATAAAAACTGTAGAAAACGACAGTTTGTGAATAGGCTTTAAGTTTCAGAAAAAATGAGTTCAAAGCGCTTCAATATCTTTCAATTTGATTGTAATCCTATCTATCGATTCAATGGACAACCGAAAAACCTGGGAAAAAGCGGCAGTTTGTGAGAAAAGCAATGGCGCTCCGGCGAGGAACAACGTGACGGCTCCCAAGGAACAGGCGACACCGGCAGTCGAGTGCACTTCTCTGTTTTCAATAATCCTTTCCCAGTTTGATATATTAAAGTACCCAATTTTTTCCACCATCGGAGCCAACTTGGCCTCGCGCATTCCAACGGCGTAGTGCAGCGTATAATCGAAACTCAATCCGATAGTGATCACGAGGATCGTCGATTCAACTACACTCAGTTGCCAGCCTAAAAAAATCTTTTGAAGTTTTAGTTGCCCCTGAAGTACTCGAAATTTCTAGAAGTCTAAACGGTACTACTAGCTTACTAGAAACTACTTTTGGGGCCACCAAAACGCAAGATAGTGGCTCAATAGTGGTTTTTATGGTCACTTCAGTGCCCTCTCCAATAGTCCTTAAGGAACCTCTTAAGGGGCACCTAAAGTTTTTCCCAGTACCTACCTAGAAGCGCCAGCACAGCAATCGTCCACAAGATAATGAAGAAAATGATGATGAGGGCGAAAATCGATAAAGTGAGGACTCTGGTACACAAGACAACAACCAGGAGGCAGATCCCAATAGAAATCAACACGGACGATAAACTTGAAGATCTGAAGTTTGAAAGTTTTATGGAAAGTAAGACAAATTTACTTCAACTGGGATATGATATCGTAGAACCGAGTGATTTCCGATGAGGAAAGGCACAATGGAACGTCGTCTGAAGGTGGAAATAAAATATAAATCTTTTCTTTAATCAAAAAAAAAAGTATTTTCCAAGAATATTTCAAATTTCGCTGACTTTGTCCATAGAGAAGACTTGCATTAATTGGATTTGATAACGCAAATCGGACACACCGTGCACTATTCTGAGGCGTTTAATGATTTGAAACAGAGCTACTGACAATACGGGTCATTCCGCAATGAAAGAAAAGCTCCAGAATGAAATTTCGAGAAATTTTTTTTTTCTAATCTTGCCGTCTTCAAAAAATCTTATTGAACTCACCTGTCAAGCTTTTCAATTTCAAACAAGTTCCATCGATCTCCCCGAAAACACGTTCGATCGCGTCGGCATCCACACGAAGACGCTCTTGCGTTGGGATCGAAAAAAAGTATCTTAAAAATAAAAACGTAAGGATTAAAATATTATTCGAGAACCCGAAAATTTCAAAGTCATTGTTGATGAGGGGACCATCACTGGGAAGGACTGCAGAATCGTCCGGGAATTCGTATGGCAAATGATCAGTTGAAGCCGCGAATTTCATGACACACGCGCTCGTAATAATCTGAAGCTAGTCAATCTAATTGAAAAAAAAATGAGTGAGAAACCTTTCGTTTAAAACATTCATCTTTCGAGTTCCACGCTGCCTCAGCCCAAGAAGTGGCATTTTTCTCATATTTCGACGCGATTTCTCGGAAAATGTTCTGAAGACTTCAGAAATTTTGATGAGTTTGATTTTCTGGGTACATCCTATACATTTTATGAGAGCATCCATTTGAAAATGCTAATTATTCTTGAATTTTTCGACGTTTCTCGTGTACAAACTTTCAATCATTTTACAATAGTCCCTAAGAAAATTTTAGTGATCACTTAAGAGGTTCTTCGAGGACTACTTGGAGAGAACACTAAAGTGAAAGAAAGAGGCTCGAGTGGCAACATATTCGACTACTACAGTGGCCTCTAAAAAATCAAGACTTCCAAGTGATCACTAAAGAGCCACTAGTTCACGTCTTACTAGTTAGTGGTCACTAAAGTTGTTTTAGTGGTCTAGTAGCGCCCACCTAAACTGCTTAAGCGGCCACTGAAACGTCGGAAATCTAAAGTGGCCACTAGAATTCTCCCAGCCTCTTCGGAACCCAACCATGTTGAAACATAGAGCTACCTTATAAGTATTCAACTTTTCCCGTGTTAATTCAAAATTCGAGGTCAGCGAGAGGGACGAAGGGTTAGATGTGATACTGAGAGAGTTGGAAGATCTAAAATTTTTTATTTTTCAGTTTGATTATTTTTCAAACTTGATCAACGGAATGCCAAGCGCAAAGTTCTGCACGAGCCTTGGAGATCTTTTCCATTCGAAATCGAAAAAATGAAGGTTATTGTCGAAGAACTCGTGCCGGTTGCTGTCAACCAGGAGCTTCAACATGCCATTATAATCCTCTACTCATTTTTCCAGTACCTTAGTCGGATTGTATCGGGGCAATTGCATTCCAGGCTTATAAATGACTACAATGGCACAGGCAATTGAGATGACGATCGCCAAAAATGTGATGACGTATTTGAGGCCGTGGACAAACAAGGCACAGCGATGAGAAATCTCCCATTTTGAGATTTCGTCGCCGATTTTGGTGACTCGAAAACGGGAATGTTGAGTTCGGACCGGTTTGATCAGAATGATAGCGGCAGGGAGTATCAGTAGGACCAGTACGTAGTTGGTGATGATCGTGATGCAGGCAAATATGCCAAAGCACCTGGAATTCGTCCTTTTTGCATTTATTCTTTATTTTAAGAAAACGAATAAAAATCAAAAACCGTGTTATTTTTTTAATGCACCGAAATGGTTTCAAAATTTCCTTAAGAACGGAACAAATTTTTCACATCGTGTCTTCAAAAAAACTAGCTTATTTTAAAAATATTTTTTTCCAGAAAGGTACAATAATCATAGGCAGAGTCGTAAAGGATCGAAAAAGGCTCCACATAACTTTTCCCTTTTTTCTGCCTTTTTGCGATGTTTTATCGGCTTTTGTGCACCATTTTTTGTTCCCTATTTCTTTTTCCAACATTTCTTAGGCCTTTAAATTTCTAGAAAAATGTAAAGGTCAAAAAGAAATTATTTTTGCTGCTTTTTCTGAGCCTCTCCTCTTTAGCGACCCAAACAGAAATAGTCTGAGTATTTGGTATTCAAAAAACTGAAGGGTGTAGACTGGACTTTTAACCTTTTTTTTTCTCCCCATTCATTTCCTTGACTTCATTTTTTTCCACCATAGCTCTTTTGTCAACGAACAAAAAGATAAATTCGTAAAATCTACCGTAGTACTAAAACCGGACTGGCGAGATTTGTCAGGAAAGCGATGGCGGTCGTCAGGGAGGTGACGAACATTGAAGAAAGAGCGTGGTGCAGCGAGAGACGCAGGCTTCTTGCAATCAAATCCGTTTTGCGGTAGAGCGGAATGTAGATCGTTCCAATTTTGTATTCGAGGTTGGATAGTTTCTGAAAAAAATATTTAAATCATGTTTTTTCGGATATAAAGAACTAGTTCGAACAATTGAAAAGGGAATCAAATTTGGGCAAATCTCTGGTCATTTTATTATTTTATCAACTTCTCAAACAAACCCGAGCACGAACTTTAACTTCTCGTCGGAAATAAACGAGCAGAAGAAACGCGTCATCCGCTCCAATAGAAACTAGAAGAACAACGACAAGCAGGTTGATGAACGGAAAAAAGTCGATTCCTAGTATTACCTAAAAATTTATACTATTTTCTAACTTCGATATTTAGTCGAAACTGAATAAATGAAGAAAGCAACAGTCGTTGAGAAAGCCACAATGAGGAGGATGAAAAATGTGAAAAGGACGCTTCTGGAGTACACGAGGAAGCAGAAAAAGACGAGGAATGCTGAATAAACTCCTTATTTCGAGTTTTCGAACACTTTCAAACCTGAAATACCAGCAAGTATGGTATCATTTCGGAGACTTTCCACGAAAATCTTATCTTTCAGGTAGAACGAGACTCCGACCAACTGCGTCGATTCCGAATCTCCGAGATATTTTGCCAAATTTTTCTCCAATTGGTCGTAGAACTCCCGGTCTTTCCCATTGTACATTGTTACCTAGGGTCACGGATTAAACAAAAAACTGATTTTTTTTGCCTCACTTTGAGCACAACAGAGATGATATTTTGCTTCGATTGACTTTTGGGCAGCAAAAAATGAATGACTTGATTGATGGAAGAGGCTGAGCAAATGGCTTCTGTCGAGTTCCTCCGGCATAGCTCCAATAACCGTCGAAAGTCGGAAACACTGAAATTCAATTTTTTAGTTTTTCAAAAATATGAACTTGAATAATTTTTAAAAAGGAAGGCTTTAAAAAGGGTTGCACGAAAGGAAACTTTTTTCAAAAAAATGCGGGAGACGGAAAGTAAAAGCCGCGGAAGTCGAAAATGGTGCTTGCTACGAAATTTTTTCGAAAAGGGTGAGTTTTCCTCTTCCGAAGAGTACTGTATGTGAAATTCCGCATTTGGCGCGTGGGCTTTGCGTGCTTGCACTTTGCATAAAATAAACATTTAAACTGAATCAACTATTTATTATGACTCGTTACAAAAAAATAAAAATGGGGAATCTTGCAATGTGCAAACACGCAAAGTGCACAAACCGAATGCGGACTTTCACATACAGTACTCTTTGCCAATGGAAAACTCGTCGTAGCACCACGGAAATCGGAACAAGCAACTAATCAATTAAGCAAATATATATAATTTTTTTTTAAACGGGATTCCGTGCAACCCTAGCCCTGATCACCTTAAAAAAATCCCTAGGCCCTCCTTACTCTTTTTCATTGATGGCATCGCAAGTGTTCGCAGTTTTAAGGTTCGGGCAAGTCGTGTAGAGCGGAATATTGAAAGAATGTTTCAAATTCGCCGCTGGATTGGTGAAATTAGTCACGAAAATCGTTTCTTCGACGACTTGATCTAATCGACAAAGATGCTTCATAGTGGGCACAGAGAAAAGCTGAACTTTTTCGAAATTATGAGCTTTGGCTGATTTCCTGTACCTCTTCGTAGCTTCTGACTTTTATCATTATTTTCGCCAAATATTCCACAACCTCGAATGGGATTTTGTCGCCAAGGGCGGCAAACGATTCACAAGGATCTTCCAAGTCGCTGGCGTTTGGCTCTGGACTCACTCTTAATCAAATTTTTTTTAAAAGTTCATCTTTGATAGTTTTACCCATAATCATCATAATCAACTGAAATCGGCTCTGAAGTCGAGTTAGTAATTGATGGACTTGTAGAATATTTTTCCTTAACATCCCTTCCTTTACGATTGATGTCCGACCTAAAGATAAATATTTCATTTTTTGTTGAGGTATTCACAGAACTCCTTGAAACAGAAAGTTGAAGAATACTAGTCGAAAACCAATTCGAATTAAAATTTTTGACAGGTTTTAGAATGGGAACTTTGTGAAAAAAAAATGGGTTTTGATCAATTGATAATTCCACAGTAATTGCCCTTTTCCCGCGAAACTTCGAAACTTGTTTTCAAAAACTTACGAAAATTTGAAAAAGATTCATTCGAGCTTTTTCAAGTATAGTACTCGATTTATGAACATCCCGAAAAAAGCTCAACTTCGCTATTTTTTGCAAAATTCCCCCATTCAATAGCCTTTTTAAAGCTTTCGTCAAGTGTATAACGACAAAACTGACTCATAGAACCAACGAAGAATTCTCTCTGCTTTGACTTGCTCCCTATGAATCGCATTCAGTGTTAAACGAGCCGCTGATAAATGCGTTCCTCGCGTTTCAAAGCCCTAAACCATCACATAACTTCTCTATTCAAAGATGACAAAACCTTCTTTGGATCGAAGTCGATGGTCCCGTGATGATAATACCCGGAATATGCGGTCAAAATACTGCAAAGGACGACGCTACTGCTGATAACCCACAATGGGTACTCTATAACGACGTGAGCATACCTGAATAACATTTTTTTACAAAAAGTTATAATTGGAGCGACAATACCCGCCAAAAATAGCTTCACAAGACCTTCGGAACATCGGTACAGTAAAACGGGTGACGGAAAAAGCTGATTTCTCGAGCCGCGCCCAGTTTTACAGCATTGAAAAGAAATGTTTGTTGACCATCATGGGCAATATGGCGAACACCTTTGCGGAATTTTTCCCATGCCTATATACTTTTTTTTGAATAAAATCGAGAACAAATTTTGTCGTTCAAACAAGATGCACACAAGACTGAGACGGAAAAGAAAATTTTTCCAAGGAGAATCTTCAAAAATTAACAATGAGTAAAGATAGTTAAAAAGTCCACGGTACTCCGATCCTTGAAGGTTATCTCGGAAAAGCTTCTAAAAGCTTCAATTTTTTTGGATAAAATAGACATGTCTGTTGCAACTGTAAAAAAAAGGAGCGTATGCAGTTCTACGAGGGGTGCATACGGGAGGGACAAATTTTGCGCGTCGCAACGCTTTTTTGGAAATTATTTCAAGGACAATTTTATTTGCTTTAAATGCTTTTTTGTTATTAATAATCATTATTCATACTGTTTGAAACTGTTTCCATTCGTTCGAATCAGTTTTACTTCTGTGATGTTAATATATCCACCCATGCAACCCCACTAAGAATAACTGCCGAGATAAACGCGAGACGCTGGCGGTACATTGACGAGCTCGCCAACATCTCGCTTTTTTTTTCTCGCGCCGGTCTCGCATTTTTCTGGGCGCTAGCTTGCATTTCTCTCGTAATTTGAAAATTTTCTGAAATGCAAGATAAATGCGAGGTCGCGCCGCGGTTCCGAGATAAATGCGAGATCGCGCCTAGGAAAAAGCGACATGTTTGCGAGTTCGTCAATGTACCGTTACCAACCTCGCGTTTATCTCGTCAGTTATTCTTAGTGCCTGTCTTAACAGGTTTAAAGTCAAAAGTATTTCTCAAAAATGTGCATTCACTTTTTTTATTATTTTTTTCAAAATTTTCGGACGAATTTCCCAAACTTTACTTAACTGATACTTGTTTCCTCACTCTACATGCTCCATTCATATGTTTCATTGTGCTTTCATTTCGATAAATCGTTGGCGGCCCCTAGGTATACCCTTTATACGTTAGTACTGAAGTTTAAAAGTTTTTGGAAGAAATAATTATGAAAAATCGCTTAGAAAGGCATATCGCGTAGAAAATAAAAAGAATTACCGCGACCTTCACAGGCGGAACTGGCATTTATTGTCTTGGAGTTTCGCTTGTTTGGCAATAATGGGTGATTTTTAGCATTCGCCTCTGTATTCATGGTTAACTTCATCAAAGTGGACTCAAAAAGAGTGAACTTTGTATTGTATGCTTGACTCACAATTGTTTTCTACATTTAAAAATGTTTCCATTGTCTGTTTTAGTCACATCGACCAAGCGCTATAAAAAAAAACCTCATTACCTTTTGCTCAGTAGACGTCCAAACCTGTAGTTGTCGAGAATCCACAAAAAAGAAAGAGGGAGCAGCTCAGCAATTTTTTTTGTATTCAAAGAACTTGAAACATGATTGAGAAATTATCTTCAAAACTTTTCCCAGGCTGCGAGATTTCCTGATTGACTTGTTCAGATCGATGCTGTACAAGATCGACGGGGTTCTATCCATCTGAAGATGCAATGCCGCCTGAATGCGAACCTTTGGAACGTTCTGAAGAATCGACTAACATCGCAGATCTTCGTCCTGAGAACACACAGGTTTCGAGTTTCTTGACATGAGCTACGGAAACCGAGGCGATTATTATGCTTGACGTCACAAAATCGAAACTCAACATTCAGTTGCTGGAACAAATTGTTCATAAGACTTAGGTAAAATGGTCGCAGATCGGAGTTTTAGTCAGAGGTTTTTGCTGGTATTACGAACATACAGCGTCGGTTGAAACACTATTTAGAAAAAGGCCGCAAAAGTAGGCTTAGTTTTGAGTCTTTTTTCAAAACTTTTTCTTTCCTTTTCCTTTGATTCTCATGACCCTTTTTTTAAATTCAGTTCCACTTTATTTCATTGGATATTTGAGAAAGTTTTTATGTTGTATATCAAAAAAAGAAAAATTCTGTTCATTTCATCAGAAGATGGACGAACTTTGAGAATGAAATACTTTTTTTCTTTTATTTAAAGCGCTAGACCTTGTACAGAAATAAACTGAAACCAGTAACTCTATTGATTTTTTTTAACTCGGTAAGCTGTTTAAAAGGAGAAGCTCGACGAGAAACGAGAAAAAAAAAATTACTCAGGATTTTCGGGCATGATATTTATGTACATTCGAGTTCTATTGGAAAAAAAACTGTCATTTTTTTTTTCTAAATTTGGCCAACGGAAGTTGAAAGTCGTCTGGGCCGGCTTTTCATCAAGACTCAAGTACTCAAAAAATCTCAATAGTTCTCATATTAGTTGTTGTGTCAACGTGGCTTGCGCGGCGACGACGTGAGAATCGGTGTTTGACAAAATCTCGATAAGGTTTGATAAAGAAGATTGAGCCGAGAGGGGATAGGGCCGGAGATAGACAGCAGGAGGTCAGAACTAGGTGCTCCAGGAATTGATGGTGGTAGAGGTCAAGGGCGGCCATGGCGAATGAGCCCGAGCCGATGGCGAACGTTGCCGGGAGCAGCGCTTGGAAAGTCAAGGCCTGGAAAAAAGGAGTTATTTTCAAATGAAACTTTTCTGATGAACTTTTGAAGGGTACACGTTTATTTTTTTCCGCTTTTTCACATCTAACTCGTTCTTTTTTCAACTTTTTCGTTGCTTCAGTCTTTTACGATTAGAGTTTGGGGACGAATCCTCACCTTGAGAAGTTGCTCGTGCATGCTTTTCGTGTGGATCGACAAGCTTTCCGATAGACTATCCAGCTTCCAAAGAACCCTTTGCCGGAAGTATAGTATGCCGAAGTAGAGAAATGGTGTTGGACAAGTCATGTGGAGGCTGAGATAGATCAGAGCGGGGTTCGTGTAGTTGAGATTGCCGGTGATAACGGTGCCGGTCAAGTTGTACTCTGGAAATCTACGCTGAACTGCTTGACGGACCAGTTCTGGCTCGTCTTGCCCGAGGGAGTAGACGACCTAAAGCCTCTTTGCCGATTTTTCTAGAAAAAAAAAACCTGAGTTTTACCACTTGGATGAACGAAGGGATGTAAGAGATGCCAAGACTTATCAGAACTGCCTTGACTGTCGTCGGACCATGATAAATGACGTAGTAGCGGTACCCGAAAGATACGAACATCAGGTAGACAGTGAAGATCATGAAGTGAGCTGTGACGCTTTGCCTAAAAAGTAATTACCGGTTACGAGATTTTTCGAAACGCTGTCTAAATAATTTTAATTACCACTAGCTTCTTCTATTTTTTTGTAATTCATTTTTTGGAACGGATAATATTTTAATGAAAGGATTCGACTTTTTAGCATCAACCAACGCATCTTCTGTTTCTTTCTTTTTTTCACAGAATTTGTAAGGATTTTTTTGGCAACTCTGTCCTTATTATCTCTCAATACCCCCCAAATAAGAACTTTTGTCATATTACTTTTTTTGATTTGTCTCCTCTCACCAAACGTAGCAAGAAGTTGAACCAGTATAAGAACATACACCGATGCTCACAATAGCTAGCGCATTGGGCCACGCAACGATTCTAAAAAAAGAAAAAAATATAATTTCTTAACCCTATAAACGTTAAAAAAATTTCCTTACTCTATTGAATTTCGATTATATAGCAAAGATTTGAAAGCCAGTAATTTATCCAGAAATCTTTAAGTTCTCAAAAAAACAGACCTTTGTGAAGTTTTGTTGAATCGCTTTTTTTCCGAATATAAAAGGATAATCTTATTTTGAACCCTATTCTTAGTTTCGATTTTCTTTTCAAACTCGATTCGTTTTTTTTTTTTTTGGTCGCAATCGTGACTTTTTGATAAATAATAATGATTTTTCGATTTAGCTAAGCAGAATCCGGTTCTCAAACGTTAGGCAGACCAAAATTAGTTTTTCAAGAAGGTGCAATAATGAAAACGCGAGTCGGACACAATTGAGCCTAGCTTCTTTTATCATGGCTGAAAATCTCAAGAACATTGTCGAAACCTACCTCGGACGACCGACAAGTTCCCCGACACTCGTACCCAAATCTGTTAGAGCGAAAGCGATAATTAGGATCGAGTATATCTTCAGAGGTTCGGGTGTTTTGAAAATGGCGAGGTACAGTAGAAAAAAGTTGAGAAATACCCCAAAAATGACAAGAATCAGCTGTAACACAAAAAGATACGAGCCGTCAACCTCCATTTACGGCTCGAGAATGACAGAAAACACCAAGTTATTTTGTTTTTTTCCCCTAATCGAACAAAACCTCAATCATCTAAAACGTGCATACCCGCAAATTAAGTTGGTCACCTGGCCGTAACTTACTTTTTGAAACCGAAATATGGGGAAACAATTAAAAAACAAAAATCTTTTTCCGCGTGGTGCAAAATTATTACCGAGAATATGAGTTGTCATGTTTCTTGGAGCAACCTATCTACTTAAAAATTTTTATTTCATTGCAAGAAATTTTTCTTCGCTAGCGAAAATAAAAGCGAGAAGAAAAAGATGAACACGGCGGTAAGTTGAAGAACCACGCGATTTAATATGGAACAAAACATAGAAAATTTGGTCGAAATGATTTTTAAAGCCTTTTAATGGAAAAGAAAAAACCGCTTCGCGACCGTCACACTTGACAGTCAATCACGCCGAGTCAACGTGAACGCATTGGGAACAAGAAATGATAATATTATAAAATATGCCAATGTGAACAATATGACATGAAAAAAAGTACATTGATATTAAGATTTTAAATAAATAACTGAATATTTATTTGTTTCCTTATTGAATCTCGATCTTTCCCCAATTAGTACTTATGTCGACCCCGCGGCTGAGTGAAAAACGGTTCTTCAAAAAATCTCGGTAGGGTTTAATGAAGAAAATAGAGCCTAGAGGTGATAAGGCCGGTGAGGCACAGCAAGATGTCATAACCAGGTGCTCCAAAAATGGGTGGTGATATAGGTCGAGAGCGGTGATGGCAAATGAGCCAGAACCGATGGCGAATAAAGCTGGGAGCATCGCTTGGAACGTCAGAGCCTGAAGGTCTTAGTTTTTATTATAGGCATTTTGAGTCAGTAGTTTACCTTTAGCAGTTGCTCATGCATACTTTTCGTTTGCTTGGACATAATTTCTGACATGCTTTCCAATTTAAAAAGCACCTTCTTACGAAAATAGAGTATACCAGCATAGAGAAATGGTGTGCCACAAGTCATATTAATGCTGATATAGAGCACAGCAGGGTGAAAATAGTCGAGGTTTCCACAGACGATTGTACCTGTCAAGTTATATTGTGGAAATCTCCGCTGAACAGTTTCTCGAACAAGTTCTGGGTCGTCCATTGCAAAAGAATGAGCAATCTGAGGAGTTTTTCATCACTCGAGTTAAAATTTCAATTCGTACCACTTGAATGAACGAGGGAACGTAGGAAATCCCAACACTTATAAAAACTGACATCACTGAAGGTGATCCATGATAAATAACGTAGTAGCGGTAACCGAAAGACAGGAACATCAAGTAAACTGAGTAAATCATGAAATGGGCCGTGATGCTTTGCCTGAACTAACTGTAGAATAATTTTTTTTCTAAATTTCTTCACCATAAATAGCAAGAAATGGGGCCTCCGTAGGTACACAAACCATTGCTCACAAAGACGATCGCTTGAGGAAACGCAATAATTCTGTAAAATCACGGTTTATATCAACGTCCAAAAGTAGCTAAGCGGACCGAAATTCGATTTCAACAAAATTCAAGAAGACTAAAATTCATGTTCTAGAATGTTTCTGTCTCGAGCAGACCAAAACTATTCCCATAATTGTTGCAACTAGCGAAAACAGGAAATTATTGCGGATTTCTTAGTTTTTCAATTCTTTTTCTCTGAGATACTCACCTGATGCGACTAACAAGCTCGCCGATACTCGTACCGATATCTGCGACTGCGAAAACGATGATAAGAATAGAATATAGTTTCAATGGCTCTGGTGTCTTGCACGCTGCTAGATACAGCTGAAGACAGTTTAGCAGTAATCCAAAAACGACGAGAATCGGCTGTAGGGCGAAACTGATCGACCCGTCCAGCTCCATTCTCGACTGACTATTCTGACTTTCACCATTTTTTTTTTCAAATCGAAAGTTATATCCACGAGTGTTATGAGAACCAGGATTTATGAGATCAGTAATGATAAAATCGTATTTCTTTGAATTTTTAAGCTTTACCGATAAGCATATTTTTTTTTCAATATTCTTCTTACACTTCAAACTTTTCTGTATTTTCAATGCTTTAAAAAAAAACTTTTATTCTCTCGTAACAAACAAAATATAAGAGAATCCGATCAAGAAATTATTTTTACTAGTGTAGAGGATTACAGTTCTGAGATACAGAAAAACTTTTTTTTTTATATAAAGACGTTAAGAAAGCTTCGGAAGCCATGGTGTTTTTTTTTATTTGAAGTTCAATTGACCGAAATTTACTATTCAAATATTTGAAAAAGCTATTAGAACCGTCAACAGAGTGATATACGTCGGAAAAAGTTGCATAAACGCCTAGAAGTGAAAAAAAAAAGGTTCGCCGTCTAATTGCTGGGTGCAGAATTATTACCGAGAAATTGAGTTTTCCAGCTTTCTCTATGAGCACCTATAATCTCACCGGAAGTGAAGCAATTCTTTCAAGTTTTTTTTGATTCTTTGAAAGTATTTTTTTACTAGTGAAGAGGTTCACTTTTTTTATATAGACTGGAAAAGAAATTTGAGAAGCACGTGGAGAACTTGATTTGAGACACGTTCTCTAAAAAAGTCGATGAACTGCAGTGAAGCCTTGATACAAGAATTTCATGTTTTGTTTTGAGAGATGAAATTATTATCACAGTTACTAGACATAATGTGTATCCTTTTAGGCTAGTTACTGTGAGGCTCCGCCCCCTCCCTGGGCTACGGTAGGACTTTTAGTGAAGTTTTCTAACTTTTTCTCCTAGTTAACGGATCGACTACAAAATTGTTTTAAAACACACGTAACCATATTTTAAAGCATTTTCATTGAGAAATTAAAAAAGAAAAATTTTTTTACTTCTAAATAAAAAAAAACAGCCAAAAAATGAAAAATTGGAAAAACATGAAAAATCCGAAAATAAAAAAAAATTAGAGTGAATACTATGCTTCCAGAGTGCTGAAACTTTTTAAAAAAACTTTGATTTCTAGCATAATAATACAAAAAGAAACCATGGTATTGTTTTCCGAGAAAGTTAAAAGTTTTTCGAAAAAAATTGGTCAATTCCGAGTTGGTTCTCTTCGACGAGACCAACTGCGTCCCCCTGAAACTTGAAAAATGTTCTCATATTTTTTTCTGACGTTAATTAGAAAAAATTAGAAAAATTTCACTAAAACCAAAAAGAATTAGCAACAATAATTATACAATTCTACAGGAATTCACTTATAACACCGGAAAAAAATGTAACAAACAAAAATAATTACTACCTTAATATAGTTTTCTCTCAACAGCGTCCTACTTGATTAAAATTTTTTATTCAACTGAAAAGCATTATTCTTTTCAAAGATAGTCAAAAAACGAGAAGAAAAAAATGAGATGAACTGGCGGTCAGTTGAATGACCATCAGATTTAATATGGAGTAAAATTTATAACATTTGGAAGGTCTTTTGAAGAACGAAAACCGCTTACACGTGACAATCTAGCAATTGCCACGCCGAGTCGACAAAAACGCATGTAAATAATGATACAATATTATAAAATTTGCTTATATGAACAATATGACATGAAAATTGAAAGGACATCGGTATTAAGATTTTAAATAGTTAATTAAATATATACTTGTTTTCTCATAAAATTTCGATCGTTCTCCAATTAGTACTTGTGTCGACCCCGCGGCCGAGTAGAAAACGGTTTTTCAAAAAATCCCGGTATGGTTTAATGAAGAAAATAGAGCCTAGAGGTGATAAGGCCGGTGAGGCACAGCAAGATGTCATAACAAGGTGCTCCAAAAATGGGTGGTGATATAGGTCGAGAGCGGTGATGGCAAATGAGCCAGAACCGATGGCGAATAAAGCTGGGAGCATCGCTTGGAACGTCAGAGCCTGAAGGTCTTAGTTTTTATTATAGGCATTTTGAGTCAGTAGTTTACCTTTAGCAGTTGCTCGTGCATATTTTTTGTTTGCTTCGACATCTTTTTTGACATGCTTCCCAATTTTAAAAGAACCTTCCTACGAAAAAAAAGTATACCAGCATAGAGAAATGGTGTGCAACAGGTCATATTAATGCTGATATAGAGCACAGCAGGGTGAAAATAGTCGAGGTTTCCACAGACGATTGTACCTGTCAAGTTATATTGTGGAAATCTCCGCTGAACAGTTTCTCGAACAAGTTCTGGGTCGTCCATTGCAAAAGAATAGGCAATCTGATTTTTTTTTAGATTACTCGAGTTAAAGTTTCAATTCGTACCACTTGAATGAACGAGGGAACGTAGGAAATCCCAACACTTATAAAAACGGCCATCACCGAAGTTGATCCATGATAAATAACGTAGTAGCGGTAACCGAAAGACAGGAACATCAAGTAAACTGAGTAAATCATGAAATGGGCCGTGATGCTTTGCCTGAACTTACTGTAGAATGAATTTTTTTCTAAATTTCTTCACCATAAATAGCAAGAAATGGGGCCTCCGTAGGTACACAAACCATTGCTCACAAAGACGATCGCTTGAGGAAACGCAATAATTCTGTAAAATCACGGTTTATATCAACGTCCAAAAGTAGCTAAGCGGACCGAAATTCGATTTCAACAAAATTCAAGAAGACTAAAACTCATGTTCTAGAATGTTTCTTTCTCGAGCAGACCAAAAATATTCCTCTATTCGTTGAGATAGGCAAAAACGAGGAAAATGTTTCGGATTTTTCTAAATCTTCAATCTTTTTTTTCTGAGATACTCACCTGATGCGACTAACAAGCTCGCCGATACTCGTACCGATATCTGTGACTGCGAAAACAATAATAAGAATGGAATATCGTTTCAAGGGCTCTGGTGTCTTGCACGCTGCCAGGTACAACTGAAGACAGTTGAGCAGAAACCCAAAAACGACGAGAATTGGCTGTAGGGCGAAACTGATCGACCCGTCCAGCTCCATTTCGCAACTTTATTCTGACAGTTAACTTTTTTTTTCAAATCGAAAGTTATCTCCGCGAGTATTATGAGAACCAGGATTCATGAGATCAATAATGATACAATCTTATTTCTTTGAACCCTTAAATTTTTGTTTCATCGATAAGCACATTTTTTTGAATTTTCTTCTGACGCTTTTAATTTTTTTGTAGTTTCAATGCCTTCCCAGAAATTTTCATTCCCTCGTGATAAACGAAAAATGTAGAATCTTAACAAGAAAGTAATTCTCATTAGTGAAGAGGTTTACATTTTTTTTATTGAAATTTTTGAGCTACAGAAAAATTTTTGATTCTAAGACGCCAAGGAAGCTGTAGAAGCCATGTCGGTTTTTTTCTAAATTAATTCAGATAACCAAATTCTTTCTTAAAATAATAAAAAAAGGCTATTAGAGCCATCAACAAGGTCAACTACGCGAGAAAAAGTTGTATAAAAACGCTTAGAAGTGAAAAAAAAAAAGGTTCGCCGTCTAATTGGTGGGTGCAGAATGATTACCTAGAAATTGAGTTTTCCAGCTCCCTCCATGAGCACCTGTAACCTCACCGGAAGTAAAGAAATGCTTTCAAGTTTTTTCGATTTTTTAAGGTATTATTTTTACTAGTGAAGAGGTTCTCTTTTTTTTTATGGAATTAGGAAAATAAATTTGAAAAGCACGTGGAGAAGTTGATTGAAATAGTGAAGTTTGAAAGGAAGTAAAAACAGTATTCTTCATAAATGAAAAGATCTTTGTGGCACTTTCATATTTTTTTATTATCCGGACGATTTATTCAAAAGATCTCAATAGTTCTCGAGTGCGTTTTGCTGTCAACTTGGCTGACATGCCGTTTCAGAAGTTCACGCCTGACAAAATCTCGATAAGGTTTTATGAAGAGTATTGACCCAAGAGGTGATAAAGCTGGTGATGCACAACAAGTAGACAGAACTAGATGTTCCAAAAATAAATTGTGAGCGATATCCAGAACAGCTATGGCAAAAGAGGCAGATCCGATGGCAAATAGGGCTGGGAGCATTGCTTGGAAAGTCAGAGCCTGAAATTCGAGTTGGGTTAGATTTTTTTGAATAAAAGAGCAGGGAAAAAATGATAAGTTTCCGAATCCTCTGCAACTTTAGTGAGATTTTAGAGCACACTGCTGTCAAAGCAATATTTCATTCACACCTTTTGCCTCAAAGTCTAGTTATGATACCTCAAAGACGCCAAAAAACAATCATTTTTCTTGAAAAACAATCATTTTTCCAGTCATAATTGGGTTTTTTTAATGCGTTTCATCATGAAAATTGAGTTAAAAAAATTTTTGAATTGAAATACAAATAAGCCCAAATGGCTCAGAACAAATCTGCGCCTGATGTTCCGCAGGTCTAATATAACAAAAATAGATTCGTTGAATAAAACTTGAGCGTTCCAGTCCGTTTACCTTCAACAGTTGCTCGTGCATACTTCTCGTGTGACTTGACAAACTGTTAGATAAGTTGTCCAACTTCTGAAGAACCTTTCTGCGGAAGTAGAGTATACCGGCGTACAGAAAAGGCGCCGAACATGTCATATGGACACTTAGGTAGAGCAGAACCGGGCGGGTATAATCAAGATTGCCGCTGACCACAGTATTGGTCAAGTTATAATGAGGAAATCGACGTTGAACAGCTTGACGGACCAGTTCTGGATCGTCCATCGCGAGGCAGTGAACAATCTGTGACGAATTTTTGAATGTTTTGAGTAAAAGTCCAGGTTGTCACCACTTGTGTGAAAGATGGAATATAGGAAATCCCAATACTCATAAGTATTGCCTTGACGGAAGTCGGGCCGTGATAAATCACATAATAACGATAGCCAAAAGAGACGAACATCAGATAGACTGAGTAAATTAAAAAATGCCCCGTAATGCTTTGCCTGAGGTTTTTCTGTTTTTACGATTCCTTTGTAATTTTTTTCGTACCAAATGTAGCAAGAAATGGGACCTCCGTAAGTGCACAAACCAATACTAACCATACCAAGAGCCTGCGGCCATGCGACCATTCTAAAGAAGTTTCAGTTTTTATTCGTTAGATTTTTTTTGTCGCACCGCTAACTTTATTTCGTAGCTCGTTTAGAATGTCAATTGTCTATAATTTTTCGCGCTTTCTCGTGTTTTTTTCAGCAATTTATTTCATTTTGCTCTCTTTTTGCAAGGCCTCTGAAGCGTGGGAAGTTATAAATAAATGAAATTGCAGAAATCGCGTTAGTTCGCGGCAAAATAATTTCAGTCAAAAAGGAGAAAAAATTGAATCCGATGTTTGAAGAGATTTCGGGAAGAAGAGTAGAAGGAAATAAAAAAATTGAACTAAAAAGGAATGAATTTATACCACCGCTAGTTTCGAGATTTTTTACGGCTTTAAAAAATCCAAGTTTTGTCTGAAAGTCTGAGTTTTACCTGGTACGCCCGACGATCTCGCCAATACTGGTACCAATGTCAGTAAGAGCGAAGGCTATTATCAGAATCGAATATCTTCTCAATGGTTCTGGAGTCTTGAAAATAGCCAAGTACAACTGAAAAGAATTCAAAAAGAACCCAAAAATCACTAGAATTGGCTGTAAAGCGAATAAGAACGAGCCGTCGAGCTCCATCCGCGACGAGACTCTGAATGAATGGACTAAACTGTTATTCTTTATTTTTCAAAAAAAAAAATCTAACAATCAAAACGCCCCAAACGCCAAATTGGACACCGGGGAACTATTAAATCTTTTAAAGAGTCGATTTTTCAGCTTTTTCTTTTCTTCACTGAAGTCTCCTGACGTACATCATCAAAATGTCCTTTAAGAAAGAATTTATTCGAAAGTACGACTGAGAAATTGTGCAAAAGCTTGAAGCAGAAGATATTTTTTCGTAAAAGTGGTGATCGAAAATAATTTCCCACCATTTTTATTTCATTTTCTTAGTTTCGAGATAGTTAATGAATCTTCAGGAACTTAATTTGATGTGTTCAGATATCAAAAGGAATATACGGCTTCATGAATATTAGAATAAAAAAAGGCATTTTTAAGTGGACACACGCCGTTTCAAACAGCGCCATGTAGTATGCGGAAGAGTTCAGCTTTATAATTTATTTTTCAATAAATCTCAATGGTCCTCAAGTTCGTAGTTGCTTCAACTTGGCTCACGGGGCGACGTAACAACCGACGCTTCACGAAATCTCTATAGGGCTTGATAAATAGTATTGAGCCCAGAGGGGATAGAGCTGGTGATGCGCAGCAGGACGTCATAACTAGGTGTTCTAAAATTGGATGATGGGCAATGTCGAGGGCGGCGATGGCGAAAGAGCCTGATCCAATGGCAAATAATGCCGGGAGCATTGCTTGGAACGTCAGAGCCTGAATTAACCAAGTTCAGTCTGAAAAGGTGAACAGTGACCTTGAGTAGCTGCTCATGCATACTTTTCGTGTGGTTCGACAAACTCCTTGACAAACTCTGTAGTTTCCAAAGAACCTTCTTCCGGAAGTACAGTATCCCAGCGTATAAAAGCGGCGTTGAGAGGACCATATTAACGCATGTGTATAGTACGGCTGGATGAGAATAGTTGAGATTTCCACTGACGACTGTGTGGGACAAATCATAATGAGGAAATCGTTGCTGAACTACTTGACGGACAAGTTCTGGATCGTCCTGCGCAAAAGTGTAGGCAATCTGAGGTTTTTTTATCCGATTTTCCGGTTTTATTTCTCAGTATTCACCACTTGAATGAACGATGGAATATAGGATATTCCAAGACTCAGAAAAATAGTCGTGACTGAAGTTGGACCACGATATATGACGTAGTAGCGGTAGCCGAAAGACACGAACATCAAATAGACTGAGTAAATCATGAAGTGTGCTGTGATGCTCTGCCTGAATAATTAGCTTAGAAGAGTTATTCCCGAAAGTTTCCTACCATGCGTAACACGTCTTTGGGCCACTGTAAGAGCAAATTCCAACGCTCACCATGCCGATTGCCACAGGCGACGCGATTATTCTGTTACATTTGTGTTTTATTTTTCCGAGCTTAACTTTACCTGGTACGGCTGACAAGCTCTCCAACGCTTGAACCGATATCTGCAAGAGCGAAAACGACGATGAAAATGGAATATCGCTTAAGAGGCTTCGGTGTTTCAAAAATGGCGAGATACAATTGAAGAGAATTGAGTAGAGACCCGAAAATGACCAGAATTGGTTGTAGGGCGAAGATGAACGAGCCATCGAGCTCCATTCTGAGCGGGACTCGTTATTTTTCTGAATGATAGAAATATCAAATCATCATGATTTCATCGTTACGCGATCATGGTAATGATAAACGCAGTGATATATCTTTTTGGGTCTTACTTTTTTGCTGAAAATAATTGAGTCATCAAATTGCAGTTCAAAAAGTAAGCTTATAGCAAAAATCTCTACTCGCTGTGAAATTTATGTTTACCTTTGAACAAACGGGTCTTCAAGAAGAATTTGTTACTAATTATAAATATGAAACAATTTTCTCATTTTTACTTACTCCTTTCTTTTTTTCTACTTTTTCATAATTCTCAATTTAATCTGTAGCGATCAAAATGTTTACCGCAAACCGCAAGGGAAAGACGGAAAAAATAAAAAATAAAAGTTTTGACGTAAAAGTGCTGGGTGCAGGTTCCGAGAAATTGAGTTTTGTCTACCTGCTTTGTAATATTAGGTTGTTCGGAAAGTTCTTGCGGTTTTTGATACTCCCCCTTGGAAGAGATTTTTTAAGCTGGATTTCAGACTGGCCTGTCGAAGTTATATATCAATTTGTAGCGCGTGGCATGTTTTATTTTTTAAGTGTAATTGTATCATTCAAAACGAAATCGTGTAAGTTTTATGTAATTTTGAAGAAAGGGGTAAAAACAGCGATTAGAGTAGCTTTTTTCGTTCTTCTTTCCACTAGACTTATAAGCGTTGAAATCCTTCGAAATTTTTACTATTTCTTTGACACGGTAACTACTTCCAAACATGCAATGTGATTGCTACTGGAAAAAAAACTTTGGCCAACTCTGCCAGAATGGCGCATGGTGCGGTCTAGCCTTGAGCACTTCATTGCGTAACTTGGGCCTGCACCGTGCAATATCGGTGATTTTTTGGTTTTTTTTTTTTGCACTGGGGCAGCACGCTAAAAGCACTGTTTTGACACCTATGCACCCGTGTGGCACCAAAAAACCACCGATGTTGCAAGGTGCAGGCCCAAGTTACGCACCGAAGTGCTCAAGGCTAGACGGCACCGTGCGCCATTCTGGCAGAGAAGACTATAAGCTCGGCAACTGAGTACAGTAATTTTTGAGTTATGTTTTTTGCGCGGTAACAAAACGTCCTGGTAGCTGCAACTTCGCGAAAAACTTTTTGTTGTTGCTTGAGACGATGCATAGATGACGCTAGAAAAAGTTCCTGACTAGAGAACTTTTTCAGAGATCTGAAAAGCTCACTAAATGTGTACCTCACGAATCTCACTAAAAGCATAACGCCGTTTCTTTCTTCTCGTCTAATTCAAAGGCAAATGTGATCTGAATTTTTGAATAGAATAGCATTTTTTGAATACCGATAATAAAAAAGACGTCTACAACAATTTTTAAGTCTATTATTACTGGATAGCCCAAGGCGCCGCTTTGGATAGTTCTTCGAACTCAACCTATTAAATATTGACGATTGAGCACGTTCTTGGCTATCTACAGTTGTTATAACTTATCATAAGTAACCTCAACTTTTTACTCTACAATATTTAAGCGAAGTTGTTCACTAATCAAAAAAAAATTCCACGAAATAAAGTTTAAACATTTTGAAAAACATTGAAACTAAAAAAAGCCACGTTTTGTCCTGTATCGCGCTTTGCGGAAGTTGTAAGTAAAAAAAATAAACGAAACAAGAAAAAAATGATTTTATTATATTTATTCATTTTTTTACAACCCCTACCTTGCTAAACAACAGCTTTCCAAACTATGAAAACACTTGCACGCGAAAAAAAATGCTTTGAAACCGGAAACCTCTCAAAAAAGGGTTCGAGAGTTTCAAAGCCCCAGTAATTCAGGGTTTGATATCATCGACTGATTTTTGTGTTTTTTGTTATCACATGATCACTTTATAAGATGGTTTTGGTTTTGATCAAAAATAAGAACTCTGAGCGAAGTTAGGATCATTTGAAGTCGAATAATAAAAAGCGCAATAACTTTCTGAACAACCTAATAATAAATTCAAGCTTCTCTATCGGGATAAAAAGTTTGTGTGAACTCCTTAATGTACGAGAAAAATCATATCTTACATTTTTTTGAAATCAAACACAATCAGAATCAGTATTTTGAGAAATTATTGGAGAGAGAGAGAGAATGCGATACACGAAAAAAACTTCCGAGGCAAAAGAAGAAAATTAGTATTTACTATTACGAAAATTATTATTATCTCATTTCATCACGTCGACTAGTCGGTCTCATTGCCGCTCTCTCATGGGATAATATTCCAACGCCCGTCAGCCCTGGATAAGCTGGGCGCTGTACTGTTCCAACATGGTGAAGCAGTTTATTCGCTGGTACTACCAACGGGCCAACATTATTTCCCAACGCTAGCTGTCACGCCGGGACTTATTAGACAACGATTGTGGACCGTAACCCGACGACTAACTTTTCGATTATACCATGATTTAGCAGAGATTTTCTACATCTTACTCTGAAGACTGAATAAATTGAATATGAATTACGCAAACGCCGTTACTACTTTACAATGTTATATGTTCGAAAAATATTTATTTCACTTTTCAATATATCTCAATCGTTTTCAAGTTCGACTCGATATGGCTGGAACGACGACGTAGAAGTCGGTGTGTGACGAAATTGCGGTATGGTCTGATAAATAATATTGAGCCGAGTGGGGATAGAGCTGGTGAAGCACAACACGAAGACAGAACTAAGTGTTCCAAAAATAGGTTGTGAGCAATATCAAGTGCGGCGATGCCAAAAGAACCGGAGCCGATGGCGAATAAAGCCGGGAGCATTGCTTGGAAGGTCAAAGCCTGAAAAAAACTGATCTTTTTTGAGAAGGTAGAGATCAGAAAGAAACAAAAATGAGCTAATGATTCACCTTCAGCAGTTGTTCGTGCATACTTTTTGTTTGGCTCGACAAACTGCCAGATAGGCTGTCCAACTTTTGGAGGACCTTTCTCCTGAAGTAGAGTATTCCGGCGTAGAGAAATGGAGATGTGCACGTCATATGGATGCTTACATAGAGGACAGCTGGGTTGGAATAGTCGAGATTGCCGCTGACAACAGTATTAGTCAAGTTATATTGAGGAAACCGGCGTTGAACTGCTTGGCGGACCAGTTCTGGGTCGTCCATCGCGAGGCAGTGGACTACCTGAGATAGAACTGCAATTATTCTACTTTATTCGAAAATTTCACCACTTGAATGAAAGATGGAATGTAAGATATTCCAATACTCATTAGAATCGCCTTGACTGAAGTTGGGCCATGATAAATAACATAATAACGATAGCCAAATGAGACGAACATCAGATAGACTGAGTAAATTAAAAAATGCCCCGTAATGCTTTGCCTGAGTTTTTTCTGTTATTATGATTCCTTTGTGATTTTTTTCGTACCAAATGTAGCAAGAAATGGGACCTCCGTAAGTGCACAAACCAATACTGACCATGCCCAGAGCTTGAGGAGATGCAACCATTCTGGAAAATTTGGTTATGACAGTAGCAATGGGTTTTTTGAAATTAACATACATTTGTCAAGGGTAGCTTTATCTCGCAAATTTTATCTCTTTTTGCAAATCAAAAAGTTAGCTGTTTTGGCTCAAACGCTTTTTGTTCAGATATACTTCTTTGAGTATCAGTTTGGCCTGCCTAACTCTCAAGTAACTACTTTAAGTCGGCTTACCTTTTTTTATTCTACTTTTTTTTTTGGTTAGCTTTTTTTTCGTAAACTACTTTTGGTCTGCCCAACTTTTTCATAACTGTTTTTCTGGCGGTTACCTTTCAAATACCCAAGTTTTAATATGCTTGACTTTTTGCGTAGGGAAGTGGAGTGACTTCAAACGTCTCCGAAACTGATTGTGTGGTTTTTTGAGAGGAACTCTACTGATAATTCTACTTATCAGTAGAGTTCCTCTCAAAAAACCACACAATCAAATTCGGAAACTTTTGAAGTCACCCCACTTCGCTACGTAAAAGGTACAAATAATACATTATGTATCATACCGAGTTGAGGGTTAGTGTTTACCTGGTGCGCCCGACCATCTCGCCAACACTTGTCCCGATGTCCGTGAGAGCGAAGGCGATGATCAGAATCGAATATCTTCTCAATGGTTCTGGTGTTTTGAAAATAGCCAAGTACAATTGAAAAGAGTTCAGGAAGAACCCAAAAATAACTAAAACTGGCTGTAGGGCGAAGATGAAAGAGCCGTCAAGCTCCATTCGCCACTAGACTTTGACAAAATGCACTAAATTGTTATGTTTTTCATCGAACAAAATCTCAATCACCGAAAGACTCAATTGCCATGTAGAGAATTGGTCACCAAGCAAAACAAAGTCCGTGAAACGAAAACACGTGGAAACGATTTGAAAAAGTGAGAAAAGTTCACTTTTAAGTGCAGTGTGAATTATCAGAATTATTACCGAGAAACGAAGTAGCTCGTCATTTTTTTTTCTATTGCATAACAATCGTAGTCATCTCTGGTTTGAGTCATTTCATATGATTTTTCGATTATTGAAGAACGCATATTTTTTTTTAGAAAGAAGATGGAGAATTTTGCACTCTCTTGTAAATCAAATTTTGAGTTTTTACGAAAAATTTAAAATGTATATTTTTTTGAGTATTAAGAAGGATTTAATTTTTCATTTTTCTTTTTACCATTTCTTCATCTTGATAGAGTTGAAACGCATAGTTATAGAAATCGAAAATAAGGTTTTTGCAAACTTCAATTGTGTGTTATGACGAGGGAAAAAAAGGAGAAAATTTGCTATTAAAGTTGGAAATAGTTTTCAAATTCAAAGCCTGAAAATTTTATCAAATGACTTTTGATTTCATTTCAAAATATATATTTTCTTTCGATTTTTGCAGTATTAACTCTATAACTTGAGCCGTAATTTCTGCAAGTTCTTGGTCTTTGAATTGGGAGAGCTGTTTTCGTTGAATCTATTGAAACTCCGTTAGTTTGCGGGTGAATATTCATTTTACGGGTCCAAAAAAAATTAATCAAACGTTCAGTGGTAGAATTGAGAAAAATGTTTACAATAATATCAGTTTTTAACATACATATAGCTATAGACGAACAAAGATAAAATTTGAAACAACTGTGAACACATGTTTTCATGTAGTGTTTAATTTATAAAGTCTCACTAGTTTGCGTATGAGTTTCTGTGTCAACTTGGCTGCCACGAGGCTTGAACCAATGTGTGACAAATTCCCGATATGGTCTGATGAAGAATATTGAGCCAAGTGGTGAAACGGCCGGCGTCACGCAGCACGTCGTCAGAATCAAATGCTCCAAAAATGGGTGGTGGACAATATCGAATGTGGCGAGGACGAAACAAGTCGTGCCGATCGAGAACATGGCCGGGAGCATGGCTTGGAAGGTTAGGGCCTAGAAAAAGACGTCTTTTAAAGCTTGCGAAATAACTATTCAGGTGTTATTCTTCTTTATTTGGGGCATCGAATATAGTGATTTATGAAAAGTAGGATATTGTTGCTTTCAACGCTTCTAAGAATTTGTGCAAATCTCACCTTAAGCAGTTGTTCGTGCATGGTTTTCGTGTACAGCGACATGTTTTCTGTGAGACTTTGCAGCTTCAATAGAACTTTCTTCCGAAAGTATAGTATGCCAGCGTAGAGAAACGGTATGGGAATGGTCATGTTGGCGCTCATATAAAGAACGGATGGCTTCAAATAATTGAGATTGCCGCTGACGACGATGCCAGTCAAGTTGTAGTGCGGAAATCGTTGTTTGACAGCTTCCAGTACAAGTTCTGGTTCGTCCCCTGCTGAGCAGTAGACAAGCTGGAAAATAAATTTTTTTTTTCGAATTACTTTTGAGGGTTTATTCCGAGTTGGTACCATTTGAATGAAAGAAGGAATGTAGGAGACGGCGATAAGTATCACAATTTTTCTGGCCGACATCGGTCCATGATAGATTATGTAGTAGCGGTAGGCGAAGGAGACGAACATGAGGTAAACGGTGTAGACCAAAAGGTGGGCCGTGAAGCTCTGGCTGAATTTTTTTGAGTTTTAAGCTTTTGAGATTCTGAAGTTTACTGTATGAAAGCAAAATTTGAGTTTTTTAATGAACTGCATTTTTGTCCTGATTATTTCTGATAGTAGTCTGCTTAACTTCCAAACAGTAGTGTTTTGATCTACTCAAAATTTTTTATAACGGAATTTTGGTGAGTTTAACTTTGAAGAATTTACCTCAAATAGCAAAATTCTGGGCCAGCATTGGCACAAACACCGGAACTGAAGACGGCAAGTGTGTTGGGAAAAACGACGATTCTGTAATTTCATTCTTTATTTTCTGATCCTTTCAGTTTTATTCAAAAGCCTCATGGTCGTCGCGAAACCTTATTTTTTCACATTTTACGCCCCTCTTGACGTTCCAAAATAAATAATTTTTCAAGAAAATTTCCAACTTTTACCTGGAACGACCAACAAGTTCACCAATACTTGTACTCAAATCTGTCAGAGTGAAGGCAAAAATCAGGATCGCATATCGCTTCATCGGCTCAGGTGTTTGAAAAGCGGCCAGGTATAATTGAAGTAAATTCACGAAAAGCCCAAAAATAAGTAGGAATGGCTGTAAGGCGAAGATGAACGAGCCATCGAGCTCCATTTTTTGAATGAATCGACATTTAGTGGACAAAGCTCAATATTTGGTCATCACCTCAAAAAAATTTCACAAAGCAAAAATAAGCGAAGTTGTTCAAAAAACAAAAAAAAAATTCAACAGTTCGGAGATAAGTACAGGGTACAGGCTAATTGACGATGTTTGGCCTGTCTAATGTTGTGATTCAGGTGGAAAAGTATGCCTTCAAAGAGTTTTTCTAAACTCGGAAACAAGGTGTTGTGTCTCCTCGATTTTTGATGGATCAGAGAAGGACGAAAACTCTTTTTTTTTTGAGTCAAAGATGTAATTTTAAGCTATAAAAATAAATTTGCGTAAAAATCAAGAATTTCTCGTTTTTATGCTTGAAACTTTTTTTTCTTATTTAAACTGAAATAAAATCTTTGTTTAATTTTTCATTTTCAATCTATGAATTGCGTTATTTAGATAACTTTCAAGTTCACTGAATTTTCTCAGAAAGTTCTTTATCGTCTAAAAATTAGAAAAAAAATCTTTATCTGACGCAACGGAACAGAAATATTGAACAACAAAAAGCAATTTCCAATTAACAATGAAGAAGTTTTAGAAAATGAAAAAAAAACGGACTGAGAGGAACAGAGAGGCAAGGATACCAGTAAGGATTGTTATGGATGGAAAAAGCTCGAAAGGAAGAGAAAACTCTGTCATAGTAAACTCGGATCAAAGTTCAAAAATTTCAGAGAGTCTCACTAGTTTTTGTGATAATCTGAGTGTCTATACCAACGCTACCGAGATGGAACCAATGAGTTACGAATTGTCGGTAAGGCCTGATAAAGAAGATCGAGCCAAGTGGAGAAATTGCTGGCGTCAAGCAACAGGTGGTCAAGACCATGTGCTCCAAAAATGGGTGGTGGTAAAGGTCGAGAGCAGCGACCACGAAACAGCCCGAGCCGATGGCGAACAGGGCTGGCAGCATCGCTTGGAAGGTTAGGGCCTGAAAACCTTTGAGGTCGGATATATCTTTTCCCTGGAAAGCTCACCTTGAGCAGTTGCTCATGCATGCTTTTTGTGTAGATCGACATGTTTTCCGAGAGACTTTCTAACTTCCAGAGAACCTTCCTTCGAAGGTACAGTATGCCCGTGTAGAGGAATGGAATGGGTAGGGTCATGTGGACGCTCAGAACTGAAACGCAGGGATCGAAATAATCTAAGCTGCCGCTGACGACGATGCCGGTCAAGTTGTAGTGAGGAAATCGGTTTTTCACGACTTCGAGTACGACTTCGGGGTCGTCGCTAGCGAAGGAATAGATAACCTGTGGAGGATTCGTTCATTTCTCAAGTCAAACTCAAATTAAATACCACTTGGAAAAAGGAAGGGATGTAGGAAATAGCGATGGTTATCAAAATAGTTCGAGCTGACATCGGTCCATAGTAGATGACGTAGTAGCGGTAGCCAAAGGAGACGAAAATAAGGTAGACGGTGTAGATTAGAAAGTGAGCCGTGATGCTTTGGCTAAAAGTCTTCATATAACGTGGGATTTTTAGCCGTTTTTCGTAGATGGTTTGGATTTCTGTGAGCAAACAAGCATTAGAAAAAAGCAAGAAGTAAAAGACAAAAAAGATTCTGTAAGAAGATACTCAGTTTCATAAATTTACCTAATGTAGCAAGCTGTAGGGCCGGCATAGGCACATACTCCAGAGCTGAACACAGCGAGAGTACGTGGAAACACGACGATTCTGAAAAAAATTACGTAAATGGCGAAAATATTGATCTTTTTTACGATGCGCACCTCGAACGACTAACAAGTTCGCCAATACTTGTGCCCAAATCACATAGAGCGAACGCGATAATCAGAATCGAATATCGTTTCATCGGCTCAGGTGTTTGGCAAGCGGCCAGGTACAACAATAGGCTATTGATAAATAGCCCGAAAACAAGGAGGACCGGCTGAGAATTGAAGATGAACGAGCCATCGAACTCCATTCTCACCGAGATGGAACTCGGCTCGTTTTAAAATCCATCGAACAAAGCTCAATCATCAGGTTCTTCATTGACCGTAAATTAGATGGGTCATCCTTTGGGAAACAGGAAAGAAATGAAAAGGAAAAGCTCGAAAAACAGCGGAAGAGGTTCGAAGATAAGTACAGGGTGGAGAATTTTAGTTGTGAAAATTTTCAAGGCATCAAGTTTCACCAACTATTTTTGAAAATAGTCATTTCGAAGTTTTTTATCTATTAGCAAAGTTGGAGAAAGTAAATAGTCGAATTTTGAGGAGTGTTCAAAGATTATTTGCTTCATAAACTGGAGTTAAAAATTAAAGTTGATATTTAAATGAGCTGTGATAAAAAAACAGGTATTTGAATCAGCTCGCAAAAAGCTTTAAAAAAACCTATTTTGAGCTCTGGGGATAAGTTACAGTAGCTTCGAAATTTTGAAAAAAATTCTTCTATAATTTTTTTAGCCGCAAATAAATTTTTTTAACTACAACTTTCCCGTTGAGATAGTTATTTTACAGTTAAGACAAAAAAACATTTTCTTGAGAAAGTTTATCATTACGTGAACTTGTTTCAAGGTTTAACTGACAAATTGGTTGAAAAAAATATGACCAAAACCTTATAAGTTTATTGGAGAGAACTTCTCGGCGAAAAAAATTTATTTTTTTATCCAAAAATTTGGCTTCCAATACAAATTTTGAAAAAAAAAAAAATCATGAGTTCGAAAAAAATTGGCAAACGCGAAAAGAGCGACTAACAACAAAAAACCAAATTTCAGAACTAAATAAAATTACGAGAAATAGGGAGGCTACCGAACCGTAAAGACCTCGGAGGCAGACTGACATCGCTATTTTTCACGAAATGACGTTTGAAATACGCTCTATAAGGTTTGACAAAAACAATCGTGGCTAGAGGGGACAAAGAAGCGATAGTACCGGCAGAGGCCATTATGGAGTACTCGAGCAAGGGGTGGTGAAAGATATCGAACATCGAGGTCAGGAACGACGTCGAGCCGACCAGGAACAGCATCGGGAGAAGCGCTTGGACGGTTAGGGCCTTAAAAGGGCTGATTTTTCGAGAATTCAAGATTTTTGTTTGTGAGAGAGTATCGCAAAATATAGAAAGAGGATAATTTTGAACTTCACAGTTTTTTTGAAAGTTTTCGCTCAGCTTTTTCTGTCTGTTCATCTTCAGGGAGGGTAAATGGATGAGAAAAAAATAGTCGCTTGTTCATTTTTCCCGCGGCTACTAAAGAAAGAGAGATCTTCGGTTTTTTTTAAAAAATTTTTTTATCTACAGATTTTTCGAAAAAAAAAAGTTACCTTGAGAAGCTGTTCATGCATGAGACGGGTTTCACGCGACAAACTGGACATTTTCTCCAGAATACGCAGAATTTTTGAACGAAGCAAAATCATTGCGACATAAATACAGCTCATCGCGACCGTCATGTTGAGTATCATGAATATTATCTGTGGCTTCAACAAATCCACAATTCCGCTAATATTCACTTCGTTCAGAATATAATGAGGAAATAGGAAGTTTAGGATTTTTTGGACATCTTGTGGTGGGTCGGCGGCGAAAGAAGCTGAAACCTGGAAATGTCCGTTTTTTATGGAGTAAAGGCACTATTTTCCGGAAAAAAAAACGTTTCTGGAAGCTTAGATTGTTGGTCGAATATCAGTTCATTCATTTCATTGTTTAAAAGATAACTGCTGAAGGAAAGCTTCTTCCAAAATTCTTAAAATTCCTTCTTTTTGAATGATTCAGTTCAGAAATTGAGTATAATCTGTGATTTCTAGTTTTTTTTGCATTTTTTTTTACTTCTAGAAACGATACAACGTTGTGTCATTATTCACACAAAATGTATTATTTTTTCAAAGTGCGATTCACGTAACTCATCATCTATCGCCCCAATGAACCTCAATTTTTTTTTCTCGTGACTCACTCCTTGGATAAACGATGGAATGTAGGCAATGATTAGTACAATGATGATTCTGCTTTTCGATGGAGCCCCGTTTCTCAGAATGAAGTAGCGGTACCAGAAAGAAACGAGCAGCAAGTAGATTTCGTGCATCAGAAAGTGGGCGGTGATCATTTGGCTGGAATTGGTTTTTAAGATGCATCGTTTGATGGAGATATAGTGAAACATTTTAAGAAAAAACTTATGGAAAAAAATAATAATTTTTCGGTTTCGAACGTTCATTTGGTTATCTTTTAATTTTTTCGGGCTTTTATATTGGAAACTAATATTGTAATGGGGTAAAAAAAACGGGATGACTTCATTTCAGAAAAACGTTTCTTAAAAAAAATTGAACTGTGCATAGAAGAATGATAAAGATCAGAAAAATTAAAAAAAGTAATTTGAACTTTATTTGGCTATTTTGAAATTTGAATCTTTCTTTTTCATAAGAATTCTTTTGGCATTTTTTTCAATTAACAAAATATTCAGCTCAAAGTGACCGTATGAAATTAGTTTGACTCGAAATATATATGAAGACTCGAAAATGAAATTTTCAAGAACTTATCTCAAAAAACCTACCTTATGTAGCAAGTTGAAGATCCAAGATATTTACAAGGCCCGTAACTTGCCAAAGCGATAACTTTCCAGCTCGAAACGATCAATCTGAAATGGTGGTTTATTGAAAAATGAGTATTTTAAGAGCAAAAGTTTGTAAAGGCCAGAAATTCCCTAAAAATGATACCAACGTCGTAAATGGTCGGTGCTCTTTTTCTAAATAAAAAAATAAAGTTTTGGCTTCAAATGGTTAACAAATGTTTTTTGATGGATTGAGAGCTGGAAGATTTTGAAATTACTATTAATATCATGCTTCAGGCTAGAATTTCGAATAGGATGAGCAATTTTCAGGTTTTTGCAGGTTTTTAGGTAAGAGGACTTTTTTTAAACACACTAAAAAAACTTTACTCTACCCAATTCTGAGCATTTTGAGCCGAGATAGAATTTTTAGAATTTTAAAATGACTGATCTGACTATAACACCGAAAAAAATCGATATTTCGAGGATTCAATTGGTTCTTGCTGGTACCAGATGGTTCCATAGGAAAGAGGATCTTCAGAAAGTGATGAAAACTTTCTCGAAGCAAGAAAACAAAAAAAGTAAATTGAAAACAAATATCTAAAAAAAATTCACCTTGTTTGCCCGAAAAGCTCTCCGACGCTTGTCAACAAATCAGTGGTAGTACTGGTAATGATAAGAATCGAGTAATGTTTCAGAGACTTTGGCGAGTGCCAAATAGCCAGATACATGAGGACGAAATTGATTACGATACCAGAAATACTGATAGCCGGAAATAGAAACATGAAAACGTCGCTGACGTCGGTCATACGCCTCGCAGAACCAAAATTATTAATAATGCCTTTTTCGGATAAGTTTAGCGAGCATTTATTTCCGCTCCAAAGATAATATGATTGTTTTCTCTGGCCCTATATTTTTTACTAGACTAGATTAAGTCAGGCGGGCGGCGATTAGTTGTTCTCTTAGGTTTTTGCACGAATGAATGATGAACTTGACACATGAGTAATCTAATTTTGAGGCAATTTTCAAAGGAAAAAAACTCTTTTTTTTCCATTATTTTCGAGCCTTTGAAAGTTTATAAATTGCCTCAAACTTGACCAAATCAAGTGAAAAAAATTTATTTTTATCACATATGAATGATTTCTCTGAGCTTCATCTTGCAAATAAAGATTTCCCGGGAAATCTCTAGAAGTTTTCTCGAAAGCTAGAAATGAAAAAAAAATTTTGGATGAATAATTTTAAAAAAATTATAGATGATTAACGTTTCAAAAAAATGGTACCAGGAAATGCTCTCTGATTTTTTTTGGCGATTATTTGAACAATTTTTAGTTAAGCTGTTGCGGAATGATGCGTAAAAAAAAATAGCAGCGAAAATAAGTTCTCGGATAATTTTCTTTTCGGTTAAAATCCATCACAAAAAACAACTAGCCTATGTAAGGAAGATATTTGAGCTTTATGGAGGTATTCTTAAGTATTTTCGCTATTTTTTTAATAATTCTCGCGTCTCCTTTTTTATAATTAAGATTTCCAGGGTCTTGGATTTTTCATTCTTTCTGAAAGAAACGACGCTTGAAGGTCCCTCGAATACCCTCAAAAAGGTGCCAAAAAAGGTTATCACTGTTGATCAACGCGTGGCCGCCGTTCACCTGTAGATTTCCATCGCCCTCGCACCACCTGTAATTATCTACCTGACGCTAACCGCTTTTAATGTGTCGCACGTCGACACCTTCGCTTGACCTCTTCATCGCCTCTTTTTGTTGGAGATTTGGCTTGGATAACTGGTCAGAATTGTATATAGTCTGCTTGGAAATGAATTAGCATTAAAGCCTCAGAGTCTCGAATATTTTCTGAAAGTATAAAAAAATGCTAAATTTTCTAAATTTCGATGTACTTTTAGCGTATTTGTGTTGGATAGCACAATTGTACAACAAGTAAGACTTTTTGGAAGGAGGAAAGAATGTTAGGATAACTGTAGATACGAAAGAAAGAACAAATCAACTCTCAAAGCTCAAAATGATAAAGAATCTAGAGCTCTTTTTTTAGTTCCTAAAAAGGTGTCAAAAGTTTTTCTGTCTCTTTTTTTCGCTTATTTTCCTTGTAAAGACGTCTTTTTTAGAAAAAAAAATTTAAGAGAAAGGCTTGTGAGACATTTGTAGGTCTTTTGTCCTAAAAGCTTCTTTTTAGGTCCTTCTGGGCTTTGCCCTTGCGGTAATACGAGGACAATGAAGGAAGAAATATTTTCGAAAAAAAATACACGTTTTTAGAACGATGCCTAGTGAATTTGGAGCAGAAAATTCAGTTTTTCATGGAAATGAAGATACAAATCCTAGCGACGATGTTGATATCTTACGCAGCGTAAATGATTTTGACGCTAACGAACTCGAAACTTTTGCTCCAGTTTTCGGAATTTGTAGGCTGGCAGTGTTTCGGAGTGAAAATAGAGAATTTTCTTTTACTTTATTTACGCTGCGTGAAGTTTCACGCAAATTCACCTCAGTTTTCAGAGAATTTTTTGAAGCCTTTTCCTCTATGAATCCCTCTACTTCCGAGCCAGAAACAGTGTTCGAGACCAAGCGACAGCCTTACATGAGCCAAGTGGTCCCAAGTTGATCATCCTTGGCATCAGACGCCAAGCGAATTGGCCAAAGTGTTGATGAGCGCGGCTTTTCGTTGTTCAATTTGGGGCTCTTCCCGAAATTCGGAACGCATCGGCCCATAACAACATATGCCTCGAGCTCGTTGACCCTAAGTGGCCGTCTCTTTCATTAACACGGCCACCACTTCTTCTGGTCGGCGGCCAAGCCTCCGACCGTCGGCATAATCGAATTAACTCATGCCTTTTTGCCGCCTTTTTTCCTGCTTCTCTATGATGATTTTTTATGCGTTATCAGTGACGTCACTTCTTTTTAAAGCTTTACAAGGGATTTTTCTCTACAGGTCGGAATTTCCTGAAAAATGGCTAGGACACTCCTAATGTACCAAAAGGAGATTCTAAAAGTCTCAACCTGATTTTCGAGTAATAAGAAAAAAAATATTGAGGGTTTTTTTCAAGTTTGGGGTGTTCTTTTTCTGAAAATAAAGAAATTTGCAGGTGATACCTTCCAGAACTTTATCCACTACATCAAGGAGTACTCTTGCCAATTCTCAGATAAATCACAACCAAAAAAGGGAAATTCCCTTCCTGGTTAGTGAGATCACTGGTTTCACGTAATTTTATCTTTAAATTTTCAAACCTCACACTTCATTCATAACGCCTTTCAGGCGTTTTAGAATCGAGAATCACTTAAAAATTGTTAAAAAGTGCTCCGATACGTCCTTAATTTCAAATTTGACACCTGAAAAACGGATGTTATGTTTATATCTTTTCAAACTTTCTTGAGAATTTTTTTGTTTCAATAAATCTTCAGACTATAAATTTCCGTCACTCCAATTGAGCTAAAATCACCAGATTTTGACTACTACCAAAGAAAATAATTGAAACTGAGTTTCTTAGCTAATTTTTAACTCGCTTTTTTGGAATTTTTTTCAAAAAGTTATTTCAAGTTTTTTTCCTGCATGTTTTTTTCGAATTATCTGAAGGTCGAAAAATTGAATTTGTTAACAATAGTATCAAAAATTCTCCTATTATGTTATCATTTTGTAGTGTCTCTTCTTTTTTCTTAACCGTCGACGTTTTTTTTTTAAATTGACATCTTCAATTGAAAAAAATTCCTGGTCAGCGTCTAATTTTTTTCGAATCCACAGTTCATTGTGGCAAACTGCATTTTCCCATCAGAATAAATCACTCGCAAGTGCCCGTGGAACCTTCACAAAAATGGCTGCCACACAAGAAACTCCATAAAACCGCGAAAGTGTTGGGGAAATTAGGGCACTTTTAGATGGTATCTTTTGGTTTTTTTTTGAAGATTGGAATTTTTTCTCAAGGTCATTTTTTTCATTTTTATTTTTTTCCTTTTTTTCTAAAAAAATCTATTGAAAGGCTCAGCGAGAAGGACTGTGCCATAGAAAAACCTAACTTTGTTAAATTCGAATTTTACGAAAACAGCTATATTTTTGAAATCAGCGTCAAATTCTGAATAAGACTATGTTTTGAAACAATTGAAAAAATTAGAGTGAAAAGAATTTTCGAATTTCCAAAAATTGACACATTGGATAGTTGATTCTTGGGTTTCAAAAGTGACATAAATTTGTTAGTTTCGCAATTTTGTAATAAAATATTATATTTTTGAATTAAGCGCGAAATTCTGAATTAGAATGTCTTTTGGGCTTTCGAAAAATAGTCGTCGTTTTTTTAAAAAAGGACGCCATTTTTTGAATTTCTCAAGCTTTTAGATTAGAATTGAATTGAAAAAAAGTGATATTTCTCAAAAAGTTTTCTATTTCCTACGAAAGTTTTTGAATCGACTGCATGTTAAGTAGTGAAAATACAAAAATTCCTCTCTCAGACCCCCTTTCGAATAAACAAAGGGACAAAAAAATCAAGGTGCGAAATGGCGACAAGATTAGGATCGACCTTAACGCCAAAATTCTTTTTTTTTCCGTTCGTTTTGATTTTTCATCTTCTTCTTCCATTTTTTTTTCTCTTGTTTCGCTCCGAGTTCATTTATCCTGGCGAAGGTTGTCGTTTCAAGGCCCCCTCTTTTTTCATTCCTTCATTTCATTTTGGCGCTCCTTTTTTGGCAGCAGGAGGATGGAAATTCCTTCCCCCGTTGATTGATTGTTTGACGTAGAAAAAAAAATAAATAAGAAGGAAAAATTGTCGTCGACAATTGGCTTATTCGCGCCCCCGTTGGATGGACCTTCTTTGAGATGACTTATTCGAAGGAAATAATTGGCTCGGAATCTTTTTGGCCTTTTTTGGAAGATTAAAGACAAAATAGCGAATTTCTGGCACTACTCAAAATTGGATAAACTATAGAAAAAGCCCTTTTTTGGTATAATTTAACCATGGGCAAAGTCAGAAAGGGTGAAAAAGGTTCCATGAAAGTGTTCCTTTTTTGCTGCCTTTTTGCGCCCTTTCATCGGCTTTTATGCACCATTATTGCTGCCTTTCCCTTTTTCCACCATTTCTTGAGTCTTTAAAAACCCAGAAAAAATAAAAGGCTCGATAGAGGGACCCTTTTTGCAGCCCTTCTGCGGCCTTTTTTGAGCCTTTCCCTTTTAGCGGCCATGACCCACGACTTTGCCCGAGTCAAAATTGCGCATCTCCTTATTATTTTATTTTTTATTTTTCCCTCGTCCAGTTGATAAATTTTTCAAATTTTACTAATTTTTTTGCCAATGATCAGATAGTAATAGAAGTTCAAAATGCTTCGGGGAGAGACGAATTTTTTTCCCTTTGAGAGAATATTGAATATTAGAATCATTTGAACAGTTCCAATATTTTTCCCGTGCGAAAGGCAAAAAAGACGGATCGAAAATCCTCGAAAATGTCCACTCGAAAGATCGTCTGGCCTCATCTTCATGCACAAACATGCGATAACAAGCCGCCAAAAGGCGCGCCTTTTCAATTTTTGCCAAGACAAGTCTTAAGTGCCCCTCTTTTTTTGAGAGTACACCACTCTCTTCCTTCGCTTCGAAGCCGATTATTCATTTTACACTACTTTTTTGACGAATTCGTTTGGCGCTACGATGTACTGTATGGTTACTTGGGCGGAAAAGCTCTTCAAAGGCTTTTTTCAAAACAAAAAAAAGACCATTTGAGGGTCTCTCACAGATCTTTTTTATTTCACTTTTGCTTATTTTTCACATCCTTTATCAGAAAAATGCCTAAAAGCAACAAAAAAGATCCTTTGAGGTTATGGAAAGAAACATTTTTACCATCCGTTTAGAAGCTTTCAGAGGAACCTTTGCAGCTCCTTCTGAGGGTTTTCAAAGTTATTTTCCGTTTTACCTGTGTAGGCTCTCGATACCGTGAAACTCAATTTCTTGAAAAGTTATTTTCATGATCAGAAGTAAGAGGATTATTGTATAGTTCACGAAAAATTCATAATAATTCGAGCCTTATCTTCCCCTGGAGATATATTGTACTGCTTTTGCCTCTTTTTGTCCATTCAAATTCCCTAAACATTTATTTTTCCTAACACATAAGCGTGACACAATTATCGGACCATGATTTATGTCATCGGCAAAGTTGCTTTTGAAAGGACGATGATCCCTCCCAAGAGCCACCGGCACGTGGATTATCTCGATTTTATCTGTCGCCTTTTGGCGGCTGTCTTTTGAGTGATTAATGATGTTTTTTATGGTTGATTGGAAAATTAAAGTAGAAAACTTCGACAGTTCGGCATCTAAGTTGACTCTTATTCACTTGGGCTTCTGGAAGCTTTTTTGAAATTATTGATGGGAAAACCTCAAAATAGGTACCTCTATCTGAGTTACGAAAAAAGTTCAAAAAATGGTTATTCTGGAAAATCAGTTTTGTAACCTGAAAGCGTTGCATCGGGGTCACCCCTTGAAAAAAAATGAGAAATTAAAATTTGATATATATATTCATGAAAATTAATTTTCTGCAATCCAGAACTTGTAGTTAATGTCTTAAACTTTTCAATGATCAAATTTGAATCCTACCTGAAAGTTTGTAGCTTGATCAAGTATAGGTTAGAAGCTTTACCCTTAACTTCAAATTGTTGCTTTCTTCGATTCCTAAACTCTTTTTTACCATCTCAATGAGTAAATTAACGTTCTTGATCTGCAGAACCCTTACCGTACCCCGAGCTTTTTCAAAATTTCCCAAAGCAAACCAATCGCCATCCTCGTCGACCAGCATAAACAATTTGATAAGAAAAGACATTAGAACCTAAGATAACACGGGTTTTGATGCGCCTCCCGAGCGACGGCACAAATTATTTTGACACGTGCCGACCTTTGCCGATAGGGCGCAAATACGTCTTCGTATTGAGCCCCATCAAAACGAGGCGGCACGCTTAGGCATACACGAGATGTGACGGTTGTAAATTTGTTTGGATTGGAATAACGGTTCTGATCGGTATGATTCCAGAGTAAGCGTGTTTTGAGCTGACTCGTAGGTAATTCTGAATCAGCTTAAAATATTTATTCATTTTTTTATGCTGAATTTCTTTTTTTAACCGTAGCCCTCTCGTGTTTTTAAGCTCGTTCAGAAGTTCCAATGATATTTTTTCCGATTTTTATAGACATTCAAGGGGAAAAAGTTGGCTAATAACCAGCCTGATCTAGTTTTAGCTTCTAGAAAACTATTATGATTATCAAAATTATTATTATTATTACAAATATAAAAAATATTCTTCGATCGAAATAAGTTGCGGAAACCTTATGATTTTCACTAGAGTTATCCCTATAAGAAACACTAGATTTTTTTTAAATTTAGAAATTTAGAGAACTTTAAGGCTTCTTTGAAACATTCGAGTTTGACGGGAGTTTTAATGAAAATTGAATCATTTTAAGTACCTCTTAAGGTAAGTCAAATTTTTCAAAATTGCATTTCTATGGTGTTAACTTTGCCCATTCGCATTCAATAACACTGAATCCATTCCTTGCGCGAATAGCTGAAGAGGGTCCTGAAGGGATTTTGGAATTTAATGGGTCCTATAGGATATGTACTATACCCTCCTATACGGGGTCCTTCTGTAAGCTGTGCGAATCTTCCTTTAAATCATTTCAACGTTGCCAACTTGAATGAGAACTTTAGAGAAAAATCCGCTTATAGTGCCCTTTGTGAATTTTCTTACATGATTTTCTTTCTTGAGTGCTAGTTTTGGCTTTTTCTCCAGTTTTTTTCACGCCCTTAAGTTTAAACAGAGTTAAGCTTCCTCGTTTTCGTTCAGCTGCTACTAAGTAA